TAGCATAAAAATTCATTGTGCTATCATCAAGTCACTTTTTAGTGTCCAGTTCTTGCTGATGCCAAGAACATTTATTCATTCGATTTACACTCCCCTTCATAAGTTTGCCAACAAGGAATCTTCATTGGATAGTGCAGGGTGTCCAGAAAGTAAAGATACAAATACTCTGATTTTAAGAGATTTAGGTTGTTTTAAATGAAATTGCTATAGATTGTGGAAGAACATTACAATGTGTCTACCAACTGGAAGCAAAATTTGTTTAAAGTTCAGCATTCAAATGAGACTCAACTTCAAGCCAATGTTATCAGCAATCTGAAAGATGGACAGAAGAGGGTTTGTCCGGTCTTTGAATCTCTGGTCAATATGCACCATGAACAAATAAATAATGCGAGAAAAACATAATACTGGGTAAGAGTAGTAATGATAAAATGATAAAATACCTTTACATTACTAATCCTTATGCTGACGTGGGGCAAAATTTGATGTTTTATAGGAACAGATTGTGGACACCCTATATATCAAAGCCTGGCAATGTCTGAAACTTACCTTTAAAAAAAGAACCTTAATTTTGTTCCTTAATTGCCATAGTTTCAGAAATGTATGACAAACAAAATAGAGTTTATATAGCTGAATAAACAAATGGGAACTAGCGCTGTCATCTTTTAATCAGGTTTTTATTTCGTCTGATTGACTTATGTGTTAATTCGGGGATAGTGATTACATTTTATGATTAATCAATTATTTTGGTTTAATCTCTCTAAAACTTGAATGATATTCCATATTATGACCCTGTTAATGTAAAGTAGCCCAAACACAATTGTTCAAGAGTCACATTTTCTTCAATAACCTTTTTTTAATTTTCAGTATTATCAAAAACCGATTACATACAGGGTGTTAAAAAAACGCAACCCAAAGAAATCGCAATATCTTGGAAAATACTAATCCAATTATGTTCATATTTTCAGGAAAGAAAGAAGAGACTGTGTATATATAGCCCCTGTTGTTAGTTAGTTGTAAACCATGATATCTTGGACACTTTCTCAAAAGACAGTTGTACTAGCAAAATATGAAAAACGTGAATGGAAAATCACCATATCTTGGAAAATATTAATTCAATTATATTCATTTTTTCAGGAAAAGAAAGAAGAGACTGTGTATTATAGCTCCTGTTGTCAGTAAGTTATAAAACATGATGCCTTGGACACCTGCTCAAATGACAGTTGTACTAGGAAAATATGAAAACGCAGTCAGAGGTGACTGCCACAGCAATAAAACCAAATAACTTTCTAACCATGGTGTTTTGGCACTTCAAATTTGGCACATATTATCCTCATTCAATTTGTAGTGAATTTGTGGAGTTTCATCAAAATCACTCCAGGGACTTTACGGTCATGGTCAAAATGGCGTTCTTAAGTCTCCCTGAACCAGGGCGTTTGACTGCGATTTGAAAGCAGTTCAACCATAACTGTAAAGTCCCTGAAGTGATTTTGATTTCACTCTACAGATTTACCAAACAATGAATGAAAATGATTTGTGCTAAATTTGAAGAGCCAAAACACTATGGTTAGGAAGTTATTTAATTTTTTCGCGGTTGCTGTCACCCCTGACTGCGTTTTTCGTATTTTCCTCGTACAACTGTCTTTTGAGCAGGTGTCAAAGGCATCATGTTTTACAACTAACCATTGACAGGAGCTGTTCATACACAGTCTCTTCTTTATTTCCTGAAAATATGAACATAATTGAACCAGTATTTTTCAAGATATAGCGATTTCTTTGGGTTGCGTTATTTTTGAACAACCTGTATTTGAAAACTAGAGTAAAATTCTGACAAACAAACAATTATTTGAGGAACAAGCAAGCAACTTTCAACTGAACGTTTAAATTCAGGAACCAATCTGCCATTTTTGAACAAATATGAGACAAAACGATGCCAAAGTCATTTAGGGGGTGTATATAATTCCGACTGCCAATGTGTCTTGTACTTCAGCATCCAGCGATATCAAATAATTCTTACACAATCGCATTCCTTCTCAGTCATACAGTGGTGTGTGATACCCCCATAAATGTGGAGGTGATTTTACAGATCAACCCGGCCCAGACAAGAACTTGTGTGTTGAAATCTGGGGGTTGAAAAAAAGCTGGATTAGTGCTTTTAAAACCCCCATATTTCAACACACAAGTAGTTGTTGGGGGATTTTAAAAATCAACCCCTCATTTATTGGAGTATTATTTGTGGTCAAAGATTTATGCAAAACAAAATGTGGTGTGTCATTATAGAAGACAGGAATGCGTCAAATAAAAGGTTTCTTGAAATTCACTGCCTTTTATTAAAATGTCTAGTCAATGCGTTTCCACAGGTGCTGATTATAAAAGTAGAAACCCCAATTAGTTGTAGGAAAATTATTCCTTAAGACAGCAGACAATTGAACCTAGTAAATCAAATCATTAAATTACCTTGAAGTATCAACATCAATCGATTTGCTGAAATACAAGACACGCATCTTAGACGTTTTTAATAAAGTAAACCTAGGTCGAGACGACACTGAATTTTAAGAGACATGCATTTAAAGGATGAACACACTTCACATAGCTACTTTCACGTATCATGAATTACAAAAATATTGATAATCTTCTCATTACATCTGAATCACAACGTCTCGCTTGCGTGATTAAGGGTAGAAGTAGAGCATCAGGTGAGGTCATATTTACTCAATCACTCCATTGTCATTGAATACCCGTATGCTCTTTTAATATAAAGTTGTCGATAACACAAATGTCTGTCATAAACCTATTTTTGTCTAAATTTGTCTATCTGGAAGGATATAAATCGTAATCTTTTCAGAACATTTTCCGTCCCAGTGATTATGTAACATTGTCTAGTCGTAGTGCGTACCAAATGGACCAGAACATTTTAGCAAAGAAATATGTAGATTTTTATTGTTTACAATTAATCGATGAAAATGTTTGAAGAACATGTATGTAAATAGTGTGTCACTGGAGGTGGGCGATAATAGGTGAAATTCAAAACAGTTTTTTTATTTCGTTTTTATAATAATGATATGCTCATGTTATCAGTTAAAGACATGTATAAAATGTTTCAAGATCACATTTTGTATATTTTGTTCAGCAACAATGAAAGTGGACGTCCAAGTCACTATTTACATCTCTACAGGGTGTTCCAAATGCAGTACAGCTGTATGTCTGTCTTGAGAGGCTTGGCATTGGACCTTAATATTGCTAATATGCAATTATGACGTGCACGGACCTGGGGACAATTCGGGAAATACGGGCTAATCTCAGCTTTAATCGTTAATATCTGCCTTATTTAAAAAGCTAACTATATGCATTATATATCATTTTGAAGTATTTTTTATTCGCATTTCACTGAAATTATTTTTCCTTAAAAAGTGTGATGGGATCTACCATATTTTTTAAGTTAAATGTACTCCGACATCGTCAAATACGCTGTAAGGCGTAACATTTCACGCTTACACGGTTCGTTGAAATCAGGATAACTTTTGAAATACTGATCAGAATTTTACTGAAATTTCATATTTTATTCATTGAAACATGTGCTTTTATGACGTCACAATTGCCTAGCGGCTACAGTTCAAATCGTCTTATATGAACGCTTTTAAGATTTTCAAAATTGTGTAAGGTTTTGAAGGCGAGGGAGACAAGCAATAAGTTCACCTTTATTTAACCTTCTAATTTAGGTCTGATTTCAAAAAAAATTTAACTGCACAATATTGTCATGGCGAAATTTACAAAACAATAACCGATTTCTTTATTTTTCAAATAATAAGAGAATAAGAGTTGCTTTTAGAGACTTGAAAAAATGTAACGCATCGATTTTTTACCACAAATACCATACATATCAATTTTTACTAAAGCCCCGAGTGGATTTCCTGACCGTTTTTCAAAAATCAAAAAATTTTTTAGAAATATTGTCCTCGAGATCTTCTTGCTCTGTGAATTTCACCAGGATTGAATAAGAATAAAGCATCTTATTTTTAGGTTGACTAAACTTGACAAAATGTAACGCTTGTCGTTTTTGACGTTATAATGCTGATTGCGCCCTATACTGGCCATTGTATTGTTTTGGTATTTTGACGCCATAATGTTACTCTAATTGTCCCCAGTTTCGTGCGACGTGTAAATATATTTCATGTACACTTCGAGTGTGAAAAGAGGCGTATGATCTGAGAAATAATGAACCATTCTTAATTGATCATAAAAATAAAATATTTGTATTTATACACAACACAATGAGCCTTCTAAAGAATAAAATATATGTATGTGTTTATCATATATACGCAATCTTTAAAAAAATTAAGTCAATTTTAACACAACCTGTATACTTATGTACATTACTAACAGTCGTAATTTGGGCAAGTAGTCATGGAAGACAGACCAAGGTATATTTTCTTATGCCTATGTGGCGTGTGAACGTCACATCTTTTTGTACGGATTTTTGACTACTCGGTGAACGACCTTGCTTTTCCTAGCAAACAATTTCTACAACGTTTCCGATCAATCGCTGAACAAAAAGGCAACAAAACTCTTCATACGAATTATTTCATACCATATCCTTGTGCAAGGGGTTTAAATCAGGCCATTATAAACTTGGATGTAAATTATGATTGATTTTGTTCGTCGAAAAACTGGCATTTTTGAAGCATAACTTATCTTCGACAGGAATCTTGACAGGATGCATGCAAAAATTGGATGTTAAACAATAACTTAGAGAAACTACATGTGCGGTACAATACCTCGATATATATATATATATCGATATGTAAGGAAAAAGTCACAAGTTTTTGCATTTTAAAGCGAAAATTATATTTCACTAATGTACTGTCTATAACAAAATTATGTTACTCAAGAGACAGTTTCGCCATTTCTATCTCATCGTAATCAGGTTGTCCATTGCAGTTGTAGTCCCACATTGATATTTCTCCAAGACCAGGAATGTCCACCTGAAGACAACACAATCTCTCCAAGTGCTGACTGTAGAACCCCTTTCCATCGCTACACCGATCAGAGAGACGATCCATGGCGATGATTTCCCGCCCCGGGTACCCGACCGTCTGCTGGAGTAATTCACAATACGCCTGTCCTCAGGTTTTTCCACCATCTCCACCGGAAATGGGTTGCCGAAGCCCTAAATCACCCCAGAATTCGGACGCATTGGTCATGCATTGTTGGTGGCAGCTACGACTGAAGTACACACAATCGGCGATGCTTTGCGCCGGTCCTAAGTATTTATTAAAGATGGTCTGAAGTGGGGTAGTATCGGAGCATTGTTCCCCTGGATTAGCGCATGACATATTGTGATGGGCTTGGTCGAGTGCGATTTCACAAGAACAGTTGGACGAAGAATTAGCAATGGGACCTAAATCAAATGTATAAACCAGTTCATGAACATTTTGACTGACCAACAGGTTCCGACACTAGAATAATAACATGCATAATTCTTCAAGTCGATGCCTATTGCACACCGGACCCTGACAACGGTAAAGTCAGAGGTAAAGTAAGATACCGTTGTCACAAAATGGCCGCCACCGGTTCGTATTCAATTCAATTTCGTTACCTGTATGTTAAAAAGAGCACCTAAATTAAATTCCTCTGGTAAACAAACAATCAGTGTATTTCTACTTATCGTATAGTTGAATATGTTCTTCCGTCAAAATAAAGCCTTAATTAATCAAAATATGACACGAGACAACGGATACTGTATTAATGGCAACGATAAATGTGGGTCAAATGCGTTGTCGTGATGACGTGATGACAACGGTATCTATTCAAATGGAGTTCATAGTATTCCAGATGAAATTACCTCTAGCCAAGAATTGGCTAGAGACTCGAGTAAACTTTAATAAAATTATAGACAAAGTATTACATTGTTATAAGAATCCTTCGCTTTCCTCAAATAAAGTATAATCTTTGGGGATATTTATTGTCACTATACTACTACTACTACAACTGCTTGTTGCTAGATCTGATACCACCTTTGATGTATTACTTACCCGTTGTACCCACCGCCCCAAATGTGAGCGACCATCCTATTGACGAACTACTGCCATCAGTTTGAAAGTACAGGTACATATACCTGCTTGGATTTCTTCCTGTAACCGTCCGAGTTGTTCCAGGTGCGAAGTGACCACTAAAGCTCCCCAATAGAGGATAACCACTCGAATAACCATCGTAGATCTTATACAAGAAGTAAATAAAAATGGCCTCACATCGAGATCTTTTTTTAAACCCAACGTCTGAATATAAATGTGATCTCTAATTCTGCCTACTGATAGTATTTTAATTAATTCATATAGAAATTGATATGAAGCATTTAATTGATTCTTGTTTTGGTTTTTATCAGCGCCAAAAAATCAGAACTAACCCTTAAGTAGTCATACGACCTCTCTGTGTGGAAATCATTAATCGTGACTTCTATTGGCCAAACATACGCATATATCCTAAAGTAGCATCTTAGGCCATTGCTATATTGATAGGGATAGTTTGGAGAAGTGATTGTACCATTTCGTCCATTGATATAAGAATTGCAGGTTGTATATACTTCTGCCAAATCTGGAAATAATATTGTTTGAAACAAAAATATGGAAATAGATAATTTAGTGAACGGGATGACTCACGTTGTGAGATATTTAAAGTCGATCCACCTTTAAACAATCACAATATCCCATTCAATTCTTTCGGGACATGTCCAGGTGATTTGTCACAAGCACAAAATACAAACCAGTAGAATCCCCTCACAAAAAAAATGAAAGATGACCGTATATCACTCAACTCACAGTTATTTACACTTAAATGTGTACATGGTAAGTATTTACATTATTCAAGGATAATGATAATACTGAACATACTATGTACATCCCTTGAAAACATGAGTAAGACTCATAATTAACGGCATGTTAGCCCCTCATAGATGGACCAGACCAAATGGTCTTTTTATGTGAATTATATATTTTTGATTATGTTTTACAAATACGAGTAACATCGTATGAAAAGGACCAATATTGCGCATTCTAAGCGTGCACTATCACCTTCATCGCCAGAATATATAACTTGCTCTTTGCTTCCTTCATCGTCTGTCCAATCGGTAATCGTCTGCCAGATTTCTCCGATTGAGAATGTAGACGCCAAATGACTGTTTCCAACTATCAATGCGAAAATAAGTGCAAACGATTTGAACATCGGCATGGTGTAGCTTCTGAGGTGCTTAGCTACGTTAAATAACGTAATGTTGAAACTCAATATTTATTATTCAATATTTCAAAATACGTAATGGGCCGTTATTGGTCGAAACTCGTCTAGTGATAAAATATATAACTTGAAATAGTATGTTTTTCTTCCATGGGACATTCCTAGGCATCCAACATATTGCCAGAATTGCAATATCCCTATATTTGGCACAGAACTAAAAACAGGAAAGTAATTTATAAATGATAATTGTATAATTAATTAATTGTAAGGTCAAAGGGACCCTGCAAATGAATAAAAAGAAATAATCAAATACTCACAGTAGAACATATTTAGCAGGCCTCGAAAATTTTGCACGTTTACATTGAGCCCCGTTTTGATTTATCCATCTTCAAAAAATCCCCGAGGCCTGCAGAACAGTTCTAAACGAGTGATTCCAAATCCTCTGCTGGTAGCTCCCCTAAATCGATAGAAATATGCAGCATAAAATATAGGAATAAGTAGTTATGACGTTCATGGACCTGGGGACAATTCTGGAAATACGGGCTAATCTCATGACGCGTTAATATGTCTTATTTAAAAAGCTAACTATGTGCTCTATATATCATTTTGGAGTATTTTTTATTCGCATTTCACTCAGAAATTATTTTTCTTGAAAAGTATGATGGTATCTACCATATTTTTAAAGTTAAATGTACCCCGACATCGTCAAATGCGCTGTAAGACGTAACATTTCACGCTTACACGGTTCGTCGAAATAGGGATAACTTTTGAAGTACTGATCAGAATTTCACTAAAATTTCACATTTTATTGAATAGAACGTGTACATTTATGACGTCACAATTGCATAACGGCTACAGTTCAAATTGTCTTATATGAACGCTTTTACAAATTTCAAAATTGTGTAGGATTTTGAAGGCGAAGGAGACAAGCAATAAGTTTACCTTTATTCAACCTTCTAATTTTAATTAGTAGTCTGATATAAAAAAAAAAGGTTAACTGCACAATATTGTAATGGCGACATTTACAAAACAATAACCGATTTCTTTATTTTTCAAATAATATGAAAATAAGAGTTGCTTTTAGAGACTTGAAAAAATGTAACGCATCGATTTTTTACCACAAATCCCATACATATCAATTTTTACTAACGCCCCGAGTGGATTTCCTGACCGTTTTTCAAAAATCAAAAACATTTAAAGTATAATTTAGATGTTTTGCATCGACTTTTTGAAGCTACCTGTACGGCAGTCACACTCTCGCCGTAGAGTAAATATCACCAATGTTTAATACACATGGGTGTCAGCTAGGTGCTCACAATTCTTAAATAAAAGTTTGTTTTTTGTTGAATGAAGGATAGTGAGGAAATCCATGCAAGAGAGGAATGGCAGAATACAAATTCATTCTTAGGTGAAAATTATAGAACTAGAAGGAAAATCTAAATGTCAGAGGCGATGTTTTAACATACTTTCAATTCTTATTTTATTTCTCAAACAAGAATCGAGATATCTGTAGAAATGTCTAGACATTCAACTTGAAATGAGAATGTACTCCCAATGGTTTTTGAATACCAAGGAATGAGTAGATGTACCAAACGAAACGAATATATAAGCAATTGTGCCAAAGGGAAAGGACCAAAAGTTGTAATGGAACTTAGCAAGAAAAGGCAAACTCTAAGTGCATACCAGTCAAGAAAAACAAATCCCATATAGCCCAAAACCATGATCTAACGTGAAAAAAAACAATGTCTAATACCCCCTTTCCCCCACCATTCAAGAACCAATATCACAATCCAAGACCAGAAGACCAAGGGACATTTCATTCATACTGAAGTCATTACAATACATGTTGAAGAAAAATTAGAAATTGTTGATAGCCAATTGATAGCCAATACTCATAACCTCAAAAATAGTTGTAGATACAAGTACTCATACAAGATAGAACATTCAATCTCAAATGATGTGGGATAGATAAAATCCAGTCTCCAAGTCCATAGGCGTTTCAAAGGGTCGACATCCATTCACAAAAGCCGTCGCCATAATCCATAAAACACAATAATTCACAATGGTCATCAGGAGAAAACCATAGCTGGTTTCGATCCCTATTTCTCAACCATTAATGCCATAGCCGGGATCCACCTCAAAAGGTGCCAAGTGAAAATATTGTGAGTTCATTGCCAATGTCTTAAACAATTCCTACATCATCTCAAGTGGTAAAACTTGAAACTTCGAAATTAATGATTTGTAATTTTTCAGCAAAGCCCAGAAAGACTTTCTTAAGCTACTACATTAGGGACCTCGTTTGGTCTTCATTACAGACAATAGTGGAAAGGAAGTATGTTTTCCAGACCTAGGTACCATTTTCGACCCTGTTTGGCAGTTATTTTACTGTATTTCATTGCAATCGACTCACATCATAGATACATGTGATGGATTAAATCAAGAACGTGATATATGAATAAGGATCTTAATACGAACAGAATAAACAGGGAAATGTAATTCAAGTAGCTATTGTATTAATAGTAAAAATAGTATCTACAATATAGAGTTAAACTACATTTATGTACTATCAAAAACTCATTGTATAGTACTTATATTGCAAATTGACACTCGTTTGTCAAGTGTTTTCAGCATAAGTAGATGACAAACACTATACAGAACATCATCAAAGATCGTGAGAAGAACATTGAATAGTATGTTCATATCAGTTCTTTGTTTTCATTAAGTAGGATCTCAAACTTGAATTATGTTTCTGATTGTCTCAATATCTTTCGACAATAAGCACTTAGCTACTTGTAAATAGTCCAGAAGTCTATGAGGGAGATCTTCCAGTTCGATACATCGTACAACTCTCCTTACTTCGTGTACCGTTGAGATTCATGTTAAATTGACAAAGTTCAAATAAGAATTTCTCAAATTGCAGCCCATCGATTTTCATAGTATTTCGGAGAGATATAGCGAAACATCTCACCTTCGTGGCAAAAATATCCCCCGAAAATCAAAAGTTCTGCTCTTTTACATAGTTGGAGTATCAAAACGTCATCATATTTATGTACATTGACCAATTCACCACTACCAAACACATCCATCCGCAGAAAATAATCCCAAATAAACAATTAATATCTGCTACGTGCATTATTCGCGAGAGTGCCACCCTCAGAATTTAAGGACGAACTCTTTTTCGAATTAAATCATATTTCTACTCGATACACCTAGACTAGCATGGGTGTAGCAAGGTGTGAAGCAGACTTGGTAAGTGCCCTACCAAAATTTTAATGAATATATTTATTCTGACGATTCTTCAACTAAAACTGAAAAAAGTCTAAACATAGTAGTTACCTCAGGGGGGAAGCGGGAGTCCAGCATGCTCCCATACTTGAAAAGCTTAGTAACGCGGTTACCCATATGATATATAAATTAGCAGAATTATATCAAAAATATTAATTCAAAATTAACCATGGGGTTTCAATAGAGCCTATGATATTAACCAAACAATTGTAAAAATTTAATAATTTAAAATTTGATTAAACAGAGGAATTAATGGAGCTATAGAGATAACAATAATTCAATAGTAAAATAATTGTTTTAAACTCAAATAAATTAATAGTTAATCATTAAAATGAGAGACAATTTTTATAGCAATTTAATTGTTTCAAACTCTATCATACAGAATTACTAAAAATAGCTGTCCGTTGAAATGGTTTAGTAAAGAGATAAATTATGTTAAAATAAAATAATTGTTTCAAACTCTATCGTCAAAAAATGCGGTTCACTATGCTATACATATATACACTATTATACAACTATATATACGATACAATTTCGAATTTTGATTACTTTTTTGTGGAGAAAGTTTTCCAAATATCTCCAATTTACCCTGACCCTGATAACTTTATTTCAGCAAAGGAGTACTTTATCGCGTGACATGATCATCAAATGGTGCTTCTCATTCCCTGCGTGGGGTCATTGTCTGGTCATGAGCATGGCATACGTGCAACTTTAAGATCGCTATCAGACATGGGTCTAAAGGAATATTAGATGTCATTGTGTATTCCCACAGTGCAAGGTAAATCAACGCGTGTATTGTGTCATTTTACCCCAAACTTTGACAAGCCGGCCGGTACACTTGAGAAAAACATCTTGTAAACACATGATGACATTGTATAAAATATGATGAGCATCGGTTTGTATTCACAATCTTTTAAAACATCAAGACTTAAACTCCTCTTCAAGCGATCCTCGCATTGCCAAGATAACGTCTTATATTAAAGATGGCTTTCGTAGGAAAATGGGAGTTGAGCGCAAGTGATAACTTAGATGCGTACCTAACAGCACTAGGTAAGTAATCAATTCACTTTCAGGATAGTGTATGGGAGCTAAATCGGGAAATCATTTTAGGTAATCTTGAAATGAATTGCACATCAGATAAAATATTATTGCCTATACCTTGACTATCGAAGACTGTAGATGGATCGAGCTCTAAATGGTAATATCAGCAGTTTTAGCTTTCAAACATACATCCCTAACCGTTTTGGGTTTCACGTCTGCATCTAGATCAATGTATATATTTTGAACAGTTTCGTGAATAGGTTCATTGTATAAAATTACATGGCACACGGAGCTTTTATTTGAATATTTCTGTTTTGTCTAATTATAATAGTCCATTTGTGACAAAAGTATAACTTTATTGTGTAAAATGTGAACATGAGTAAGATTTGGTTTAAAGTCATCTAAAAGACATAAAATCAGTAAAAATATTTTCAATGAAACTATATGCAAGGGTCGAATTGGCAAAGTATCAATTTCAATCTTCATAAAAATAATCTTCAAGATAATTTTTTATGATAGTCTCAGCTACTTGTCTGAAAGATAACAGCATTTTTGTTATACTATTGATAGGTTATACAAAATGTTTCATATTTAAAATGTAGGTGTCCCCGCTGGCAAACAGGCTGATATCAAAGCAGCTTTGGAGCCACCAGCAAAATCAACAGAGGAATATAGTTTAAGTGGAGATAGCCTGACAGTAAAGACTGTTACAACTGCCGGTGATGAGACCCACACGTATCAACTAGGAGCTCCAACTGATGACAACATTCTCACATGGGCAGCTGCCAAGGTAAAAATACTTTTATTTTGAAATTGAACCGAATATTTTATGCAATGCTCACTTCCTCTGTAGTTCACCACATTTTTCCCTTTCCTTCTTTATTTTGCTATTTTTAGTGAAATAAGTTACCAAAATAGAATGTATAATTCACATAAGCGATCTATAAATTGAAATAAAAACGAAGGTGTTTATGTTGCCTCTGGATTTCTTTCATTAAATGACATGTCGATGATGCCCTTACAGGTGAGAATAAAATTCTCATTTTGGTCTTATTCAAAAGTCTGGGTGACCTATTTTTCAATAAAGAGTTCATGTGGTATTCTAAAACAAAACTTTGTAAACTTTGTGAATCATGTGCTTTCTATATTAATACCTTACCGGAGGAACAGTAGCTTTTAAATGATCAGCCTCTCAGATGGTCCAACTTCCAAAGAAAATTTAATTATTAGATTTTTAATTACAATTTATCGCAAACATAATAACACGACTTTCTGGTTTACTTCCGATATTTGACGTTTTGTGACGGAGGTCTTTAGTTTAAGATCTTTTGAAAATTGTTCAGAACTCGAATAGATGGCAGAAGAGTGATTATAATTTTTAGGAAATACAATTTAAATCTATCCCGTTTTATATGGGGTTGAGTATACCAGCTTTTTATAATTAATCTGGAGATTTCAATATTTCGTATTGAATTGAATAAGAGCATTTTCCTGGGGAATTGAAATTATTGGAACTGCATTTATAGTCTATCCTATATCATTTGACACTTCTCTATCTTTTATGAGCACTACTAGTATCTACAGCTATTTCTGATGTTATGAGTATTTGCTATCAATTTCTTCAACATCTATTGCAATGACTTCAGTATGAATGAAATATTCCTTAGCTTTCGGGACCTGGATTGTGATATTGGCTCTTGATTGGAGGGGGGGTGTTTTACCTTAGATCATGCTTTGGATTCTTATGACCGTTTTACTACTTCGTTCGCTTTTCTTGCTACGTTTCTTTGCAGTCGTTGGTCCTCTCCCTTTGGCAATATAAAGATATCGTTATGTAGTCGTTTAAAATAAGGATTTAATGCATTTTCTGTAAGATAAGGTAATAAACTCTACCGTAATTGATGTTTTCGGGAATTTTAGGTTGTGTTCGAAGCCAAGGGAAACACATTGATAGAGACACAGAAAGGAGATTTTGGAGAGGCAGTTGTGGAAGCAACAGCAACTGGGAATACACTCACGGTGGTTAGTATTAACTTTGAATTAATACAATTCAAAACTAGCAGCATTCATATTCTTGTAGTGGATTAATCATAATGGACGCACTTTTATTTCTTCTATATAAACTGATATATTTATGTTTGCATTGTCGATCATGATATTAATACAAAATATGAACGAGATAAGGGGTACTCTCTAGCTCCAGTCAAGATGCTTCCTATTTTTATCTCTGATTTTGTTTATTCTAACGTTGACTTTGTGATGTCATTGCAGAAGCTAACTTCCAAGGGGGTCACAGCCACCAGGACATACACTAAGGTATAGGTGACCCCGACCTTGGGGTAAATGTTCGAAACTGATGCACGATCACTTGGACAATTATGAAGAGTTGTTGTTGATAGCCTTTGACATTTTAAGATATTTTATTGTTAATAAATGTATTGGTAAATTTAAGTATTTAAATATAATTTAATTGCTATACTTAGGACGACCTCATTACCTTTTAGTGGATGATATACTATAATATCATGCAGACACATGACATCTTCATAATAAGGCATTACTTTTTGGAAAGGGACATGATATAATTTGTGTGATATAACTTGATTGAATTTCCTAACCTGTAACTATTAAAGATAATCGTAGCCTAATTTGATAGACACAAAATTACATAACACCAAATGCAGTTTGGATCGTGTCAAAATGTTGTTAATTGTTTTCTTTTTTTATTAAGTCCATTATAACATTTATAAGTCAGTCAAAATTAAATGATATATCCAGATAAATATCAGAATATACATTGGAAGCAGAGATGTTTTGTCGACAACCCAATGTTTGAAGAATCTTCAATGATTTTGCACGAGGCACACTTTTGGTGACATTTTTGACATGCCTTGTTCGGCCTTTTAATGCAATTGGAGCATCTAAACAGGTTTTTCTTGACTCCAAGGCCATTGATCCCTTTGCAAAGTTTGCAAGTCCATAGAAACTCTGGAAATAAATTCATCAAATATAAACACGAAGTGGTAGTCTTAACTCATATTAACATTGACAAACAAACTCAGAATTATGAGAAAATGATTGGTTTATGTAAACTTGCTCATGAGTTGAGGTGAGGTTCCCAAGCAATTCTTTGTCTAATATTTGATGCATACAAATGCGACTTCCATTTCCAAAGTGATAGCTAGAATACAGATAAAAACCCACTTTTAAATGCAATTCTCAAGCTATTTCAATGAATCTTTCTATCAAAAGATGTCCCTCGATTTAATACTGTTTCACTTTAACTAGACTTCTACTGTACAAAATATGAGACATGAGCCTAATAGCGGGGTCAGATGTCATTTTTTTGTTCGGCTTTTTCAGGAAAGCAACAAACTTGGCACAGTTGTTTAATCATATGATCTGAGTAAAGAATGATTTCAGGGCAAGTGATTTGGGGTGGTCTTCATGGATTTTTTAGCCTCTGACCCCCCGCCCCTACCAGACTGGGAGGGGTATATTGTTAAAATTAAATAAAAATGGTTTTAAAGTATTTTTCTTTAAATGACTTCATTTGGTGATTGCTTTGAGCCTTGAAATTGTGTAAAACCCAATTAAGAAGTTGTCTGTAGCAAGAAAAACTCATTTTAACCCAATTATCTAAGAATAATTCGTTGCTTAAAGGGCCAAATACGGAACATCCAGTACTGTATTTCAAGAATGTGATGTCTGATAGTCCTGAAAAAATTCATAGTAGTAGAGGTTTAAGTGTTCATCACAGATAAAAAATATACCACGGGTGGCTCATGCATTTTTGAGAAAAAAATTCTCGAAATTTTAATTTTGAAGTGCATGCAGCTCAGGGGTAACCTTATTTTACCTTAATAATTTTTAAAACATGCAATGTATGCATCTCATATGAGGTCAAATTGATGCATAGAGTATTGTTTTGTCATATATTCCTAATAAGATGTAAAAAAATTATTGGAAATTTTTCAAAAATCCAAATTTTCATTTTCGCTTCTAAAAGGCCAGGGGTAACCATATTTTACCTTAACAATTTTCAAGATATGTAATATATGCATCTCAAATTAGGTCAAAATGGTGCATATAGCTTTGTTTTATCAGATTACCCTTGATTAGATGTAAAAAAATGATTTTACATTTCTTAAAAATCTAAATTTTCATTTTAGCTTATTGTGGCCTATGGGTAGCCATATTTTACTTTAATAATAATTTTCAAAGTACAAGACGTATGCATCTCAAATGAGCTTTAAAGGGTTTTTTAATCTTTTTTTGTCATATATTATTTCTAGGGAATGTAAAAAATGTTTGGAAATTTGAAAAAATGATATTTTCATATTAGGCCATGAGAATTAGATTCTCTGTTTTGCGTCCTGGCAAAATCCAAATCATGCAAGGGTACAAGGAAAACAAACACAAACTCAAGAAAAAACAAACTTGGTTGCTGAGAAATATATACATTTTATGGGCATTAAAAGGAATGATATACCAATTTGCAGTGATACAAACACAGATCTATACATTTATGCAATATATTTAAATATAGGTATTATTCAAGGGTAAAAATAAAAAAATACACAATGTATGCCCAAGTAATCAATAACACTGTCAATTTTGACGCACATCAATTTATCCGCCATTTCGTCTGATTCTGATTGAATGAAATGCGATGTTACTTTCAGACCCTTGTGGTTGCTATTTGGATGTGTTTGTTTTTTTCTGATTTACTCAAAATCATGCAAGCAAGGGGACGCAGAACAAAGAAACTAATTCTTACGGCCTTAGCTTTTGATGCCATTTTACCGTAATAATTAAATAAAGATATATCACACTTGTTACTCAAACGAGCTCAAAATGTTGATTATAGTCAAGTTTTGCAATTTATTCCTTCTGAAATAAGAAATAATGATTAAAAAAATTATACAAAATCTCAAAATCCATTTATTTATTTATATAAAGAATCACAACATCCATTTATTCCTTTTTAGTACCAGTAGCTCAATACTGTACTATAGTTTTATCGAACACTTTTCTAAGATTTGAAAATGTTTGACAGTCCAGTTTATACTGAGTAGTAGCATTGTTAAGATTCTGTGTATAATCATTTGAAAATATAATCCAAATCCATAAAACATAATCAAAACAGGTCAGGATTTATAGATTCTGACAGTCTTCCCTACGGCTACATAGCCCAGAGCAAATGAGATATGATTTCAAACGTTTGCATATGTTCCCTCAACACTCCTTAAACATCAAACAAGTCTTTTGCATGCCTCGGATGCAACATATTTTGTTATTATACAGATATCTGCCTCATAGGACCTACATTTTCATATGTTGTGGCCTCAGTGTCAGCAGTGGGAGTAGTCCAGGCACATTCATGTGGTGATAAAAACTGTGGGTTAGAATGCATCAGAATAACAAATGACTCTACAACTGCAATGTTTCTAAAAAAAGATTCAAAGTTTAAAAACAACTGCAATAGCTCTGGGTATACACCTTCATTCCTTCAAATCAGATGATTTAGAGAAGTAGTAGAATGCAAAGGTGACATATCAAATCCAGTGATTGCATGAAAAATTGGGAGGGCTAAACTTTGGTCATGGCCAAGTGGTCTTGTAATATTGTGGGCAGGTAGGTATTGGAAGGATTTCCCCTTACCATATGCAATCCAAATTGACATTTTCAGTTTTTCAGCACAAGTTGCCACCAGGATAAGCCACATCAAAATCAACTGTTAGGCAATGATTGCAGCAGTCTCTGGTATGGAGAAATATCCTTGATGGCACCTAAGACATTGCATTACTTGGTCACTATCATCTTGCCATGTTCTTGAGGGTTTCAGTGTTGATGCCTGGAAGGAGGACAGCTCCCTCTTGTTCCCACTACATCTTGGATTGCATTTGGTAAAAGAAAATCCATTCAATAACTATCTGTGCATGATATTGCAAGATCAATTGGCCATGACCAAAGTTTAGTCCTCCCCATTTTTCATTCAATCATTCTATGCGATGTCACATCTGCATTTAACTACTACTCTAAATCATCTGATTTGGAGGAATGGAAGGTGTACCCAGAGGTGATGCAAGTGTTCTTAAACCTTATATCTTTATATAATACTTCATTGATTTATCATTTTATATCTCAGTATGAATATATGAACATATGAATATGACAAAATGCCATATGGTAAAACGAGGCCACCTATAACCAGTCAAAAGCTGATCATTTTTTACATCTCCTTAGAAATGATATGACAAAACAAGATTATAAACACCATTTCAAGCTCATTTGAGATGCATATATGTAACATACATTGAAAATTATTATCTTAAGTATGGTTACCCCTGGGCTGTCAAAACATCAAATATAAAATTTAGATTTTTAGATATTAGATATTTAGAAATGTCAAATTATGTTTTTATATATTATTAGGGGAAATATGATAACAAGACTTCTGGTATATGAACCACTTTGAGCTCATTTTAGATGCATATGTAATACATTGCAAATTATTATGTTAAAAATATGGTCAAATAGAAAATTCAGATTTTTAAGAAATGTCCAGTAATTTTCTACATCTTATTTGGGGTATGATAAAACAAGACTATATGCACCATTTTGAGCTCATTTGAGATGCATATATTACATATCTTGAAAATTATTATGCTAAAATATGGTTACCCTTGGACCGTCTGAAGCTTAAATGAAAATTTAGAGTTTTAAGAATTATCAATCATTTTTCTACATCTTATTAGGGTTGATATGATAAAGAAAGACTAGATGCACCATATTGAGCTCATTTGAGATGGATATATTACATATTTTAAAAATTATTAAGGTATAATATGGTTACCCCTGGTCATTCAGAAGCGAAAATGAAAATTAAATTAAAAAAAATATTCCAATCTTTTTTTTACTTCTAATTAGCAATTTTATGACAAAACAAGACTAGATGCACCATTTTGAGCTCATTTGAGATGGATATATTACATATTTTAAAATTATTAAGGTACAATATGGTTACCCCTGGCCATTCAGAATCGAAAATGAAAATTTGAATTTTTTTTAATTCCAATCTTTTTTGTACATCTAATTAGCAATAATATGACAAAACAAGTCTAGAAGCACCATTCTGAGCTCATATGAGATGCATACATTGACTATCTTAAAAATTATTGAGGTAAGATAAGGTTACCCCTGAGCCAAATGCACCAAAAAATTGAAATTTCGATAATTTTTTTCTCTGAGAATACATCAGCTACCAAAGCAATATTTTCTATCTGCAATAAACACTTATACTTCTATTACTGTGAATTTTTTTAAGACTATCAGTCATCACATTCTTGAAATACAGTAATGGACGTCCCATATTTGGCCCTTTAAATAATGAATTTTTCCTGGATAATTGGGTTAAAATGTGTTTTCCTCACTAAATACCACTTCTAAAATGAGTTTTACATCATTTCAAGGCTCAAAGCAATCACCAAATGAAGTCATTTAAACAAAAATACTTTAAAACCATTTTTATTTATTTTTTATAATTTACCCCTCCCACCTGATAGGGGTGGGGGTCAGAGGTAAAAAAATCCATGAAGACCACCCCCAACCACTTGCCCTGAAATCATTTTCCACTCAAATTATATGTTTCTACAAATGTGCCAAGTTTGTTGCTCTCCTGAAAAAGCCGAACAAAGGGGTTATATCTGGACATCTGTCCCCGCTATAAAAGGTATTACCATCTTCGACATCACTGTGGCCGTTTTGCGTAATTCAAACATAGGGGCCGAAGTATTAGTAAAATTATGATAACTGGGGATTTAGGCTCATATTTAAAGCAAACTGAATTACAAAGAATGCTATTTTAACGTGTAGTGTCAGTATCACAAAAGTAAGACGAAGTAATTAGACATTGATATTGATTTTTACATTTGACTCCGTTAAATTCTAAACGAATTTGACGTTTAGCTCCTCTACTGCTGTAGTCCTTTTATTCGTAACTGTTGAGAAATTATGAAATAATGAAATGCAAACCTAAAATCCTCCAAGGCGCTACTTAAAGTTTAAACCATTTTAACGATGGCGAATTGGCGATATATTCATATGTTTGGAAAACAAAATGCGAACAAATGTTTTCAAATAGATCTCCAAAAAATCTTCATGTTTTAAAAAATATTCAAAAACAATAAAAATGTAAAGTTACTTTATTTAGGACCTTTACGTATACTAATCTCACCATCTTCCTTGTTACTCCTGGATTTACAATTTCCCATGTGTCTAAGAGATATTTCACTGTCAGTCTCACACGCCAGGTAATTCAGCATACACGGGTTGGTATGAGTGTGCCCTGGAGGGAGAAACAAGTCCTATATCACGTGAATGGGTGTGGCCAAAGTACACTAGATCTTACTCGATTGGAGTATTTTATACATACATGTAATATAAGAAAAAAACAGTTTCTAGATTTAAAGTAGCCTAATTCTGAATGCGGGATTCGAACCACGGCCCTCTCATTTTACCATAAATTCTCGTATAGATTTAAAAACTAAATGTGCTTTACCATCCGTCCCACATGCAGGGTCCCAATGGCGTGTACATGGGATGGCACATCTACATTTAGGCTCGCCTGCATTATTGACGACACACGTTCTGGGTTTTACACATGATTTAAGCAAACATGGGTCTAAAATAAAAGGATTGCAGGTAAATAATGCCTCGAGTTTACAATATATTATGTACCACGATTTTTTCATGTGTTAGTATATCCTTCGGCGGGTAAACCTTTAGAGATTTGATGAGTGAATGTATATAATATATATACACTCATCAAATCTCTAAAGGTCTATTGATGTGTTTTTAATCTGATCTGAAAGAATGTGATTTATTTGTTGGGATATCCTAATCTGTGGAGCTACCATGTTTCTTGTTAGAAGGTAACAGAAATCTTATCTAGAGTTTAAGTTTGACTGAAATTATTTCACCGGGTTACAATACATCACGAGATGTTATCAGATAGGAATATACTAGGGTTCAGAGATGACCATAATTTGAATGGGCATTTGTATATCATCGTTACTGATTGGTCAAATGGCATAGGAGCAGACGTAAACAAAATGGCGGATTAAATATTTCATAAAAGAGCTCCGAATAACATTTTGTTAATTTCTGGCGTGTTCACCTAGATTAAAGCATGATATTCCCCATGACGATGGAGAAAGATGGAAGGAATATGTTTACATTGATGAAAACATCAAATATGTATTGTTGTGACAACCTAGATGAGGGAAATTCTGAAAACGAAAATGGGAAGCAAAAGAGACTCGGGTAATTAGGAGTTCATTTCTAAGCTGGTGTGTTTTCCCTCCTCTTTATCGTTGATGCTGCGATGAGGTGGTCCATAGAAATTAAATTACAATGGATATAGTCTCATTACATACCCCTGGTTTTACATCTCCCACCATACAAATACTTGACGTCATCCTTTTGTTCTTCACACGTGATATATTTCATCATACATCTTGTGTGATACGTTCGCCAATCAGAACCGCACACTGGGTCATAAATACGTGGGCACACAATATCACAGACGCATCGCTCGAAACCTGCTTCATCGATCTTACATGTTCGCGGATATTTACATTGAAGCGTTGTGCATTGGCCTCCTACAAAAATAATTAAATAACTTAGAAGTAATTCAGTCAAAACTGGATGGGTCACCTGAAGTGGATCCTGCGGAAATCTGGTCAATGTGTAAAGTATCACGATTCTGTTTTGAGATCGAAGTTCTGAATTTCAATTTTTTCTAGTAAGTGGTTGTGCCCTGTTGACATCGCGTATTTCGTGATACTCAAGGTTTTGGCATTACCCCAGAGGTGGCTCAAGACAAAATAATATTCCACTATTCCAAACCGACACTGATTTTAACTTTTAGTCTGGGGACGAGTTCAAACGGAACATCGCATTGTGAGAGCATTGAGAGAAGATACATAAGCTGATTTCTCTCATTCCTTTGATTGAAAACTGAAAACATTACGTACGAGCATTTCCTAATAATTCTAGATTTATTCAATTCTAAATGAGAATCGCATATACTTAATGTCACTAGATACATTTTCATTTTTAGATTAAAAGTATTTATTAGCTATAGTGACTCAAGGCCTATATATTCCACCTGTATGTTCGAACAGCCCTGTGGTCTGAACACCTCTCAATGTGAACACATTGCGTCGGCCCTAATGCTCACATCTCCCATTGACTCAATACTAAAAACTTGAAATGCGAATACTTATCCGAACACCTTTTTGCCGAACAAATGGCGACCGGACTAGTGTTTTATTGGATATTAAACAACCTGATTAAGTGATCATAATTTCGACAATTACTAATACATCAATCAAATGGTTAGAAATACAAGTCTATGATATTCAAACACGTAGTAACTACCAAGTCAAGCTTATCCAGGTAAACGATGATGATGTCGTGATGATTAATTAGAGAATATGCACATATCAATAACTGTAAAAAATCAATCAAACAAATGAAAAGAAAATGGGAATATTAATTACAACAACGACATAGATAATGAATTATAAATCGAAAAATATGAAAAGAACGATAATTTAGTGAGAATGATGTAAACAATGCAAATGGAAAAGCGGGGAATAATGCAATTTCGATGAAGTACAGTTTAGTTATATATAGATTGTACTTACCTACATTTCTAGATAAACATATAATAGCGCAAAGCCATACCAACCACACATCTAAAACAGTAATTCAAATTATACAAAGTTTCTTTAAGCAGTTATTGGAACGAAGTACGAATATCTTAGGATGTAATCTTTCCCTAGAACTTAAAAAACAGGATGAAAAATTGATCTTGAAAATTAATCTTTCAGTTATTTAGAATTGTAATTTATATCACACTATATATTAAAATGGTTGCTTCAGTTATGCCAGATCGGACGATATCAGATTTTATCGTATGATCTGTAAAATGAAGCCTTCTGATTGGTCAGTTCTTGTGCTGTACCAATCTGTATTGCTACTGAGATTGTCCCCATTGATCATCTCCGTCGCAATACAGAAAATATTGGTACGGAGGGAACAATCTCATTAACAATACAGAGGATCACGTGATAAAAACGTTAGTGAATGATTTGAAGTACAATACAGGATATATTCTGTCTCGATGTTCTGAATTTGCACTCGACTTCGTCTCGTTCCAATACGGAATTTCTCGAGCAGAATATATCCTGTATTGTACTTCAAATCATTCAATAACTTATATTATAAGTTATTGAATTATTTGAAGTACAATACAGGATATATTCTGCTCGAGAAATTCCGTATTGGAACGAGACGTAGTCGAGTGCCAATACAGAATATCGAGACAGAATATATCCTGTATTGAACTTCAAAATATTCAATAACGTTTTTATCGTGTGATCCTCTGTATTGCTACTGAGATTGTCCTCTCCGTACCAATATTTTCTGTATTGCGACGGAGTTGATCAACGGGGACAATCTCAGTAGCAATACAGATTGGTACAGCACAAGAACTGACCAATCAGAAGGCTTCATTTTACAGATCATACGATGATATTATATATTCACTATCTAGCTAGCGACAGTATGATTGGTCAAAACCGGGTCACATGTCTTGGGATATCTGGCGATATTCAATGGCAATGCTAATCAGATAAGACAACCGTGAGATATCTAGCGATATCCCACGCTCCCGGGAATTTTCAAAGAATTTGTTTTAGTTCAGTGTCAGTCAAAATGGCAGACGAACCGAGTAGATTCGTAAAAAATCTGAAGACTTAATGACTTAACAATATTAGGGATGTTTAGCTAGACAGTGATATAATAAAACAAATATTTCACTTTATTTTCGGCGAATACCTGAAGCACTTTCACAAGGTGATATTCCACTTGCCCTTCGGGCTTCGTGGAATATCACTTGTGAAAGATGTACAGGTATTCACCTCAATAGAGTGAAATATTTGTTCAATGTTTGTCATGTGTAAAATGTCCACTATTAGGGAGAACTTAATGAAGTTAGGAATTATTGTTCGTAAACATGCATATAATGACGTCACTAAAACAAAAATAAGCTTCTTATGTACTACGTAATTCTCTATTTAACAAATAATCTGTTACTGAGCCCTTTAAAAACGAATCTTCTTGATCTTCGGAAATAATTCAAAAAATGGTAACGACAGAAATCCGTAGACGTGAAACATATTTTTTTACATCAAAAGAGCCTCACTGTTTGCGCAACTGAACACTCTATCTATGCTTGTAAATTCAAAATAGGTTTCCACCAAGCACCAAACTAAATATTTATTATACAGCCATTCTTCCATAATATGCTTATTCGCTGTTATTGATCCCGCTATAGAAACAATATGACTACAGCAAGAAGCAATATTTATGAGTATGTTCTTGTACAATTCGTTATCACCGAAGCGTATCATGATACTATAATTGGTACCGTTCCTGTATTAGTTATGGTTAGGATTACCCATTATTATAACCATTAAAATATCGTAAAAAACCTATTGATAGGCCAAGACCTTTAGATAATCAGGAGTCCGTTTTTGTACCGTTCGTAGTAACGAACGTTCGCAATTCGTAAATTCGTAAATATTTAAAAAGTTACGAATGAGTTATGAATTCGTAAAGTTGCGAATGGATCATTTTTGTACGCTTTCGTAAGTCATTCGTAACTTTCCAATTGTTTAGAGTAAGATTTACGAATTGGTTGACGTCATATTCCACACTTGTCAGGACAGATAGAACAACAAACAGGGTTGATCAAAACAATAAAACCAAAGTCATACAATATGAACTTTATAAAAATAAAGATTCCATGAAAAGTACTAAAATAGATATAGAAATAGGTTGATAATACGTTGATAACTGTGTTGCCCTTTGTGTTCTCTGATTTAGAATGACAAAACGTCACAAATCACAATATAAATGAATAAATAAGAGGCCGTTCGCAAAGTTACGAAAGGGTCAGAGGTGGTATTAAATCTACGAACGAAAACAGGCATGACGTCACTATTTTCGTGAATTTACGAATCGTTCGTAACTTTACGAATCTTACGAAAATGCAACTTTGCGAAATTCGCAAATTAAACAATGGACTTACGAACGTTCGTTACTACGAACGGTACAAAAACGGGGCCCTGGTTAGTAAATTATTACACATATAATGATTATTTCTTTAGGCTTGGCATGAACATGTATATATAAATATGTCGTTTGCAAAATACAACAGACACCAGAGGTCGCTACTAACCAATCGAAATGTTCCTTATTTGAAAAATGAATTAAAAACAAATGATCTTACCTTGAATACTCCTAACCCCAAGGGCTTTCATATCTGCAGATACATTTAATATTCATTGTTTACTGCTTGGCCTATAACATTAATATCACGTTCACTGTGAATCTGTTCTGATTTATCTGGCATTTGTTAGTTGGGTTTGAAGGATATGTCCGTTCAAGCGGAACGCAAAATACTACTTTGATTTATTTGTAGATTAATTGAATGTAAAACAAAAGTCAACCTTATTGATCTTTGGATTGATTGATAATAACACCTTTATATTTGATGTGTTGTGATGTTCTTGATGAACAATACATCGAATGCGCTAAATTTCCCTATGATGTGCAAGTTGTATTCATTATCCATATGTACGGTGGGCCAAAAATGCCATATATTTAAATTGGAAGTAAATTTTAAACGGGCATGAATGTATAAAACACAAAGCAAACACGAGATCTCATTTGCGATAATATGGGAATTGGGAATGTGGCAACGGAAAATATTTGGAAGCATTTCTTCCTTAAAGTGTCTCACATATTCGATCAAAATTTGCCATGCAAACATGTTAGTCTACTTTACTGGCCCCCCTTGCTGTAACAAGGAACCCAAAACACATTAAAACGTAAACCTAAACCAATTAGTCACTTCACTATGAAAGTGAGGGGTGTACGCTGTGTGCATGGACTAACACAATATCAGTGGTCATTTACTGTGTCAACTTAGTAACCCTTGCATATCGTGCTCACTCAAGTATTGAATAATTTTTTTATGATCCAAATGTTTGTGGTTTATAAAAAAAAGTGATATGTTTTAGTTAGAAATACATTAATTAATATATTCATTCAAACAGCACTAGAATGCGGGAAGGAAGAGCAATGGTGACAGAATGCAGACAGAATTTTCCGTAAGGGTTTCAAACATTTCTAAACACAATCATTCATGTACTTCATGTGTACTGTTATTTTTAGTGCTATATTTATAGATATAATTTCACGTATTAAAATCATATTTTCCAGCAATGACTTCAAATTCGGAACCACACCCATATTACATTTTCTTCAATAACTCCAAACATGTGTAAACATTGACCATGTGCATATAAATTCAGATTTCACGAGCTCTTTCCTATTCGAGTACCTCATACACCCCTGCATGGATTTGAGTTGGATTCGCCTTTTATACGTGAGCCGACACACTCGCAAACGCTGATTGGATAAAGATTGCGAGAATCTTTAACTGCAAATGGGAGAATTCTATGTAGATTGATGCCTTCTTTTCGAAAAATAACCTTGACATATCAATAACACTTTTAAAGCGATACAATTATTGAGATCATGACAAACTAGTTGACGGCTAACATCGATCGGGATTCAACTTGGCAGCTGCATTATATACTGACTTTGTACATAGGCTATCATTTGATATCCTATATGCTAAATTGTGACTGCATCTGATAGCGTTTATAAAGCATAAAATATAACAAATAAATAAATGCATAGTTGTTTTTATTTTACAATTGCCAATCTAAGAGCAAGAAAGTAGTATCGACTATGAAATAAATATGAATGAAAGAATGTACAATCCCTGCGAATATGCAGTTCGTCAATATACAGGTAAAGTGATTTTAAACACAGTTAAAAGTATTGAAAGAAAACTTCCATGTACTTCTCTAAAATAAAATGATGTTGAACAATGTCAATAGCCAATTATATTTAACTGTCAGTAATTTGGTGATATCTAATCTTTGTCTTTAATATCAGTTTCCAGATATTGTAACCTGTATACTTATAATCCTGATTCTTTTCATTTATAGTTTGTGAATAGGTTCCAATACAAGATAGTGCATTTCTAGAAGCGTATTATACATAAGTCCGGTTTAACGCGTCCATTTTCGTTTCTTCTGTTCCATTTTCCAATTCCGTACAATGTAAACACAATACATGTACACAACTCCAATATATCCATGAGTTGATACTTTTACCAATATTACAATAAACATCGGCAGAAAGTACTTGTTGAGCAATATTACAGTTATTGAATAAAATATAGGTAAATAAATGATGGATAGACGGATTCCGTGATATTCAGTCCATGCTATAGATTACTTATAAAAAAAGTTTTGTAGTTATTTTTAGATGACGCCCTCTTTTTAAGAAATTTGCTAGAAAACAAACTTTTGATGTTGTTTAAGGCCTCTAGCTTGACAACTTATTTTACATCTGAACATGATACACGTAACGTAATATAGTGCACTTCATTAAGTTGCAAAAGGCAGTGATTATTCTAAAAACATATTTTACGTTTCAGCACTCTCCATATGTGAAAGAAGTATTTGATTGAAAAGGTTTTGGGATTATCTTGTTTACACAACGTTTTTTCTATACCATGAACTGTCATCACACCTTTTGTCCTCTAGCCTATGAGATCTATGTTGCCTGTTTTTTGGACAGTAGGACGGCACGAGAAATACAAAACACCATGTGCCGTACTACTGATTCAAACGGGAGAATGTCTATTCCTGGTCCTTAAAGGTATCAACCTTCGATCTAAAAATAAAATCATAGAATGGGTGAGAATTGGAAGGATAATGTATTCAAAACTGTATGATATAAATGTATATGTTTAGATTAGAACCTAACCCTGGTTTATTTGTTCAATCATCATCGTATGGTATGTCATTGTAAGTTAGGTTACACCAGCATGTTTTAAAGTTTTGTTTAATTTGAATATTATTGCAATTTATCAATCGTTAAACTTACTTCTTTTTGTTGATCTTGATGTACAAAAACGCCGCACCTACTCCAAGAACTATGACGAGGACGGCCATAGCCCCCATGATTGGTCCTGCCCAGCTCGGTAAGCTGTCTGTCTGCGCTTGAGGGCAAGCTATAAAATCATATGGTTGATATACGTTTGTATTTAGGACTTGACGGATTTAGAGTATTGAACTTAGTGTATGAAGACTTCTTCAAATCCATAATATTACACTCCTCTCTATAAGTTTGGACAAACTGTTCCTTCAGATAACTACATAAAGTCTGTTAATGGTTGGGGGATTTTACAAACTCAACAAAATCATAGATTGTAACTATCGAGCAAAATTAAGCTAGAAACATCAAATGGCTTAGATATCCAATTCAATTAAAACTTTGGGTTGCCAAACTCAGAGAATGTACATTTGTATTGATGAATAATAAGTTTTCATGCATGGAATAAAACTTCTTTTAATGTACACCACTACTACTTTTGTCTCCCAAGTTAACCTCTTGAATACCAGCCTCCAAAAAGGGTTTGAAAACAGAGCATTTTTCATTTTTTTGCCAGTTTTGTGGATATTTACATCAAAAAACACAATGTTTGATATTTGATTTCATATGAATAGTAGACCAATAACGTACATTTTAAAACATGATTCGTGAAGATTGGATAAAAATTGCCAAAGTAAGGGCAGTTTTAGTGAAAATCCTGTCGCTCTAAATTCCAAATGCATTTCATTTGTGACAAATATATCCGTCATTTCAGGTATTTAAGAGGTTAAGATGTAAAACCTAGTTACAAACGACATCAGATTAACATACTCGGTGATCGTGACCATGATGAATCAGTATTGGACGGGTCACATATCTGGCATTCGTTGTCTGGGTTCATATCATTCGTAGCAAAACAGTAACCTTGGATCATGCACGACCCAGGCTGAAAGGAAAGAATAAAATTGTGTTTTTGCCACATTTCTAATATTTGTTTTATACGCTTGATTGTAGATTTTTTCACTGTTCAGCCAGGTGTTCAATAAAATTTTACACTGAATTGAAAGGCTGCACTGTAAAATATCAACTTTTACAAGGTAGTATCACATGATCCTCATCATTAACAGTACTTACCTGCATGTAGCATGCACCGTTTGCAGTACAGTTCTGGCATCGGCCATCGTATCTCACATAGAGCATGGGATTGCTGAAGGTGGAGCCATCGTTGCTCACAGAAAGCGTGTAACCTTCGGAAGCTGAGTCTATATACAGAATAGAATAAAGACTTGTAACTATATGATAAATGATTGTCTATATCGTATGTTGTGAATGGATACATTCAAAAAAAATTCATGATCGGATCAGGAAAATGGGATTTTGATAGAAATGTTGATGCGACCTTGACCAAAATTCACATTAATATTTGATAATAGTAATTGTTCTTTTCCTAGATGCATCAATTTATAAGGACACCTGTAGAATTATCGGAGCTCCTTTTCTTCCTCCTGGCGGTCTCAAATGGGCAGGACACTTCAGCGAATGATTCAAAGTCTGCCTGTACTGTCAAGGGAGATCCAACTGCTTCAAATGACCCATCTTCTATCTGAATTATATAAATGTTTGTTTAGTAAGTGGTTTAGTATTATGCAGTAGTACCGTAGTAAAACTCATTTCTTTTATCCGTTGTTAAGAAAAATAGATAACCCTCACCTATTGTAAGGTAAATGAAAAGTACGAAAATCTAGTAGAAAAGTAGAATTCGAAGTCCTTCTAGTTCTTATTATGAGTACTTACATAATCAAACAATTACCGAGAACACAACAGCTTCGAGGTATTATAATTCATCTTACCTTAACTCTCTGTATACGGCATTTCAGATTTGATTTCTGCAAGAAACCATCACCGTAGATGACGACATCTTTACACGGCCTGGAACGAATATCACATTTGCCCTCTCGAGGTATAAACAGTGCGGTCGGTGGCAGATTGGCGTCCTGGGAACAGTCCGCTCCAGTCCAGCCATTGTTGCAATCACATTCACCTTAAAAGTAAATTAACTTTGATATCAGATCATTCTTTGAAAATTGACCTTTTTCTGAAAAGTACGAGTATATATAATAACATTCTGTTGATTCCGGAGTTGCTTAGTAAGACTTTAAATTTCGAATCCAAGATCTTACAGTGCCTCGCAGATAGATATGGAAGTTATTCTCTGAAATGTTTTCTGGTTATACAATGTTTGAAACGAATCCCTGCAACTATGTTGACCATACCTTGTTCGCATTTTCCTTTGCCACTACAGTCATTCAAACAAAGCTCTACTGCAGGTCTATTGTCAATGAAAGTGTCCGCAGCTTTTTTAGCTTCGTTCTCACACTTTTCTTTGAAGCCTTCCAATGCAGCATTCGCCCAATCAGTGTTGTCCGCAAGCTGTCGATAATTAATTAAAACTGTTGCGTAAGTTATTAATTCCGTGGTCACATTTGCTCCGATTCATCGGCCGGCGCCCGGTCGATTAAAGTGTTTTGTTCAAAAACTGAATACCAGTTTGAACAAAATACTCAATGGACCGGACACCGGCAGATGAAACGGAGCAAGTGTGACTCAGGCAAAATCAATTATACTTTCAAATGTACGAGTACAATGCCAAAAACAGAACCTCTATTGAAATATATAAGTGACACACAAACTTTATAGATTATTCAGCAATTTAGTATTACAAGTATATCTGTCATGCAGGTGTCGATATCGTCCTGTTCTTCGAGATCATCAGTAACGTTAGCGTTGACACATTGTTGGAAGGCTGATGACTGAAGTAGGAAGTCTTCGCAGAATTTACGGGCTTCTTCCTCTGTCCATCCACCCGGTGTCGGCCATTCGGGCATATCCTAGAGCAGAATGATAAAGAAATTCAGAATAAATCGATATGATTAAACACAGGGAGATCATCCGACTCGAACCCACGTTGTCCTTGCCAAGCTTAATGTGCAAGCACCATGGACAACTTTATAGGCTATGATCTTAAATAAGTAGAGTCTATCATACAGTAAAGGAATTCGAAAAACAAACAAACATAATATAACATGGCAGACCCTAGCTGTCTCTGTTGTTCCTGAAAATTATTGATCAGACATACGAGGTCCATCACCATATTTAAACAGCACCCCCTTTGTCGTTATCCATCCAAACTCTCTTACAAACGGCAGATAAGATGGACTCTGTATACCCGAATGGACGAGGTCAAGTTGATTTGATATTTTCAAAATGTTAAATTTACAAATGAATACATACGCCTTCGAAATCTTCATCAAATGTGAACGCAGCGTCATCGTCGTCATCCTTATCACTTGGTTGCGTCTTCTTGAATAGATGTTCAGTGAGTTTTTGAGATGTGATATCTGTTCCAACAATCTGACATCTTTCTACGTCACTGTTCATGTTACATTGTAGCTGATCGGCGGCGCCCTTGATCTTGATACAGTCGCAGTATTCATATCTGAAAGTGCAAACATAATTACAGAAAACATGTTTACTTGTATGTTGTATGTGTAAAATTGAAAGAGCCTTTTTATTATGCATTTAGACGATCTAAAGTAATAAGCGTAAGTGTCAAAAGAGGGAAGCGTTTAATGTTACAATTTCGTATGACATCAAGAAAGGGAAACAGCTAAAGCACAATCAGTCCGATGATCATGACGAAATTAAACCTTAGTATCCCAAAGTATTCTAGCGTTCAAAGAAACAATGTCTCGCATTTATTAAAGGAAACAAAGGAAAAATGTGAAACATTAAAATACTAAGTTCATTTTGTCATCGAGAATACTTCAAATGAACTAACAGGTAATGTACTGCTGAATATTATATGATTACGTACTGTTGATAAGGTGGTTGGTTTGGCGCACGTCCATTGTACAAACTCTCGTCTTCCCTCACGCGCCATTCAACAGAGAAAGGTTTCGGTTGGCCACCATGGTTCGATCCTTTGCCGGTGTACACCCTACCATTCCTAAGAGTCAGATCATCTGTTTTGTTCTTGTTGTATATGCCACAAAGACCTTGAAGAACATAACTACGTCGAAATTTGGATGCGAAAAGTATAAATAAAGTTGACATTTGATTATTAGACTTTGCTTTGAGCCATATTACAAACACAAATAGATGGTTGAATTCAAAACACAAATGAAAGGTTGAATTCACACGAATGTATCAAACGTTTTGAATCGAAGATTTTTTATTCATAATATGTGTACCTATTGTATTGTCGATGTCATCGGGCGACGGGTAGACGTAGGCGTTCAGAAACTGTCCGTACTTGTTACCATGCGCGAGCTGAATCCTCACGTAAGCACCATGTGGAAAATGAATCTAAAATGTTTGACATCTTAAGAAAAGAACAATTCAATAATAACAGTAGAAATGTTAAATTTATTTTTCAAACATTTTAAAATGATCAATACCTCGCCAATAATTTTTCCAACAGGTTTTCCCCACTTACTTCATAGGTATTTCCATTACTTTTCCGAAATATCTTGAAACCCGGAGTTATGATTTCATCCCAGTTGGTAGCGACTTTCGTTCTGAGATAATTGTAGTCCTTGACATCATTGGTGCCCCATACAGACACCCCATTTATAGTGTTGCATCTATCAACAATGATGACGTCATCCCCTGCGCGTGCAGCTATTGCACAGTTACATGTTGCAAAATTATTGCATCTTTTGTAGAAAGCATGAACTTCAAACGGAAAGTCTGGATTTGTGTTACGGTACAGAACAAATTCGCCTTCGTAAAAGTTGTGGTAGTAGCTAAAATGAAAATCAAATTATTGACATTTTGGATATATTATTTTTAATATAAAATTCAACAAAATACATGCATTTCGATTTTATTCAAAGGCTACATGTTGTAGTCAAGTTTGTACACATCTTTTAATCCACATTCCTTCTAAATTATTTGTATTGCTGTACTTACTGTCCATCGAATGTAGTCATATGTGGATCGTTCTGAGATTTACACATCGCTTTCTTGTCCTGAAAATCTTCTGCTTTCACTTGGAAAGAGGGGAGTTGGTAACCATTCCATATTTCCTGTACGAGAGACTTAATAGGACTAAAGTCAATGAATTTAACTCTAACACCATCGTACATGAAATCTCGCGTGGCTTTGATGGCGATACGTTGCGTGATTTGCCAATTATCAGGAGTAAAGGTGGCGCCACATGTACCAAATTTGATCTGCTCAATGACCCTTCCGTCTGGACATTTCAGTTTGTTTCTTCCATTGTCATTCGCATCGTTACTGTTCTCCACAGTCACTGTCACCTACATATTAATATATAATAGAGGAGAACGATAAAATTGGAGATTTTACAAAATATTTACAAACATAATAAGTTAGACTACTTGTTATTTCATTTGATCGATTGTCTCAGTTGAATGAACTTTGCTTTAACATGCTTATTCTTTGAAATAAAAAAAATTATAAAAAAACAAAACTTTGCGGCAAGGTGATATAAAGAAACTATATGATAAAAGGATTGTGATTGATCTACGTTAGTGGAAAATATTGAATCTAAATGTTCAAACCTTGCACTGTTTTCTCTGTTCTTTATCAGAGAGCATGCTAAAGTAGAGTGAGTTACAGACGATGGGTATGGTTGAAGTCAATTCGAGGTACTGCGTTTGGGCGTCTTCAGAAACGTCAACTTCCTTGCGTTCTTCATCTATCCCAGTGATCTACAAATAATACGTCGAAACATCGATGTTATACCACGTTAAACAGACGTTTTCAAAAATGACAGATTATGATATCAAGACATATCTGCTTAATTACTTAAAGCAGCTTTATCTTACAGTTTATGTAAAGATGTATTTAATTTTAGGTTTGTTGGTTTATTTTGACTTGCACTGTACCTTGATGCCCATGTAGTAGCCTGGGCTGCTCGCTTTGGCGCCATATATGGACTTGTGTGTATACCTCGCACGTACTTTGCAGTACAACTTAATGGAAAACAATGTATTTAACTGTTCGGCATTTCAAATGTTTCCAGTTGCTAGTACTATTCACATTGAGGTCAGTTTTCCTGTTTACTCATTATAAAAACTATGATCTTGTCTGCTGTTTTCCGATTCTGTGGTACTCACAACTCTACCCATTGGTTTCTATTTACACGATTTCAATATATTTTTGAATTTTGGATTTATATTGCGTTACTCTATGTATATTACTACATGTTAAATGAAGTTTCAGGTTTATTACTCACAATTTTCCCCATTGGTGTTTCACCATTGAACCTAAGCTGGTTTTCCGTCAACGTTGCATACTCATAGCCATACTGAATGTCCTGGTAATAGATCTTCTGACGGTTGGTGAACCATTCGACGCGATGAATCTTATTTGATTGAGTGTTGTCGTCAAGGTAACAACGGAACTCTATCTTGTCGTTAACAACGTCCATTGTTAGCGAGGGCTTCTTTGGTCGAGGAGGGATATCTAGGCGGATGTGTTATAATGTTATGCATGAATAGGTACCAAATAAAGTGAAACCATTAGTGTTTGCATGAGACTATACTAACAAGTACATATAAGATTATGAATTTTTGATATATATTTACCTTTATCACAAGGGGTGAATCCCGTGGGTGACCCAGTTCCAGCGGGGCATTCCACTTCAGAGCCAGCACAATATGCCATGTCACATGTCTTGGTTGGTTGAAGGTGGTATACAGGGCCCTCATTACACATTTTAACCTGGAAAAAACCACTGTATGAAACTAACGGCAAGAACATGCAATTGTAACCGCCTGCCATTTGTTGCATACGCTGACCATCGGATGCCGAACACTGTCGATAAAAAGGTGGCTACATGTTGTAACAACATGTCACTACTTCTGATGGTAACATAGAATTCACTGTATAAAATCGTGATATGATCAACCAAAACTACATTTATATTATAAACCTATAACTAAACTAAACTAAACTATAAATTGATATCTCACCTCCATGTCAATTGGAACAGCGTTACATATACCAGCTACAGATGCATACGCCGTTCTCGGATATATAAAGCCATCTCTTGGCGGATGAGGGCCTGTAATGGTATGAGCATCAGTAAAATTGATACACCTGTCTCAAGTTGGTGAAACTAATGACGTGTACCAGTGTGTGCATTAAAATAAACATAAACGCAATCCCCAAATATCCGAAGTATGGTCAAATGATTAAAAAACTATTTGATTGTATCGTTTCAAATTATATTACCGTCCATCCATATCGGATTGGTTGTTCCACAATGGCTTTCTTTTGGGCAACTCTCTGGGACATACGACCCTGCGCCACTTACGAACATGTACCATCCTTTCTGCAGCGTCCTGTCGCAGCGTTTGGACAATCCTGTACTATCATAACCAGTGCTACGATCTGGTTCGTCCAAAAGTCGATAATTACCCTCTAAACAGGGATCGAAATCGGCTAAAAATATAATCCAATTGATAAATCGAAAAATAAGAGATTGAAATAAGTTGTTTCTAAAAAAGTATCATTGTAGATTATTTATAATTTGTATTTTTCGAATATTCGTCCTATGACTAATTATGTCACATGTAAATCTTTTAAATAAAACCTAAATTAATTTAGACTTAATTTATATTTCATAAATGATTAAATAAAATAGAGACAAAAAATAAGTTCCAATTTATATACCTTGTGCTAATACAACCCCAATAATGCATCCAATGCATCCAAAGAGGAGGAAAAACTTCATGACTTTTTATCGATGTTCTTCCCTCGATGTCTCCTTTAACGAATGTCCGGTCCCGAGGGACTCCAAACGTTTTAGGTACCTCGTTTCTGACCCTAGTGACGCATAAAAAATTCCAGCTTCCTCATACGTTGCCCCACTCATGATTTCCTCTTTAGAATAACGCGGATGTTAAGTAGCCTAACAATAGTGCATGATATAGATCATTTAAGACAATGGGCTCTCGTCCACTTGCAAATGACGTATTGACGACAAAAATCGCAGTTTTACATGACACGGACTTAACATTACTAAATCAAGTTTTATGAGAAATATCAGTTTCTATTATTACCTTTTGCAAATGTTTTATATCTCGAAAAGAGGGTATCATCGACAGCTTAAAGTGTGACTTAATTCTTTAATTGTGCATACTTTACTACGTAATCTTATCTAAAACTTTACGTCCTTATTTGTAAAGTCTTGTTATTTACTAGACATAGCTGGCTTTTGAAAAAATGATTTGAATAAAAGCCCACGAAAATCTCATTGGCACCAAAACCCCAAATGATATCCTCAGAGAGTAGAGAACATTCGTAATATCCAGGGTTTGGAAATAATTCTAAAACCCTTTGTACTGTATATGATGCATTACATAATTTTCCGTAACCACATACGTATCAGTCTGTGATATTGTGGATTGCTCAATTGACTTAGTCGATCTTAAATTAAATGAGAAAATAACGTCGTTAATGTATCTTTAATTATGTAACAGTTTTGGCTTTTCTTGATGTGTCAACATGGTCAATCCCAACATCGACAGATATTAGTATATCAGTCAAAGATCAATAAAATTGATCGATATATACATACAATTATGGATTGAAATGTGTATAATTTGTGTATTGTGTATAATATCATTAGAACAGTAAAATGGCAAAAAATGATTTTTGTATACACAAATTATTACATCAGACATTTTGTTAAAGCAAAGTTCAATTTTTGTTCATGTTTGATTTTGATTTATGTGAATTACTTTAAAACAAAAGATCGTTTTCGATGGGGGTCGGGGGTAAAGTAAACAATAGTAACATATAATATCGGTTTAATCTTAACAACATATAATGATTTGATGAGTATTGCATTTTGATTGTTGTTGCTACACTACAAGTGATCATATACTGTAACAGATGAATGTACTTAAGAGACCTCTCGAAACTCTTAACTCTTAATAATGATTGGCTCCAAGCATTTTTTCGCGATCCTCTTTTCACTAGCATGGACCAATTAGGTTATAATATTCATATTCAGGTCAACTTAGTCGGGAAATGAACATTATAGTACTTGCATCAAAGGGATATCGCGAAATAATGCAGGGGGAAATCCTACTTGACTATCACAATGACATCAGTCTTCGATAGACAACACGCTGTAGAGTAACTAGCTATGAAATTTAATGCTATTTTGAAAACATAAATGCCAAATCATGATACAAATATAACAATGATTTCAAAGATGAAATAACATGTGTCGTTTTCAATGCTCTCTTATTAAACAACTTCTTAATCGCCGTCCTACAATTGCAATGTCTTTGAATCCAGTTCAAATTTCGTGTTCGCTTAACATGTTTACCCGGAAATAGTAATATGGTGCGAAAATTTACATAGTGTCCCAACGGAAATTGTTGTAACTTCGATAATGTAAATCGAAACCATGATTAAATATGTGTATAGAATTGAGATCTGAAATATACTATACCAATTAATACAAGGTAGTGAATTTATTTTGTATTGATATTTCTTTCACTGGCTAATGATACGGTAGTTTACGTTCAGATAAGCCTAAGTGGTATATATTTGTGTAAGAGAATGTTGCATGACCTAAACAATTACAATAACCACTGGTGTGATATTCTGATTCACAATTCCTCTCCCCTAGCCATGCCATGAGCCTCTGAGTTATCAAATTGAAATATTTCATTTCATGGACTAAAGCAAGAGGGGTTTAGTCTCGCTACCAGATGTCTCTGGACACTCCATATCTACTTCAGCACATTGTTGGAAAGTATGTACTGTAGTGGGGAATCACAAGGGCCTGTAGCTAGACTACATTGTCTGATTGTGTATCACCAAAATATGTTATACTTTATCACACTTTAATTGTACTTGAAATGCCTTTATTACTCTTCGCCTCTATACCTCAAATAAGACAATTCTCATTGCATTGGTATGATTTACCTTAAGAATATTTTATTACAAAATACGACCGTTCACTATTTTCTTGCCTGTTGGAATATTTCTGCAATATCATATGTTATTTGTAAACCTTATACTTCCATCCCGAGACGTCCATGCATTAAATATAGTGGTAATGGAATTTCTCAGATAAGCCTTAATTAAGCTGTTTCCTCCTGTTCATCCTCCAATCGTTTTGATGAGTTTAAATGATAAAACACATATTCCTGCATACGTTTTCACTTGTTGAGCACTTGTCAACATTACCATTTACTTATTATTGAGAGGTTTATCAGGGGTCCACAAAAAATTAAAAAATATTAGATTTTGATATTTTTGAAGTTTACAATGGATTATCTACTTATGAATTGGTTTTTGGGAAGGTTATTAGCATGACAAATTGATTTTTTTCCGTTTTATTGAAAATAAAATCACCTGTCTGACTATATTTTGCATTTAAAATGATTAAAATTAATTGTTCCATTTAGTTCACTTTCTTTTAACATCATCTTGTTTTTTGTTAATCCGCCAATTGTTTTGATATGTTTAAATGATAAAACATATATTCCTACATACGTGTTCACATGTTGAGCACTTGTCAACATTACCATTTACATATTATCGAGGGGTTTGACAGGGGTCCACAAAAAATAAAAATATTAGATTTTGATATTTTTTATTGAAGTTTACAAAGGATTATCTACTCATGAATCGGTTTTTGAGAAGGTTATTAGCATGACCTATTGATTTTATCTGTTTAATTGAAAATAAGATCGTCTGTCTGATTATATTTTGCATTCAAAATGATTAGAAATAATTGTTCCATTTTGTTCACTTTCTTTTAACATCATCTTGTTTTTGTTGATCCGCCAATTGTTAATTGATATGTGTAAATGATACAACATATATTATCACATACATTTTCACCTATTGAGGACTTTACCGTTTACTTATTATTGAGGGGTTTAACAGGGAGGGGTCAACAAAAATGTTAGATTTTGATAGTTTTGAAGTTTACAACAGATTATCTAGCTAGTCATTAATCGGCTTTTGGAAAGTTTACTTGTATAACATATTGATTTTATCTCGATGTACATTAGATGTTCAAGAGACCAATAAATTTATTTATTAATTATTGAGGGGTTTAACAGGGGTTCACAAAAATTATAAAAAATATTAGATTTAAATCTTTTTGAAGTTTTTTTGGAAAGGTTATTAATATTAGTATGCCATATTGATTTTATCTGTTTAATTGAAACTAAGATTGTCTGTTTGACTATGTTTTGCATTCAAAATGATAAAAAATAATGGTTCCATTTAGTTCACTTTCTTTTAACAACATCTTGTTTTTCGTTGATTCTACATTCTTGATTCCTACATACGTTTCCACCCGTTGAGGACCTATCAACATTACCGTTTACTTATCATTGAGGGGTTTAACAGAGGTCCATAATAATGAAAAATATTAGCTATTGACACTTTTGAAGTTAACAACGAATTTTCCACTTATGAATCGGCTTTTGGAAAGGTCATTAGCATGGTATATTGATTTTATCTGTTTAATTGAAAATAATATCTTCTGTCCGACTATGTTTTGCATTCAACATGATTAAAAATAATGGTTCCATTTAGTTCACTTTCTTTTAACACAATCTTGTTTTCGTTGATCTGCAAATTGTTTCAGCCTATATTCCTACATACGTTTTCACCTGTTGAGCACTGAAACTGAGCACTGTTTACATTTTAAAACCTTGGAAAAAGCATTTGATCGCATATAATATTGCATTTAAATCATAATTTAAGATGAGTTAGGAATTTATTCCCACTATTTATAAAAATGGATTTTAACATCAATAAAGCATATGATATGATGTGGGGTGAAAGGACATATGATTTTTGCGATACAGGCTCTACAAGCATCTCTACAAGCAAATAACTTTAGTAATAGAAAAGCGTTTACCTTGATTATTTCATTTAGTAGAAAAAAGACTGTCCCATGAGGCAGTGCCAGAACCAAAACTTTCTATTGAAATTAATTAATACTGTCTCGCCCAATATTTTTTTCCCGAATAGGTATTCTGCTATATCCAGGTCCTGATCATCCAGCATTTGTTTAATATTGCCCGCAGAAATGACGTTATTAGAATTATTGCTAAGGTCGATATAGTAACATAAATGCCACCTAAACCAGCAATGCCCCGAAAGGTGGTAATAATAGTAATTGATCTGAGAACTATCCACAAAAATATTCATCTTTTTGAATTAATCTTGAATTAAATCTTCCATAAATGAAAATCTGAACCACTTTCAAAAACTTCAGTGTGCCATGTTTATAGTATTCACATACCAGAGATGATCAAAATCGCTCCACAACTTTTCGAGTTATAGTAAAATACGTTAAACTTGCGGCTATGTTTAAAATGGCCGCCTTCTACCAAAAGTGTCATTAGACAGTGTGCCATGCTTATAGTATTCACATACCAAATAAGCACGAAATCACTTTACTACTCTTCGAGTTACAGCAAAAATCATAAAATAACAAGTAAAGGCCACCATTTTTCAAGATGACTGCCATGTCCTTCTTTAATATCTACATTTCTAGCTTTATTAATGTCCTATATAATTTTTTCATTTAAAAGATATTGCTATTACAGTTTTATATATTGCACCTAAATAACTGTAAAATCGGCACTAAAATGGCCGCTATTTTTAAATGAGCGGCCATTTTGAAAATCAGCTTTCGAGCATAACTTCTACCCCCATAGGGTATATTTGTACAAAATATGAACAAAATCGGGCCAACTGTATTTGAGTTATTGCCTGAACGGACGTACGTACGGATGGACAGACAGACGGACGGATGGAATCCCGTTCCCTATATCCCTCCGAACTTCGTTCAATGGGATAACTATTTAAAATTAATTTAAATTGTTTGGACATGATACTAAGCTTATAAAGTAAAAATTTGATTAGTTACACCAATCATTGTGATTTTAGAGCCCATTGTTATCTTATTTTACAGTTTAAATTGTATAAATCTTCTTGCTGTCAACGTATTTATAATAGTCTACACTTATTTAATGCCTGTTTATAATGATACCAACATTACTGTTATATTGAAATCATATAAGTAATAAAGATTCCCAAGTGGATGTCAATGTCCCCCCCCCCCATTTGTGACATGGCGTTATACGAATTAGGTTGAAGACATCAGGATGAAACCTGTTTTCATGATTTATACACCTTAATGATGTGATTTAACCATAACAATGTACTAGCTTTTCATCTAAGAACTATCCGGAAAAATATTTAATATTTGTAAAATAGACCCCTGCTGAAATCGTTCATAAATGAAGTTCTGTAACTTTGTATGGTGCTCAAAAATTCAAAAATGATCAATGCTATAATCCTAACTAAAAAAAAGCAAATTAAAAACATTAGGCTGTAACAATAAGCTTTAAAAAAATTATCCAGCGTTTGATGAGTTATACCCCCCACTGTGAACATGGATTCCATTTTGATCTAATTTTTCAGTTGAAATTTTAAATTATGCTCTTGCTAAAGAATAATCTATGCTTTTTGTACTTATTTATTATCTATTCACAAGAAATCTTTTAAAACGATTATTTCTTAAAAAATGGACCCCTGTTTAAATCTCAAATAAATAATAAACGGTAATGTTGTGTGATCCTCAACAAGCAATACCATTTTCAGTGATATTAAATCTATCAATATAATCTATAAAAATGATTGGAACTTGAACAGGAGGTAATTTTCAAATATTTGTCAATTCCTTTATCACTAATAAGGCAATCATTAGATAAAACCTTGAGTTTATGATAATATGCTACTATTGGATAACCTATCAAACGTATGTAAGTGTTATCATATTGTTTAGATTAGGCCTACATGTAGAATGTGACAATGTAAAAGTTTCATATTGATCATTTTATAATCTAACCGCGGTCATGTGCAAAAATGTTCAGTTTTATGTCTCTTAATCAACTATTTAGGTACATTTACACACACTCCTGGCGTGAAAATAACGGATATAAAACAAGAAACCGTGAATTTCAAAATATTGCATTATTGCATTTCCAGGCCTCAGGTTTCGACTCTTGAATTTGCCGTTCGCATTTGGCACTTTGGCTGAGCTAATTATAAGAAACGGTAGAGGCCTTTTGAGTGGTATAAGCATATTGACGAACACTTTAAGCGCGTCGGAGTATTTACTTTATGATATATAACAATAGAAATAGATTTATTCGACTATATTTATGCGAAGGTTTAGCGTTCAACTAGCAACCGGATATACAAAAGATATTATTGGATATTCTAACATTGAATTAAGTTAAGAACGGAGGGACTTGTGAAGAAAAGAGAAATACAAATAGGAGGTATTTGAATTAGGACACCAGTGTATATGAAAAAAACTTTTTCTATTTGTGAAGTGAGTAACGTATTCTGTATAGCAACACTGTTATGATCAATTGGACGAGATGAACATGAGTCGTTAGGTTCAGTAGGTTCAGTACTTTACTCAAATCATATGGGATCACATACATCCATGTAGCGACGAACAAATTGAAAAAATAATACGTAAAACATCAAGGTATGTATACACATGGAAAAACAATTGTTCGTATTTTTAGGTCAAGTTATCTTATATATCGATGTGTGAGCGGTGTAATTGTAATAAAAAACAGTATTTATGGCTGGTCTTTTATTCATTGAGACATATTAAACATGGTTAAGGTTACTGGGCGATCCTTGAGTACCTCCAAATACTATTGACGATCGCTACAAACCCTGATATGTCATTGTCGTTCCGGCCATGAGAATTGTTTTATGAGTTTGATCTAGAATAAAGAAAAGGTTTGATTCAGTCTAAGAGAGCCGAGCTTAGAAGTTTTTTAAATCTCAGCTAAGAGTATATTTTATCTAATAAGGGTCATAAAACTGGAGATGATATAACTTGTGCCTGACTTAAAATCTATGGCATGAATATTTGATGGGTATCAGAATGTAATTAGTTGGCCTATTAGATCACTGTATAAACCGTTTTAGTTGCCTTCATTGATTCAAAATAGTATATAGGGTCCCTGGGTATGCTGGGTATGTGCTTTGAATGTTAATCTTATTCATTACCTAATTTTAATTTTGTCTCTAAAGAATCAAACGCCTTCGATGTATCGAGAAATATTTATGTTCAAAAACTGTTATTATATCAACTTCATAGAGACGATTTGTCTCATTGCATGTAGTCAAACAATATATTGCACAAACACGATTTGTATAGTTTATTTTCTTGGATATACCTGTATCAAGGGAAATTTTTAAGGCAATGTTCTAAAACCGTCCAACTACATTGAGGCGGAGCCCACTTTGATATTCAAACTTTCGAAATTGTTTTGTTACATTTTAGAATATGATATTATATTTCATAATTTTGATTACTTTCAGCTATGAGTTCTATGTATTATAGAACGCAGCGAGAAGCTGCTAAGACAAAGACATACGGTCATCAGAAGTGCAACAGGGCCCAGATCAAGGCAATCACTGAGAGACTCACAAGACACACTGTGCAAACACATAACAATCATCAGGAGATTAATAATGACTTACCCTCACCACCAAGACCCATATCAGCCCCATGTCATAAGGCGCTACGTCATAAGACAATCCAGCCTGACAATCGAAGGGTTGATGAGGATACTCTTAGGAGAATAATGCGCCGGATTACGCAACCGACCTTCAGTGTCCTTGTAGCTAAGGGTGCAATAAAGGCGGCGCCGCCGCAACGAAAGCTCGAGAGACCACGAACGGCGGTTGAACGTAGAAAGGCGATGTCCAGCATACAGAGACCAACGACGGCTAGTTCGAAAAAACGATTGGGAAGCCCATGGAACTATGAAGATGACTACGTCAGTGACCACGATTCGGATTATGAGTATGGGGAATATAATGTTAGGACTAGAGAAGAGCTGGAACCAATGGTTGACCAATGGGTCACCCCTATTAAATCGCATGGAACGCCTGTTTGTGGACGCCTTGGGCCGACCTCGGCACCCAACTTATACAAAGACAAAACAATGCCTCTAGTGAGCGGGCTTGTGAGGACTAATCGTGTTGATGAAATTACAGCAAGGTTGTTCACTCCAACTAAATCTATACCCATTACACGGTGTAGAAATTCTGAACGGTCGCACTGAAAACTAAGAAAGGCAATATTTCGCTTGCAGTCTAATAAGGAGGCGCTTTTTATTTAAGTAATTACCGGGCCTGATATGGGCCTCCTATCAATTATATGAAATATAATCATTTACCATCAACATTCATTTATCTATTATTTTTCTCATTTTTCAAAATGCTCTCTGCTGAACTTCGTGGCAGGGCAAGTCAGGGTCAAAGCTCAAAATCTAGGTCAAATCATTTTTTTTGTTTTCAAAAGTTCCTCAAAACCTTACAATACACAATTCAATTCAATTTATTTCATGATTTCTTATTTAATATACATTATAAAACATACCGCTAGACACCCTGTGGGCATATTGTGCGGTGTAACAGAAATGTTTTTAACTATATGTAGACTACATATAATAGGAAGCACTTATATTTTGTAACGGTACATGTATTTACAATTAATTTTAAGATGTACAATGTCGAAAATATAGAAAACATACATTAATTATTATTCTGTGTGAATTCTTTAATTCTACATAAATCTAGTATGAATACAGTCTAAATATTTTTGATTTACAATATGGGACAGCTTTACAAAAGACCGAGGTCTGAAAAGTTAAAATTTTTAAGGTCATAACACTAGGTATTTTTGTTGAAAGTCAAAATGATCAGTGTTAACTAACTTCCAAATTGCGAAAACGTCTACGTAGGCCCATGTAATGCCTTGGTCACATAGGCTCCGATTTTCACTACGGCGCCCGGCCGATGAGTATTTTGTTCAAAATCGGCCGGCGAGCCCGGGCATCGTACGGGCGCCGGGCGATGATCGCCACTCATCGGCCGATTTTTAGACATCGTACGGGCGCCGGCAGAGTTTTATCGCGGAGATAAAGTTGCCGATGTCTTGGCGATTTTTTCTCAAGCAAACTCATCGGTACCTACCCGGCCGTGTCCCGTCCGGTCATCGTACGATTATCTTACGGCGCCCGGTGGCATCGCACGGTCATCTTGGGATTTTGCGTGCTGATTTGTTTGATAAATCTTTATAATGATTACTTATAAAGTGATAAAAAGGTTCTAAAAATAATGAGGTAAGGAATTATAATTACTACATACTATCAGATATTTTTTATAAAACATCAATGGAACGATTAGGCTTACTGTAAACAATGGCTGGATGGGTGGGTTGATCTAGTCGTTCTTATATTGACATTAATCGTGCATGTCTGTCATACACATTGAATAGAGTGATACATTTTTATACGTATATTCACTCATGCATATACCATTACAAATCATTTATTTTGAAAATCTTCTGACTGATTTTGTGAGTAGTATTTTGAAGGGTCACAATTTTAATACGAAGTTCACTGTCTTAATATGCCAAAGGCTAAGGATAGAGGGGATTAGGCCAATTGGCCATATATAGGTAGACATAGTATTTGTTTATATGAAAGATCTAAAAATGAATTAAGGTCAGGGTGCACTTTGATGAAAAGACCACTTGCAGTATGGCAAGTGATTTTAGACGGTCATAACTTTCACCATGAGTACTTTCTGGGCATATATACAGTATTTTTATTAAAACAATGTATTTTCTTTCAATTGGAGTACCCATGATAGTAAAAATATCAATCAAACAATTTGAAAAATTATGAATAGGGACCCCATGTCAGCATTTTTTTCTAAATATTGAACCTATTTACTCGAAAAGAGGATCTTCTTTTTCTGATTTTTATTGCATGAAAACATTATTAACCTGCAAGTCCTGTCTAGCGAAGTATTTCGTTTTCGAATCTTGCATTCACGCCATGTGGAACAGTCATACTGGGTCATACAAGAATTAAGTATAAATCTAGAGGCCTGTTGATCGACCGATGTCCTGGCGGGTACCGTACGGGCATCGGCAGATAGCCTTGCGATACCCGTGCGATGTCTTTCAGATTCAATTGATTGCGGGCGCCGTACGATGCCTGTACTAATGTGACCATACTCACGATTAGATCAAGACATCGGTGAAAAGTCACCGGCGCCCGGTCGATTTATAAATCGGCCGATGACTACTCATCGGCCGGCGCCCGGCGGCTATGTGACCCAGGCATTAGACTGCTTGCAATCCTGATTTCTAGTTATTTTCGTTTCCGATAAACAATCAAGACAAATCTATTTATGTAGTACAAATAGAAATATGACTTAATTATTTAAAGGAAATTTATGGCAGAACAGCTTTTTCAATACTCCTTTAGCTGAAAGTCAAATAAAAAATCTATATATTCAAGAGAGAAATGAAAAACTATTTTTGGAAACCTTAGGCCTATAATTTATTTTAAATTTTGTTTTTGCATACTTCCCCCATCACCCTTTCTAGAAATAACCGATAATTTAAAAAAGGCCTTAAATAAAGTAAAGCTTTAACTGTTTAATGTCCTGTTAAAGAAGTTCATCATAACTCAACAAGTATATTCATGTTCGAGAGTATTGCTTGAATCCATGTTCGATAGTAAGAATAGGGATTCTTTATCAAACAGAATATTAGGTTTGCTATTATTTTTGTTTGCTCTATTCGATCTCGTGTATTCTATTTTATTTTTTATAAGAATATTGTACTGCGCTTTATCACCCTATGCAGACAGAGCCTGTGGGAAATATTGGGTGCGGAGCAAATGAGCGGAGGGTGCGGAGCTAACGGTCATTTTTGAATTTAAATTTGGGATATTTCTGAAACTAAGCCGTTTTGGGACTTCAAATATACCAAGATATGTGTATTTGACACCAAATATCAATACAATTGTGAAAATAGTAGCGCAATTCATTCTATAGCGACGCAGTGTGCCTTAAACCTTTCCCAGACCTATATATTTTGAAATTATCCTTTTAATACTGAGTCCCCAGCATTCATAAAAAATGGTGTTCAAGGTACACTATCTATACAAATTATTTTTGCATCTTGGAAGCCAGGCAGTATCTGTGTGATTTTATAAAAATTCGGAATGTTTTTCAGATATGAGCCCCCTCTAAATATTGGGTGCGGAGCAGCTCCATAATCGTAGCTCCGCACCCAATATTTAGAGGGGGCTCATATCTGAAGAACATTCAGAATTTTTATAAAATCACACAGATACTGCCTGGCTTCCAAGATGCAAAAATAATTTGCATGGGTAGTGTATCTTGAACACCATTTTTTATGAATGCTGGGGACGCAGTATTAAAAGGATAGTCACAAAATATAAAGGTCTGGGAAATGTTTAAGGCATACTGCGTCGCTATTAAATGAATTGCACTACTATTTTCACAATTTTATTGATATTTGGTGTCAAATACACATATCTTGGTATATTTGAAGTCCCAAAACGGCTTAGTTTCAGAAATATCCCAATTTTAAATTCAAAAATGACCGTTAGCTCCGCACCCTCCGCTCATTTGCGCCGCACCCAATATTTCCCACAGGCTCTGTCTGCACAGGGTGTTTATACATTGCTCAGTATATTATCAGACTCATATTGAAAACATCGACTACAGTTTTGATTTGACAAACTTTATCTCCTTTGTGACCTGATATACACCTTGTTACCCTTGTACCCCTAAGTATTTTTGTATTACCTATTCATCTATGCAAGGACGTCTAACTTAGATAGAAATGCCTTGATTTATGCGTAATGCCTGGGTCACATTTGCTCCGATCCATCGGCCGGCGCCCGGCCGATTGAGTGTTTTGCTCAATATTGTATTCAATTTTGAACAAAATACTCAATCGGCCGGGCGCCGTAGTGAAAATATGAGCAAATGTGACCAAGGCATAATGCATCCATTCTTTATAAAGGCGTAGCTACTCAACACGGCTGATGCATTCATATAGTTGAATGCATATTCATTCAGGTCAATAGAAATAGAAAAACCATAAACATTAACAAAACCTGAAAAGCAGATTTATTAGAGCTTCATTTGTAAACTGAGTTCATTTAAAGTAGGTACATTTTGGAGAATATGAAAGATCAAGTAGAAGCGAAGTCAGAATTCGAAGAATATTTATTGATTTGTAAATTATTTCTGCCATTGTGCCTATCAAACTTTAGGATTGCGTTTAACAGATATTTGGATTATTTTAGTCAGACATTTGCCGAGGATGTTACAACAGCGCTGGCAATTCTTACGATCGTACGTATGATGCTAGCACTATCTAAATCATATCCGTCACCAACTGCAACGAAACAGATATTCATCGTACTCGTTGAGACCCGTCAGGATTTTTACAAAGCTATGTCATTTATGGTGCTTCTTGGATCCATACTGTTTGCTATTCTTCTAACGTTTGGATTAACACCGGCAGGTGAACTTTTCCGGATTTTGTTTAAAATTTCGGATGATGAATTACACTTGGTACAGCTGGGGATAACTAGTATATGCCTGGTTCCTATTTTATCAAATCTACAGAGTGCATTAGAGGGGATTCTTTTAAAAGAGAACAGTTGGAAACTAAACATGTTTGCCAAAATCTTCAGCATTCTACTAAAGATATTCACTGTTGCAGTACTGGTGAACACAACCCTTGCGAAATATTACCCCATTTTTATACCTACGATATCTGTGTATATATCTTCAATATGTACATTGTTGTTATTGGGTCTAGCTTATAAATTGGTACTTTTCAAAGAACTTCCGGACGAGACATCGTTGCTGAATTCGAACAGAAACCCGTTAACATTTATGGATATCGTGAAGTTGACAGCTCCGATGGGAATGAAACAAATTGTGGAAAAATATGAATTGACCATTTTGAAAATTATTCTGGTTCATACAGCAAACAGCGAAATGGAGAGGAAGCATATACTTGCATATTTGGATGTCGTGCAAAATGCGGGCTATGTATTATCAAGATGGCTATTTGGGATTCCACCACTCGTGTCAGCATATTTAGGAAATAATACGAAGAATATTACTCTTTACAAAGATCGATATGACAGACTTGTTGTGTTTATAATGATTGTTGTAGCATTTGCAACATTGCTAAAGGTTCTGGTTTGTTGGGTGCCAATGTTAACGAAAACATTTCTTCTAGGGATTTTTAACATTCCAGATAATGAATTCGGTTTTATCAGTTATCCATTCAAATTGTGGACATTTCGGCCGTTATTATACGGCTTGTATACGTTTTCTGTGGGAGTACTGACCCATAAAAAGGATACAAAGATTCTTATCGTGTGTTCCTTCTTGGAAATAGTGGTAATATCAGTTGTACCGCTTTTATTAAATTTAACTGTGATGGATGGTTTACTATCTGGAATGGTGTCCCTTTATATTTCACAGGCGGTGCCAACTTACATTGTCTACATCTACTACTATGTCAAACATTGTTATCGTACAAAGCAGTTATAGAAGAAACCTGAGGGTGAAATGGTACGCTCTAATATGTTCAGTATTTCACACAATAATAAGTTGTGTATGTAGAGCGACGGAATATTGTGCATCGGTGCTTATTTTTGTGCTTCAACTAGAGACAATCAGTATTCTAAATAAATACATTGAAAATAAGTGTATTTTTATCTTTTTCTTGTTTTCCATCTTCGCACGCTCGGTTTTCACTGCGACCGGCGGGAGCCAAGTAAGTGAATGGTTCCTTGTTCCTAGGGTGGTATATATTCTCGTGCACAAAATGATTTCCCGGTGTTAATGTAAAGTAATTGTAATCTCTTGTGGACTGTTTCCTGGATTTAGATGTCCAATGGGTTGTGAATCCTTGTGGAATGATATCAATATTACTGCCATTCGTACCGTATAATAAATTAATAATAGCAGTGATCAGGGGCGGATCTGGGAACCAACAAGGGGGGGGGGCACTTTTTTGACCCCTAAAACCAAAAAGTGTGCCCAAAATTTGAAATTTTAGGCCCATTTTCTTCAAAATTTGGCCTAAAATGACAAAATAAGGCCTTAGAAGGCCCAGAATTGATCAAAAAGGCCCACTCTTTCGGGCCTTAAGGCCTTTTTTGGCCTTTTTTGGGCCCGATTTTTTCTGGACCTACAAAAAAGGGGGGGGCTGCCCCTCCCCAGATCCGCCAGTGGGGACTATCACAACGAAACTTTTATGAATTAGGCCTCTGGACCTGAACTTTGGGGAATGAATTTCTAGGTCAAGGTCAAACTCTAGGTCAAATCAAATCTTTTTATGTTCCTCAAAGCCTGACACTTCACTTCAATATTTTTTACTTGATTTTTAGCAGTCCGATATTAGCAGTCCATTGATATTAGCCCTTTGCCGTTCAGACACACTTGCCAAGGTTTTTAGACAATGAGAGTAAAAAATGTCAAAAAGGTAATTTTAGCCTTTCTCTCTTCTAACCATCGACATATTCCTTGGAGTTGAAATATGACCTTAGATTTGATCTTCTTTGACTCTAGAAAAGTCAAAAAGTTGATTTTACAAATATGATTAAATTTGGATTCAAAAGGACAACTTATTGAGGTCAAGAGGCCAGGTAATCAAAATTGTTCAAAACGGCGTCATCTAAGTTACTCGAAGTTCTGCCAATCAACATTTTTGGCTGAAAGTCAGGATATATATTCCCCTAAAGGTTTTAGAAAGATCAGCGCAAGTTTTGAGATATTAGAGCTCAAACGCGGAAAAACTTGAACAATTTCGAAATTTATCAAGGTCAAATTTTAACAAATCAATCTGGCTCAAATTGAACAAATCTCTTTTTAAACATCATCTACAGAATAGTTTTGAGATTCGACCTTCATATTTAGTCAAAAACGCCAACAGGGGCCTCTGTACCATTGTTTGCGATCTTATTGTATATTTATTTGTAATATTTGACGATCAATAATTTTCGTCATTTTGATAATGTTCGTTGTATTCAGTGTTTTAAAAAACAGTTTGATTGATTTTTTTTATAAAAAATCATTGTTTGTGAGAAATGTTTATTGTAAAATGGCATAAGAAATACATGTACGAGTATTATGTACAAACAATGCGATATCAATCCATATTACGAATACAATGAATACAAATGAATAAACAAAATGGTACCGTTTTAATTAAAATACAAGGGACAAACTTATTTGAAAAAAATATGTTAACGAATCGGTCGGCCCTGGTTCATCCGAAAGGCTTTAAAACACAGTGTAAAGAAGGTCAATGGAAATTCCGTCCAGGATTGCTATACCAAAATATATTTATTCCTCGTTTAAGGTATTTTTCGCCATTTCCTATTCCTATAGCCTGTCCTCCTTTTCAGTCCGTATCTATGGAATACCTAAAACATGAATATAAAACAACATCAGTCAAGAAGCATAACGTAAGTAAGTTAAGATTTTATTAAAATTCTCCTCTTAAAAAACTTAACAAACTCAAATAAGAACAGTTAAATGTTGGAGAAAACATTCTTGATATCTTCGTGTCCTTGCACATCTTTTTACGATGTTCTCTGCCATTTGACCATTGATTCACTAAATTATCTATGTTAAATAAGTTACATAATTCAATTTACGTTCACAATGAGGGACGTTTTGCCAGCTCCCATTGACGCCATTCGGATCTGTACGTTTGCATTCCATCGGTGATGATCCGCCGCCCGCCGGACGATAGCCACTAAAACATCCCAACACGCACTGGGATCCCCACATGTCATTATCACATGCGTAGTGACCATTTGGCTCATTAGGTGGATCGCCGCATCTTACAACTACAAAATGGTACAGTTGGTGGATCAACGCATACAACTTTAAAGGGGTACATTTGTTGGATCAACGCATACAACTGCAAAGAAGTACATTTGGTGGATTAACGCATACAACAACAAAAAGGTACAGTTGGTGGATCAACGCATACAACTTCAAAGGGGTACATTTGTTGGATCAACGCATACAACTAGAAAGAAGTACATTTGGTGGATCAACGCATACAACTTCAAAGGGTTTCATTGAGTTGATCACCGCACCATACAACTACATAGAGGTACATTTGATGTTTCACCACATCACTGGCATCTAACTAAGGTATATTTGTTGGATAAAATCACCATACTACTACAAAGAAGTACATTTGATTGATCATTAACGCATCTTACAACTAGAAAAAAGGAATAAAAATGTACTTTAGTGGACCAACGCATATAAATAGCACAAAGAGGTTTATTTGGTTGATCATCGCATACAAGAGGCTCATTTGATGAATCAACTCATACATCATCAAAAAGGTACATTTGGTGAATCAACGCATACAACAACAAAGAGGTACATTTGTTAGATCAACGCATACAACTACAAAGAGGTACATTTGTTAGATCAACGCATACAACAACAAAGAGGTACATTTGTTAGATCAACGCATACAACTACAAAGAGGTACATTTGTTAGATCAACGCATACAATTACAAAGAAGTACATTTGTTAGATCAACGCATACAACAACAAAGAAGTACATTTGGTGGATCACCGCATACAACAACAAAGAGGTACATTTGTTAGATCAACGCATACAACTACAAAGAGGTACATTTGTTAGATCAACGCATACAACTACAAAGAGGTACATTTGTTAGATCAACGCATACAACAACAAAGAAGTACATTTGGTGGATCACCGCATACAACAACAAAGAGGTACATTTGTTAGATCAACGCATACAACTACAAAGAGGTACATTTGTTAGATCAACGCATACAATTACAAAGAAGTACATTTGGTGGATCACCGCAACATACAACTACAAAGAGGTACATTTGTTTTAGACCAACGCATACAACTACAAAGAAGTACATTTGTTACATCAACGCATATAACTACAAAGAAGTACATTTGGTTGATCACCGCAACATACAACTACAAAGAAGTACATTTGTTACATCAACGCATACAACTACAAAGAAGTACATTTGGTGGATCACCGCAACATACAACTACAAAGAAGTACATTTGTTAGATCTACGAAGAAGTACTTTTGGTGGATCGCCACATAAAACCACAAAGAGGTACATTTGTTAGATCAACGCATAGAACTGCAATGAGGTACATTTTTATCAATGTATACGACTACAAAGAGGTATATTTAGTTGATCACCGCGACATACAACTAAAGAGAGTTACATTTGTTAGATCAACGCATAAAACTACAAAGAGGTACATTTGTTAGATCAACGCATACAACTACAAAGAGGTACATTTGTTAGATCAACGCATACAATTACAAAGAAGTACATTTGGTGGATCACCGCAACATACAACTACAAAGAGGTACATTTGTTTTAGACCAACGCATACAACTACAAAGAAGTACATTTGTTACATCAACGCATATAACTACAAAGAAGTACATTTGGTTGATCACCGCAACATACAACTACAAAGAAGTACATTTGTTACATCAACGCATACAACTACAAAGAAGTACATTTGGTGGATCACCGCAACATACAACTACAAAGAAGTACATTTGTTAGATCTACGAAGAAGTACTTTTGGTGGATCGCCACATAAAACCACAAAGAGGTACATTATTTAGATCAACGCATACAACTGCAATGAGGTACATTTCTATCAATGTATACGACTACAAAGAGGTATATTTAGTTGATCACCGCGACATAAAACTAAAGAGAGGTACATTTGTTAGATCAACGCATAAAACTACAAAGAGGTACATTTGTTAGATAAACGCATATACAGTAACTACAAAAATGTACATTTAGTGAATCAACGCATACAACTAAAAAGATGTACATTTGGCGGATCACCGCACCATACAACTAAAAAGAAGTACATTTGGTGTATCGCCACATAAAACCACAACGAGATACATTTGTTAGATCAACGCATACAACTCCAAAGAAGTACATTTGGTTGATCACCGCAACATACAACTACAAAGAAGTACATTTGTTAGATCTACGAAGAAGTACTTTTGGTGGATCGCCTTATAAAACCACAAAGAGGTACATTTGTTAGATCAACGCATACAACTGCAATGAGGTACATTTGGTTGATCACCGCAACATACAACTACAAAGAAGTACATTTGTTACATCAACGCATATAACTACAAAGAAGTACATTTGGTTGATCACCGCAACATACAACTACAAAGAAGTACATTTGTTACATCAACGCATACAACTACAAAGAAGTACATTTGGTGGATCACCGCAACATACAACTACAAAGAAGTACATTTGTTACATCAACGCATATAACTACAAAGAAGTACTTTTGGTGGATCGCCACATAAAACCACAAAGAGGTACATTTGTTAGATTAACGCATACAACTGCAACGAGGTACATTTTTATCAATGCATACGACTAAAAATAAGAAATAGATTTGTTAGATCAACGCATACAACTCCAAAGAAGTACATTTGGTTGATAACCGCAACATTCAACTACAAAGAAGTACATTTGGTGGATGGCCACATACAACCACAGAGAGGTTTATTTGTTAGATAAACGCATATAACTACACAAAGGTACATTTAGTGATCGTGAATCAACGCATACAACTACAAAGAGGTACATTTGGTGGATAAACGCATACAACTACCATGGAGTACATTTGCTGGATCGCGACATACAACTACAAAGAGGTACATTTTGTGGATCAACGCATACAATTAGAAAGAGTTTAAATATTATTACAAAAACATCTCAGTGTCTAAAATGATTACTTCTAAATACACCAGTCCTAAATCTTATAAACCAATGGGACAACCAAAGCCATCTAGTTAGATATTTACCAACCATATCTAGTTTCAAAAATGCTGTTCGTTCATTAATACTTCCTCATATGAATTTTATCCCAACAACCAAACTCAAACTAAATAAGAAGAAAATTATCAATAAACTACGTGTTGATATTGTGTTAAAGATCGCTTTTTCTCTCACACTTTTACAGCCTCCATGTGGATCCCCTGATAGTACAAAACACTTCCTCCTTTCTTGGCCACGCCATATAAACTGATAAACGAATCGAAAGAATTGATATGATCGCTACATTGAGACAAAACAACCTACTTTATGATACAAATACAAACCAAAATGACCAATTAGAATACCTTATTTTTGAAAACACCCACTGTCGAGATTCTCAAAATACCCTCCTTAACATAGTAACTGACTTTGTTGGAACATGTTATATACACCCAACTAGAACTTAAAGTTAAAACTTTGACATCTTCCAACCTCCTGGACCAAAATACTTCCAATATTCATTTATTTTATTTACAATATTTTGCTTACTTTCTGTTTGTGATATCTAAAGCCACATGAAAACTATGTTTAATTTAATCAAAGCAACATGTAATGCCACATGGCGATTGGTATGATTTTATATGTAATTGTTTATATTGTTATCAACAAGTGAAATAAAAACATTCAAAAATGATTGCGTTTACAAAAAGAAGGGCTTACCTTGTGCGTGGATCTGAATGGAACATGTTCTGAAATAGAGAGATGGACGTATTCAGAATTATGATTATCTGTGTTCTTCATTCTACTTTGCGTATGTATGGCCATCGTGAAACGTTCCTGCATATTAGTAAACAGGGTGTTCCATAATGATCGTCCCCCCATCAACCACCAATCCTAAATAGCAGACCCACATATGTATACATCATATGAAAGCTTGTTCAATCCTGGACTTATTTAAACAATTTTGATAAAGCTCTACAGTTTTTACAACTTGCTTCATATCTCTACAAAAGGTACCCATTACTATGAAATCTGAAAGCCAAATTTTTCCAAAACTTGCCATGTGTCCTGCAAAAAGCTATGATATCCATGCCTTAATACACTAATATCGATAGTAATGTATAACTTCTAACATTTGATGGATGCTGTTAAGGATATATGAAAGGCAAAAGTATTATATATTTCAAAGAAATTACCTGAGAGCACTAGATGATAAAATGGATTGTATAGCATTCTACTCCTCTCTTTAAATTCATTAGGAATAGTAGACATGTAAAACATGCAAATTGAAGGGATAAGTGACTACCAAATACAACTTCACAAACTATGTCCCAATGATCAGGCATGCTAAGATTTGGCACATAAGCTTTATTATGGTATATATATTATGGGGCATGTGATCTAGTATTACCCGTGAGTGGGGGACGGTCATTATGAAACACCCTGTACATATACCTTGTCCATGAAGAGAATACGTCACTAAATATCCCCTCAAACGTCAGTGTATGCACACCCTCTGGGAATGCGCCCGGCGTCCCTAGTCCAGAGGATTGACGGCAATGACTGAAATTAAAATACATCTAAGGGAAACTTCGAAACGCGTCGTCACGGAAGCTCCTTATTGAAAATGAGACAGTTGACTTTGATACATGATAGGCTGATATAGCTCAGGAAAATAACCCCATCATTAATTCATATTTGTGATTCGCACGATTAGTTTCCTATCGTTTCCATGAAATGCGCATATACAAATTCATTCTCCCTAACAGCGAATGGGCAAATGGGTAATGCATCATTTGTTCATGTCGTGACATACTTTAGGCTACCTCTAATATAAGACTTATGGTCTATCTGAGATTGATTTTGACACATTCAAAGGGGTTGGTTGTCCCTTCACATTGTGAACTGATTGAACTACTTCGTTTTCATAAACTATAGTATGTTCTTTTTCTGTTCAGATGACCGGAAGTGACGTATTGGAGGATTTGGTTACTTCTTTGACCCTGCTATTCCTGACACCATGTTATCGCAAAACTCTCTATTGATCATTTTAACTCCAACTTCTGAATGGACAACTTACTCGACTGTACAACTGACGCATAAGTCACCCGCGTTGCATGTTGGACGAAGCGTTTCTGTTACATAGACAAAATCTTCAAGTCTGTTGGCCACTCTAGGAGGGCCTGGATCGGGGCACGTTATGGTTTCCGAAGACACAACGTACACTAAAGCTGTTAAAAAATGTTTAACAAAATAATACAATACCTTGCCATAAAACCTTATATCTCATATATTATATTTTCATAAAAAATGTATTTTTTATTAACATTGCATTGCAGAAGCATTGCTTACCTGAAAATGTTGCAAATGCAGATAAAAACATGTTCCTTTTAAGTAAGATTCAGCGACTGTACCGATCGACAATAAAATAACACTTTAAATAAAATGTAATAGTGTGAACTTCAGTGACTTGCACAGATGTGACTGATATGAGATGTAGGGATGCTATACATCGGCATTGCTATTAGAGTTGGTTGCTTCTGGTTTGCTGAGCACTGAACATCATCAATACGTGTAAAATTAATTATACTTTTTGTGTATGATAACTTATTGTGCGTTCTATCTAAATAAGTTTATAAGATAATGATTTTTTAGAAAATCATGTTTTGTGATTAAATGTCGGATTGGTTTTAGGAGTCTGTGCACTTGTTGTTCTCTCTCAATTACGTCCAAGTCAATTATTAAAGGTAATCAGTATTTTGACACACCTATTTATTATACGTATATATACATATACAACTATATTATACGAGGGGCATTTGAAAAGTTCGTTTGTTTTTGCTCTAATTTTTTCATTTTTACAGATTTATTTATGAAACTTCAAGCATATGCTCAACATACATAAATTTGGTCAGAATATACCTTGTACATTTCTAAATTAAAACATATAAATATATACCTTCTGCTATATGATTGGTTAATGTTATAGTTACCATGGCAACTGGAGCCGGGGGTACCCGGGGCAATTTCATTGCGTCCAATTTGAACAAAAAGTGATAAAACACATCTTTTTCAAACTAAAAAGAAATAAACGTGGGTGCCAGCATTTATTGTTTTAATACTTCGTTTCCATTGTTACATATTTTCTTGCAAATTTGATGTTTGTTGTCACAGAAAAGATCAATATATAATGAAAACTGATGTGATCATAGAAAGTCTATGACACAGGTCAATGATGAAAAACAATACCTACAGAAGAGATTTGATGAGAGAAAAGAGGAAGAAGCTAAGAGGCCTGCAAAACGTTTCACATTGCACTGGGATAATGCTCCGTCTCACAATGCTATTCTCACGGTACAAACCATTGAAGCACTGGATTTCCCACTGTTAGGTCATGTACTATACTCTCCTGACTTGTCCCCTTATGATTTTAATTTCATGGTGAGCTGAAGAGGGAGTTGAGGAAGTTTCTCATGGGAAGACTTGAAGTCAGCTATCTTGAAAATTGCAGGCTATGGGAAAATGGATTAAAAAAGGTGTACAAAGACTGGAGTAGAAGACATGAATTATATGTAAAAAACAAAGGATATTAAGTAGAGTAGTGATGAAGTATAAAATAAGAATATGCTACGCCATTTCAATTGTGATTTGAAATATATTATCAAAAGTGCTTCGACAGAAAATTAATTTTTTTGATAGTTGCCCCGGGTCTTCATGCTTTCTGTTGCTATGGCAACCATAACCTTTAACCAATCACATCACTTTGATCTGTAACTTTATATATCAATTCAATAATGTTTGAACATTATTCTGTGCAAATTTTATGAGGATTGGGTAAAATCTGAAGAAATGCCAGATACTTTTACCTTATTTATTGATCACCCTGTATATCTTAAGTTTATATTTTGGTTGCCACGGCATCAGCGAGACTTGGTTCCGTGGAGCACCTTAAAAATTCAAAGCATGCTACATGCATTCCATGAAAAAATGACAGTTATTTGTTTGAAATGTGTTGCCATAGCAAGAAGCTAGTGATGTAAAAGTGTATTCAGGTACACTGTACTATAAGTTTGATGTCATGATCCTCCGTCAAAATAGACTCACTCGCTTCACTAAAATTTGGGATGAGTAGGTGTTTCCAAACAGTGGAGCAAAGACGTTGCATTAAAATATGTGTAAAAGGAAGACTTAAAGAACACTGTAAGAACATGTAAAGCAACATACAGGGTGTTCCAAAAGTAACAGGACTGGTGCTGGCATTTTGTTAAATATGCACCAATCATCTTCAAAATTTTACATAATATACATTCATGTGTCCTTACTCAGACTGCAAAGTTTCGACAAAATATATTAAACTTGGGTAGAGTTATGGTTGCTTTAGTAATATGACATCACAATACCCGGGGCAATATTCCACGCAAAAAGTTACAGAGACATTAAGCATTTTGTACATCCCATATCATTTTGTACATGCCATATCAAAGTTGAAATGCAACAACTGGTGGGAATTACATTTGTTTTACATCACTTGATACTCCTATGTATCCTCTATACTTTGAAAAATAGGCTTTTCTTTGGTCAGTACAAGAGTAGTACTCTGTATCCATAACCCAAACACATGAGTGAACCCATATGAAGACATGTCACGCAGGGTCGATTGGACAATTTGGAGAAGGTCATTCTCATCTTTAAAGGTCTTACAGCACTGATTAGCACTCCGTTCTCAATATAAGTAAATATTAGATATTAGAGAGATTTCGCACCTAGTGAAAGTACAACTTATAACGTATACTTATACTTATAGGTAAACGTACAAGGTGTTTCATAATGTGGGCTTTTCGTTAGGAAAGATCTTCTCGGACTGTAATAAATACAGGTCAAAGGGATGCCATTGATCTTTCTTGAATTGTAGCATGTTTAGTTGATCCAAATGTTTTTGTATAGAATAAAATAGGCTCATATATAGTACATATGTTATAGACCCATCTCTTCTCAAATTGACTTTTTGGAGATGCTCGTTATGAAACACCTTGTATGTCATATGTTGAGCTACTGAATTTACTGTTTCCAGGAATTGCTAGAACCTACTGGTTTGATTGGTGTTTCAAATTGATGGTTAAAGTATTTGATTGGATACTGTTCCCACTCAGTCAATTAATTTCAAAAAATGCTTGCGGTCAATTGTTCCACACACGTGTAGGCAAATCTTTATACGGAGATCCAACTGTATACGTTATCATCTACGTAAATATACCGTTTTGTAAGTTCATTGAACTTATACTGATCATGAAAACATTGAAATAATCAACTTGTTTATGTAATGACTCACTTTAAAGAATCATGACTCACTTTAAAGGATCGTGTTTATAATACACAACAACTACAAGGACACGGAAGCAAGCATTTAATCATAATGTGCATAATCTACACGTGCAGATGACAGTGCAGTCACAGTCTCTAGTTGATGGAGCTTTTCTATAACGAGAATAGTTATGTTCCATTAAGTACAATTTAAAATTGATTTTAGTAAATATAATAGTTCGACATGACCCTTTAAACTATACGTATACGTATAAGTTGTACTTTCACTTATGTGCGAAATCTCTCTATTGTATGATCAGAAGAGTATGGTGCATGGCTTTAGACCGCAAGACCTAGCTCCACTATAGCTGCATGGTCTTTAATGCTGACCTGTGGGCAGGTGTGCTATCAAGGTGGATGACTGGCTTCAAATTGCGTCTTTTCAAAAACGCAACTGTGAATTGTTCAGACTGTTATACATAGTGATATTCCAGGAAATTGAATAAATATTATTCTCATTATGAAATTATACTTGAATCTGAGTTGTATAGCAACATCTTCACAACGAAGCAACTCCTAAAGTAAACAAGAAATGTTGTATTATAATAGATGAATCTGATACTTTCTTCAGTAATACAAAAATGTTAGATATCACATTTTCAGGAAAAAAGTTGCCCCGGGTATTGGGATGTCATGTTACTATAGTAACCATAACTCTAACCGCATTTCATAATTTTTTCTGAATCTTTAGAATTTTAGTTGCAATACTTCAAAGTACAATTTGTGAAAATCTGAAGACACTCAATGCAAAATTGACAAAATGCCAGCACCAGTCCTGTTACTTTTGGAACACCCTGTATGAAGACGCTTGTTGTTCCTATCCCATGATAAGAAGCTGGTTCAACAAGTTGAAGAAAGGCATCTCAACCATCGAAGATGAGCCAAGAAGCAGGCGAAAGAGGACAGCGATACAGCAATTGCAATCCACCAATGAATGCTTTGGTAATGGGCTAGAAAATACCTATAAGGATTTGATTCGGAGGTTTAGAAAGTGCATTCTTTTAGAGGGAAAATATTTTGAAGGTGATAGAGAGCCCTGACTTAGTCCAACTGGCTTAATGTTGTGGCAATGATAAGATAGGTGCATTGACTGTGCATTATGGTTGGATACATTGATTGTGTTTATGTTTATGTTTCTTTATTTCCTCCGTTTTATTGGAAAACAATTCATACATGGCTACATCAAAATCTATTCTGCTACCAAGAACAGTCTGTAAGAAAATAGCATCATCAAAGTTGAAAAGCGTAACACTATCATGAACCGGTAAGATATCAATGAGTCGCTCCAAAATGCGTCTCTATCAGACAAAAATTGATTGCAATGCAGAAAATGAAATATTATACAATTACACGATGAGTTGCATCTCTTACAAGTGAATATCTTATATGAAGGCATTGCAGAAAGCTGCACCAGGTTGGCTAATTGCCATAGATATGATTTTCCAACGACCCAGGCGAAGCTTGGTTCCAGTTTACAGTGAATGTTCCTAAAAATGTGTTGAAAGCCACTTATTTTCCTCTCTATCGAAAATTTGGAAATGCGATGCTTTTTTAAACAAAACCGTTATCATAATTGAGCCGGTATGCAAGAAGGTTTTTGCAACACTCTGTGCAATATCACAGTCGATGCTCATGACGTCTTTAGCAAAACCAAAGTGATTGTTTCCCGTGTTTGTGAGTAGGGACGAGAATCTAAACAGGAATATGTATTTTGTAACTTCATGAGTGCATCGACATATTCTTGAAAAAAGTTTAATTTCAATTTCTCAATGAAGCTCGATACAGATATTGCACCAAGAGTTTTGAATTGACGCTCGGTATAAATATATAACACTTTTGTTCTTTCATATCGGTAGCACGTTGGCCTCATGGTTAACAGCTTCCACACTCTTGGTTAGTCGATCGAGACCCGTTCATGTCGAACTTTTTGATTGGTTTGTTGTCAAGATATGATAAGTAGAGCAAAATCCAGAAAAAGTAGATCAAAAATGCTCCAATGGAGTATAAAATTGTCACCAGGATTCCGAAATGAGACGAATGTTAACTCGTTACATCTCTGTAGATAAAATAGGTCAGAAAATCCGGATTAATTCGAACAAGGTTCGGGAATTTTCGTCATAAGAAGACGATAAAATCGTGAAACGGGTGTCAGGGGCTTCCCCTCATCTTTCCCGACATGGTTCTAAAAGCCTTATATGGATCTATCACGCGACATTCAAAATGACGTTCCTATATGGTTCTATGGGCCCTATATGGAGCTTTCGAACACGTGACCTAATACCAAATCAAAATCAAAATTTTATCTTGACCATTGGATGGGATTTCATAGAAAATATCAAAGAAAACACATCCTCGTGATCCTTAAATCACTTAAATTCGATCATTTTATCTTCACCCCTTGATGGAATTTTATGAAAGAAGTCATGATCATGAAAACACATCATCATGTAATTAGCTCGTTTTATCTTGACCCTTCAATTGATTTTCATGGAAAAATATTTTATGAAAAAATATCATCATGTTATGATTTGCATTTGAATAAGACCGTTTCATCTAAATACTTAGACAATATTTCATAGAAAATGCACTGAAAAAATATTGGATTGGATTTACAGGATTTGCTTTAATTTATCAATGTAAATTTGTCCCTTCCAAAGCGATGCATCATGGGAAATATTTATGTAAATTACCCCCTGAACTCTTATCGCGAGTTGGAGTATTCCCCACCATTGTCATGGTCAAAATTTAGGTCAAATATTTTAGATATCAATAAACCTTCGATTTTCAGCAAACCAAACCAAAATCTAAATTCAAAATATATCGCCATGCAAACTGATTAAGTTCCGATTGTAACAAAGAAATGATCAAACACCTCCGAAATGGGAGTTGTCCTTAATATAATAATAAGTGATACTAGCGTAATTCAAATGGTTGATGATACTTACTCATGATTTATCTCCACAAATAAAAAAGCTAACTCAATGGAGATTTACAATGTATTATTCTCATACAGTTAGTATCATCTCACGTTTGAGTATCATCACTGTTCACACGAACCCTTTGGCCACTTTATTTCTAATCTACAACAATGGCTTGAACACATGATAGACAAGAAACTGAACTCCTAGCGGCGTTAAGATAATAATTTTTGAAATCTCATTCGTTGAATATGAAAATAAAAATATTGCATGTTAAAATAAGAACCTTTTAGAATGTAAGCAAATAACACTAGTCTTCGAGAATGTCAGACAATTCTAAACCAAATTTTATTTCTCATATAATATAATATTTTACCATCGAGACTTGTTTTTTGCGGTGATATTTTTCTCATCTATGGAATAGCTGAAAGATAAAAAACAATTAAATTAGGATAGGAAGCGGAACTAGTAAGTACTAACGAGGAGCACCGGAAAAAAAGAAATCAGAGTGAAAGTACCTCAAATTAATGTGGGCTTTAGGACAAACGGATGTGCGTTTTCGAACCTTGTAAGGTATGGTGAGTCTGTACCATGTGCCTTGCACTCTAACTTTTATTCCCAGACTATGTTCCGAGCACAATATGGAATATTACTCAAAGCAAAAAAATCTCATAATTACGTTCACAACGGCGCACATTTCTCCATTCGCCCAATGTGCCATTTGGATCTGGACGATGGCATTCCATTGGTTCTGTTCCGCCGCCAACTGGTTGGTAGCCATTATAACACCTTAACTCACACACAGAACCCCATCTATCGTCGAGGCATTCAAAGTGTCCATTCGCCTCAGAGGGAGGATTGCCGCACCTAACAACTACACAATCCAGCGTATAACAAGACACGCATACAATGAGTAAAATATATAATGCTTTTAAGTTCTGTTTTTTTTCATACCGAGTAATTCGATTTTTCTTCTCTTTCTCAATTTTCAGCAAGACCACTGATCAATCTATCTTGACTTACCTATCGTCTGGATCTGAATGCTACACCTTCTGAAATGCGATTAACTACAATTATATCTGTTACTTTACCTAAAAATGAAAAAAAAATCGATTCTAAAGGTACACTCCCCTCCATAAGTTTGGCAACCTTAGCTCCCCCATTTAACTACGTGTTAGAGCCTCTTTACCTTTGAATTTTTATTTACTCAACCCGCGATGAAAATACTTATACTATTGATGGAAACGTAATGTGACTTTATTTCCAACACCTCCAAATGTTCTCATTTTTTTCCTCAATTACAATAGGTCGGAAATTGATGAAAAATTTGGAGGTATTGGAAATAAAGTCAAATTACGTTTTCATCAATAGTATAAGTATTTTCATCGCAGGTTAAGCAAATAATAAAGGACCCACGGTCCTGTGCTCACACAGTGTAGAACCTTCAGAGGAATGTATATCTGATTTTCAAACAAAATTATTGATTATGATTTGTAGTCTCGAACTTTAAGAAACTTAGATAGCACAGTTTGTGACCAAGTTTGAGGACCTTTGACCTTAAACATTTTACTTATTCAGAGCTCAGTAGGTCTTTTTTTACCTTTCCAAGGTCACTGAAGGTCAAATCTCAAAACTAAGGTCAGATTTGAACTCCTGGCAACTTGTAGACAATTTTCCCAAAGAAATTTGGGCAAACCCTTGAACATTTTACTTATTCAGAGCTCAGTACGTCTTTGTGATTAAGGTGACCAAAATTTACATCCAAATAATCAATTTGAAAAATCAACTTTTTTGACCTTTCGAAGGTCACTGAAGGTCAAATCTCAAAACAAAGGTCAGATTTGAACTCCCGGCAACTTGTAGACGATTTTCCTAAAAAGAATAGGTCAAATTGAAGCAAGTTGAAAAATAATTTATTTTTACTGGTTTTTGACGTCAAATATCTCAAAAACAGTAAAAACTTGATGCTGAGATAAATTGAGCAATATGTAGGGAATTCTTAAATCTAGTAACGATGTAATTCATTGCAAGTAATGAACAAGTATAGGGACAAACTTTGAGAAACTTGTCAATCACAAAATCTGCCATTGACGATATGTACATGAGAAAGTTCTTTGAAAGTCCTACTTTTTGTCAAATTGTATAGAGTAAACACCAAAAACTGTAATTCCCAGAGCTTTGAAATCTTCAGAAGACATATGTTGTAAGTTTCTAATAGCGAAATTAGCAAACATTGGATCAAACTGGTTTTTTTTGTTTTACGTACGCCCAGAAGTGAAAATGATACCTTGTCCATGACGAAAACAGGTCGCTATATTTCCCCTCGAATGCCAACGTATGAGTGCCCTCTGGAAAATTTCCGGGCGTCCCTAATCCCGATGTTTGATGGCAATGGCTAAAAATGAGAGGTTTAAAATCAACTATTAAATCAAAATATGCAACAAAAGAGGCATTGTTGAAACTATTTTATTTCCTCGATATTAAATAGAAGACTTTGAACATATTAGTGGCAAGATCCCTGCTAGCAGACAAGTTTGTCCGTGCAGGTACAATCAGAATCTATATGAAATCTTCTCGACTTAAATGTTCAAAAATCTAAAATGACAAATATCCAAATCATCATTTACTTGATTACTGATTTGTGGTATGGCATTGGCCTAGTAGTTACACATATCCTTAATTTTAGGTTGTTTTGGATTGTTTTCCTCAAAGATTTGCCTTCTCGGGACTTCAGACATTTTGAATGTCCTTGGTCTTCTACTTGGATATTTGGTATGGCATTGGTCAATTTGGACATTTGGTGTGGCATTGGTCTTATATTTGGACATAGGGTTCGGGCGTTATTTAGTTGGTATGGGAACACATTGAATTTGACAGATTGGTATGGGAACATAGTAAAATCTGAGGGTTCAGTCTAGGACCCCGCCCAATTTTTTATACAGTGAATCCCCCAGGAGAAGAGTGTACAACAATTCATTTTGATTTTTTTGGCATTCTTATATCGGACTGGACACAACCTGCAATTCTGACTTACTCGATGGTACAACCAATGCAGGTACCACCCACGCTGCAACTAGGACGTAGTGTCTCTGCCACGTAGGCAAAGTCGTCATATTTGTTGGCAACTCTCGGGGCTCCAGGGTTAGGGCAATTGATAACGCTACTGCCCTGACCATATGCCCCTGCTAATTAAACACAATAAAAAGATCTGAACCAAAGGGCTAGGATACACCATATTTGCATAGGGTTGATTCGTATGTTAGTTGGACTTTTTCATTTTGTTAACATTAATATTAATATTATTAACTCAAATATATTTTTCACGTAGTAGCAATTGATATTAGACGTGTGCTTAGATTTGTAGTTGTGGGTCTATTTTAAAAGAGACCTTTAAGGTTAAGGTCTAATTTTCAAAATAGGCTAAACTGAGAAGGGTGATCATGACGTAAAGATATATTGGATACTCTGATTAAAAGTTTAATTCTATTAAAATAACTTTAAATATTGCATATTTTCTGAGTTGTCATATTGCTTACCTGCAAACAATGCGCACACTATTAAAAACATGTTACTTCTATGAGAATCTAACAAAGCCTGTTTACTCCTTTTAAAATGAACTTTCTCGAGAACGTTATCTTACGGGTCAGACTTAACGTAACCTTCATCTTGCATAAAAATGCATTGCATGAAGAGTGATAATCCGAGTTCGTGCTACAAGGATAAATGCGTCAAGCATCAATATAAGCCAGAGATTATCTAATTATACATTTTAGCATATCAATTAATTTCCTTTTAAATACAATGAAAAGTAAACTAAATTTTGGAGAGTGATTTTCGAGGGACTGTTTATTTATCTTTATTCTTATTACACATATGTTATTTTCCCTTGTTAGGTCATAATTAAAGCATCTATCATGTTCACACACCCCATTTTGCATACTTTGTCAGACCATCATGAACTTTATGTTTTATACAAATTTTGGATTGTTACTTGTATATGCTGTAGTATTAATTGTTGTTTTATTATAAGTTGTACACATATTTTCCAAACCCTCTTTAGCTTCTGCAAGCATTGGTAGCGACATGGTGGACTGAATTCAACATTGTTTTTCTCATAAATCAATTATTGAAAACAGTCTGTAAAAACACCATCCTTTATGTAATGGTCAATGGTTGACAACAATTTAGTGTGAAAATTATTTATAAATATTTTTTTTTTAGTACAATTGTTTTTGTTCTTTTCTACAAATTCTTGAGAATGAAATAAAATACATTGCATGTTGGACAAAATGGCATATACAACATTTTCTTAGATCTCTCAATATCATAAAATTAATATACAAAGGAAAGTTGGGTTCATTTGAAAAACTATCCAAATAATTGAACCCCCCTCCCCCCAAAAAATAAAATGAATAACTAAATATACCTTTTATTTCATTAACAAGGTACTTATTTTAAAATGAACCAAACTTTCCTTTGTACAATTACAATATTGAGAGACATAAAAACGTTGTGTACTCGTATATGTCATTTTGTTCTAACGAGGTTCGGCTAGATGTTTCATTTCATTTTTTGATGACTGGTTTAGGAGAAACAAGCTACGCTACCAAGCCTTTGAATAATTTCTTTATGCTAACTGTCAGGGGTGTCATTAAGATAAAAAATAACAAGCTACATTCCTTTTTTAACATGATGAAACGTTCGGATATACAACATACATGGCGAGTCTAATCTGCTTTAATTCAAGATACTTGTCGGTTGCGCGATCAAATTGAATATCTAAGCACATGTGCCAAAGGGAGAGTACAAAAAACTGCAACGAAACCTAGCAAGAAAAGCAGACTCTAAATGTAAACTTGTCATAAGAAAAATAGACCATAAATATTCCTTAAACAATAATCTAACGTGAAGAGAAGCTATTCAAAGGGTCAACATCCATTCACAATAAAATAGGATGCGATGGATGCCGATGAGTGTACAAATGTAAGAGCCCGAATTATAAATTTGATTATTTATCCGATTTCTCCACATTCATTGCTTACCCATCTTGGGATAACTTTTGAGAAGTGAAGAAGTATCCCTATATAAAATTCTTGATAGGGAGAATTACTTATCCGTATAATGAACTAGTCAACCGCTAGTCATGATCAAACAAAAACACCATGATAATCTTTTTTAAATCAATTTATTTTAAGTTCAAAAGTTATTTCAAAAATAATTATCTCCATGGGAAAAATATTAGTAATTTTACGACCACACATCTAACGTTTTGAAATGACTGGATGGCCACCGTACTAAACAGACAATAATCATGGTGAAGAAACAGACGAATTGGTTTAAAGCTTGGTCCAACTCATTTTGAATCCAGATCGTGAAACTAAGTGATCAGTCTTGAAATTCACGTACAGGGTTTTTCCTGATGTCACGATCGATCTTTTTGGTTTCTTGCTATCGCAGTATTTACCAATCAGTTTGGAGCCGCTCGTTTCACCATCACGCAGCTGAAATATTAAAAATCGTGTACAAAATACTGATCCTAAATAATACCCAATGGTGTTAACCCTAACTTTTAAAATATTTGATTGGTTCCTTGTATCATCTTCAGTCAACTTTGTGACATGAACATTTTCGATTGCAGTTTATGAGCTCTCTAAATGGGTATACTCCATAAGAAGGTTTATATCACAGTTTATGGATAATGCGAGTTACTTATCATCAAATATGAGGTTCTGACAATTTGTTACCGAAACGAACCCAGTGAAATCGAGCGGATCACCCGTGCCTATGGCAGCACTTATCTGGTTCCAATCCGAAAATGAGATGGTCATGGCACGGAAATGGCAAAACCAACACAACAGAATATATTGGCATCAACAAACATTTACAATCAACCAATTATATAGCATTCCTAATGTTAGAGAACCCTTAGCAATTTTGTAAACATTGATACTTTAAATACACCTCTAAAATGCAATGAATCTTGCCTATATATCTAAGATTCTAACATGATATGCGATGTCACAATGACGAGAACAATTGATTTATTGGTCTATATTGGGGTATGTACGTATGACCTGTAAATTTCAATATAGACTAAAAAATGTAATGACTATTACAATTCCATACTGACACCCCCTCTGAACCAATTTAGTCACAATATAGACATGACACATGTCAATATGTGACGTCAGTTTCATTATTGATATTTTTGCAAACTATTTAGCTAGGAGGAAATCCGGTAAATAGAATGTCCAAAACATCAGAATTTTTCAGATTGAAAATAATCAAATCGGAAGAAACGTAGGTTTTATCATGTTAGAATCGTAACAAAGACCTCGATTCTATGATTAATGGCAAATATATGACCTTAAATTTTATCCTGCCCATTGCCAAAGTTCTCAATCGCTACGCGATTTCGGTCTTTTAACAATGAACAGAATAAAATTTTCGATCAAATATTGCGCCATAAATCATAGAATCTCGGTCTTTATTCCTTAATTATTTCGTGTTGACTATATATCCCATTTTTTCATATTCTACTTACAATAAGGCGATCATATTTACAGGATCGGTGACCCTCAATATTAAAATGTGAGAAGGTGACTTTCATACGATGATCTGCATAGATCACATAGGTGGTCTCGATGTCATCGTCGTACTTCAGGTATCCGCCAAAGTTTTGAGAGGTGAGCGTTCCATATCCTTTGAAGATCTTTGCTGTACCCCCTTAAACAATTTCACTTTTTATATTATAACTTAGGGTTGAAAGAGCATCGTGGAAAGCTACACCTATTTTAAATTATAACTTGATCAACTTAAAAGGAGTGTGAATAAAGCTAAACCCGTAATCCGACAATTAGAGACCGCTTACCATTTCCATTACAAAGAGCACCTTTGCAGAAAGTGTACTGTACATCAGTTTTTGAATACGACCGTGGATGATTCCATGAATCATATCCTGGTTGACTGGGTGGTCTATAGGGTGTATATCCTTCGTCTCGTGGCGGATCACTGAAGATAAGTCGATTGGGGTACTTAGGGTTTGTTTCAGCACAACCCCGATAATAATCTATAGAAAAATAACATTAAATAGTATAAAATAAAAAGTATATAGTTGATTTAAAAGTGTTTTTGCTAAGAAAATCATATTAACCAGTTACTATGAATTTTTCACCAGTCATCAGTGATACGTCATACAGTTCTCCCATTTCAAAGAGCAACATTGTAGAATTTTGATAGAATATTCGGCTAATTTTGCCTGCTAAAATGAGGTTATTGGTACCACAGTTAGGGAATAGGGAATTTAGTCCGGAGATGATAATTTGGTTTCCTGTATAAGAAAGCCTTTCCCCGATTTTCTGACCCAAAAGAGTGTCGTCTAGTGTTTGATAAATGAATCGAGGTTTATTCTCGACAGGGTTAGTACTAATCTATCAGGAAATATTTCCAATTAAAAGACCAAGAGATCGAACTATAAGAGTTTGTGTGTAAAAAAAAGAAAGATTTACCACGATGGTTCACTTTTTAAAGATTTCCAGGGGGGTCTCTTTTGACAACGTTGTCCCAAATATGGCCAAGATCAATTGGCCGTTTGCTCAAACCCCCAACCCCCTCCCCCCCCCCCTCCTGGCTACGAGCCTGCATTCACCAAAGGCTTTGGTATGTTTGCAATGTAAAGTATACTTACAACCATTCCAGTCTTTTGCCGTGTAGCACATAGTATTACATGGTGCCTGTATTACTGTATCATCAGTCTTGCTTATTTTACCACATCTTGCTGGATCATTAATACTATTACACTCAAAACACCTAAGGGGCTCTAAAATATACGATGGTATCTATAGGCATACCCTGTATAATTGAACCGACAAATTAGTAATTGATTGACAAATTGTACGATGGTTAATTTTGAATGAAATGAATCATGAGTCAGAGGACCACAGAGGTTATCGCAACAGATTTGACAAGACAGTCAGACAAAATTTTGTAAAACATATTCGTTTGTTGGACACGTTTGCACCTACCTGTCTAACTACCTGTCCAAACTATTTCATCATATCTATGACTACGTTTCCTGAAAATAATGCATTGGCCTAACATAGGCACCTATTTGAATCCTCAACTTAATTTTATGGTTTGTTTCTACTTCAAGGCAAATGAGTAAAAATCCTACCCTCGCAAGTTTTGGAGTCGCTCAGTAGTTTGTACCCAGTGTAGCAACTGCACCAACGACCTCCACAGTTAGTACAGTACCTACACATATGACTACACAAGCCATTGTTCGTATTGCATGGATTAGAGCTACCTCCTGTTGCAAAATCACAGAATGAAGTAAATGGAAATCACTACCTAGATAGGCTATTTTAGTTTTATATTGTTTTTAATGACAAAAAATAAAATCCGGACCTTAATTAGAGCCGACATTTTCAAAAGGGAAAACATATTGTGCGATAATTTTTTTAACAAGTTTCTATGGCCACCCCTTTATTCTCTTTTAGGTCCCCTTGCAATAAATGAATATATTTTCTATAAAAAAGCTATGATGAGATCCGAGCTAGCCATTTTGCTGGTAAAGATAACCTCTACGAACAAAAATATACATACGTATTACCTGTATTGCAGCGGTATCTTGTTCTGTAGTCGCTACAACCACGAGGCTCATTCAATCGGTTGTGGCATACAAATCCATTCGCAACATTGCAGTCATAACCCTTTTCAAATTTCTCCCCGTTTTTGTCATATGGCACACCTCCGGTAGTTTGGCATTCAATTCCATTGGGGTATGGACAGGATGCCAGTTGCTAAAGTGACGGACATATAAGATAAGTTTATTGTTATTTATATATAGTGATAGGTTTATATAAATCAACAAAGCCCATACTTATCAACCACTTTAACTTTAAAAATATTGAATTATACAATTAAAAAAGCAAATATCAAGTCAAGGTATTCAAATCATAACCTCTTGACAAAACCTCTTCTCACAAATTAAAATAGGCAAACTGTCTTGAATAAAATGGTATACCGGTATAAGATATCATATGATGTTTGTTAGGAAGTCAGCTAAAGCAAGAGCAATGTTTTAGAAACGAATAGGAATATTTTGATAAAGTAAAAACTGTTATCATAACGGCCGGGAGTGAATCCATGTTTCTTTTTTACTTTAAACAATTATAGCTTTCATACTATTAAGATCTCTGCCTTGATAAAAAAACATTCTAGTCCATTTGAATTCATGTAGCTAGATAGAGACATACAGTGTATGCTATCTAATGTCTCTTGTGTAAAATGAGAAATTGAACAATTAAAACATATAAAATATAATATAGAAATATACCGATTACCTTCCCAAAATCCTGTCTTGTCTCAGAATCACCATTGCCTGATGGGCGATCTCGATTGAACCAATCTGTCCACTTCTCATACGCTGCTGATGCAGGACCTGAATTTGGATAGATGTTAAGATGCAAAATGTTGTTCGACATTATGAGTTCATGTATAAAATTCGATGTCATAAGTAAAATGACGTTTCAGCAGCATTCTCTACAAAATGCATTAGGCCATAAGAAGTAGATTCTTTGTTTTGCGTCCTGGCAAAATCCAAATCATGCAAGGGTACAAGGAAAACAAACACAAACTCAAGAAAAAACACAAACTTGTTTGCTGAGATTATGTATACATGTTATGGGTATAAAAAGGGATGGCATACCAATTTGCAGTATAAACACATATCTATACATATATATATACAATATATTTAAACATAGCTATTATTCAAGGGTAAAAAAATGAGAAAATACACAATGTATACCAAAGTAATCAATAACACTGTCAATTTTGACGCGCACCAAATTATGTGCCATTTTGTCTGGTTCTGATTGAACGAAATGCGATGGTACTTTCAGACCATTGTGATTGCTATTTGGATGTGTTTGTTTTTTCTGATTTACTCAAAATCGTGCAAGCAAGGGGACGCAAAACAAAGACTCTACTTCTCATGGCCTTAACTAATTCAGGATGTATTTTCGAATTTAGTGCGTAGTCTAGCTTGTTCATTTAATTAATTCATTTTTTAACGAACCAATGTTGCTTTCAAAAGTACGAATTCTCAAAAGAGCAAAAGATCCACCCAGAAATATAGCATGTTAACATATCACAAAACGGTGGCTCATTTCTGGTATACTTTGTAATCGAAATAATAGTGCATGCTTGAATATGCATACATACCGAAGCACATAACAAACACCAGCGAAAACGTCATGAACGGAGTTGACCTGTAAAATATTAACGTTTTCTGAATTTTTAAGAATCGTATTTTATAGTAAATTATATTTACATCAACAATAAGGTTAATTGAACTCCAAGTACAATGTATTCAATAAGTTTTTTCAACCAAGATAACATTTGGAATCTAATGCGTTTTCTTTGTCGTAACAAAACAAAACTGATGTAAAAATAAATCCAGAATATAAATGTGTTACTTACATCATGTTTCCGTCTTGAATGATGACTTTTTAAAGCGTTTTTGCAACACTTTCCTCGCCATTATATATAGGCCCAGCAACGTTTAATGAGCCACGATTTTTGCATGAAGCTATTGTAATCTTAATTTTTAATTAGTATACCTTTGTTCAAGTTATCATACGTGTAGCCCTTTGTGTTTAAAAGTCAATGTGGGACGCTCTTCATTATAACATGTTTTATATTGTCATTGTAATTGTCATGAACGTGTTCATAATACATTTTATTTCACCGTTTTGTCTTTGAACAAAGGATAATAAAAAGCATATTAGACATGCACTCATATAAAGTAAGGCTTGGTTGAAAATGAACATTTTCATTTTTTTTATTAAACATTTTGAAACAAAGAAATGCTTGAGAGTATACACCATTGGTCCGAAACCCAAATGTCGGAATTCGAATGCTCAGAATCCCACTCATTTGAATCCCAGTGCTCAGAATCCCGTTCGTCCGAAACTTAATGATCCGAAAGTTAGCAATTATTGTCAACATGCATGATATCCATGTTAGACTTTGTAAAACGTGTTAGCCCAACGTATCTAGCTAAAAGCCTGTATTCAATTCCGTTGACCAAGTCTATGCGAGAGACATTTCCCGCTATGTGCATGCGCAGAATGTGTAGGGTTAGGCCAAACACGGACATGAGGCTTTTGTACATTGGATAATAACACAATGTCATCTAATTTTAAACATTCAAGTTGAGCTTATAGAATAAGTTTTACAAGAAAATGAGTCGTGTTTCTGTTGAACCCAAACTAATGGAGATGGTGTACCATTAATGAGGAATAGAAATAACATAATGAAGTGCAGAGACATCTAACTTTCGTTTATGTCAGCAAATTTATGATATTGTAGATGATATAACTTTCCCGATTCGCAATAATGATTAAAATTTCAAATTAACGCACTATCCAGTGCTGTTCCCTTGACATTGCAATGCCATTCCCGTTGTTGTAAAGTCACGATATTCTTTTGAAAAAAAGCTTTTAATTTAGCCTTTGTATAAAATATAATAAAACGAAATAGCTAAAAGTTCAAACATGTTATGAGCATAATGTCATCGACGTATTTTCAAAAAGCCCTCGATCATCTGCACGTAGGACAAGTTATTTGGAATTGAAATATTTCAACGTGACAAATAATCTGCTCGAATGCTGTTAATCTCAATGTATTCACGTTATCCATGGGTGAATTAAAAAATGGGGAGAGCGCCTCTACTTCATTGTCTTCTAACTAAATATATTTTGGTCTCTCATCGTCCAAGTGTACATGGTAAACTGCTATGGATGAAAAGCTTACGTACAAATATTAGAAAAAGAAGATGCTAACAAAGTACTAGAATCGTAGTTAAATTAATGTTTCATCAGTCTTGCATTGAACATTTGGGTAACGTATCAATAATTTGTTGGCGATTAAAAATTATACAAACAAACAAAAGATTAACAAGCTTTGATGTGTTATCTTATAAAACCTTTCAGTTGCCAATTTTATTAGGGGGAGTGTACAGTAATTCATCCTATGATACTGCTCCTTCCCGGTGAATAACGCCCGAGAATATTTTTGAGGTACAAAAAATCGTATCGTCCCGCCGAATCCCGCTCGAGAAAATCCTATTTACCTCCCAATCCCAAAGTCAAAAAGCTAAGTCACATTTTGAAGACTAAATATAAAGTCTGGTTTTGTTTCAAACAAAAATCAGATGAACTAACGAATTTATGAAGAGTGTTATGAACATCATGTACAAAGCTTATTTACTGGTCGGGATTAAATATGAGTTTATTCCTCTTGACAATACAATTTTTCTCTCTGGCCCTACGGCCCCTCGGGAATGCCATATTGTCCCTCGGACTGAAACCTATATTGAATCCCTCCCAGTAAATAATCTTTATTTATCCCATACTTGGACGTGTTACAGGTACATAAAGCCGGTTTGTAAAAACTTATATTTTCATCAGCGGGCAGATATAGCTATACGTCCCGCTCCGAGCGGGCAGATATAGTATATCTGCCCGCTACGTCATAATCGCCGCTCGCATATTTGTTCATAATTTGTAACGTTCGCGTTATGACTGTATGGTGAAAACACAGACAATCGGGATCTGATTGCTGATGGTTTAAAAAAGGGAAGGAGCATCCACTTAATCAATCAAAAATTCGAGAAAATAAATGTGGGAATATTTGAGGGAACAGGAAAACCCGCCCACGGCCAAGAAAACAAAACTGGATATGAATATTCTAAAATATTTCCACGATTGAACAATGTGAATCAGATGACCAAGATTGGTATGGGATAAACATATTATCCTATAGTCGGTTCAGGATATTAGGATTATCCCTTGGCCAATATAATATATTTTCCCTCGGGACCTGCGGCCCTCGGGCAAATATATCATATTGGCCTCGGGATAATCCCAATATCCTGAGCCTCATATAGGATAATCTCTATGTATACTATTTTGACATTCCATTAAATTGGATATTATACCTTAATTTTTGACATACTCGATGGTTTAACCGAATTTCGGAATACTTAAGTATATATTTAGAATATATATTTAGTAATATTTAAACATTTAATTGATCACATGAAATAGAAATAGTGCCAGTCTGCAGAACCCCTCTTAAATTGGCATCACGGGGCGTTCGGGGATTGGTCTATTTATGTTTAAATCAGCTTGCATCTTTGAATGATCAGATGATCGCTCGTATGGTCTCTCCAGCGTTTCCCGATTGAGTGTAACTCCGAAGCCAGGCCTATCTGGAAGATCAATGAAACCGTCCTTTGGAAGAGGTTCATCGGGAAATAGTCCACCGAAGTATGGTGTGATTTTATCGGCTTTTGGGCTCATATTGATATATTCAGCGATGGGGCAGTTTCTGAAAGCGTATTGTAGATGATACGAGTAAATACTGGACCCATGTGGAATGACAGGAATATCATACGCCGCAGCTTGCGCGCACACCCTCCTGGCTTCCGTTATTCCGCCTAACCACGTGATATCCGGTTGTAGAATATCGGCGCATTTGTCACGGATGAGTTGACGATAACCATATCGTGTGTACTCGTGCTCTGCCGTTGTCACAAGAACCCCACTACTTGCGAGTGCTCGTTTTACATCGGCGTAACCTTCGTAATCGTCGGGAGGTAGCACTTCTTCGATCCATTTAAGACCATACGGCTTCAAGGCGATCGCAAGATTGATTGCATATGGTACTGTTAAGGACATGTAACAATCCAACATAAGAGGAAATTCAGGACCAACCTTTTTCCGCCATGATTTGAAGATCTCTACGTTCTTTCTAAACCCTGCGTCGCCATCGGCTGGACCATACGCGCACGGAACTTTTGCACCAACAAAGCCTAACTTTTGCGCAATGTCTGGTCGTGCTGTCGTGGAATAAACGGGTAGTCTATCTTTCGTTTTTCCGCCCAACATTGCATACACAGGCTCGTTACGTAATTTTCCAAGAAGGTCCCATAGTGCAAGGTCTACTGCACTGATGGCGTGTAATGGAAGACCTTTTCGCCCGTAGTTCAGAGTAGCACGAAACATTTGATCCCACATGAGTTCTACATCGCGGGGATCTTGGCCTTCGATGAATCGACTGAGGTGATTTTCTACGATGTAACAACCTGGAGGACCCCCTATTGCTATCCCGACCCCAGTTGTTCCATCTTCTGCCTCTATCTCGATAACCATTGACGGCCCCAGAGCATTTATGCCCCATGACTTCCGGCGAGCTTTATACAAATCATGTACCGACATCGGAGTTGATATTGGCGTCGGGAATGCATTAAGCCAGTGCTCGTCTTCGACATTATGACAGTCTGCTCCATGATCAGAAGTGTCAGTTTGAATCAATGCTCGCACTGTCTTCACCCTTGGAAACACCCGCGTTCCCTGCGACGTCACATCCGGTCCATTTCTGCCATCCCCAGCACTTGTCAATTGTGGCCTACCAGCGTGCAAGAACCGTGGAAAGTTTAATTTCAACTGGTTAGATGATAGAATACTCCGATATGCATGTCTTACATTCATCCTGACGCACGTCGTACAGCTTGTAAATGTATTATCTGTACTGTCAGACTGTTTTGTATAGGCCTATCATACATGACACCTAACAGCATTATCTCAGTCATTATAGATATAGGCCTGTTCTACAGATCCAATTGTTATGAATAAATGGACTTTAGTTATCAGTACAAATGAAATAGCATTCAAGAAAACTAAAATTTAAACAAACAGTAAACACCAATATGCCTGTACTATGCTATATTTTACATATAATCAAACACGGGTTGTTTTATTTTTACAAAGGTTAACGTACCCTATAGCTACGTGCATGTAGTCTTCTATTTCATCTTCCAGCTCTTAACTTAGCCTCTTACAAGATAAATGTTATTTATTAAGAGAGTACACCCTCTCGGAACCATTATTTAGGTTTCACTCCTATGAAGAAGCCGTGTAGAAGTAGCCTTGCCTCAACAACGTGTACCCCCCCCCCCTTCTGTACTTCACCGTTCTTCCTTCCTTCCAAGGTTAACACGGTGACATCTTTATTCCTTATTTCACGCGTTTTAGGCAGAATCCCCACGAAATTTTTTCCCACAAACGTGTATCGGTATCATATGTTTTAGAAAATGTACAAGTTTGCGAAAAATAGCTCAGAAGACAACAGAATCGTCGATTTAATTCCTAAGTAAACGGTATGGGTTAAACGTGCAGATCTTAACTGTTTTTCGAAACACCGTTTATGTAACTTACGTGTAAGTGAGGAATTAAATCGACGATTCTGTTGTCTTTTGAACTATTTGTTCGCAAATATGTACATTTTCTTAAACATATGATATTGATACACGTTTGTGATAAAAATGTCGTGGGAATTCTGCCATTCTGAAATAAGGAAAAAAGGAAAATCGTACATTCGATGTTCCGACATTTTGTTACCGAAACGAACCATTTCGGTAACCAGCGTAATCGAGTGGATCACCAGTGACTATTGGCAAAACTGCCCTAATTCACGTCACATACTAGTCAATGGGCAAAAGGGCAAACGCCTGACTTTTTATCTCGAGTTATGGATTTATGTGGCCTCACTGGCCTATCTGAGGTTCTAAAGCTATGTCTAAGCTACATCTTGACACTAAACTCAATAGGGGCCAATCATCTACTTTTTGAAATAATTGGTCAATTGTGACACTACCCCCTCTCTCTGCAGACACAAATTGAAATTCACAAAAATGAAGGCAAAATTAATACGCCACTTGACTCGAAATTTTCCTTCAGATAACCCAAATAAACGCATTTTCAGAAGAAATGGCATGTTGCCATTGCAAAAAGATTACAACTGTGCCTACATACTAGCTTACTGACTCGTCATGATCACAATTGTGTTGGGACTACATTTATTTTTGAATACTACTTTTTTCTATTCAGCGGAAGTGACGTATTAGGGCATTTTGGCCTAATAGCCACATGGTTGGATGATTTCTGGCTTTAAATTGCGTTTTTCCAATTTACTAGAGTTTTTCAAGTAGTTTTGTGCAGTTTAAGAATATTCTGACAGCAATTATGAAAAATATGGCTACTTCATTACCCCTGGGGTCATTTTTCCAAGAACCCAATGGTTTTCCTTTAAATTTGACTAGTTTTTCATTTACATCATGAAATCTACTGCCTGATGGTGACATTTTTCAGTATCGTGTCAAGAAATTGAGTATTTTATTGCATATTGCAATTTTTAGCCAAAATCACTGAACCGTGAACCAGTAAATTGGACAAATTTGGCCCACTTTTTGGCAAAATCTTACTAAAATCATCACTTTTTCATACTTTATTCCATTCAACAACCTCCTGATTTGAAAAATGATGACAAATTTGATCAGTTTTGACTCTGGCCTAGACAATTGGGACTTTTGAGATATTTTTTAGCTCGAAAGTAGTCATTCAGAGTGAACAAATACATCAAAAATTGACACTTAACTCACCAATTTGTGACTGCACCCCCGATATGTACCTTCTTTCTATACTGGAAACCATAAGATGGAAAATTCAATCTTTATGATGAATAGCAACTCGTTGGCTTCCCCATTTACGACAACAAATGACATTTAGGGGTCACTAAGGACAAAATTGTAGCCAAATATCGTCAAAATCAGTGGTTTTGGGGTAAAAAGCGAAAACTGCTGATTCAGCAAAAACATTAAATTTGTTCATGAAAATTCCCCTTTTTGCCTCCGTCCAAAATATGTTTCACACTAATAAACTTCAATTCTGGGCGATTCTGAGTAGTTTTAAAAAATTTTGGTCACTTTCACATGTGACTAATAGGCAAAACTGCCCTAATTCACGTCACATACTAGTCAATGGGCAAAAGGGCAAACGCCTGACTTTTTATCTCGAGTTATGGATTTATGTGGCCTCACTGGCCTATCTGAGGTTCTAAAGCTATGTCTAAGCTACATCTTGACACTAAACTCAATAGGGGCCAATCATCTACTTTTTGAAATAATTGGTCAATTGTGACACTACCCCCTCTCTCTGCAGACACAAATTGAAATTCACAAAAATGAAGGCAAAATTAATACGCCACTTGACTCGAAATTTTCCTTCAGATAACCCAAATAAACGCATTTTCAGAAGAAATGGCATGTTGCCATTGCAAAAAGATTACAACTGTGCCTACATACTAGCTTACTGACTCGTCATGATCACAATTGTGTTGGGACTACATTTATTTTTGAATACTACTTTTTTCTATTCAGCGGAAGTGACGTATTAGGGCATTTTGGCCTATTGTGCTGCTACCTACATGTAAGTGGGGTTTAAATGTAGTCCATGTTTGTAGTGTTTTACGATCAAGCAAATATTAGTACTCTCGTCTTACCCCCCTATCACACCAAACTAGTTCTTACCCGTTCTTGCCAGTCCTACGAAAACGTCGTAAAACGGGCTCAATCTGGCTGTGGTCGGGAAATATGTCTGAAATAATTAGCTTCTTCGTTCTTAAACAGTCTTCAATACGTCCATCTCGTTCGCAGTTCGTTCAGGTCGCACCACGTCGTTGTGCAACGCCGTAGAACGCGTCCCTTAGTCTAGAAGGTCAACATGACCTGATTACAGAACGGTATGGTCGCCATCGAATTTTGAATCGATTCAAAATTCTAAAATCACATTCCCGTCTGAGAACGTTCATAAAGTTTGTAAATAGACCTTAGAAAGTTGCAGCTACGTTCATTCCGTTCGCACACAGTTTAAAACCAGTTTTGAAGAACGCAGTGGCAACTTGTTTGGTGTGATAGCTATATTTTTGCTAACTCGTTCATAAACAGTGTTAAATACGTTCTTAATCAGTTTAAACCCGTTTGCAATTAGTTCCATCTCGTTCTCAACACGTCCTCAGGCAGTTCAACTCGTTGTTAAAACGTCCCTAGTAGGATTGAAGTACGACGGTTCCGTTCGTAGTACGTCCAGCTCGTCGTTAGTACGTTGTCACTCGTTCTAATTGTAGAACGTGACGACCACGAGAACATTTTGAGCATTGTCTAAGTTCTAGAGGACCTACCCGTTCGATTACGTTCGATGAAGTTTGTAAATAGATCCCAAACGGTTCTTAGAAGGTCCAGTCCGTTCGTACACAGTTGGAGCCCGTTTTCGAGAACGTAGTGAGAACTAGTTTGGTGTGATAGTAGGGTTAGATGTTAAAAGTGACCAATATATACACCTAAATATCTTTGATTAAAGAGGTTTTTATTAAAGCTCGTGAGCATATATACAAAAGCCTACATATCTTTCTAGAGTTTATTCATAATTTGGAACAGCAGTTGATTTCCTGAGGAAATTTTTTGCGCGATTTACACGAATTTGCATAATGATTATATGTAATTGTTTTTTTTTTGTTCTTTTTGTATATGTTCCAGGTTTCGGGCCGATATAAAGATGGCATCAGCGATAGAATATTGATTTGGCTGCCATCTTTATTTAGAAATGATTTCTATCAGCCTTTAGTATATCCTAGATCCTAGCAGGTCAGATTAGCAATTGACTTGTCCCTGCGGCAGACAACAGGGCATCAATGAGTTACCGCTGCATAATGGCCACGTCGTGTCGTCCTCACACCAGGCGTAACCGGTCTCACATAACCCCATGGTGGAACACTTTCCTCCGAGGTTCTCACATTCATTCTCTTCTCCTGTAACGATTAAAAGAACACATGGAATTAATACGGTCTTGAATTAAATTGAGGTGTTCCTTTGTATGGCATGTAGTATACATACACTCCACTCCATAAGTTTGGCATCCTATTTGAAAGCATATTAAAGCCTGTCTAAGTTGAAATCTTAATTTTGTTCCCTAATCACAAAAGTTTGGAAGCGAGAAATAAGATGAATTCTTTTAATCGCCAAACATAGACAGAGTTTGACAAATGATAGAAAAGTGCACTTCCGAGTGCCGTTATGGAAGGTAAAGTAATGATTTGGGGGGGTCCAATAGTCTAGCTACAAGACCTTGCACACACGCTGTGTGAGGCGTTTAGTCAAGTAAAAGAGGGGGGCCACAGAGGCTTGTAGCTAGACTAGGGGTTTCCTAGATAAGTTGTCGAAAATCCTTTTTGATAAGTCCTGGTAATTTAAGAAAAATTAACACATTTTATTTGAATTGCTTATATGCTAGTGATGTTTTAAACACATTTCTTTTGAAATTGATGGTTTTTTCCTGATTTCGAATGGTTAACATTAATCAAAAAGTTATAGTTGAAAGAATCATACATCAAATAACAGATGAAGACTTTACATGCCGATCAAGATATAACTTTTGGCAAAAAAACTAAATCGCCCAATATTACCAATACGCATGAGAACCGAATATCACTTTTGATATCGATTCAATAAAAAAATCGAAATTTTATAAACTCATTAAATAAGTCAAATTGTTCAAAGAAGTCTTTATTCGTATTTTCCTCCAATGTACCTCATGAAGAATAAAATACAACCCTATTTTTACATAATGTACAACTTCACGTGGACGTAAATAATGTATTTTAAAACCATAGAATGTCCCTTTTGCTATAGTTACTGTGACACATCCATGGTATATCATTTCGAAATAAAAACGAATTTTTGTATCCAATGGAAAATCTTGTATTTGAGCATGCTATAGTAAACCATCGGATTGGCCCTTCAACTCTCGTTTGTGATGCGAATGCATTACGTGGGATAAAAATAATATCCTCAGCACAGGACCTGTGTAACCTATCAAAGGATATCCGTTACAAGATAACAAAAAAGTAAAATATTCTGAAAATGATATTCTTTCCTCACCTGTACTAAGTCCTAGAAGTAACAGGCCGAATACGATAGCGATCATCAGTCGTGACATGGTACCAGAGTTTTCCCAATCTAATATAAAGAATCTAAAAGCCAGTGATGGGTGAATCTTCGTCGAAGGAGAGGTGTCTGTGTTTTTAGAATTACTGACTAAACAGGGCTAGTTTCAATACAATTATAAACATCTACTCGATTTTAATTAAAGTGTTTTATTGCACCTATTATTGCACCAAGTATTATTGTCACGGCAACTTAAAATGATAGAATAACAATTGTTTGTTTGTTGTAAATTAATACAAGTAGAACTGTAAGTTGCTTGATAACGTCGGATTACCTATTTTGTCTGTTTTGTTTGTACACCCCTCGTAAATCATGAACATGGGCTGAAGAGATGTCTCCGGTTAAGATGTCGTAAATGAACAATTAGAGTGTTGAGTTTTGCTATTTACGTAGACAGGCGCCTAGTCATCTTAGTCTAAGAGTACATTAAACGATGGCCTCTTCTCAATCAATTTTCATTACTTTGTATTGATTTTAGGTGATACCAGCATATCCCTTTCATATACGTAGGTATATATTGGTATAGGTAGTTTATATATACGTAGGTACATATAGGTATAGGTAGTTCAATTTGCTTTATTGAAAGAGAGTTTCATCTACAGCTTCATGGTATTAAGACCATTGAGGATTAAGGTACGAATGTAAGTTCCAACTCTCAGGACAGATGCTAATGTAAACCTTTGGTAAAACGGTCTCAGTAATTTAAGGCTCCAAGGCCAACTTAGTAACCAGGATAGACTTATGAAATAATGTGAAAAGAATTGATAAAGATAAACTTGAAATACATCATTCGATATTTGAGAGAAATGTACACTCCCCTCCATAAGTTTGGCAACCGGAAACTTTCATGGCATAGTAAATGACTTCCGATCACGAAACTTATGGAGGGGAGTGTATAATTTTTTATCGCGAATTGAATATTTTATCATTTTCTTGACCAACGATTGGGCATATGCAGGCAAGTACATACCAGACCTTTGTACTTTTAAAATACACCGTATGTTACTTATCAGTTTGAATTTCTACGACGTACAACTCAATAAGTTGTTAAATGACGCCTGTAAAATATGTATTAGCGGTTGCCATGGTTATTTGGATGATGCAGATGGTGCCATCTAGTTGTAAGTTATTTCAATCTATTAGGTTTCGATAGAGCAAACTCTCCCAATGCTTGGATATTGAAAGTACACGTACCAAAGATTCTATTTGCTTATGTGGTTCTTTCTGATATCATCCGTCCATCATGTTCAAATGATAATTTAACGACTTCAAAAACATCCTCCGGGCGCAGTGGCTCTGATCAGGGACTGACTTCATCTCGGCTTCCACTGTCGAAGTGAATGATGCCAAGAATCGGCGAATGGATCAGAAACTGTACCTCTTCTCTAAGAGGGGTAATACCACAGAATTCATAGATGACATCACCATGTATAGCACTTACCATTTAGGAAATGTTTATCTTTGAATATTTGGATAATTCTTCCTCTTTACTTAAAAAATGTACATATACTTTTTCTCTTCAGGTGATTCATTCTGTGAATCTGTTCTGAATGGACGCTGCTCCCTTTTGGGTGAGTAGGCATATACCTTTCCGAGTTGGGAATACCTGTATATCCTTAACCTACATTCCCCTTGCCATCATAACTCTCCAAGTGGACCACGTTCAAGTTCAAAGCCTATTAAAATTTTTGTTAGATTTTCCAAAAAAACGTTAAAGTCATTCTAAATCCAAACATATCAATACACTATCCTATAGGTACAAGGGGGTTGGTGTTGTCCTAGTTCTTCATCCTAGGTCAAACCTTTGGGAGACGGTGTACCAAGCAAGTTAACCCGACATAAAAAGACGATGAGTGTAACTGTGTATCTTTACCAAAATCACATTATAGTATAATTTCTCATTTTACTAACAAAGATACAGGCAGCCATCTTTACTCGATGCAAGATGGACGATCTTGTACAGGTACTCGTACAAGAACCTCTATATTCTTCCATATTGTAAACTGACGTGTTATACCGAGACGTGATACGACTTGAACATTGTGAATGGGAATGCAAATTCCATAAGTATACAAATCAAAGTGTTCACTCGTATTGTGTTACACGGTAAACACGATACAAATATATGTCATATTCCGCAACGAATATGGCATATTCACTTGCGGTGTATGATAGATTCACCTGCGGTATATGGCATACTCACTAACCAATGAGAACCGCGCAACCATGAATATATGCCATATTTCACGTAACATATTGATCAATCCAAACCAAGTAAATAAGATGCTAACAATTTCCATGTAACTCCAGGACTATGCGATAGCGGTTATACGTGGTGTGAGAACGACCCCGACTGGTATAACTGTGAAGACGACAGCCTTCAGCCGTGTTGTGTTCCAAGTACAGACGCCGATTGTGCCGTATAGCTTTATATGTGACATAATGCTTGATATGATCTAATTAAACATCTCCATGAATAGCATCGAGTGTTTTAACAAGTTATTCCAAATATGGAATCTCAAAACAGATTCGTTTGTTGAATTTCGCCAGTATAGAATTACAAGTCAAATGTGACAGGAAAATATTTTTAAAATAAACGAAAGGTAAAAGGCAAATAAGGTGTCGTTGTTTCGCCAATGATGCCACCAAAATCGAACTTATTGAAATGGTAATAGATAAAGAGTAAAGCTCTGATAAGACTAATAACGCAAATGCAGAAAATACAACCTCTTTAAATGTAGACTTTGCGTTTTTTGGATTCAAAAAATGCGCATGTCAGGAAATAATAGTGAGAGACAAAAAGATACGAAATATTAAGACTCCTTATATGTGTGTAAATGTCTTAATAATGTCTTTGCGGTGTATATATTTAAAAGTGATTATACATTATTACATTTGGTAACAATAACACACTGTTCCAAGTGGTTTGAACTCAACTTTTCACAGGCCCTCCAATGTTCCTTGTTCAAGACCAAAGTTCTTTTCACTTGAATATTACTTTCATTTACACAATTGTGTCAACTGCCAATACCTACTTCAAACAAATACGACTCACTTTTTAGTGACCTGATAAGAAAAAACTCATTCAGATACAACACAAAGGGTATATCAATTTTTACAATGAATGTTTGTTCTCCACACGTTATTTTTATAACATGTCCACTGTGTATATTTATTTATGCGCCACTCTGAAGAATTGAATTTAACATTGTAGTACATGGGAACTTAAAACTCTAATATCAAAAAGTGTGTAAATTTGAGAAAGCAACTTTAGTCTCAATTTCCCGAGGAAAACAAATTATAAATCTATTGTTAGAGACAGAAAATAATACGAAATATAAAAGAAAATGTGCTAGTTTAAAACAGCACATCATCAACCGGTAGTTCTTCGTAATACATGTACGTTTACCTAACATAAAATACCAAATGCAGTAAAAGGCATCGGAGTATTCGTAAAGGATTAATAGACTCCTCCAGAGTAAATATCGCAAACAAACAATGAAATCAATTCGTGGCGTTTAATCTTCAAAAACCGGAAAATTGCAAAGTAAAGAATTTTGAGATGACAATGTTTTGACAAGTTGCCACTCTCAATTACAAATTGATCACGGTATAACGTTTGCATCCACAGGCACAAATTACTCCTGGAGATTACAGGAATCAATTTATTGATCAACAGTGTGTAGAGTGTAACAATGTATTTACCTCAGCGACAATGAGATACATTGCTAAACGGGAATGCTCCTGTTAAGATATAACTAAAAATCGAGACATGATGATTCGTAATCTTTCATATTTATACAATAATTACAATGCGATCTACAAGTATATACAATACAAAATACAATTGATGATTGAATGATAGACCGCTGTGATAGTCTATTTGACTACAATAGAAGTCAAGAAAGGATGGTACAGGGGCTAATTATTTATACAATAACCGTAGTGCAATGTACAATAAGTACAATATCAAAATATAATTAATGATCAAACGATCCATTGGGTGATCTGATGTTTGGTTACGTACGGAAAAAATCAAGATAGGTCTATGTACAATACAGAAGAGGCATATACAGATCAGAGACAAATATGTCTCTTTTTGATATTCATTACAACAACGACGTACAATAACAACTTGTAAACGCAAAGTACTTATAGATCATTAATAGTGATTACAAAAATCTATAATATAGATGACATTACAAAAGGATAGCCCATTAGGGTAAATGACGTACGTAACACATGGAATGATATAAAAGATAGTCCTACAGGTGAATATTGATTGTCAAATGGATGAACATTAGCTGTGTAAATTGTTGTTTGTGCTGTAAGATAATATCGATGGTGTTTTCCTTTACAAATATTTAAAATGAACATCTGGGTCGTTCATATGCGATAGAAAAAAGGATTATCATATAGTAGCGGTGCATCTTTGGCAATAAATTTGGAATCGATTTCTATCTCTCAGGCTATCAATAATATATTAGCTTACGTGACTCTTCTCTGGCGTTTATCGGGATCAGAAGAACGGTGAATCGTGGGTGGAGTACTGTGGAGGTGTTTCTCCAATTGATGAATACCAGTAAATTTTGAAGGAATACATTTCTGATACTACAAAACGGATTGGGTATCTGCATTTTCATCGGACTGATATGATTCCAAGGTCAGGCTTAATGTGAGGATTATATAGATGTGAGGATTACCTCTATTTTGAAGAAATGGAAATTCATGTGTACGGGTTCTGTGTACAATACTCAGAACTTCGTAAATGGAAGAAAAACATTGTCTAGGAGGCAAATTGTGTTCGAGGGATTGTAAATTGTGAATAATATTCATTTCACATAATGTAAGACTCATCACGTTGACGATATCATTATACTTTTATTTTAAAGTATACCCATCAATCATGAATTTACATAAAAATGTTTCCAAACAGAAAATAAAGTATTCTATAAAATTCAAAGGTTCGTTTGATCGCATATAGCACATTTATATCATTTCAGGAGCACCCATGGTTAAGAAAGTCGTTGAAACGATAATGAACATTATCCGTGCGGCGAACCCGTGTATAAAACGATCCGCAACGTTTAGAGTCGAAGCCAACAATGACGGTGCCCCAAGAAACACCTGCATGCAGTTTTGACACAAGCAGATCACTTACAAAATCTTTACTCAAATACGACATTGAAACGTGGGAACTGCCCTGTTCTTGTTCTTTATTAAGCAATGAATTCAATGGTTGGGACAGGCCCTGTCACCATGTTGCGACAGAGAACCGCCAAGTAAAGCGGAATAAACGCGCAACCATTCCACAAGAGACACCCGTGAGGGAACCAACGATACTCGCTCATAGACCAACGTATCTCAAAGTACAGCCACTGAAGAAGAAAAAGAAAGAACTACGGCTGCAAGAGACGCATGGCACTACTGACAAGGAGAACATCGCCCTTCCAAAGATCAATCCGCACAACAATAACTCAGCTGATCAACAACCAGCGCTAGTTGTTCCTGGTGTCTCGAATACAACCAAGGCGCAAGATCCCGAATATCCTAAAGTGCACCTTTTCAAGCACTACCAGAACGCAAAAACGTATATACGGGAGTACCGGAAGATCCACCAAGCGTTACGATACAGGGGAGGTAATAGTCCAATTCTAGGATTAGATGTACCAGATCCTTACGTTGTTCGACTAAGCGAATTGGAAATTAGGTAACCATTGTATTATAAATAGACTAAATAGCGTGCTTGAGGTAATATAATCCAAAAGTAAATTGAGCAATCTTGTTGTTAGGTATATTTACACGAAGAGACAAATGCGCACTTCATTTGACAGAATTTCTCATGAATTTCAAATGCACAATTTGATCTTAAAATATTTTTTATACAAATCTCACAATGCGATAACCCTAAATTGTTATCTATTTTTCTTTAATTCAGCGCTGATTCTGCACAAATATCTATATTTCAGCCCAAAATTATCACTTTTAGTTCTAACTTAGCGCAAAAATTGTGCAGATTCAGCCAAATCTATAGCTAGTTTTGTGAGAAATCAAATAGGTAATGCAGAAAAGTCAGCGCTAGCTTGCCCCAAACTTATCTCTTGTCGATGAATCGATTGCAGATTAGAGATATAGGCAATATCAAGTCAGTCAGATCCTTTTCGTTTGTACCGATTATCTATATCAACCGCTAAAGTGATACATAGTGGTCTACAATAGATCTATTAATTATAGATTAAAGGGACAAAGTGCTGAAATGAAGTCTCATTTTTGATCTTCATTGTATTTCCAATGGATAAATAAGTACCTGATCTTTCATTTGACACCCAAAATAGCTCAAACAGACCACATCAGACTTGACACTAGATCATGAAAAATTATTTTTGATCTATCAATTTACATGTGTCAAGTTTTTAGCAATACCATAGAAAGATGGCATTGTTGTTTGCATTGATTATCCATTCATTTTTGATAGGATTTTCAAGCATACGCCATCTTTTAATCAAAGAGTTATTTAAAACATACATTTTGTGAAAAGTGGTAATTCACTTTTTTCAATCTCTGAACTTCAAATGCCGTTTTCTATGCGAATAATTTTTTTTTCACTTCAGTATTATCCCAAATTAAAGTTTTTATCATATTTGATTGACTGTGTGAGTGACATGTCTCAAATAATATTTTTGTCCTTTTTCCTTCAAAATTAGGCGCATTGCCTGTTTAATGTTATCAAACCATCGCTGATGTCTATTATAACAGAACAACTAACAGATGAAATATTGATAGGAGCAACAAGATACAATACAAAGGGTTCATTACAATAAGGGGTTCATTACAAATGGATTCATTACAAAGGGTTCATTACAATTGGATTCATTACAAAGGGTTCATTACAAATGGATTCATTACAAAGGGTTCATTACAAATGGATTCATTACAAAGGGTTCATTACAAATGGATCATTACAAAGGGTTCATTACAAATGGATCATTACAAAGGGTTCATTACAAATGGATCATTACAAAGGGTTCATTACAAATGGATCATTACAAAGGGTTCATTACAATTGGATTCATTACAAAGGGTTCATTACAAATGGATTCATTACAAAGGGTTCATTACAAATGGATTCATTACAAAGGGTTCATTACAATTGGATTCATTACAAAGGGTTCATTACAAATGGATTCATTACAGAGGGTTCATTACAAATGGATTCATTACAGAGAGTTCATTACAAATGGATTCATTACAAATGAATCGAATAAAAGCCATTGCAAAGAGTAAATAGGAACATCATTCTCGAAATATGAATCAAATAATAAAAATTGATCTCGATGTTGAACGAACAAGGTCATTGAATTCTCGCTCTCTAAGGTCAATTCCTTGACTTCAAGGACTTGAATGCTAGGCCTAAAGCATTTCTGTAGAATCTGGCAAGACTGGGTATTGTTCTTATTAGGAATTCCTTAACAGCCGACCTTAACACGATTTGCATATAGACAAAACACAAAATCAACAGCATTTTATTTGCTCAAATCAAGGATATAGTATACAATACATATCCCTTTGTCTACTACACTAAATACCTGCTTTATCTAAAAGTCTCAGTGGTTGTATTCAAAACGGTATGAATACGTCCTGTAACTTTTATTTAACTACATGATATGTTCATAACCTTCCTTATTCATTTTTTCAGTCGCTATGATTTGCGTAAAAAATTGCGGCAAATCTATGCGAAATACGCCAAGGAACCAGTGCATATCCCCTCTTTGTTGTTCTATGGGTCAGAAACCCGATGACTCGACAACAGTATGTTATTCGATTTGTATTTGACGTGATAGCTGTTGTGCTACAAATATTTGAATATAATATTTAATTAAATGCCTTCAGTGTGTTTTACTAACGATACCACTGGTTAGTATCTGCATTTAACGACGTTACCGTATCTCTCAAAATGGCGGCCAGCAATTAACGTTTTCGTTATCGATTTAAACCACTTTACAGTATGTGACGACGCCCCAATCACAGGCCATGGATTTTATGATACGATTATTTTCCATGCAAATTGCGCCACCGTACCAACCTATGTAAACTTTCGTGTGTTACATTTACAAAGAAGATAATGTACTTTTTTAAGTGGCAACATTTTATGAGTCTGCGTGTATATGTGCACGATTATTGTGACCAGAATTCCAATGCTTAAGCTAAATTACAAAGTGGTTTAAACCAATGGACACGACACATTTGAACGTATCGGCTCATGTCCACCATTTTGAGGTACGGCAACGGATGTTAATGCATCTACTGAACATGCATTCCGTTGTATTTTTGCAAAACTTACTGTTTTTCTAATTCAAAATAATGTTACACTTTGTCGATGTCTGTCTTATTTTCGTATATAAAACATTATGATTGATAATGTATGTGTGGTCAATGTTTAGCTTTATGTGTAGATTCATAGTTTGGATGAATATGAACTTCCATTGTCAACTTCAACGTGATTGATATGTCAAGGTTATTTTGCGGCACGTGTGAAATAACTTATGGAGGTTAAAGGTACTTAATGTCTTATTGATGGTTAACCACGGGCAAAAATTCATTAAACACTGGCCTTCGATCTTGTATCGAAGTACAATTATCGTGGCACAATGAAAAAACATGCAGTGAAAAAACAGAAAAGCACAATGGTTGCAATAAAACAGTCACGAAATGTCAAAAATGATGTCTGGCATCTCATTCAACTTCCTCTCGTATTATAATAATATTATAATAAACTACCTATTCACAATTTTTGATGATTACATTTAATTGCAATAACCAGCAACAATAATTGTTTATGCATAATTGTTTATTAACATGAAAACATCGTTCTTTGTATTATTATCGAGCTGCAATTTATTTTGATATTTTGAGCAATATTCGTATGTTATCAGAAACAACTTCAAGCCCAGTTCTACACCCAAATTTAAAGGTTTGTCTACGGAAAATTCCCATTTGGACCACTTTAAGCTTGTTTATTACCCCATGCCATAAATAATTAAAATGATTATAAATGTAATTATTTCTATATACTTTTCGGATGCCAGTAATATCAATTAAATATCACATAATGGATTCTTCTTACGTTTCATACCCCCATAAATGTGAGGTTATTTTGAGTTTTTTTTATTATTTTTGAATTTTTTTCTCAAAATAACCTCACAAAGCTTACTATGTTGATTCTTTGGGGATTTTTTCTTGAACGACCATGGTAGAAGACATGCTAAATTTGTACTAAAATAATCAAATTTTATAAACTTTTTTATTATTTTCGTATCGACAAGACATTAATCATCAACTTGCTACAAAAGATAGCCCTCGAAATAATCTATTAATTCTTGTAATGACGATCTAGTACGGATAACAGAAATTTCTCAAACATTTTCAATTTTGTACTTTCCTTCCAATTTTGCAAATTACTCCCGTTATAAAGCATCGTTTCGACTGATCGATCGCTCATTACATTGGAAAAAGAATCATCTTTACAGAAGAGAAGAAAAAAGGTAAGGAAACTGCTGATATTGTTCGGACTTGAATCTTCAAATCATGTAAACAATTCCCTAAAGAATCGATATAGTAAACTTTGTGAGGTTATTTTGAGAGAAAAAATTCAAAAATAATAAAAAACCTCAAAATAACCTCACATTTATGGGGGTAACGTTTCATGAATAACATATTTTGAGACAATTTTTGTTCACAATTCTGGAGTCCTTGACTTGTACGAAGGGATAGTGCACACTCCGAATCACACAACGTTGAGAAACGTTGAGAAACCATTGTTAATCAAGGGTTCGTTTTTGTAGGATCTCAACTTTCAATTCCGAGGAAATCATTTTCTATTTTATGGTGATCAATAACTTGCGACCAAATCGTAAGTTACGACGATTCCAAAAGCAACGGCCCAGATTCTGAAATAATCGTTTTATTTATTTTTCAAGGAAAGACTGTTTTCAAACCATGGTTCATTTTTGTTTGAGCACATCTACAATTCAAAGATGATTATTGGTTTGTGCTAAAAAGAAAAAATCCAATGTCGGTTACAAGTAGGTCACCGTGACCTGTATATATTTATCAAAATTCATTTTCTAATTCGCTTACAAATTAAATTCTGAGCAATGTAATATTATGTTACCAAAATCCAATCCTGTTTCTGATAACAATTCAAGATGAACATCATTCACATTAATCTAACTAGAAATAACTTTTAATCTTCAGCACGGTTCAAGATTTTGATTGACAGAGGGTTATATTTGGAACATGAAATTGATGTCCTGTGTTAAAACTCCAAGGTCAAGCTGATCTGGTCCCTCTCTAAGGCAATTCAGAAACAGATTTTCATAGAAATTGATCAATTCTATCTTTATATTTCTTAGTCAAAACATATTTATAGAAACATTGACCTTCCAAACCATTCTTGGGTATCTAATATCAGTTTAAGCAAGAGGTTTTAATCATGATTATTTTTGTCCGAAAGAGGATTTTTGCAATGTTTTTGCAACACTGTTTTGTCAAAGGATTTCTATAAAAAGCGCCTAAACTTCAGTTCAGGATTCATTTGAAGTTTTCAGGGTTCATTTGAAGTTTTCGTGTGATGAAACGATAATCAGTTTCACCAGAATAGTAGTTTCAGCTCTATCTGAATACTTCGTCATAAATATAGTCCTCAAATTTTCGATGTGTTGATATACTTTGTACTTGCCCGTAGCCAGCTTTTACCAGGAGGGGGAGCTTTTCACCTTTTTCACAATTTTGGCTAAAAATTATGGGAAAAATTCTCAGAATGGTGAAAAACTGCATGATTTTGAAAAGAATTTCGTTCTGGCCAGGGGGGAAGCTCCCCCAGCCCCCCCCCCCCACCTCCCTCTGGCTACGGGCCTGTTGTATATTGTTCTTTGAGATAAGTACCTTTTAAGGGGACAACTCATATTATTGTTTTGGAGACCTCCTTTATTAGTTTATTTCCATATATGTATTTGCCAAATAATACTTCCGAGAAATACAACAAAAGTAGAAATACAACACAAAATTCAATTAGTTGCCGTTTTGGCCATTACTTCGCCTTTTTGGGCCAAAATTTCAAAAAATGCACTCACAATTTCTGTCTTCATATGTCAATAGTGAAATACCTTTTATGGATTAGGTGTCTGCTTCTACTAGTATGGTGACTGTTGTACCATAAATGGCATTTTTGGATTGATGAATATGTATTGTTCTCCTGTTCAACATTGAATTCCTTCGTGATTGCGTGACAATCAGATTAAAAATTTATAAACCAAGAGTTGAGTTTATAGTCATAAAAAGTTCTAACTACGTCCAATCCCAGAATCCGTTCGCTCAGAGGATTAGCCAGTTTGGAAATAGTTTCATGAACATAGTGAGAGCAAGTGAGGTGTGACTGAAAAATTATCATGGGCGTAAGGCTTTATCAAGAGCTGGTATGCCCACTCGGGGAAGGCAGTATTATGGGTCCGGTTGACATGCTACCTTTATTACCGATATTGGGGCTGTTCATGTACATGAATCGCTAAAATCAGAGCCTGCTCTGATGAATTGCACCATTTGAATCTTAATGGAGAGGTTTCTGAAAAAATGCTTTGTCTGCACATGTTATTTTCAAGTACAAAATAGGGCATGGGCTTTCAACTAGAATTGAAAGCCCATGAATAGGGTAATGACACAAATGTGTATTTTTTGCTTTTTACGGGAAAGTAAGTCCTTGCATTGTCTTCTTTAAGTAAACCTGGTCAAGGGTCTCTCTTCTCCAGTTTCTCAACACTATTGGATAACCTAAAAATCTAATTCCCCTAACACGAGATGTAATAAGGATACTTTCCTGAAAAATATTGACATACCCATTTTTTCATACTTTATACAATAAAACGGTAGGTATATATGTTTTTCAAATTGGCTCCATTTAGTTTTACATCCTGTTTCTGTCGACAAAATTGCAAGCGACATGTATAATTGACCTAAGTATTCTTTACCATCTCAAATATAATCTCCCAAAAATCCACTGAGTGCTACCAAATGATGAATTTCTATGTGCACAAAGCTGTCATTCTGATGTGCTAGAGCCCCTCTATCTGTCGTTTGCGAGAGGATAAAGGATGAAGTCAAAGAGGGTGCGGGTATCGCGAAATAACTGTATTTCTGTAAAGGCACGTTGCCTTGTCGGCTACACCCATGCACTCCATTCCATGTCGTGCCTATTTTCTAAAAATCCATTTCGTTTCATTACTTCATCTAAGAAAACTTTTATTTTTGTCCTCGTAAAATATTGGCATGGCATTGAATCGATCAAACGTCAATTAACAGAAGGGACGAAAGGGACGAAGAAAATGCACACATGCACGTTGTATCATAACCACTGTATTTTTATCATCATGTTGCCACTCGAGTCTAATATACTTACTGGCATTCGAAGATTGCCAGAACTTATTGTATTTGTTCAAACCATCCATTAAAGTTTGCAAAATGCGATTCCTTCTGATTTCAGTAACGTTATTTGAAAGAAATACGTTCCACCAGTTGTTACTGCGATTCAGTTTAATATGATGTATAATCCATACCATTGAAATGAGCAAATGTATACGAACCCCATGTAAAGGAAATGGTTTTCCAGGGAATATCGTATTTTGAATGCCCCACCCATTTGAATCATACAAGTATATGAATTCTTCATCGTAATTGTATTCATCATCGTGAAAATCGGAATTGCGTTCCTCATCGGATTTTGTCATTAATTTATCGATGATGGAAATGAAGCATTCGCCCAAATTACTCGCCCGACAGTCCTGTTGATGATGTATTATAAGAGTTCTTAGAGCATATGATGAAATACGACATTGACTTCCTAATAAACGTATTAAATGGGAAACATACTTTAATGTTAGAAATATCTTCCGATGAGGTGGTGTGAGTTCATATTTATCCGAATTCGGTAGTTCTACCACAGATTCTATCCAGAAGCCGTGTTCGGCCGGTTGGCCGATTATATGAACACTAGGCCCTAGCTCATGAGGCTCCAATTTGAGACAGAAACACAAGTCGATTTCTGTCGTCCCTAAAGGCGCTCCCACTCGTAAACGCACTGCAGGGCCATGGATGCCAGTATTTTGTATTTCATTGCGGCGGTACTGTTTAAATCTCGGGTTCAATTTTACAGTTCCCTGAGTTTCCACATCATGATATACCATGACATCTCATTTCTTCTCAGCCCTGAGATGCCATGATATAATGAGCTTGATTTGGCGATCCAGGAGAGCCCAAAATTGAGGATTTTTGAGATCTTTCATCCCAGCTCATATTTCATTTAATTGGGGTCATTAAACTTGTGTACACGTACCTGTGCTAATATCTGCTGTTAAATACAATGCCTATTATGTAATGTATTGACATTAGGTAAATGATTACATGATAACTATCACGCTTATTGACAGTTATAACTCTTCCCATCTGATGGGCTCAGATCACAGAATATGCATCATAATATCAGAGCATGTTTCAGGTGAAACAGAAAGATGCTATGAGTATCAGAATGGAGTTTCCATGTGTTCAAGTGCCACGGATATAGTACCATTCAGCATATAAAATAGCTCATTCATCTTGAATTCGGCGTCACCATTCTCATTGACAGTTTTCAAGCACTTTGGAGGTAAAGGATTGGGGAGTCTATTAACATTGATTCTAATTTTGCGTTTCCCATCATCCTCATGGCGCTCACTTGCATTTGTCACATCTGTTATATATTGAGATAGAGCTAGTATTGGATGGTAATCATACTCATCGGGGTGAAGTATTTTTGTTCCGTCATAGTAGCTACCTCGATTTATCAGTCCATTTGTGGCAAGCGCTGGTTCTATGTTGCCAACATTAACGAGGATATCTTTCACAAGATTCTCCACAAATGTAGTATGCTCTTCCAACTTGCTTTCTGTATAAACATTTCTAATGTCAACTGTGTTAGCCGTTAGGTTTATGAATTTTGTTAAACGTTTCTTGTTTTGTGATTTACTCAAACTGCATCCCATCTTTAACGATAGGTTTAAAATCTTTAATGTGTTTTTTGTAACTGTAATACGCTGTACACTGTACGTGTATTTCAACGTTGCTCAAATTAAGTACAGACTAAGTCTGTAAGGCCAGCTGTAAGGCAGCCTTTAAATTTAGTTGATTCTTAAACTATTATATAAATCCTCCTCAGATGTTCTCTTAAACAAACGTGTGACATCGATTCTATCAATACCTATTTGTCACCTAGTGTTCCCATTATGGAACTCTCAAATAGCAGTGGCGTAGCCAGCAATTGGTGACCAGCAGGGGTTCGATTTTTTATGTTATCCACAAATCTCCCCCTTCATCGGTGTACCTCACATAAAAACATTTTTTGTATTTGTCATACATACAATTCATTCTTTAGAGTTCATTCACATGTAATTCCCACACTTTTAGCTGAATTTTGAAAAGATTCCAAATAAAAAGATTTTTATTTGCTATTTCATTTTGTTAGGCGCATAGTGACAGACGACAAATAGTATTGTATTAATGGAATGAAACATAGTCTGAAATTCCAAAAAGACCAAATTGAAATAAAAATATATCCATGAACTTGTGAATAATTATAAACTTTAATTTGTTTTTGAGAAATGAACATTTTATTATCTTTATTAATGATAAACATGTTAAAGAATGCTTTTGCAAGGCTAATACTCTCGTCTTTCTGGCAAATACACTCCCCCTCCAGAAGTTTGCAACCTTAGCTCCCTCCTCTTTATGTTTGAATTTCTATTTACATAACCTGCGAGGATAATACTTATAATATTGATGAAAATGTAACTTGACTTCATTACCAATGCCACAAATTTTCCCATTTTTTCTTCTAAATTTGATGAATTTTTGAAAACCGTCTTTCCCACATAAACCAAAGGGAACCAATGGACTTCATATTTAATTAGTAGATAAAAAAAGCGGTAAAATCATTCAAAAGAGGCTTTTCAAAAATATTTTAAAAGGCCAAACACTTCTAAAAGAAGAAGAGTCGTGGCAACATCGAGTCCAAGCAAACTCAAACCTTGTTATATTTCAACACATTCATCAAAATATTAAACCGTGATTCGCATGGCAAATGGGTCTTGAATTTCCAAAATACATGTGGTCACTTGCTAACCTCATTAACCTGGCCACAGATCCAAGTTATAAAACATATCGTTGTGACAGTTGCTACAGGTTGTGAACGTATCGTTGAACATTATTTGCAGTGCGAGTATGTTTCAATGCATAGGAACATCTTCTTTGAAAAACTAATCGACCATCTACCTTTAAGTGTGGGTGTAAACCTGTTTAACCTCGCCGATGAAAAACTCACACACTTCTAGGCAGTAGGTGGTAGGTAAGAGTTGTTCATGGATGATTTGATGTTTGAGCAATTCATAATAATGTGTAGCGTAGGTCTGTTTGACATTAAAGGTTTCTTCAGGTATGTTTCACAAGATTCCACGAGTCTTGGGGAGTATACTTGAATATACTGTAACGGAATTTTGAAATGTAAAATTTTTGATTTTTGATAAAGTGCTGTATTTTTGTACATTAGGTAATTATTACACTTGGAAAGTAATTTCCCATTGAGATTATTAAGATTTATAAATGTAGTATCATTTGCAGCACTTAGGTTGTACTTACAGAGGTGAAATAGTTCACATGTTTTATTTATTTGATCACGATTTTGTTTATGTTGATCGGGAAGTCTTATCTGGCAGTCTAATTTGTAGTTGATCGGTAGTCTAACATGACACCTTTATTATTTTACTTCCTGCTTTTGATTCGATTGAATCGAAGTGAAATTAGACTAGATAGTGATTAATTACTGTTATATTTCTTGAGTCAATATTATAATCTTGCTGTATGGTCAATATTGAAGCGAAATATGGCGTAAATGAGCTGTAATTCACAGTTGAAATCTTGTACGAAAATCAATGACGTCATCGGGCCTATATAACTATCTCGCTGTTGAAGGCTCGTCAGTGCGATGCCAGATGTTGTCGAGGAAGGACCTCCAGAGCGGAATTTCGGGAAACAGCTAAAATTTTCTAAGTTTTATAGAACTTAGTTGATTTTGTGGTCTTGAAGCTATACGTTTGCAGTATACACATGAAGATAGAAGCTGTACCTTAGTAGAATATATCTGATGAGCCAAGCTATACGTTTGCAGTATACAAGGGCAGATTGAGGAAACTAAGTGTGCGAAACTTAGTTCATTTGGAACTTGGATTTTTGGGAAACTTTGATGTAGCTAAGTGTGCGAGACTTAGTTTATTTACCGCACTGGAAGTAAGGGAGATCTACAAGACTGGACAAAACTTCAACAGGGTGAAGCTATCCCCAGCGCAAAGCATTAGACGTATTGTCCAGCCTTCATAGACTGAGAGGAAATGCTGACATAACTTGTGTTTGAGAAACTTAGGCTATTTTGATCATCAAGGAACTTAGACGATTTACAACATTATTGGACTTAGTCAGTATTTGGTGAAACATTATTTTGGACTTTGTTATTTTTGGAGATAGAAATATTTAACTTAGAATATTTTAACATCAGTATAACTTAGTATGAAATTAACTTAGTCAATATTTGGTGAAATATTATTTTGGACTTTGTTGTTTTTGGAAAGAATAATATTGAACTTAGAATATTTTAATATCAGTAGCACTTAACATTAAATGAACTTAGTCATTTTAGAGGTCAAATATTTTCACATGTTATATTTTTGCATATGTCGTTGTGTGCATGCTATATTTGTAGGTAGCCTTATTATGTAATTGTGAAGGAAGCAGGCTACATGGACTTAGCAGTTGATGCCATGTATTAGACGTCCTTGGACTTGGTAGATTGAAGATTGTGATAGTTTGACTTATACATCTACAGAGAAGAGGTTCTGGGACTTAGCAGTTTATTCAACGAGATATTTTGACTTTGATGATTTTGGGTCATTGAAGTTAGAATATACATCTACAGAGAAGAGGTTCTGGGACTTAGCAGTTTATTCAACGAGATATTTTGACTTTGATGATTTTGGGTCATTGAAGTTAGAATATACATCTACAGAGAGGACGTTCCAGGACTTAGCTTGGATTATTTCACATAATCAAAGTTGAACTATACTACAACACAGAGAGAAGGATCCGGGAGATAGTCATTTCCAGACCTGATAGTTTGACTTAGATTATTTTACATAATCAAAGTTGAATTATACTACAACACAGAGAGAAGGATCCAGGAGATAGGAGTTTACACAACTGATAGTTTGACTTAGATTATTTCACATAATCAAAGTTGAATTATACTACAACACATTGAGGAGGATCCAGGACTTAGGAGTTTACACAACTGATAGTTTGACTTAGATTATTTCACATAATCAAAGTTGAATTATAATACAACACAGTGAAGAGGATCCAGGAGATAGCCGTTTACAGAGCCGATAGTTTAACTTAGATTATTTTACATAATCAAAGTTGAATTATACTACAACCCAGAGAGGAGGATCCAGGAGATAGCCATTTACCGAGCCTATAGTTGACTTGATGATTTCACATTATCAAAGCTGAATTATACTACAATACAGTGAAGAGGATCCAGGAGATTTACGTTTACGGAGCAATAGTTTGACTTAGATGATTTCACATCATCAAATTTGAATCATACTACACTACATAGAGGAGGATCCAGGAGATTACTATTTCAGGTTCAAGTTACAAGTACAATACAAGACGTACAAGTATTACAACATATATGAACTTTTAATATTGGAGATACAACAGTGGTATATAGTGATCATCTACTTTAGTTTATATGGACTCTGGATATTGTGTTCTTAGTGATTATTATTAGCTTATACGGACTCTAGATATTGCTTTATTAGTGATAAATATTAGCTTATATGGACTTTTGAGTTGTGAGTTTTGAGAGAGATAATAATATCGTAGCATTTTAACCTTCATACTTGACATTTAATGTACATCTTTATTTGGGCTTATAAACGCCACAATATACTGTTTTATATTTATATTTAATTGTATATGTTTGTTTAATTCTTTAGGGACAATCGCACATTTAACGTGTGCCGTGTAACTCACCAAGTAAACACCGTTTACTAAACAGTGGGCCTATTATTAGCCACGCTACCACGTATATCCACAAAAATAGGCCAAACTGTTACATTGGTGGCAGCGGTGGGATTGACTGTTTCTGAGGGATTGAACCAGAGGCACATTATAGCACTTTAAAGATGGATACAGAGGCTCCAAAGTCGATAGAGAGTGGTGATCTCTCTGATACAAATACAGACAAGTCTAAAGATGTAGAGAAGACTGTCTTTGTAAAGTTAGCTACAGACGGTGAGATAGATAATCCCATAGCCAAGGATGACACTCTTCAATATACAGGAAGAAAGGCTACGGAACACATGGCTACAGAACTCCCAGCGATGGAGAAATGGAGGTTGCCAAGTGAGGCAGATCCAGATGAGAGACACCCTACAGTGTGGGGTGCAGAAGCAATCTACCCTAGTGATAAGACTGGGATAGAAACCGAGTTTAAGAAAGCCTGGAGTAGACAGACTACTGGCTATTGGTCAGGCACAGTACATGATGGTGTGTATAGTCCACAGAGTCAAGCATGGGGAGCCAGACCCAAAGGAGATAGATATATGCCTCGCACCTCAACAATGATAACTACACCTGCAGAACTTAAACTGGGCATGCAGGAAAGACCAGTTGATAGAGAAATGAAAACGCATATACATGTTATGGAAGATGCCATTAACCAGAATGTGACTACCATAAACATGATGGAAGGACACATGTCTAACATGGGAAGCCAGGTCAATAACCTTGGAGGAGATGTAACACAGATAAAAGACCAGGTGAACAACTTATGCCAGACATTACAGATGGTATTACAAAGTTCAACTTCTCGCTCTGAGCCAGTATTACAGAGTAATGTCCGACCTTCAAGTCCTGTAGTTACATTCGGATTGAATCCAGGGATTAGGACAGAGTTACCGATGAAGTCAAGTGTAACCCCTCAAAGATTACAGTCTCAAGAAGTAGCTTCTACATTTAACCCCCAGCAAAGACTGGTAGGGGGGCGCATGGTGACTAATGAAGAATTGCATGTGAAACAAGATAGAGAGGTAACACCTCCAAAGTGGCCACTCAGGCGTCAGAAAAGAGTGACTTCTGAAGAAGATTTTCCGAGATTGTCAAAGCGACATGCATTTCAGAGTCCACCCACAAAAAGGAGATTTACAACTGTAGCTCCAGAAGATGACTACAGATCTGGAGAAACAAATGTTATGGAAATGCAAAGTGAAGGAGTATCTTTACCTCAGTCGGTGTATCATCCAGAGCCAATTGTTAGACATCAGTTGGATGAAGTCAAGTTGGAAGATGAAGACGCACATAATTCCAATGAACGAAGGGCTCATTATGTTGATAATGGTGTACCACCTCTTACAAAACCGGAGCCATCAGAGACAGCATCAGATAAGATGGCTGCTATGGTTGTTCGATTAGCTGAGAAGGTACTCAATGATTCACCAAGTAATAATAGATCATCCCAGGGCAAGACAAAGATCAAGCCAGACACATATAATGGAACTACACCCTGGATAGATTACAAAGCCTATTTTGCCATGTGTGTAAGTGCAAATTCATGGAGCGATGAAGAGAAGAAACAGTTTCTTGCAACTAGCCTTAGGGGTCAAGCGCAACAACTCATCTATGAGATGGACCCTGGCTATACGTATGATGAATTGGTGTCTGCCTTAGATAAAAGGTTTGGCCCAGGAGGTAAAGCAGATGTGTACCAAGCAGAGTGGGTTAGCCGAACACGTAAACCAAAGGAAACACTACAGACTCTGGGTCAAGATGTCAGACGGCTGACATCATTAGCATATCCTGAGTTACCTCGGGCTGCTCAAGATCGATTGGCAAGGGAACGTTTTGCTCAGGCTATCCCTGATGATGAGATTAGGCGTGCCATTCATAATAATAGCAGTGATTGTTGCACTTTGGACAAAGCCATCGAAATTGCCATACGAGAAGAGTCTTACCTTGAGTCTGAAAGGATGCGCAAAGGTTTAAAACCAAGACATAGAGATGAAAGAGTAAATGCTGTAGAAGAGAAACAGGCTCAAAATGAAATGATGCAATTGGTAAAGGCGTTTCAGGAGATGCATAGGGACTCTACAGTAATGCAAAATAAATTGATGCAGGAGAATCTTATGAAGGTGGTGCAAGAGATGCACAAAGAATCTACAGCTAATCTTAAGACAATAATACAAGAGTTGAAGGACAAAGAAAAATCCTATGAGTCTGGAGAGAAAAGGCCTGTGTCCAGAGGTGTCAAATGTTATTATTGCGACAAGTTAGGACATTATCAGTCTGATTGTTATAAAAAACAGAATGACATCAAGAAAGGCATCATCAAAGATTCGAAAGGAGAATCCACAAATCCTGTCAAGTTTCTAACACATGGAGACTTGGAGATATCCAAAAGTGATAGTAGCGACACTACAATACGCAAGATTATAGCCACTGGTACTGTGTGTGGAACGAAAGTAGAGTTCTTAGTGGATTCGGGAGCAGTCCGAACTATGATTGGCCAACGAAGTTATATGCAGATACCAGATAGACTAAAACCCAGATTGTATCCTGCAGATAGGGTATTCATTCAAGCAAGTGGCAGCCCTATAGCAGTCTGTGGAATAATTGATGGAATAATTGAATTAGATGGTCAGGAAACACAAACATCCATTGTAGTGGCAGATATTGATCATGATGGAATTTTAGGATCTGATTTCATGACAATCACTGGTGCTGTGATAAATTATGGTGCTAAAGAATTGACATTTCCAGCAAGTAAACTTGCTGAGGTTATGGCCGCTAATGTGATTGAAGATAAGATGCTGCCTTCTACTACTTCTTCAGAGAAGACATCTGCAGATACAGAGACAGAGATTATTCAGCTTGAGGAATCTGAGGAGCCAGAGTTGCCTCCAGCACCATGTCCAACTGATGAAAGTGACAACAGTGATGATGATTTAACTGAACTCAAACTTGGAGCTCCTGTGTCACAGTCGACACCTGTTGGAGTTAGATCAAGTCCCATTGGTTATTATCCAGGTAAATTGGGAGAAGAGGATGGATGGGAACCTGCACCTGATGTACCATTTTGTCCGGGTTTGATCTGTGTTACACCGACGAGTGTAGTGATACCAGAGACTCCCTCTGTGAGTCAGGGAAGTATGTCCCAGGCATCGTCGAGTGACGTGCAGGGTATTCAAGACACTCCAGATTCCCAAGATGTAGAACCTGATTTATCCCAATATCAACGCAGTTTGCAAAGTGACGATTTGTTTTCAAACAAATCAAGTAGCCCAGAGTTAGAGTTGAACAGGGACTCAGCAGAATATGAGGAAGAGAGCTTCAAGACTTGCAGCTCTGCTTCAGAGTTGCAGGCTCAATGTTCAACAGGACTCACAGTTAATCAAGATGATACTGAGTTATCAAATATAGGAGAGGCTAGCGGAAGTCAATCAGTCACGGATTGCAGAGTGAAAGAGGATATTACCGTTGAACCTTACACAATGCGCTTAATAGAAGTGGAGATGCAGAAGAGCATCAATTCGTGTGAGTTGGGAATTATAGAGCCTCTTACTGATTTTGACGCAGCGAATGTAGAAGTTGTGTCCACATTGGTAGAATTAGGCCAGCAACAATTGTTTGTGGAAGTGTGGAACCATACTGAATTTCAAGAACATCTACCTGCTGGAATAACCATTGGAGAGTACAGTACCATTGAAACTGGAGTGTATCATTTGACAGATGCATCTGAGTTGCCTCAAGATGATGTATGCATCTTACAGGGAGCATCTGCTGGTACAGACATGAAAATACAAACACTACCAGCACATTTACAGGAATTATTTGACAGAAGTTGTGAACATCTGACGGATAATCAAAGGGAAAAAGTTAGAGTTATGCTGTGTCGAAATGCTGACATATTCGCCACAGGAGATGCTGATTTAGGACGCACTCACCTAGTTAAACACCACATTGATACTGGTGATTCTGCCCCTATTAAGCAAATGTATCGACCCTTACCGAAAGTTAAACAAGAAGAGGTGAATAAACAGATTGAGGATATGTTGGAGAGAGGGATAATTGAGAAATCAAAAAGTCCATGGGCATCTCCAATTGTCTTGGTGAAAAAGAAAGACAATTCATGGAGGTTTTGCGTGGATTACAGGCGCCTCAACTCTGTCACCAAGAAAGATGCATTCCCTATACCACGAATAGAGGAGACCCTCAACATGATGAATGGATCAACTTACTTCTCCTGCTTGGATATGGCAAGCGGATACTGGCAATGTGAGTTAGATGAGAATGCAAAAGAGAAGTCTGCATTTGTCGTCAGAGGTGGCTTATACCAATGGGTTGTCATGCCTTTTGGGTTGGCGAATGCCCCCTCTACATTTTCGAGATTAATGGAGCAAGTGTTACATGGACTCAGCTCACAGTCATCACTCGTGTATTTAGATGACGTCATTACGTTTTCCCCAACGTTTGATGGCTGTATGGATCGATTACAAGAGGTATTCGACAGATTCAGAGCTGCAGGACTTCGTCTCAAACCGAGGAAGTGTTCCTTGTTCCAGAGAGAAGTTGATTATTTGGGACATGTGGTGTCGGAGAATGGGATCGCTCCAAATCCAAAGAAAGTTCAGCAGATGGCTGAGTACCCAACACCAAAGAACGTCAAGGAAGTTAGGCAATTCTTGGGTGGTGCATCATACTATAGGCGCCATGTGCAAGACTTTGCAAAAATTGCTGGTCCCTTACATGCTTTGACGAAGAAAAACCAAAGATTTTATTGGGATGGGGATTGCCAAGTAGCATTTGACATGCTGAAGCAGAAGCTTATTACGGCTCCTATATTGGCTTATCCCAGAGATGACTGCCCATATATTCTTGATACAGATGCCAGTAACGAGTCTATTGGTGCTGTACTATCTCAACTTCAAGATGGAGAAGAAAGAGTGATATATTATGCCAGCAAGCGGCTCAATAAACAAGAGAAGAACTATTGTGTGACCAGGAGGGAGTTGCTGGCTGCAGTGAACGATGTGCGCTACTTTCGACAATACCTGTATGGAGTCCACTTTAAACTCCGAACGGATCATAGTTCACTGAGATGGTTGATCAACTTTAAGGATCCCGAGGGACAACTGGCTCGTTGGTTGCAGGTGATTCAAGAGTACAATTTTGAACTCGAGTTTCGACCCGGCAACAAACACCAGAATGCGGATGTGATGTCCAGGATTCCCTGCCGACAGTGTGACCACTGTGAAATACCAGAGGAGACTACCATGTATTGTGTAGAAGATATAGCAACAGTGGCTATACATCCAGAGTGGACTTTAGAGAAGATAGCAGAGGCTCAAGCAGAAGATGCAGATATCGGGCCAATATTGGAAGCAAAACTTAAGTCTGAAGCGAGACCATCTTGGGATGAAATAAGCTATAACAGTGCGGCTATCAAGAACTATTGGAACCAGTGGGATCGCATTGTGCTTAATAAGGGAGTTTTATGCAGAAGTTGGGAAGATGATGAAGGACATACTGCATCACTTCAGATATTGGCACCAGCAGTTCTTAGGCCAATAGTGTTAGAGATGAGCCACAGTAACAAAGTTGCTGGACACTTTGGCATTAAGAAGACATTTATGAGGAGTCGACAGCGCTTCTATTGGCATGAACAACGTAATGATGTACGAGCTGTTGTGCGAACTTGCAAGATTTGTGGTGCAAGGAAGAAACCCATGAAACCATATCGTGCCCCTATGAAGACACATGGAGTTGGTAATCCCATGGAAAGGATAGCCATAGATATCCTTGGGCCTTTTCCAGAAACTCCTCGGGGAAACAAAGTTATACTTGTATGTGGGGACTATTTCTCCAAATGGATGGAGGCTTTTGCTTTACCCAATCAAGAGGCCCGTACTGTTGCTGACAAGATAGTGGCTGAAGTTGTATGTCGATTAGGAATGCCTGCGACCCTACATTCCGATCAGGGACGTAACTTTGAAGCGAAAGTCTTTCAAGAGATGTGCAACTTGCTGGGTATAGAGAAGACGAGGACAACACCATTCCACCCCCAGTCGGATGGGATGATAGAGCGCTACAACCGTACGTTGTTAGATTCTTTGGCTAAGCTCCTTCAGCCAGAACCCCACCAAACAGACTGGGATTTGCAAATTCCGTTCGCACTAATGGCCTACAGAACGGCAGTAAATGAATCCACAGGCGAGACACCAGCCATGTTGATGCTCGGTAGAGAGCTGAAACTTCCTCTGGAGACATTAATTGAAGTCCCACCAACGGATACCGAGGAAAGTGATTATGTTACTGATTTACGAGAGAAACTTAGTGAAGCCCATGATCGTGCACGAGCGAAACTTAAACTCAGTGCAGAAAGACAGAAGGTGGCGTATGATCGGAAGTTGGCTGGACATTCCTACAGTGAAGGAGATGCTGTCTGGTATTTGGACAATACCAAAAGGAAAGGAGTGTCGCCAAAATTGGAGAGTAAATGGAAGGGTCCTTTCCAAATCATCAAGAAGATCTCCGATGTCACCTACAGAATACAGATTAAGGGCAAGAAACCAAGAGTTATACACTTCAATATGCTCAAACCATATGAAGCTGAATTGCCGGATGGTTGGTGTATACCAAAGTCACAGCCAGAGATAATTATGGAACCTCTTACAGATGACCCCGTGCAGGAGTTAGTTACTGACAAGGTTCCATGTTCTTCTAAGCCTATCTCTAAAACTGTGAAATGGAAGGATCAGGAAGAAGAGCCTAAAGTAGAAAGAGACTCTCAACCTATTCTCCCAGATGAAACTCCAGACTCCAAGAAAACTGTAAAGTCATCACCCAAGAGGGAAGTGGATGACAAACCTTCCAGGAGGGAACGCAAACGTCCCAGACACTTGGATGATTTTGTGGCTGGGGTTTCTGAACATAATGATGTGTACAACCAACCTGGAACAAGCAGAGATAGTCACCAATCGAGGCCGTATTCAAGGTCACCTGATTACAGACATGATTGGAGATCAGATAAGTATGGTCCTAGGTCAAGGAGATACCGAGAATACCGACATGACAGAAATCAATCAGCTCATTTTTCTGATAGACATTCCCGATTGAGACAAAGAGCATCAAATGAGCTTAACAGGTCAAACCATACTCGTGGTGCAGACCTTCCAGACAGTTTCCTGTGTTACAGAAGGTTTAGCCGGGATCATGATTGGAGATCCAGAACCCATGATAGACGATGGAGGTCCAGGTCTCAATCATCCAGGAAGCGCTACAAGAGAGAGTAAATTCACATAAGTATAATTTTAAATATGTGAAGTGAAACATAGTTAGTTGTTAACTTGTTCGATATCTAGATAGCTTTAGATAGTTAGATATTCAAGTAGTTAGAAACTTGAACATTGTACTGATAGTTAGTTAACCCCGGGGTTGAACATATTTGACATGTTATACATTTTTGGCAAGTTAGATATTTTCTAAGTTTTTATAGTTAGTTAGAAAGTACATGTATGTCTTAGTTTGGTACGAGGACGTACCAATATCTTGGTAGGGGGGAGTGTAACGGAATTTTGAAATGTAAAATTTTTGATTTTTGATAAAGTGCTGTATTTTTGTACATTAGGTAATTATTACACTTGGAAAGTAATTTCCCATTGAGATTATTAAGATTTATAAATGTAGTATCATTTGCAGCACTTAGGTTGTACTTACAGAGGTGAAATAGTTCACATGTTTTATTTATTTGATCACGATTTTGTTTATGTTGATCGGGAAGTCTTATCTGGCAGTCTAATTTGTAGTTGATCGGTAGTCTAACATGACACCTTTATTATTTTACTTCCTGCTTTTGATTCGATTGAATCGAAGTGAAATTAGACTAGATAGTGATTAATTACTGTTATATTTCTTGAGTCAATATTATAATCTTGCTGTATGGTCAATATTGAAGCGAAATATGGCGTAAATGAGCTGTAATTCACAGTTGAAATCTTGTACGAAAATCAATGACGTCATCGGGCCTATATAACTATCTCGCTGTTGAAGGCTCGTCAGTGCGATGCCAGATGTTGTCGAGGAAGGACCTCCAGAGCGGAATTTCGGGAAACAGCTAAAATTTTCTAAGTTTTATAGAACTTAGTTGATTTTGTGGTCTTGAAGCTATACGTTTGCAGTATACACATGAAGATAGAAGCTGTACCTTAGTAGAATATATCTGATGAGCCAAGCTATACGTTTGCAGTATACAAGGGCAGATTGAGGAAACTAAGTGTGCGAAACTTAGTTCATTTGGAACTTGGATTTTTGGGAAACTTTGATGTAGCTAAGTGTGCGAGACTTAGTTTATTTACCGCACTGGAAGTAAGGGAGATCTACAAGACTGGACAAAACTTCAACAGGGTGAAGCTATCCCCAGCGCAAAGCATTAGACGTATTGTCCAGCCTTCATAGACTGAGAGGAAATGCTGACATAACTTGTGTTTGAGAAACTTAGGCTATTTTGATCATCAAGGAACTTAGACGATTTACAACATTATTGGACTTAGTCAGTATTTGGTGAAACATTATTTTGGACTTTGTTATTTTTGGAGATAGAAATATTTAACTTAGAATATTTTAACATCAGTATAACTTAGTATGAAATTAACTTAGTCAATATTTGGTGAAATATTATTTTGGACTTTGTTGTTTTTGGAAAGAGAAATATTGAACTTAGAATATTTTAATATCAGTAGCACTTAACATTAAATGAACTTAGTCATTTTAGAGGTCAAATATTTTCACATGTTATATTTTTGCATATGTCGTTGTGTGCATGCTATATTTGTAGGTAGCCTTATTATGTAATTGTGAAGGAAGCAGGCTACATGGACTTAGCAGTTGATGCCATGTATTAGACGTCCTTGGACTTGGTAGATTGAAGATTGTGATAGTTTGACTTATACATCTACAGAGAAGAGGTTCTGGGACTTAGCAGTTTATTCAACGAGATATTTTGACTTTGATGATTTTGGGTCATTGAAGTTAGAATATACATCTACAGAGAAGAGGTTCTGGGACTTAGCAGTTTATTCAACGAGATATTTTGACTTTGATGATTTTGGGTCATTGAAGTTAGAATATACATCTACAGAGAGGACGTTCCAGGACTTAGCTTGGATTATTTCACATAATCAAAGTTGAACTATACTACAACACAGAGAGAAGGATCCGGGAGATAGTCATTTCCAGACCTGATAGTTTGACTTAGATTATTTTACATAATCAACGTTGAATTATACTACAACACAGAGAGAAGGATCCAGGAGATAGGAGTTTACACAACTGATAGTTTGACTTAGATTATTTCACATAATCAAAGTTGAATTATACTACAACACATTGAGGAGGATCCAGGACTTAGGAGTTTACACAACTGATAGTTTGACTTAGATTATTTCACATAATCAAAGTTGAATTATAATACAACACAGTGAAGAGGATCCAGGAGATAGCCGTTTACAGAGCCGATAGTTTAACTTAGATTATTTTACATAATCAAAGTTGAATTATACTACAACCCAGAGAGGAGGATCCAGGAGATAGCCATTTACCGAGCCTATAGTTGACTTGATGATTTCACATTATCAAAGCTGAATTATACTACAATACAGTGAAGAGGATCCAGGAGATTTACGTTTACGGAGCAATAGTTTGACTTAGATGATTTCACATCATCAAATTTGAATCATACTACACTACATAGAGGAGGATCCAGGAGATTACTATTTCAGGTTCAAGTTACAAGTACAATACAAGACGTACAAGTATTACAACATATATGAACTTTTAATATTGGAGATACAACAGTGGTATATAGTGATCATCTACTTTAGTTTATATGGACTCTGGATATTGTGTTCTTAGTGATTATTATTAGCTTATACGGACTCTAGATATTGCTTTATTAGTGATAAATATTAGCTTATATGGACTTTTGAGTTGTGAGTTTTGAGAGAGATAATAATATCGTAGCATTTTAACCTTCATACTTGACATTTAATGTACATCTTTATTTGGGCTTATAAACGCCACAATATACTGTTTTATATTTATATTTAATTGTATATGTCTGTTTAATTCTTTAGGGACAATCGCACATTTAACGTGTGCCGTGTAACTCACCAAGTAAACACCGTTTACTAAACAGTGGGCCTATTATTAGCCACGCTACCACGTATATCCACAAAAATAGGCCAAACTGTTACAATACCTTCATCCTAAACAATGTAAATAGAACATCCGAAGAACATGCTTCTGTAAATATGTTGAGTCTCTTTTTTATACTTTTAACTTTTGATGTACATTTTATGCTCTCCCCAACACGGAGGAAATAAACATAAACATTGGTACACTACGTGAACTTTTTAAATATTTTTTATTATGAACTTTTTCCCTTAACTGTGACAATAAAATACTCATTCAAAATAATAAATCTAGACTTATTTGATATAATCCTTCAAATGCCTTTTTTAAGCTTACACTTGTGTGTATTTAGTGCCAGAGACATACTCACCTAATTGCCTAATTTGAAATAAAACAAAACGGAGGCGCACATATTTGAAAAAAAAGTTATTTCATCAGTATTAATTAAGACAGTTGGTTTATTTCGCCGTAGATGGAGCAGCTTTTAAGTTGGAAAATAAGTTGTGCGAAATAATTGATATTTCTTCTTTGTGTCATGATGCTCCGGGGTCTTCCCAAAATTAGACAATCCCACCCCGCACCCGTGCCTGAGGTTGTCAAACTTTTGGAGAGAAGTGTAATATTACTACAGGTCATATAAATTGAATATATGTTTCTGGTTATTGCAATGAATTTTTCCACAAATATTTTTTGGGGGAAATCCCGACCCCGTCGAACCCCCGGTCCCTACGGCTATGTTATGCTTGGCGATAACAAAATCAACGGTTTTGATTGATATCTAGAAAACATATGAGATCAAAAAATAAACAGACAATGGGCTCATCTCATAACAAAGTCTCATCCCATAACAATGGTCTCATCCAAACGCATCGACGGTTGGTATGATCTATTTATGAATGCACGTTATGAATACTAATCTAATTACAGAATTCATTCATTTCTTTACATTTTCAGTCCAACCCTGTTAGTAAGGACATTGCGAACAAAGTTAGGCGACACAAAATTAAAAGAACACAAGAAGAAAACAACTTCTACCGCTCTGAACAATGAAAATTGCGACAAAGCAGCTATAGACACAAATAAAAGTGATGAACGCGCTAGACTTGAAGACGGAATTAGCAAACCGATCAAGATGCCACCTTTGGATAATCTGTTTGTCGGTTCAAGACCAATTAAAGATAATAGAAGATTGCCGAATCTGTCACCGACAATTGTTAAACGAAAAACAACTAATTCAGAAACAGGTAGAACCAGTTTACCAGAGTTAACTATGAGACGGAGAGATGTTCACGATCTTGCATTAACTGGCGGCTTGACGCCTTCGACGTCATTTCCGTTTCCGGTTCACGTGGTAGACGACGCTCGAGCCGTACGGGGTGATAAACTAAGCAATAAGGATTTTTCAAAATCAAAAAAGAAAAAGACAGCATCCACTTTATTGGAATCAATAAAGAAAGTGGCTGAAAAACGCAAAGTGCAATATGCAACAAAAATGGCACTAAGGGCAAGCAATGAAAACACCAACGAAATGCCCAAAGTGAACCCAGGCCGATATATCCTTGAGGCCATTAACAGTTCGTGTACTGAGAGTGACAACAATAGTTTCGATGACCAGGGAATAGAAAATGATCAAAGCACTGGAGAATACAAACATTCAGTGACGGGTCAAAGGGAAATCGAAGGACATCCTGCAGAATATAGATCTCACAATCATGACAAACTGCTAGATTATAAGAATCGCAACAGGGGTGATTTGCAATTAAAATCTATTTAAATCTAGAATCAATCATGGTAGAAACAATATGGTTAAGAAGATGCTTTTTGAGTCAATCCTAACGGTTAACGTTCCAGTAAGCAAGTTGAGTTGATAGCTAAAATCGTAAAATAGTTATAGCTCTTCAATCCTAATTCAGAAAGGACTGCTCACAAATCGTTGCTCATTACAGTCGCATAATAGCCAACTAATTTTAAGACCATTCATTTCAGTTTCATTTTTATCTTCGCAAAGTGGTACCAATGTTACTTTTCTCGTATTTGAGTATCTAGCTCCTGATAGGAGTCGGTTTTAAAGTGCGGTCTGTACTATATTTGTAAAGAAAGTCGAAGTGCATTGATTCGTATTGCCAACCAGAGACATATAAAACATGTCTCTGTGCCAACAGACCGATAGGGCATTTACTTTACAACTTAAGAAACACGTTAGAGAAGATATACGTATGGATTATTTGCAGGATTTGCTTGTCTTCTGTTTGTCTGATTTTATGTAAGACTAATGAATAACTCTCTGGTCTAGATAATTTTTGTCATAAGGGATGTTTTAACCAACACGTTTAAAGTGAACTTGAACGTGAATGTATAGAATCATTGCCCTCTGAAGTCTGAAGATAAGCTTTGTCCTTTGTTGCGTTTACATGACGATTGAATTTTAAGACATAAGGAAAATAGGTCCTTGTAAAAACAATTGAGGGGGGACAGTAATTCCTGTCGAGGGCGGTCATAATACTACATATTCACGTACAATTTATCTTTAAAACGTGCAGCTTGACCTCCCTATTAGTGTTACTACTGAATTTAGCTTCACAGTTTATTTTAAAATCCTTAACTGTAAACTATATTATGTAACACATTTTTAATGAAATATAAGCATTTATTTGCAACATAAATAATAATATAAAACGTCTTAATGTCTTCAATATCTCAACATAAAGAAATTAATGGTTTAAGGGTAGGCTTATCTGATTTCAGTATTTATGTTTTTTTATCAAAGACATCATTCATTAACATAACAACTACATGTACTCCAACAGATTCCGATCCCAATATTTCAGGAAAAGAAGCAGAATAAAACTACATGCATATAAAATTGAAAAAAAAATACTGAGATACAATCATTTCATTTCAAAAGTTCAGATACAGCAAAATCTGTCCAAAATGAACACACTTTTCTGACTGGCTCTCTGTGTTCATATTACGAGGGCATGGGCTTTAAGCTAGAATTGAAAGCCCATGAATAGGGTAATGACACAAATGTGTATTCCTTGCTTTTTAAGGGAAAGTAAGTCCTTGCATTGTCTTCTTTAAGTAAACCTGGTAAAGGGTCTTCCTTGTCCAGTTTCTCAACACTATTGGATTCCGTACAAATCTAATTCACCTGACACAAAATGTAATAAGGATACTTTCCTGAAAATATTGACATACCCATTTTTCATACTTTATACGTATACAAGAAAACGGTAGGTATATATTTTTTTCAAATTGGCTCCATTTAGTTTTACATCCTTTTACTGTCGACAAAATTGCAATCGACATGTACAATTCTTTACCATCTCAAATATAATCTCCCAAAAATCCACTGAGTGCTACCAAATGATGAATTTCTATGTGCACAAAGCTGTCATTCTGATGTGCTAGAGCCCCTCTATCTGTCGTTTGCAAGAGGATAAAGAATGAAGTCAAAGAGGGTGCGGGTATCGCGAAGAATAACTGTATTTCTGTAAAGGCACGTTGCCTTGTCGGCTACACCCATGCACTCCATTCCATGTCATGCCTATTTTCTAAAAATCCAAACGTTTCATTACCTCATCCAAGAAAGCTTTTATTTTTGTCCTCGTAAAATATTGGCATGGCAATGAATCGAGCAAACGTCAATTAACAGAAGAGACGAACGGGACGAAGGGAAAAAGCACACGTTGTATCATAACCACTGAATTTTTATCATCATGTTGCCACTCGAGTCTAAGATACTTACTGGCATTCCGAGATTGGTCGAACTTATTGTATTTGTTCAAACCATCCATTAAAGTTTGCAAAATGCGATTCCTTCTGATTTCAGTAACGTTATTTGAAAGAAATACGTTCCACCAGTTGTTACTGCGATTCAGCTTAATATGCTGTATAATCCATACCATTGAAATGAGCAAATGTATACGAACCCCATGTAAAGGAAATGATTTTCCAGGGAATATCGTATTTTGAATGCCCCACCCATTTGAATCATACAAGTATATGAATTCTTCATCGTAATTGTATTCATCATCGTGAAAATCGGAATTGCGTTCCTCATCGGATTTTGTCATTAATTTATCGATGATGGAAATGAAGCATTCGCCCAAATTACTCGCCCGACAGTCCTGTTGATGATGTATTATAAGAGTTCTTAGAGCATATGATGAAATACGACATTGACTTCCTAATAAACGTGTTAAATTGGAAACATACTTTAATGTTAGAAATAACTTCCGATGAGGTGGTGTGAGTTTATATTCATCCGAATTCGGTAGTTCTACCACAGATTCTGTCCAGAAGCCGAATGGGATGTGTTCGGTATTGATTATATGAACACTAGGCCCTAGCTCATGAGGCTCCAATTTGAGACAGAAACACAAGTCGATGTCTGTCGTCCCTAAAGGCGCTCCCACTCGTAAACGCACTGCAGGGCCATGCATGCCAGTATTTTGTATTTCATTGCGGCGGTACTGTTTAAATCTCGGGTTCAATTTTACAGTTCCCTGAGTTTCCATGTGTTCAAGTGCCGCGGATATCGTAGCACTCAGCATATAAAGTAGCTCATTAGTCTTGAATTCGGCTTCACCATTCTCATTGATAGTTCCCAAGCACTTGGGAGGTAAAGGATTGGGGAGTTTATTAACATTGATTCTAATTTTGCGTTTCCCATCATCCTCATGGCGCTCACTTGCATTTGTCACATCTGTTATATATTGAGATAGAGCTAGTATTGGATGATAATCATACTCATCGGGGTGAAGTATTTTTGTTCCGTCATAGTAGCTACCTCGATTTATCAGTCCATTTGTGGCAAGCGCTGGTTCTATCTTGCCAACATTAACGAGGATATCTTTTACAAGATTCTCCACAAATGTAGTATGCTCTTCCAACTGGCTTTCTGTGTAAACATTTCTAATGTCAACTGTGCCAGCCGTTAGGTTTATGAATTTTGTTAAACGTTTCTTGTTTTGTGATTTACTCAAACTGCATCCCATCTTTAACGATAGGTTTAAAATCTTTAATGTGTTTTTTTGTAACTGTAATACGCTGTACACTGTACGTGTATTTCAACGTTGCTCAAATTAAGTCTGTAAGGCCCGCTGTAAGGCAGCCTTTAAATTTAGTTGATTCTTAAACTATTATATAAATCCTCCTCAGATGTTCTCTTAAACAAACGTGTGACATCGATTCTATCAATACCTATTTGTCACCTAGTGTTCCCATTATGGAACTCTCCAATAGCAGTGGCATAGCCAGCAATTGGTGACCAGCAGGGGTTCGATTTTTTATGTTATCCACAAATCTCCCCCTTCATCGGTGAACCTCACATAAAAACATTTTTTGTATTTGTCATACATACAATTCATTCTTAAGAGTTCATTCACATGCAATTCCCACACTTTTAGCTGAATTTTGAAAAGATTCCAAATCAAAAGATTTTTATTTGCTATTTCATTTTGTTAGGCGCTCAGTGACAGACGACAAATAGTATTGTATTAATGGAATGAAACATAGTCTGAAATTCCAAAAAGACCAAATTGAAATAAAAATATATCCACTGTGCTCTGTGGGCTCTAACATTAAACATTTCTTTTAAATTGTAATGCCTTGCAACAAAGAACAACTAATGCTGAAAAACCTATTTCTTCTTTCTTTGAATGGAAAATGAAAAATAAAACTTTCCATTCTCTATCACCGTTCCGCTGTTTTTTTATCATGATAAATGACGAGAATCATGAACGTTTTGAGAAATGAAAACATTTTTGATAAACTTGTGAATAATTATAAACTTTAATTTGTTTTTGAGAAATGAACATTTTATTATCTTATTAATTATAAACATGTTAAAGAATGCTGTTGGTATGATCTGCCTCTATTTATGAATGCACGTTGTGAATACTAATTAAAGAATTCATTCATTTCTTTACATTTTCAGCCCAACCCTGTTAGTAAGGACATTGCGAACAAAGTTAGGCGACACAAAATTAAAAGAACACAAGAAGAAAACAACCTCTACCGCTCTGAACAATGAAAATTACGACAAAGCAGCTATAGACACTAATAAAAGAGAAGAACGCGCTAGACTTGAAGACGGAATTAGCAAACCTATCAAGATGCCACCTTTGGAGAATCTGTTTGTCGGTTCAAGACCAATTAAAGATAATAGAAGATTGCCAAATCTGTCACCGACAATTGTTAAACGAAAAACAACTAATTCAGAAACAGGTAGAACCAGTTTACCAGAGTTAACTATGAGACGGAGAGATGTTCACGATCTTGCATTAACTGGCGGCTTGACGCCTTCGACGTCATTTCCGTTTCCGGTCCACGTGGTAGACGACGCTCGAGCCATACGGGGTGATAAATTGAGCAATAAGGATTTTTCAAAATCAAAAAAGAAAAAGACCGCATCCACTTTATTGGAATCGATAAAGAAAGTGGCTGAAAAACGCAAAGTGCAATATGCAACAAAAATGGCACTAAGGGCAAGCAATGAAAACACCAACGAAATGCCTAAAGTGAACCCAGGGCGATATATCCTTGAGGCCATTAACAGTTCGTGTACTGAGAGTGACAACAATAGTTTCGATGACCAGGGAATAGAAAATGATCAAAGCACTGGAGAATACAAACATTCAGTGACGGGTCAAAGGGAAATCGAAGGACATCCTGCAGAATATAGATCTCACAATCATGACAAACTGCTAGATTATAAGAATCGCAACAGGGGTGATTTGCAATTAAAATCTATTTAAATCTAGAATCATGGTAGAAACAATATGGTTAAGAAGATGCTTTTTGAGTCAATCCTAACGGTTAACGTTCCAGTAAGCAAGTTGAGTTGATAGCTAAAATCGTAAAATAGTTATAGCTCTTCAATCCTAATTCAGAAAGGACTGCTCACAAATCGTTGCTCATTACAGTCGCCTAATAGACAACCAATCTTAAGACAATTCATTTAAGTTTCATTTTTATCTTCGCAAAGTGGTACCAATGGTACTTTATTTTAGTATCTAGCTCCTGATATAAGTCGGTTTTAAAGTGCGTACTGTTCTATATTATTTGTAAAGAAAGTCGAAGTGCATTGATTCGTATTGCCAACAGACATTTACTTTACAACTTTAGAAACACGTTAGAGAAGATATACGTATGGATTATTTGCAGGATTTGCTTGCCTTTTGTTTGTCTGATTTTATGTAAGACTATTGAATAACTCACTGGTCTAGTTAATTTTTCGCATAAGGGATGTTTTAACCTACACGTTTTAAGTAAACTTGTACGTGAATGTATAGAATTATTGCCCTATGAAGTCTGAAGATAAGTTTTGTCCTTTGTTGCGTTTACTTATTGAATTTTACGACATAAGGAAAATAGGTCCCTGTAAAAAACAATTGAGGGGGGGGCAGTAATTCCTGTCGAGGGCGGTCATAATACTACATATTCACGTACAATTTATCTTTAAAACGTGCAGCTTGACCTCCATATTAGTGTTACTACTGAATTAAGCTTCACAGTTTATTTTAAAATTCGTAACTCTAAACTATATTATGTACAACACATTTTTCAATGAAATGTAAGCATTTATTAGCAACATAAATAATATAAAACGTCTTCTCAACATAAAAAAATTAATGGTTTAAGGGTATGCTTATATCTGATTTCAGTATTTATGTTTGCTATCAGAGAGATCATTCATTAACATTGCAACTACATGTACTCCAAACAGATTCCAACCCCAATATTTCAGGAAAAGAAGCAGAATAAAACTACATGCATATAAAATTGAAAAAATACTGAAATACAATCATTTCATTTCAAAAGTACAGATACAGCAAAATCTGTCCAGAATGAACACACTTTTCTGACTGGCTCTCAGTGTTCATATTACGAGGGCCAGTGTACATGGGAGACAATGAAACATCAAATTATAAACACTCTAAAGAGGTGTTCACTTATGCAGGATTTACTGTCTCAAATCCATTCCTTTAAATATAAGAAGCCCTAAATAAAGGTAGGATTTTCAATCACATTATTACATCTATGTTATGGCAAATTGTTACAAAAGTGTAACAATTGTTACAGATTCCAAATGCTGAAGATGGTCACAAAAATTGTCTTACTATAGTACAAATATAAGCTGATTTTTACAAATGATACTGTAGAAATATTGCTTTAAAATTTATTTTAATTTTTCTTCTCCTTCCTCCATGTCTTTCAGGCTAAGAATCTCTAAGTGTCCATGACCTTTAGTGTCCTGTCTGACTATGTCATCAACCTCTCTATATACACCAGGGTCTATCAAGATCACCTACAAGTAGAGAAACAAAGTAACATCTAAGCCTAGGACTGAATTGGAGGATGATTTAAACAAAATATGTTTTGTTTCCAGACTTTGGATAAGTGCTGCAGCACGAAAGGGAAGTCTGTTCAATTTCATTCAAGCATACCATATTCTCTCTAATAAACACACAGGGCATCTCCCAAAATGATTTTTACTTATTTTTTATTTTTCTCATGATTTTTGTTACTCAAGTTGACAGAGTCTCATGAAAAAGTTGGAAGAATACGGTACATTTATTCTATCAATCCTTATAAAAACGTAGTGGCATTTGAACAAAATATTAAATTTTCAGGGTGAAATTAGCTTTTCTTATAAAATGAGATTTACATGAATGCTGGCAACACAGGGGTTTACCTAGATACACAGAGGTTAAATTACAGAGAACTCGAACTTGGACATGTAACACTATGTCAGTCAGGGATTATTGTCTTTCTCTCAACTGGTTTATATGCGACATAAGTACGATTTTTATCTTAAACTCAACCTGGCAAGAAAAAGCTATAACCGGAAAAAAGTGTAGGACCTATCCGGAAAATAGTGTAGGACCTAACCAGAAAATAGTGTAGGACCTATCCGGAAAATAGTGTAGGACCTATCTGGAAAATAGTGTAGGACCTAACCGGAACATAGTGTAGGACCTAACCAAAAGATAGTGTAGGACCTATCCGGAAAATAGTGTAGGACCTAACCAGAAAATAGTGTAGGACCTAACCAGAAAATAGTGTATGACTATAATTGCACATGGTTAACTTCTCCATAACTTAACCTCCTTATTATTGTTGCAATGTTCACTTGTATTCGTATCTTACCATTTCTAGTTCATCATCAAACTCTTCACGTTCAACTTTAGCAGCAATCTTTCTGATCTTTTCCTTTATCTTTTTTGAATCTTTTGCTGAAAGACAGATATACACTGAACTGTTATACTATACTTACATATTTTGGAGATTACATTTGAAAAATATATACATGTTGATTTCTTTTCTGTGTAGGTTGTTTAATAAAAATCATCTTTAATGTTAACTCTTAAAACGGTGGGGGGGGGGCAGAACTATCCTCCTAGGTTTTATTTTAATAATTTTTTTGCTTAGTTGGTCTTTTGACCTGAAACTTTGTCTTCTTAAATTGGATATGACATGTTTTAGCGAAAAATTATGACCCTAACCCCCAAGCAGGAAAGTTTGACAATTTAAATCACTTGAACAGAATACATCTGGGTATATGGCTTTCTAGATTACTAACTGGGGTTTCTTTCTCAATATTTACTTCTTAATACCATGATAATAGGTTGCAAGGGATGGTGTTTTCATGTCAACAGTTTTGCAGTAAAAAAGTAAATTTCAAAATTGTGTTAGAGTGGTGAAGGGGTTAAATGCATTTTAAACATTCGGACATCATCTCAAAGTACCTTGCACCACAACCACAACTTGTGTAAGAGTGGTAAAAGGGTTAAATGCATTTTAAACATTCGGACATCATCTCAAAGTACCTTGCACCACAACCACAACTTGTGTAAGAGTGGTAAAAGGGTTAAATGCATTTTAAACGTTCGGACATCATCTCAAAGTACCTTGCACCACAACCACAACTTGTGTAAGAGTGGTAAAAGGGTTAAATGCATTTTAAACATTCGGACATCATCTCAAAGTACCTTGCACCACAACCACAACTTGTGTAAGAGTGGTAAAAGGGTTAAATGCATTTTAAACGTTCGGACATCATCTCAAAGTACCTTGCACCACAACCACAACTTGTGTAAGAGTGGTAAAAGGGTTAAATGCATTTTAAACATTCGGACATCATCTCAAAGTACCTTGCACCACAACCACAACTTGTGTAAGAGTGGTGAAAGGGTTAAATGCATTTTAAACATTCGGACATCATCTCAAAGTACCTTGCACCACAACCACAACTTGTGTAAGAGTGGTAAAAGGGTTAAATGCATTTTAAACATTCGGACATCATCTCAAAGTACCTTGCACCACAACAACAACTTGTGTAAGAGTGGTGAAAGGGTTAAATGCATTTTAAACATTCGGACATCATCTCAAAGTACCTTGCACCACAACCACAACTTGTGTAAGAGTGGTAAAAGGGTTAAATGCATTTTAAACATTCGGACATCATCTCAAAGTACCTTGCACCACAACAACAACTTGTGTAAGAGTGGTGAAAGGGTTAAATGCATTTTAAACATTCGGACATCATCTCAAAGTACCTTGCACCACAACCACAACTTGTGTAAGAGTGGTGAAAGGGTTAAATGCATTTTAAACATTCGGACATCATCTCAAAGTACCTTGCACCACAACCACAACTTGTGTAAGAGTGGTAAAAGGGTTAAATGCATTTTAAACATTCGGACATCATCTCAAAGTACCTTGCACCACAACTCTCAGCCTCATCTGTGCCCTCTGTATGTTGATGGTATCCGTCTCTGTTAGTTGTTTAATCACATCAAGTGCCTGCAATATATAAAGTCAATTACAGTAAGACTGTGTATCGTATGATCTGTAAAATGAAGCCTTCTGATTGGTCAGTTCTTGTGCTGTACCAATCTGTATTGCTACTGAGATTGTCCCCGTTGATCATCTCCGTCGCAATACAGAAAATATTGGTACGGAGAGGACAATCTCAGTAGCAATACAGAGGATCACATGATTAAAACGTTATTGAATGATTTGAAGTGCAATACACGATATATTCTGCTCGAGAAATTCTGTATTAGAACGAGACGAAGTTGAGTGCCAATACAGAATATCGAGACATTATAGTATTTTGAACACCACTGACATACATATAAGTACTGCACTTCCATACAAATACTACTAGTAAGTATATCTTTGCTCTTTTGTATTGAGGTGTGTACAGTGTATGACTAAAAGTAGCTGTATAACCAAGAGAATTGTTGTATAGAAGTTAATATACATGTACTGTGGATAAAGCTATTACAATAATTTTTTCTGGCATCTTCATAAAATTCCCAAACACAATGGAATAGGCTAGATGCAAGTAGAAATAATCTTGATTTACATCATTAAATATTTTTAAAAATTTAGTCAAAGTGATATTATATTTGAAATCTAAATGCACATGTAAAATTGCATCAAGAATGTCTAATCTAGTTTTCTTTGAAAATGTGACTTATAAGGGTAAATTCCCCACAGACCCAATGTTATAAAATCAGAAAAATTGACATATTTTCTTTCTTTTTCATTAAAATCCATGTAACATATTTTCAGGTTGTAGTGGAATTTGTATAACTGATCCACTTAAACTTAAACTGATGAATAAATAATTTATGTTTAAGAGAACTTTCTACTCTATCTGCCATGTTATCTGACCCAATTTAGCCACTTAGTGGTGAAACTGGAAACTACCTCCTGGCATGTGGGATTCTGGGTAATTACCTGTTGTTTTGAGCTTCTAGTGGGCTTGACAGAGAAATGCACATCTTTCATTGCTTTTTCAATCATAGTGACTGTATATGGTCTGTTTGTCTCTGGGTTGACACACTTGTCGGCAACAATCGTGGCAATATCTCGAAACATTGCATCTTGTTGAAGATGGCGCTCTTTTCCTGATACTTGTAATTCTCCCTTGGCAAGAATCTAGGGATGGAAAGGAATATGATTTTATGTAAAATTGTTTTAAAAGACAACTTAAAAACACTGCTGATTTTGCTGTGCCATGCAATTAAAAATATGGGCATGGGCTATCAGGAGACTCTTGAACGCCCATTTTATGGGCTAGGGGACATACATGTAAGTATATAACCATATACAATTTCTTCGGTTGGTGCAGTCAATTGTCAGTCAATAAACATCATTATTTCTATGTTCTCTGATGCCAAATCAATTTATTCAAAACTATAATCAGATACTGACATTTTTCAATGGGCTTTATAGTGAAAGAAAATACTTCTTAAATAAAGATGGCGGTGTAATCAATCAGTTTAACCTCTTGAATCCCAGGCTCTAAAATCAGTTTAAACCAGAGAATTTTTCATTTTTGCCACCTTTTGATATTTAACTACATACATATACAACTTTAGATGCTCAACTTATGCCTTGGTCACATTTGCTCCGATTTTCACTACGGTGCCCGGCCGATTGAGTATTGGAGCAAATGTGACCCAGGCATTAGTAAAATCAGACGGCGGAGATCATTTCTACAAATTCTAAAACAAGTTTTGTTTAAATTGGATGAAAATTGGTCAAATAAGAGCAAATTTAGTGAAAAATTTTGTGACGGATTTTCTCGTCACCCTGGGTTTCAAGGTCATTTCTGAGGTGACGAGATATCTAGTCACTCCAGGTAGTCAAGAGGTTAACATGGCTTCTCTTTTTCTTCAACTGCTGCCATTTTTCAATTGGCCTAAAACTTATGATCTTTTGAGTTACAGTGTATGCATTCATCTTACCTGCAAGCATATTTCAGCTTGGTTGTCTGTTCCAAACACCTTTTTCAGATCTTCGCTCTTTGCCACTTGTCCTTTAGAGACATTGATGAAGACAGAATGTGTCTGTAGGACTTCATCAATGTCTTTTTCTCTAAAATCAAATAGAATCTGGTATGACAATCCTCCTAAGCAGGTGTCCAGAATCGGTACCTCCTTCTTCCCCCCTGCTATAACCAATTTGGGAGCGCCCAATTTAACTGAATCATGTGATCTAATAGTATGCACAATGACTTATACATGATTTCTGTCGCAGTGTTGCGACAGCCAATCAGATTGCGAGTTCTTAATCGGGGAAATGCTAACTGCTTATCGCAGGGGGTAAAAAGAAAGAATATATTCTGGATTTTGAAGCCCTGTGATCGGAGGATGGGTATGACAATGCCCCAAAATATATGACTTCTGAGATATGACAATGGTCGGATTGTCTCACTTTCTGGTAATGTTGTTGTGGAAGATACATTATCTAATACATGTACTTGTGGTATGGCATGGACCAATAGCTACACACATCATTAATTTGAGGTTGCTTTTTATCATTTGGTCCTATATTTGGACATTTGGTATGGCATCAGGCCCCTACTAGTAATGACATTTGGAATGGCTTTAGGGTGTTAAGGTTTTAAATTCTATTCTATTCAAATTCTATCACTGTTAAATTATATATCTGCTTTACATGGGCTTATTAGCCTTTTGCAGATTATTGACATAGACATTGCAAACTGCCAATGATATTGTACAAACTGGTTGGTATTCATTGGTATTGGAACACTATACTAATTAGGACCTCCTCCAAAGTTTTTATACAGTGAAATCCTGGGGATTGATCCAGGTGGACAGAGGTTATCCCGTGCCAGGACTATACATGTACATTAGTCCTGGCACGGGACAAGACGGAGGGGTATCAATTTCAAGTATTGTAACGACCCTTGATAGCAAGTTGCTACTACAGTCCAGCTGTAGTGGCTTAAGCCTCTTTAGCTCAGTCGGTAGAGCATCAGACTTCGGAACCAAGGGTCCTAGGTTCGATTCCCATGCGGGGCATTGAATTTAGCACACTTTCTTTCAATTTCTTTATCTGGCTTGTTACACTATGCTCGTTAGTTCGTTAGTTAGTCATTCCCCTGGGGCGCCCTCAGGTCATTACATTGGTGGCAGCGGTGGGATCAAAGCATTGGTTGTATCCTTTGCGCCCGTGTGTGTGTGGTAGTCACTGCTAGGAAAGCAGGGCTGACCACGAGGGCGTGGTCCTTTCAAAGGGGGAGATAGTGTAACGACCCTTGATAGCAAGTTGCTACTACAGTCCAGCTGTAGTGGCTTAAGCCTCTTTAGCTCAGTCGGTAGAGCATCAGACTTCGGAACCAAGGGTCCTAGGTTCGATTCCCATGCGGGGCATTGAATTTAGCACACTTTCTTTCAATTTCTTTATCTGGCTTGTTACACTATGCTCGTTAGTTCGTTAGTTAGTCATTCCCCTGGGGCGCCCTCGGGTCATTACAGTATCATATTCAGGTCTGTTGAAAGCCCATGATTAGATAAAACAAATTTCATTTGCCAAATCAAATATGGTAAAAAGCACTTATAATTTTTATGAGGTAAAATACAGTAACCCCGTGTTTTGTTAAATGTACTCACACTTTGCTGCGCCATGAGTTGACCTTATTTGGATAACATGCAATTTCGAATCTTTTTCCACCTTTTTTAATCCGTACAATTGCTACGTTTGTGAGTCTTTTCTGGTTTGTTGGGGTAAATATCGACATGGTTGTAAACTAAGGTTATACTGTGTAGAAGAGTTACGCTCACATAATCCACAAATATGGTGAAAATGTTCGAAATTGAAAAATTTCAGTAACTTTTGCAATGCCGGATGTTAGAATTTACCTCCTGATTGGAGATCTTGGAATATAAACAAACGCACGTGGGGTAGTCTACTTTCACTTTCGATTATTGTCAAGGTTGCTCCATCCAGGGACGGTCCAAGATTCGGCCCAAGACCTTATTAATTAATGTATGTTTTGACTGAATAATATTATCATTATATATTCAGGACTCGGAGTACATTGGGAAAGTTGGCGGCTCTAATTAATAATTTCGTTTGCCGTCGACAGTCATCATGACCCGAGTTGTTTATTTGGATTCACCCGACATTCAGTTTCAACTTTCAAGCAGTTTCTTTCGCAACAACACTTTACCTGTTACTGCAATAGGTTGTGGATTAAAATGTATAAAAGATGCTTTGGGAAGAACATCAATAATAAAGTAATATTCATCACGTCAGAATTTTGCAGGAACTTTTGTCAGAAAGCTGAAAATCGGTAAGTTTTGTAAAGATTCAAATTTATTTTTCTTTGACTTTTTGATTTTTTGAATGAATGTGATGATGAATAACATGAACATTGTATTTCATCATTTACATGTTCATGATTCATGAACATTGCATTTCATCATTGACTTGTTCATGTCACAGGTCTTTCAGTTGGGAATAAGAGTGCAGGAGGTGTTGTTGACTTGTTGTTGTTGTGTTGCATAAACCGCTGTTTCCTCGGCAGTTTGTCTCTTGCGCTGTAAACTCACTTTGTGCTCTCTCATGTGCTAAAATTCTCACTTGTTGCATTGAGGGTAAGTTCTGTTTTTGACTGGGTTTTTGAACACGTCCCGAGTTCCGATTTTGAACATCTATATCTGGGTTTCAGCACCTTCATTCAACTTACCCAATCCAGCTTATTTGTAAATTTGAATTCTCTTTGGGCCGTAAAATATATGCTCAAATTAAATTTAGACTGGTAATGGCAAAATACATGTACGGTTGCCATTGGTTACTATATTTGCACATTGCCATCTTTAGATTGATGGCTATGGAAAACTTGTAAGATATCTTTGAAACATTTACCCTACTTCAATTGATACATAACATCCTAACGTATCGTTTTTCTAACCATATCGGGCTATCCGGAGTGGAAGCGGAAATGAAATGACAAAAAATGTTGAAGAGTTGATAATTTTCAAGATGGCTTTTCAGGAAGTTGGGTAATGCGCATGCGCCTCCATGCCATGAGATTTCCGCTTCCGGTTACACGCATGCGCATTGGCAAGACATCCTGGTTAGACGACATCGAAAATAAAAAGTTCCAAATATATTTTTCGTCAATTACAGTGTCTCCCGATTCCGGATCGCGTGATGTGGTCAGGAAAACGATACTTGAGAATGTTATGCGTTGATTGAAGTAGGGTAAATATTTCAAAGATCTCTTACATTTTTACAAAATATGTTTATAAAGGACTGATATCAAGTTTTCCATAGCCATCAATCTAAAGATGGCTATGTGCAAATATAGTAAGCCATTGGCTGGCAGTTAAATTTAGTCGTTCCACTTCAGAGATGTTCGACATTAAATAAGGCCGGATTAGGTTAATTTGTTGAACTACTGTGTAGTATGCACCATGTTACTACCTGTGCAATTAATGGCAAAAGGAATAATATCCTTTATTGGCATCTATGGCAAATAGAAATTCAAACTCAAACTAAATGATAGTTTCAGGGAAGCAAAAAATGTATTCACACTCACAGCTTATTTTGATTGTGCCCCACCCATGGGCAATGAACATTAGGGGCAGACCTCCTGCAATCCGATTCCCCTCTGAATACTGCAAGGTATAACTTAATGACTGAATAGTGAAAAAATGTTTATGGAAATCAAACCTATCGTGAATTGATGTGTTTTGTTTTTATCACTTTTTTGGAATGACAACTGACAACCCATTTATGTCACCTATTGTTTCATGTGTATGTGTCTGCATCTTTCAACCACTTTAGATGTTACAACATGTATGTGCAGAGGCACAAGCCTGCCTGAAATTGGATGTAAGGCTGTCTAAAAGAGTTATAAATATTAAGTTGAAATTTCTGTTGTTTTTCAGTGGTGTAAAACTTGCATATGCTTCATACCAGTCAACCAAACAGATCCTTCCCAAGAAAGAGAGTCCTCTTGTTATAATCCATGGGCTGTTTGGCAGTAAGAGAAACTGGCAGAGTCTTGGAAAGGCTTTTGCTAAGACTGGACGAAAAGTAAGAATTTTTAAATCTGTTTGATCATGCCTCTGGATCTTTAAAACGACACTCAGTAGTCAGTAATATAAATGCCAACTGGACGGAGGAGTCTGATATTTGATAAAACATAAACAATTACAGAAATTCTTAAACAACACAGCATCGCAATAAGAATTAAATGGGGATAATTTGTCATACATTTGCCGATTCTCAAGACTGTTTATTTGAATTTCAATCACAGACAGATACTTAATCAGTCAATAGTCTAACACGTTTTCATGTCACCACCATAAGTGGTGACATTTGTTGTAGTCTCTGCCTTTTTTTGTGCTGGTAGTTAGTGGTTGATGTTCAGCGGTTGATCTTCAAAGTTTGGGTTTGGTGTTCTGTAACAAATGGCAGGTTAAATGCCTTGTTTCATTTCTGTTGATCAGTGTTCTGCTGATTAACCACATCAAGATCGTTTTGTAGCCAAGGATAAAGACTTTCAGATAAATGTTTTGAAAGGGTTGATTTATATGTACTATGCACTTTTGAAAATAGCTCAGCATACTTAGAGGAGCAAGGCCGCCAAAATTAAGGCTAACTATATGACTGTGACCTTGAATACAAAGAAAGCACTCTTAACCCTAACATAAAAAACTGCATTGTCTCTTGAATAGGATTCACAATTCATGATTTTGTTCTACAAAACAGACAAAGACATGAATGCAGGGGTTTCACTAGAATTTCTCACAAGAGGCTAAATAAATGGAAGTCATAGATTTAACATGGAAATGTTGAAAAGTCCCTTAAAACAACAGGCTATTTTGTGAAAACATCCGGTGAAAACCGTCTGTTGCCTGCTGCTAATGAAACCCCTACATGAATGTGTTTTTTAATAGTTCTAGCTACCGGTATATCTGATTCACGTTTAAGTCTAGACTGAATGAAATGTCAGATTGACATTAATTTTTTTTTTACAATTGATGGGATGATCAACTCTGATTGGTCCATAGGGCACACCTCCCAGAGCACACCTTTAACATAGTCATTCAAAACATAGCCATGGTTTAACTCCCAATACCAATATAGTCATATTTGCTATATACCAGACAGGTTCACTTCCCTCCATAAGTTTGGTACTGAAAGTCTCGTTTTGGATCATTTTGGATTTAAGCTGTTTATGTATAGCAAAAAATCAAATTTGTCATTATTTTCTGAACTATTGTCTAAGGAAGAAAATGAATGTATGCATTGTCAGGCTTCTGGTCTCTAATGAAAATTTCTGGTTTCCAAACTTTTGGAGGGGGTGGACTTGTAATGCCTACCAGGGTTGATTAATGTTCCCTGTCTTGGAAAAGTTTCATGGTATCATTGATCTACCTCAGTGATTAATTAAGAAATATAGACCGAAAAGCAGGGGTTATATCGTCGAATACACCCCGCAGGGCTAGGCACAAATGTTTTCTGTACCCCGAACGACCGAAGGGAGTGAGGGGTTCGAAAGCTTTTGTGCCTAGCCCCAAGGGGTGTATTCGACGATATTACCCCTGCTCTGAGGTCTATATTACGATTCGAACATGAAAACTCACCAAATTGTTTCGAATATTCAACATGGTCCCCCATTACTACGACCCATCGTTATGACGTCACACATTACATGTATTAACTGGGTTATTGATCTCGAATATAACCCAGCTGAAGCATTGACTTTGTCTACAGTTTATAGAAGTCGTGAATACAGTCATGTTCGAATAATAGATAACCTACTGAATTCTCATTTTCATTCACCTAAGAAATGAGACAAATCGAATAAATTCTGTATATTGTTAAACTTTTAAACCAACATTTTATCCCAGTAAGGGGAACTTTCCAAGTCTGTGTGTTTAATACACATTGACCTCATAGAAGCAAATAACATAGGGACGTGAAAATTGGCCAGGTAGTTATTTATTTCACCTTGGCAAAAATGTAAGTTCCAAGGTCTGTAAGATCTATTGGTTGTGTCCTTTTTTCTGTGGGGGAAATTAGGATGGTCATTTGTTTATTTTTACAGTAAAACCTGTCTTATCACCAGGGACTAGCCACAAGTGAGTTGCTTCTGCAGGTGTTCACTTGACTTTACTTGATTTTTCCTCAGCATTACATTGGGCCTTTAAATATGTGGGTCAATGGGAGATAACTAATTGGGACCTAGAAAGTGTTCACATTGAGAAGTGTTTGAATTATAGAAGTGTTAGGATATACAGGTTTCACTGTACTTGGTTTTCCTCTTCAGCATTACATTGGGCCTTTAAATATGTGGGTCAATGGGAGCTAACTAATTGGGACCTAGAAAGTGTTCACATTGAGAAGTGTTCGAATTATAGAGGTGTAAGGATATACAGGTTTCACTGTACTTGGTTTTTCCTCTTCAGCATTACATTGGGCCTTTAAATATGTGGGTCAATGGGAGATAACTAATTGGGACCTAGAAAGTGTTCACATTGAGAAGTGTTCGAATTATAGAGGTGTAAGGATATACAGGTTTCACTGTACTTGGTTTTTCCTCTTCAGCATAACATTGGGCCTTTAAACATGTAGGTCAATGGGAGATAACTAATTGGGACCTAGAAAAGTGTTCACATTGAGAAGTGTTCGAATTATAAAGGTGTTAGAACATACAGGTTTCACTATACGTGTACTTTATATTTTCTCTTCAGGTTGTAGCAGTAGACTGCAGGAATCATGGAGAAAGTCCACATACAGACAAGATGGACTACTACATGATGTGCGAAGACATTCAACTATTACTGGAGGAATTGCAAATCTCAAAAGCAAATATCATTGGCCACAGTATGGGTGGAAAGGTTGCCATGACATTAGCATTAACAAAGGTAGATATAATGATTGACTTACTGAACTACTTGCACATATTGTTACGGATCACAATTATTTGTGTGTATTTATCATATTTTCATGTTCAGATTATATGAAGTACTATATGTCCAGTTTCTAAAAAAGAACAGCTTAGATATATGCAGGATTAATGTCTCAGTCACATTTGATCTACGACAACTGTACGGTGGCTGTAAGCTTCCCAAAATGGAAGAAATATGCAACATGAAATATAGGGATAAGCAGTATGACGTAGATGTTCTATATATCGATTTTGTGAAGCTACGGCTGCTATAGTGCAAATTTGACTGAGGCTAAAACATTTATGATTTTAATTGTACTTCTGTATTTTGTATTCAGCCAGGTCTGGTAGACAAGCTAATCATTGAGGATATCTCCCCGCGTGTAAGCCCCGTCCTAGAGGTCTACCCTGCATATATGAGTGCAATGCAAGAGATTACCTTCGACAATACAGTGCCACTTTCTCAGATTCGCAAGTTTGTTGTAGAGCATTTAGAAAGTGTGGTGCCGGTAAGTCGTTCATTTAAAGATTGTAAAAAACACTCATTTGAAACATAGCTGCATTTTTAAAATAAGAAACTCTGGTTCAAGGTTTACTGTATAATGAACAATTTTGGGTTTAATTTTGGAAAAGTTACGCATTTTTGTATAAAAAATTTAGAAATTAAGGAAAATGGTTTAGATTTTTTCACTTTGACTCTTCAAAAGTTTACACTTTACATAGACTTTGTATTGGAATTTTAATGAAACGTTATGGACACCCAGTACTTATGATTTCCAGGATGCCATGACAAGAGAATTCATTGCAACGAATATTAAAGAAACTCAAGATGAGATTCATTGGGGAATCAACCTAGACACCATTGATAGGTGCTTTGAGAAGATTGCAGACTTTCCCAAGTTCACAAATTGTTTCCAAGGAGATACTCTGTTTATAGCAGGGAGGAATTCGCAACATATACGGTGAGGCATTAGTGGCTTTATATTGCACTTTTTTCAAGTGCTTTATTGTCATTCGTCTTGTGCTGATGGCCATGTGTGGGTCTGTCAATCTTGTCATCAAAATACCAGGAAAACCACTGACCTGTTCAACGTGTAAAAGAGGAGGGATGGTATCGCAACAGATTTCAGACAGTCATATATTGGATTTCCCTGTTTGCATCTTCCCATTCTCAAAGTCGAAATTATTTTATCATCTCTATAAGTGCTTTTCTGTAAGTAATGCATTGGCCTAGTATATGCACCTGTTTAAATCCTAAGAAAATAGCCAAAATCCCAACATATAATATGACTGTCCGAAATCTGTTAAGATACTTTCCCTCCTTCTTTTGATTGTTAGAGCAGTCTTGCCAAGATCTGATTAGGATTTTGGCATGACTAATGGTAAATTACTTTGACGCCATTTTGAATTTTTCGATATTTAAAACAGTTTCTCTTGTTCTAATTATTGATAATTCATATTATATTTTCGAGTACCCTGCGCGCAGAGTCTAGTAATAAACTACCCTCTGCCTAATATAGACTATATTACAGTTTAGCAGTCCCGATGACTTGTGCCTGTGACAGCCTGTGTCATAAATCATTTCAAACCTACCCCGCTGACCTTTTCTCAACCATACAAACTGAAGAAAACATGCTAAATGCAAGCTCATTAACTCTATGATGATGTCAGAGAAAATTACCATATATAGAAACTCAGACTGGCTTGGTGAGATCATAGATTTATTGTAAACTGAAAGAGTGAAGACGAAGCTCTCTTTTAAGTAGTGAAATCGAAGGAATGCAAAGGGTAATTTCTACGGACACACCATTGGTTCGAATACCATTCGTCCGAATCCAAATCATTAGAATCTCAGTTGTCCGAATCTCAATCAACCAAATTCCGATGGAATCGTGATTCGGATGAACTGTATAGACCTATTATAACTGAATAGTTTCACGCCAGGCAACGGAAGATCGAGTTTGAATATTGGCTGCCAATCCTCCTTGTCAAGGATAACATAAACATGATAAAAGCATTACCTTTAGAATATCAGGTCACAGTGACATGACATGATTATGAATAATTACACTGTTTATAATATCAATTGCATAAACATTCAATAAATAAAAGATCATAAAGATAGCATTATTTGTGCACTTTATTTTCAAATGATCTCACAATACTAAACATTTTATTGTTAATATATCGATATTGGCTGACATGTTTCTTTCATTGTAAATGTATGCTAAGAATGACGTCTTAATAAAAATATTCTATGTTGAAACTTAGGAAGGAAAATTGTAGAAATATTACAATAACTTATTTGCCAGGGTGATAGATAAAAATAAGTGTACTTTTAGAGATATGTGTGTACCTAAACATAGAATAACTTTGATCATAAAACTTAATTGCTGTCATTAGAAAGTTTTTCACAATACTTTATAATTTACAGCCCCACTTATCCTTATCTGTTACATTGTGACCAAGGGTGTAGTTAGGCACGAGGCAGACCTCACCAAAATCTTAGAGAATTATTTGTTAGATGTTTTTTACAACTTTGAAATGTCTATGTCTATGTCAATAATACCGTATATAATTTAAATGATAGAATTTTAAATGGAATTGAATTTGAATATGAGATAGAAATGAAAGTATTGATACACCATCTTTAATCTAAATTTACCTCACCTATTCATTTTGCCTCACCTAATTTAAGGTCCCTTCATAAATCGAGTCAAATTAATTTACATTTCTCCCTCTACTCAGTATATTAAATGTGTAGATATGATACACTTAAAAGTGCAGTCTCTATTTATATTCAAATAGAACGCTTAGACCCAGATCAAAAACTTGTAAAACATCTAAATTGACAATGTGATTGATAATGTATTTTGTGTACAACATGTGATCGGGATAACAAGTTGGCCATAGGAAATAGATCACTTATACTTAATTCTGTAGAAAATAGTAGTTCTATTGAGTCATAATAAAATTTAAGGCTATACTCCCCAGTAGTGTGAGGTTATGGCACTAATTTTGTTTCAGAGTACTCTCCATATAAAATCACTTTTCTTCAGCAGGTGGTTGGTTACAGTACAGCAATGTGGGAATTATTTTAAGGAATTTTTAATTTTTTAATGAACAAATTTTCCAATAATTTATTAAGTAGTGATATTTTGATGTAATCAATGTTTATCTTTCTTTCAGTCTCTTCAACTCTTTTTCCGTCCATCAACAATCTTGTTGATGATATGTGATTGAAAGAATTTCCATAAGAAATTACCATGTGAGTCCACTCGTGCCATTTTTTGTCACCACATGTTTTGTGATTGGCATTTGGAAGTTTGCATTTGGTATCTGTCACATATGGCAGGTGGTGACATTATGCATTTTAATGCCATGATTCATCATCTTTCTATTGTTTTGCAGCAAAATAGATTTCCCGCTGATCAAGCAGTTGTTTCCCGAATCAAGAGTAGAATATATAGAAGATGCTGGACATTGGGTGCATGTTGAGAAACCTAGAGAATTTATGAAAGCTGTAATTCAGTTTTTGAATCCAGAGGAACAAACACCGGAATGAATGCAAAGCAATCTAGATATGGATCATCTCTAGAAATAGGAAATTGTAGAAGGTATTGAGAAATATGGAAAACTGAATGATATTATTATAGAATCTAACAGCATGGATAAATATGTCTTGATGGGCACATGTAATTAAATTACCTCAAAGAATGTTAATTTTTGTAAAAAGTTGAAGCATTAAGTCTAACATTGTTAAAACCATAATAATGCTTATCAAGAATGTGTCAAAACCATATAATGTACAGGCAAAGCATAACGTGCTATATTTAATGCATAAGCTACACAATACATATGTAATATCATTTTAGTAGTATTCCATTTTTATGTCACTACCACAAGTGGTGACATATTGTTATTGTCTCAAACTTTTTTGTGGACAGCGTTCAGAGTTTGGCGTCTGCAACAAATGATGTCTGTAACAAATGACATCTGTAGTAAATGATGTCTGTAACAAATGACATCTGTAGTAAATGATGTCTGTAACAAATGACATCTGTAGTAAATGATGTCTGTAACAAATTGCAGGTGGTGACATTCCGCATGTTAATGCTTTGTTACTTCATATTGAAGGGTCTACAATACAATAGTTTTTCTCAACAACGTGCTAAATCCTAATTTCATCTCTGATTTTACATGTTTTGGTCAAAATATCTCAATATTTTATCCTTTTGAAAGGGTCCAAAGAGACTTTTAATGGGAAGGCATGATATTGTCAAGTTTTTAACATTTACAGTATTTGTACAAAATTAAAGTGGTACATTGAAGTGGTAATTATAAGGTCAACAACCATTAGGCTTATTTCCTCCCATAAGGATAAATGAAACAATGTACAACTACCAAAAAATAGAAATTCAGAAAGCATGGCTACCACTCGGATATAAAAAATCACTAAAGCTCAAATCAATAACCTTTATTCATGCTTTCTGATAAACAAGCCAAGGAACTTGCAAGCTGATGAGCTGTATAATTTATGCATACTTTATAAACTCCAATTGTATTTTGATATATTATATATGGAATAAATGAGAAATGAAAAAAATAGACTCCAATTTAGCTCGGAAATTATTAGTGATATTTCCACACTTTAGTTAGCAAATTGTAGACTAAAATCATAAAAGGTGCTTCATGTATTTAAAAAAATATTTATGTATACACTGCCATTATAATATATATAGATGTTGTATTTATGTATTTACTGTACAAATATAGAAGTTCATTAAAAGAAAACTTCCTTGAAAATGTGGAAATCTATATTTGTTAATGACTCTTGGGAGAGGGGGTTGATGGGGAACCAATTTCCAACATTTGAACGGAGTGTATTCTTTATCATCCCTTGGAATATTAATTATTACATGAAAATGAAATGTAAATTAAAATATAAATATTTATTTAAAATATATTCAGCAAATGAGACGAAACAGCATGAGGCAAAGAAAAAGGCATACTTATTTAAAGGGCCTTGTTAGTACAAAATTGATGATTCAATTTTAAAGCAGCATAACTTGAAGAAACGCAGCATTTTGAAAAACCCTGTTATTCTGTTATTACAATATTTATTAATTATTTAATGCTCTGTTATTCAATTTATAACATTTAGTAGGTGATATGAAGATAAGTGATGACAGCATACAATCATCCTCCGATCACAGGGCTTCAAAATCCAGAATATATTCTTTCTTTTTACCCCCCTGCGATAAGCAGTTACCATTTTCCCGCTTAAAAACTCGCAATCTGATTGGCTGTCGCAACACTGTGACAGAAATCATGTATAAGTCATTGGGCATAATTAGATCACATGATTCAGTTTAATTGGGCGCTTCCAAATTGGTTAAAGCAGGGGGAAGAAGGAGTTACGGATTCTGGATACCTGCTTACGAGGATGGCATACAATTGAAACCACATTATATGGTTAGATGGATATATAATCTGCCAAGTTTGTGTATTAATTTATGATTTGTAGCTTTTAACGTAAGATGTTTATTTGGATTGCAGTCTTTTGTAGGTTTGAGGTTATGTATGTGTTTTTAGTTCAATTATAAGATCATAGGTCATCAGTAATGTTTTTAAAGAACATAGCCTGTTAAACATTATAGAGTTTCATCCTTGAAGGGATATTCCATTCCAGATATTTTTTATTACACTCAAAGTACAAAGGTTCAAAATTAACACAACTTCCATTTGTCACATACTCAGAATGGCTCATCAAATCTCTTACATTACTATAATTTATAAAAATGGAAAATGAAATTCTCCAATTTATTGTTTCTCACCAATACCTCTGGAGGTAAAGCACATTATTTGGGCACAGTTAAAATCTGTCAAATCTGAGCACTACTTGTATCAAATACTCAGATTGGCAGGTGTTGACATTTCAAACATGATTTTGAACCATATACGAAATGAGTGTTTCCCCTAAATATGGAGCTTTTAGACATTGGCTTATTTTTAGCCTTCTACAGGAAATATTTGAATGGAATGTTCCTTTAAGATACATGCTTTTTGATTTATTCCAAAGTCTAGTTTGAAAATGTTCAAAGTAAGCTGGAAAACCTTAGCTTTAGAACAGAATGTAGAATGATTGACTAACGCATGTTTAAACATTGAAATAAATACTTTATTTAAAATATGTAAAATTCACCAACAAATAACATCAGTACATATACAGTAAACCCTTTGAGAGTGGAACAGCTTTGATTTTGCCAAAAAGTGTTCCATTTGGGATGTTTCACATATAGACGTTAAATAAACATATGGTAGCGAGATATGGATTTCATCCCTAGATGGCCGAAGATCTATTTCTAACCCTTTAAGGAATTCGGCCATCTTCTCTCTCCTGATAAACGTTAAGTGAAACTGTGAAAAGAGTTTCAATTACAAAGGTGTTCCTGTGACTGGATTTACTGTACATATCAATGAAAACAGATATATGAGGTACTTAGGCCTGAGAACATGAATAATTAATGTAAAATTGAAGTTTACTAATGAATGTCCCGAGAAGAAAAAAAATTTTCTTTGGGAACTCAAACTTGATTTTTTATACATGTTCCTGGGCCTATGTAACACCCTACCTGTATATTGATCAGTTTTTATCGTTTAATTGTCAAGTTTCAAAAGAAACTCACTTGCTTTTGATACTGGCTTTACTATATGTTATGCACAGCAGTGTACTTGTATATAATGTAAATAAATAAATAAAACGTTTAGTAACTTGTTAACAGCTATAAAATAATAAATACTTTGTTTATAAATGTAATATTTTGTGTTGACTAGATTGCAACAAATGGCTTTGAATGTTTATCCCTTGAAATGTATGCATTAAACATACATTGTATCTTCCAGAAATAGAACCTATATTAGTGGAGTTCAATCCTAGGTTCTATAGTATGCAGGTAATCAAGTGTCCAGCAGTCTCTCCCATAATGCCATAGGTTCTATTCTATGGGTTATCTAAAATGATATCCCATGAACATAAAATATCCAATAAGATAACATACGCTTCAAAATGATCGAGTAGCCGAATCTGACAGTTTAGCACTGAAGCCGACCAGCATCTCCATGGAATGAGCACTAGATTTTAAGTCCACAAAATATTTGTAGATTATGGTACTCCTTGCATTTAGAATATACCACTGAAGATATTGTCAAATGTTTCTTCTGCTTCGTTCAGATCTTTCTCATTTCTGAAAAATAAGCTCAGCATTAGACTATTATAGTATATGTTTCAAAAGACCTACTGTTCTGAGCACATGACTTGGACATATTGTAGGTCTACAATACAGTACGTTTTTAAAGTTCTGTACAGCAGTTCATTTTGGCCATATTTTGATCACATAGACCAAATGAAAATTAATCTAAAATGGCAGCTTCCAGTAAAAAGATATTTGAAAAAACATTTTTAATCCTGGTATACTGGCCAAAAGTGTTCTGATTAGCAGGTGAACAGATTTCTGACTGAGAAAAAGTGTACACATTAAGAGGTGTTCGGATTAGAGACGTTCCACTTTAGTCTAAAAGACTTACCCAAGAGAAGCTGCAAACATACTGGTGGGTGCTACATTGTGGTCTCGTCTGGGAAAGGGGAGGCTTGTATGAACCACATTGGGATCATTTCTCACCATCGAGGCTTCAAAGCGATCAGGACATTTTGAGGCAGATTGATTGGAAATGTCTGCAGTTGGGTTATCATAATCATCTGCAGGTTTCAGACTGTGTGTGACAAAAGAGCTTGGTTCTACAGCTCTTTCTGAGATCATGTGACCAATAATAGGGGATTCCTGTGACATCACAAGATCTGTAGTCATTGGAGAAATGGCACATTCTGATTCGGTAGATTTGTTCCAGGTAGTTGCATTCTGAAACAGAAAGGTTTGATTCAAGATGGTATATAGGTACGGAAGTGGAAACTATTATGTTTGATGGTGCATGTATGTTGTTATCAATCATAAACCTTTTATAATTAATCATATACATGTACTTGGGAAAGATAAAATTAATGACAACTGATCATTAGGGAATGATTTCAATAATGAACCATAATATTGTACATTTTAAGAGTTCATATTCTACCTGGTGTATTTCAATGGGATCTTAGATTGGCATTACATTTTATTTATAAGTGTAGGTGTAAAGTACATGTACTAAAGGGAATCATGGGTCTGTGGGGAACTAAACAGCCTTTACCTGATGGTGGGCACTGTTAATAGATGTCTCTGCTAGTTGCAAGTGGTTCACTAAGAGGTCATCATCGTCTGATGACATTGAGGGTGACACAACTATTTTTGGTGACACATCACTGCAATTAAAATTAAACATGTCAGGCCTGTAGCCAGGATTTGCCAAGGGGGGGGGGGGGGTCAGTTTTCAAAAATTTCCAGGGGGGTCACATTTGACAATTTTGGCCCAAATACAGCTAAAATCACTTGAGAAGTGCTCAAAATGGTGAAAAACTGCATGATTTTGAAAGAATTTTTGGCAAGGGGGGTTTGCCACACTCCTATCACAATTAGGTCTCATGAATATCACAATGTTTGTTTTTGTCACGGTTCACTAACAGGGTTTGAGCCATGGTACAATTGGCCATGAAATATGAATATGACATTAAAAGCGTTGCCCTTTAATGCCCATGAATTTTCAAATAGTTACCTGAATATTCTCCTATTGGTTCTATTGCATATAGCTGCTCCTACAGATTTGATGTTTTTATTGGCTGCAGTAGTGGAGGGGTTGCAATTACTCCACATTTGCCCACCTGAAAGATATGGTCATTTAAAGTATCAATGAATAAAAAAGGCTGTATAGCATTGAACATATAAACCTAAAGTGCAACACATCTGTATGGTGAACACCTTGTAGAACAGTTTTTCAGTCCACTGACTCACTGACTTCATGTTAACGAAGTCAGTGATTAATTTCATCATAGTACAGTAGAACCTGTGTAAGTGGAACACCCTCCGTTCTGCCAAAAAGCGTTCCACTTAGGAGGTGTTCCACTTACGGAGGTTTTGGGATCGCGGGATTTAAAGAACATACAAGATAAAATATAGGATTTATATGTATCACTGGAAATATGATTCTCCCTTCATTGCAGGGCAGGTATACTCTGGCGGATCTGGGGGGCAGATTTCTACCCCCTTGGGTGGGCCCAGAAAAAAAATTTAGCCCTAAGACCCCAATATGTGGGCCTTTTTGGCATTACTGGGCCTTTTGGGGCCTTATTTTGTAATCTTAGGCCAATTTTGAAGAAAATGGGCCTTAAATTTTCAAAATTTGGGCCTACCTTTTGCTTTTAGGGGCCCAAAATTTATATCAGACATATTTTTTATCAGACTTGAAATTTGCCCCCCCCCCCTTGTTGGTTCCCAGATCCACCCCTGGGTATATACCATTAATGATCCATTTGGTTTACTTAAAAATGTATCTGACATTCTTAATCCTCCTCATTCTGCCAAAAATGTTCTGACATTCTTAATCCTCCTCATTCTGCCAGTCTCAGGTACAAATGTTTGGCAATTAAGTTTTAAAGACTTGTTCCTACTGCTAATAATTCAATTGTTTTTTAACTGACATTCTTAATCTTACTTATCAAGTTTGAAACAAACAGCAAGGGGTATAAATTAGTGGTAGCATCACATGTCCATCTCTACAGGAGGTTAATCCAATTTTCTGAATGATAATCTGATGAAATCCTAATTAATATTGCTGATTATCAAATTAATTAGTGGTTGCATCATGTGTTGATCTCTACAGGAGGTTAATCCAATTTGCTGAATGGTAATCCATTAAAAAACCTCATTTACCAATTGTCACGTTATTACCTGTTTTCATACCCAGATATCACTGTAGGAGGTTAATTCTGTTTACATAAGTATCAATATTGAAGTTTATGGAAATTGACTGTTCCACTTAGCAGGTTAAATTTTCAATATGGGGTGTTCACTGTTCAAGTTTGGAGGAGTTCCACTTACAGAGGTTCAATTAACATTAAGTCAATGGGTTTTTAAAATGGGACTTTGAAAAAGTGTTGCACTTGCGAGGTGTTCCACTTACGGAGGTGTTCCACTTAGCAGGTTCTACTGTAATTGTTGTTTTGAAATCAAGCATTGTTGCCTAATTATATCTCAGTACCCTCCTTAATGAATTTAAATAGCTTGAGTCTCATTCATTTTGAAAAGTCATTCAATCAGTCAAGTCATACTATCTTTACCTGAGAATTTATGCTGTCGCTCATTTGGTACTTCAATATCTGGAAGGTCATCTTCAGCAATATTCCCTTCTTGTTTTTTGTTTGCAGCAACAAATTCAACATCAGTGTCTTCCTGGTCACACAGATCAAATATACCATATAAGGAATCATCGTTAGGTTGCATGTTGTTTGATCTGAAACAAATCAATCAATATAGGAAATACATGTTTTAATTAAAGGCCTTTTCTCAAAGTTCTGAATCACATACCATGTCCTTGTTTAATGTATATGCATGGAAATGAATAGGCCAGAATGACTGAATACAGTAAAACCAGTGTATCTCAGTATCTGAACACCTCTCTAATCTGATAAACTCTCGATGCGTAAACTTTTTTCAGTCTCATTTTTTCAATCTGCCATGGAATTCTATGTTAAAAATTAAAAATGTGAACACCTGTCAATCTGAACACTTTTGTTCAATCCAAGTGATGTTCAAATAAAACAGTTTCCTTGAAAAACTCACCCAGTGTTCCATATAGTGTTAAATCTTTCATCCATAATTGCTTTTCTTTCCTTCCATCTTGCCTGTCTTTCCTCAAACCCTCCATTACCTCTATCATTCTCACTATCTACACTATATCTACCCCATCTTCCTTCATTGCTATCACCTCCATTCTGAGGATTATTCACACCACTATGGGATTTTCCTTTTTCAAACCCACTCTTGCTTTCAAAACTCTGGTTATTGGAACAAAAGTCCATGTGATTCCCGTATTTGCCATAACTTGACTCAATATCACATGGATCTCCCCCATTCTGAGAACTATTCCCGCCATAATTTAGCCTTCCTTTCTCCAAACCATCCCTGCTTTCAAAACTCTTTGAACAAAACTCAGTGTTATTCCCATATTTGGGCTGCAAGACTGTGCTATAATTGGACTCAGTATCACATGGATTGTCTATGAAGTTTGCATCTGTATTACTGTTATATGGGTCATGACTTGTGTTATGGATTGCCTCAATTTCATATGGATTTTGTTGATTTCTCTCCATATTATTACTGTGTGGCTTATCTCTGTTATATGGCTGCTGATTTGTTTTGTAAGTTGACTCCATTTCATATGGATTCTGTCGATCATCTCTCCTTGTATTATTACCGTGGGAGATGTTGGATCCGTAAGTGCGCTCTGGAGTCTTTGGGTTCATGTGCGTGTCCTCTGGGGTCACATCATCTATGTCTGGGTCGGAGGAATCTGTAAAATGTAACAACCATGTATTTATTTACAGAATAAAGGACTTTGTAAATAGAGGAAGCAATATGATTACAGGTTTTTGATCCCATAGAAAGCACTTGATCGATCTGCAAATGTGATCAGATTTTACTTGTTATGACAAACTTTAGAGATCGAATAGTCCTTTTTCGCAATAAACCTGTGAAATAGTCATATAAAGTTATTTGAACTAAAGCAGGAGTTTTTACAACTACATGTTCAATGTACTTGGAGTAAGGAAACCAAAATACATGTGCTTCATTTGTCATATTATCTGCTCATTTCCTTTGCATTGAAGTTTATCATGGATGTGAGATGAGATTGATATAAAGACCACTATTCATTTGAGATTATATTTTGCAGAATGATTGTTATGATGGAATATCAGCTCGCTATTATCATGGCTTGCTCTATTGGGTCAATGCAATATTGGCATTTCCATTTCTGATTCATTTGATTTTAAAAATTTCATGGTTTTATGCAAGAATACTTGGCTAACTTTATTGTCTATCAGTGTCAAGGCTTATGGGATCAGTAAAAGGGATTGTGTAATAAGTTATGTTTTTCTAATTTTACCCATTAGTTTAGCAAAAAGGCACATAGAAAGACAGCTATTTTTATTTTTATTTAATATTTTTATTTCAAAGAAAAAACATGTCAAAGCAATTGCAAAAAATAATTACATTACAGTTACATGGTACGTAAACGTACATTTTACAATACAGTATTGGTTAAACGTTAGTGTTTAAGAAATTTTATACCATTGGTAATTTTTTATAACCAACCTGTCCTACTGTAGTGGTACATATCAAGCTCATCCCAGCCCCTGGGGTTGGGGGCCACTGCTACACGTTTCTTCCCTGTAGAGGTAACCTGGATTTCAGGTTTAGTCATGGGGGTCCTTGTTAGTGCCAGTCGATCCTTGGGGGTGTAGGAAAACCTATTTAGGTTCTCTTTAGAACTACTGGGCTACAAGTGAAATACAATGCAGGTTATATAATTAATGTTTAATTGATAATTTTTTTATATAAAATCAACAATATAGGGTTAATGCAAATTCATGTATAGTTCAATCATCATAAATTGTTAAAATGTATTCAGAACAAAGATTACAAATCAACTGTCACCAATATATTGTAATGTAAACCAAAAAAATAATGTGAATTATCTTACAAAGAATCAATTAGTTAAGGGTTCCTTCAAACAACTCTCAATGTGAACACTTTTCTCAATTCCTTCATTATCTCCCATTAACTCACATATTTGAAAACCTTGAAATGTGAACACCTACTAATGCAAACACTTTTGGCTGGTCCCAGAGGTGTTCGGATTAGACAGGTTTAACTGTACAGTATCTAAATACTATGTTACTTTGATGTTCAGCTTTGGGGCCTTCTGTCTGTATCTTACCTTCATGCGTTTTATATTGGGAGTTTGTGGAATCTTCTCAACTTGGTTCTTTAAACCATTCATATAGTGATCCATTCTCCCTATCTTCTCATTTACACTCATTTTCTCTTTGTTTCGCTCCATATTTGGTGCTTTCTGTACTTGCGGGCGTTTAATTGCTATTCCTAATTTACAGCACTCATGGGCACATGTGTCTTTGTTGGTGCACTTGTGACTGCAGGGTCTTCTGTTTGAAGAGGGCTGGTTATAAGTAGCACTCTGTCCTATATTAAACAGAGAAAAATATGTACATGTATATTGCATGCCCTGAACGCAGGCCTTCTTTAGAGTAGGCCTGGTAAATTATCAGTGACACCGTCCTAAAATAAATAAACACATGTACTGAATCTAAATGGAAATTAACTTTGAAATATGCCTTGGGCTAAAAGTGTAATTTCAATGGATTAAACTATTAAACAATTAGCAGCATTATGTATTAAATAGCCCTAGCTAGTCTCTCTTTTCACTTACCAGCTAAATAATTGCTGTATGTAATTTTTTTTCTAAGAATCAGTTACCTTCATAGTTAGGATCAGCCTGGACGTCATAGTCACTACTACTACTGCCACCTGGTGATGGTTTCTTTACACTCTCATCCTAATACCAAGGAATGTAACAGTAATGTTAAATAAGGTATTAACATGCAAAATGCCACCAACCATATAGTCACACCAACCACCAAACACAAAATGCTAACAGCTGAACAGTGTTCACAAAAAAATGGAGACTGAGGACGTCACCACTTGTGGTGGTGACATAAAATGTAATTTTGCATTGTCTCTCTTCGTTGTTATTTGAAAAATTAAAATATTAAGAAAATACAACTACACTATTCCTTTTGTGAGCATTTAACATTGAGTCTGTGATTTAAAGAACAACTAGAAATCAGCACTTTCAAGGTTTACAGCTGAGATATACAATTTTGCCAGTTGACCTCAAGAAAGGCCTTCACTTGTATATTGGAAACACTTTTTGCAGCATGTTTCAGTGAGTACTCTGTGTATGTACCTGTTCATAGTTGTTGGCTCTTGCCACCCTTTTGGGTCCTGTGTAGAAAGGTGTATAGCTACTCTGGACATCCAACCCAACTGAAAAAAATGTCAAAATGAAAGACAAAAAGTTAATGACCAGGAAGAAAACAGAAGAGTCTTCCATATCAAAGGAAAAAGCGCTAAACAATCTCAATTAAGCATGTGTGAATTTCCTTGTACTGTAGCAAACTTACCCCATTCCATACTAATCAGGTTAATACTGAGGTCTTCTCCCTTTATAGCCCTCTTTACTTGAATTCTCTTACTCCAGCTTTCTTCCTTCAACAGTATAGCATCCCTAGAATACAGAAAAAGGATTAGCAATCCCTTTAAAGGCCCTGGGAAAACAGTATTTTCAAACTTTGCATGGGGCCTTTAAATGGGGACTAATCAAATTTTTCATGATTTTTCTCATTTTCAAGTGGCTATACAAATGAATTTTCAAGTGACATTTATAATCCTATATTCAAAATGTCAATTAGACAAGGGCTTCGGAGATGAATGTAATGAGTGAAGAAGGCATTATCATGTGTAATGTCACCACATGCAATTTGTGACAGATGCCAACCACCAAACACCACCCACACATGAAATCAATTAAGAATTTGATAATGACCCAACAATCCATTCATGACATCTGGTCAGAGTCATACAAAAATATCAATCCATAAAAATTTATCAGTCAAGGGTAATACAGCCCAAAAGAAGGCATTATAATGCAAATTGTCACCACATGCCATTTGTGACAGATGCCAACAACCAAACACCACCCACAAAAAAGTTGGAGACTATAACATTATGTCACCACTTTTGGTAGAGACACACACAAAACCCCATACATGATTCTTGATTTGTAGACCAGCTTGTTATCTGCATCTCCAATAAGCAACATACATGAATGGCCAGGGCCAGCTGTGGGAATGCTCTCTCCCAATATATGTCTGTTAGCCAGAACAATTGTTACTGTGATTTCTGAGCTTACATCTGTATAATGGGTCCCCTATAAAACACACAAAGTCATAAACAGTCATAAATGTGATTTAATGCAATGAAACAATATCCAGTATATCAGTTAAAAAACTTAAGGTCAATTTTCAACTTGAAGGCAGAATCAGAAAAATAATTTATTAAAAATTGTTTATTTTTCAAAATTCTACAATAAATATTTACTACCTGATCTATTGAGAGTTCATACTTTGGTAGCTTTTGCACTGCATCCTTTACATTGTTGCCAAATGGGGGATGTCTGTTCACAATCTGCAAGTTGAATGAACAGTTGATTTGTGTTTTGCATGAATACTGATATTAGCAATTAGCATACACACTTTCTACATTGTGTTCTCAAAAGATAGTTAAAATATATTACAACCTTTATCTTGGTGCATTGTATTTTTGCGTGACAACCTTTACAATCTTTCTACATTGTGTTTTTGAGTGACAACCAACCTTTACAATCTTTCTACATTGTGTTTTTGAGTGACAACCAAAATTTATAATCTTTCTACTGTTTTTGAATGACAACCAATATGCAACCTTTCTGGATTGTGTTTTCGAATGACGACAAAAACATACAATCTTTCTATATTTTGATCTGCGTGCGCGACAACCAAAATATACAATCTTTCTATAATATTGTGTTTTTAAGTGCAACCAACATTTACAATCTTTTTAAATTATGTTCTTGAGGGACAAGATAAAATATAACATCTTAGAATACATTTGTTCTTGAGTGACAACAATATACAATCTTTATGCAATACAATTTTTCTAAATTGTGTTCTCAAATGACAAAATATACAATCTTTTCAAATTGTGTTCTAGGCATAATTTTCTTCAAAAATAGAAAATCTCAATTAATACTTGACAATGAATATCAATGGTTTAACAATTACACCATTTTGATTTGACAATCTCACTTACCAGTTCAATTTCTCTGGGGTTTGTATCTTCCAATTTTTGGAATGTTGTCACATTAGCATTCACTAGAGCAGTTGACAATGTTATTCCTGGAGTGTAAAACATATGGATACAGTGACAACTTTGGTAAATTTAATAATACATTTATTCCGATACAATATTTTGCTATATCACAGTCTTTAGACTTAAAACTTACATGCAGGGCTGTCAAGTGTCCCGCAAATGGCGGGATTATCCCGCGAATTCGATCAAAATTAGGCTAATTCGCGTGTCCCGCAATGTCCCGCAAAGTCCCGCAAATGTGGCTTTCGACCTCCGCGAATTTCCGAAAGTGTTGCAATCCCCTATATTGTGATTATCTTATCTTATATAAGAAGCTAAGTTTTTGCACTTTTGAGGAGTAAAGTTTACCTAATTTTAAGTACCTAGCATGCTGTTGTTTGGTATCAAAATAAAGAGGAAGGGTTCAACTTTCATTTTAATTACGCCAATAGGGATGTAGGTCACAAATAGTTCCAACGTTGGCCTTTTTACTATCCGTGTGGCCTTCATCTCAGAACTGAGCAAATGTTAGCAAACGCGAGTTACAATAAATGGACGCTGATATCTAGAAAGGGTTTGTAGAAAAAACCGGGTACCGGGTAGTAAATCCTCCATGCTGGGTTCAAACTTGGTACCCGGTACCCAGTCAAAAAACGGGTACCCAGAAAACAAAAAATACGAATATACGAGTATAACATAATTAGATTATCAGAAAACGTGTAAGATTTGTTTTGAATTTACAAAAATGTATGTAACATCCTTCAAAATTGAGCTAGAAGCTTCAAATAAAAAGCATATTTTAAGGCTCTTTTCTTCCTCTATCGTCATGACCATATTTTCATTGGTTATGGGGGGGGGGTGCGATCGCACCATCGCAGCCTCTCCTGGCTACGCCTATGACATTGTAAGACACAACAATTTAGTGGACAATTCAGTGGACATTTTGTCGACAGTTGGGATAACTTAAATTATGATTAATAATCAAAATCTTACACTGGCATTGCATCATGTAAATTAACACACGTCACCTCTCTGCTAAAGCAACGATAGCAATTTAAAGATTTAAATCATAATCAAAACAATTCATGTACCAACATACGAACTATTGAAAATAGAGTAAAATTGATTTGCCTTGTTATTCAAATCGTCTTACAATGTCATTGGCGTAGCCAGGAGAGGGTGTGATGGTGCGATCGCACCCCCCCCTCCCCCTTCATTACCAATGGAAATATGACCAGGATCAGTGGCAGATCCAGGAACCAACAAGGGGGGGGCCAAAATTGAGAATATAGAAAAACCCTCCGCGCTTGCGCGGAAAAAAATTTTGGGCCCCTAAAACCAAAAAAGTGGGCCCAAATTTTGAAAATTTGAGGCCCATTTTCTTCCAAATTTGGCCTAAATTAAAAAAATAAGGCCTTAGAAGGCCCAATAATGACCAAAAGGCCCACTTTTTGGGGCCTTAAGGCCTTTTTTGGCCTAAAATTTTTTTGGGCCCAACTTCTTTTTTTTTTGGGCCAACCTCAGGGGGGGGGGCCCGGGCCCCATGGGCCCCCCTCCCCCGGATCCGCCATAGAGGATGATAGAGGAAGAAAAGAGGCTTAAAATGCTTTTTATTTGAAGCTTCTAGCTCAATTTTGAAGGAAGTTACATACATTTTTGTAAATTCAAAACAAATCTTACACGTTTTCTAATGATCTAATTAAAGTGGGGGACAAAAATAAATCTCAACCCTCAAAAGTTGTCACAATGAGCTAAATTCTAAGTTTCATGTCTCAAACTCTCCAAAGTGGTAGAAAAATAATTCCCATCCACTTTAAGTAGCACAATAAATGAATCCAAAGCCTCATACCTGCAAATGATGGATAAATCCCTACCAAATCGGACTAATGTTTTCATGAATCGCCATGTTTGTGATCCAAGGAGGATTGACTCCCAGAATGCAACATCAAGTAACCTTATTTATTTGTGACGTATTTCAAAACGGCGGAATGGCATTTTGAAAGCTGACACGTGTCATGTTGCATTCTGGGAGCCAACCCACATTGCGGCGTAATCTGGCTCCAAAATCACCTCAACATTTGAAGAGTCGGCATTAACATGTGAATTCCACATCAAATTTTTAAGTTCTTATTTGTCATTATGGACACAAATTCCACTATATCTGGACTTACTATGATGGAGAAAATAGAGCACTGAATACACTGAGGTAAGAATTTATTACATATGCGACAACATGTAATTTCCATAGGTTTTGTAATTCTTTATGCCCCCCACTGTATGTTGTATATTCGTATATTTCGTTTTTTGGGTACCCGGTTTTTTCGACCGGGTACCAAGTTTGAACCCGGCATTGAGGATTTACTATCCGGTACCCGGTTTTTCTACAAACCCTATCTAGAAAAGTAACCTCATTCCCTATAATTTGATGTAGATTAATCGAACCCCTATACCATGGGCTTTCAATTGAAAGCCCATGCCTACAGTATATGAATAGGTACATTTTGATATATAACATTATGGGCTTTCAATTGAAAGCCCATGCCTACAGTATATGAAAAGGAACATTTTGATATATACATTATGGGGGTAAGCGTTTCATATATAGTTGGTCACGACGCCAGAAGTGCAAAGTATTGTTCCAAATTTTTGAATTTCGTGTTAGATTACGATACTCACACCTGAAGCATGGTTTTTGTTTTTGATAAATTACAATAAAGTTTAATAATATTTATATGCGTATTTTGTGAAGTTATGTTGACGTTTATTTAAGTTACAATGTAACGGTGCATTATATTTGATTAATCAGTATCTGAAAGTTTGGTTTAAGTACTTTTACACGCTTTTACATTAGTCCAAATCACGCAAATCCCATGAATGTCCCGGGACATCCTGCAAATTTAGGTGGATGTCCCGCAAAATCCCGCAAATTTAGGGCACTTTTTCTAGAAAATCTGTCCCTCTATGAAGTTTTTGCTGGTAAACCTGTTAACTGTCCCGCAATTAGGGTGTTTGTCCCTCGAATGGTCCCGCGAAATCCCACGAATTTGATAAAAAATGGCCTATAAGCGCAATCACGCAAATCCCTTAAATGTCCCACGAAATCCCGCGAATTTAGTAGATCTCCCGCAAAATCCCGCGAATTTTGGGCACTGGGTCTAAAAAATCTGTCCCGCGAGAAAATTTTTGGGGGTTGACAGTACTGTACATGTGTGTTCAATCATTTAATGAATGACTTACATGAACTCCCAACAGGGCTGTCAACTTGGGACCACCTAATATGAGTGACTTCAAAATGTTGGACACCTAAGTCCAAATCTGAACACTTTTGTCCAAATTTTGAACACCTTTGGCCAACTTTTAAACACCTTTGGCCAAAGTTTGAGCACCTTTGCCAAACTTTGATCACCTCGAATTTTTCGCGCTCGCTACGCTCGCGATGTCGTCAACGGGGGGGGGGGGGGGGGGGGGGGGGGGGGGTAGGTACGAAAATTTCCAATGAACATGCGTGACATATACGGGATTCGCGTGACAAATCCGAACAAATTGCGTTCGGTTTTTTTCCGACGTTCGTATTTTTACCGTATCATAAACATATTTCGAAAAAAATTCTACAGAAATATTTTTGCGTGACAATTACCAGGTAAAATGCGTATTTGCGTGACATTTTCTGTCACGCAAAAAAAACTGGCGTGACTTCAAATTCTTCAGCAAATGCGTGACAAATACGCAAATTGCGGGACAGTTGACAGGCCTGTCCCAAGTACAGTAAAACCTATATAGAGGAACACCTCTTGAATCTTATCCAAATCCCTTTCAATGTGAACACATTTTCTCTATCCGAAATGTGTTATCTCACATTATGACTTATAACAAATCCAAACAGTTTGGCCAGTCCCAGTGGTGTTTGAACTGATAATGTTTTACTGCACATTATATTTTATAATAATGCCTTTTAACAAATGTTACATACCTATTCCCTCTAATTGTCTCGAGACATATCGTGAGTTCTCCCAGAGTCTGGCTCGGAAGCATTTCGACAGAATTGCAGCATTTAGGAGGGCCTTGAACTTTGTGCCCTGCCAAAGGTATTCCTGGAGGCCTGAAATTTACAAATATAAAAATTCTAGCATGAAATATTATTACATATATAAGTCTTGAACAAATGTTTCCAGCAAACTTCAGACAAGAAAAAAAGATAAATAATGTCTTTATATTTATTTTAAAAAATGTGCTCCTTATGGGAATCGATCCATTGGCCTTCAGGTTGGCTAAATAGGGAACCTATATTTATTTCAAAATTAATTGGTGAGAAACATGGAAAGAATTAAAATATTTAAATAATTCTACTTTTTTCTCATTTTTTTCATCAAATGATCACAGGAATTACAAGACAATTATTAAATTAAATTAAAACATGTTCGGTTTATGGACCTGATTATTGATCTAACAAGACCTGATATCACAGGAACCGGAAGTAAACAAAATTTCAAACAAAATTGAATATCAGGTAAATCTTTGTTATTTACTCTTATAGAACTCATATTCTGCATTTTATATTGAAATATTGTAAATATATGACAAGGGCAATTATTCAACCCGTGGGTATGGAAAAAATAAAACCAAATTGCTCGTAAACTCGGAAAAGAATAATTTCAATTATTTCATTTTCAAATTTCGATTGAATTTTCATAAAATTTTGAATTTGTGGCAGTGATCTTACGAATTTTGTAGACTCAACAGCATACAGCTAGTATTTTGATCAATTATATACTATAATTTATACTTTTTCTCTACTGCCGTACGGCTGGTACTTTTTGACAGTTTTTTGACTGATGGTAGTCTAGAATTCAAAAATAAGACTTAGCTAAAAACTGAAACTGTCATTCACCTTCCAGAAGTAAGTAAACATTCATGAATGCCAGAACTTATATCTTGTTTCTTCACGGGAGCATAAGCACAATATCCCGCACAATATCCAGGAGATGAAAATGAATTGTAAAACTGACTTACTTCTTCTTCATGCATTCCTGAAGTTTTGATGCTCTTTATTTTGAGCGAGCATGAGCACATGTAAGTCACTTCAAACATTATTTTCACATTTAGATGCAATGCAATCTTTGAATGACATCTTTTAATATTTATTTGTGCATGCGTGGATATGCGCAAAAATTTGAACCAGAAAATACAAATCTGTGCAGATTACCTCGTCTATCGATAAATGGAAATTGAAAACATTTATTTATTTCTATCAAATACTGTGCTTATGCTCCATGATCGACAAAACAAAGCTGATAGAGTAACAATCGTGAATGTCTACAAAGTCCTTGTGGGTGACAGATTCATTCTTTAGCCAAGTATTATTTTTTAATTCTATCAACGTGGTCAGATTGTGAAAAAAAGTAATAAAAATCTATTATTAAATTTTTGTAGGATGCCTATAGCAATAAGAGACCACACTTGGGAACAAACAGACACTAATGTGTTCATCAATGTTCCTCTGAAAGGTAGGCAAATTTCATTATATATATCATATATACATATCATATATATCACCTGAGACCATCATAATATATATTTTATGTTAGTCACAGACGTCACTCACAAGGTGTACTTGTATTTAATTCTACAGTGACAATTTTTCACTACATGTACATTTCTACTTTTATGTTATAACCAAACACAAAGTCACAAACACTGGCACTAATTCATAACCTTATCGGACTATGTTTCACGCTACAGTGTCCTGGTGTAAATAATATGTATGCCACAGGTCCAATCTAGTATTCTAGTTCACGCCTGGTGATCGGAAAAATGGGACAGAGGGGAGCAGGCAATTTCTGCTAGAAAATTCAACAAATCATCTGAAAGATTTATTTTTTCAAGAGATGGTTTACTATTGAATTGCTTAATGGACGCACTGTATGGTTAAATATGTTAGGTCTTTTAGGATTTCCGATCACTGGGCATGTAGTTAACAAAACAAAAAAACAAGATGAATGTTAATACTGTATAGCCAACTTTACCGTAGGCCCATATGTTTTCCATAGGCATGTACATAATTGACCTCTGACATCACATACACAGCCAATATAATTCGGCGCTGTTTCGGCATCAAAAAAATTTGATGCTGTTTGGGCACCGTTCCGGCATCGAAACCTTTCAACACTAAAATTTGGCACCAGACTAGTCAGTCCATTTGGTGCCGAAACGGCACTGAAATTTGGCACCGAAACGTCGTTGAAAATCAGATTGCATTTTTGGGGTGTACAAAAAGTAGTAAAAAATTTGTTTCAAATTTTCCAGGTGTCAAGACTCAAAAGGTAGACATTTTCTCAACAGATGAATATCTCAAAGTTAGTTTCCCACCATATTTATTCGAGTGCTTCCTGTATGCTGCAGTAGATGATGACTCTAGTTCTGCTAAGATTGGAAATGGCATGGTGGTCTTTAAACTTACCAAGAAAAGTCCAGAGATATGGCCTGAGTTGCAGACAAATGAAATAGGTAAAAGTGAATTTTATTTTTATTTTTTAAGGGTGTAGCCAGGATCCATTTGAAATATGTGAGGCAAATTTAAACATGCAAAGCACATCATAAATTTTTGACATTAGTTTCACTAGCCTTTAAGTCTAAAAAAATTGCAATAATTTAATTTTGTAATTTTGATTGCTTGACTAACTATTTCATATTTTATATATCAAAAGCATGGGAGGGGGGGGGGTGCGATGGCAAACAGATCTGAGACTTAATTTGGCGGTTTCCATCCATCCGCAAAATTAAAATGGCCTTCAAATTAAAGCAATTTACAGTAATTAAACATACATGTACATCGAATTGGATGGGCAGATGCACCCACAGATGCATCGAGTACGCCGCGAAGCACAAATAAGAGACCATTGGTATGACCTGTACAGTATGTGGCTATTGTAATATATATATTTTTGTTGGATTTTAGAAAACAAAGAGGCCTTAAAGGCGAAGCGTGCAACAGCAATCACATATGCCCAGGAGAGATCTGAACGCAAAGAAAAAGAGAGAGCTGAACAGAAAAGACAGGATGATAAATATGCGCTTAAGGAAGCCATGAAGGTACGTAGGATCCTTTACTCTAGACTTGCAGCATGTAACAGGCCATATTCTCAATCTGTGTTTATCAAAGTCACTGGAATGGAATGGTGCAACTGTTTCCATGTTGAAACAATTGGGTGATTGCAAAAGCTCACCATGTGAGCTAACTAGAATCTCAATAATTTTGCCTGTTGGTCATCTATTAAAATCTAGTAAAATTCATACTGTATTCATCAATGAACATGCCTGATTTACAGTTAGACAGTGAAGAGAGGGAGAGAATAGCAGATGTCAAAAGATCAGCAATTACCGAAGCCAATGAAGATCTAGAGAATTGGAAAGAGGAACAGAAACTACAGTCAGAACAACAGAAAATCAAGGTTAGGCCCTTATATTTATGGAATTTATACAAGGAATTTCTGTTACTTTTTTTGAAAGCCTTGATTGTGTTATTGGCTTCATAATGGTACAAGCATACAGAGCATGTTTGAGGTGCTACCCTGTCCAAATATGATTGTATAACTAACGCAACCTTCTGATCTGCATTGACTGAATATCAGACAACTGAACTAGATTAGTATAATAAATATAGGGTGTCTGTATAAGTTTCATTACACTTTACATTAAAATTACATTTGATTGAGACTTTATGGACACCCTTTACATTACTGTACCTTGATTTCATGGATTTATGTGTACATTATTCAGATTCACAGTTTTGTTACTATGATGTGAAATATGTCTTTGATCCTACTCAAACATATGTTGGCCTTACTATTGGCAATACTCGGGCAGGTTTTATGTCTGGCAGAACAAGACATACTTCATGTCAGTTACATAACTGATGCATTACTTACCTTTTTTCACATGGCTACTTTGTATATTGGCATATTACTAGGTATGTATACTTGTGTTTTATTTCACTCTCCAGGAGGCAGAAGAAAGGCGTTTCAGAGAAGCACTGAGGAAGCGTGACAAAAAGAAATCTCCAGGAAAGATTGCAACAGATAAAGATACAACAAATGGTATATTTGAGGATGAGGTGAAAGTCCAACCCAGTGAAATCAGGCAACCTGGCAAAATAGAAGTTTCCTTTACACACAGGGATTTCCCAACAGCTGCCAGGTACAATATGTAGAACAAGATACTGTACTTCTAATTAATTTGCTGCTACTTATTTTTGCAGACTTACAATATTATAATGTTCTTATTATGGGCCTAATTTACATGGTACTAAAATTACCAAATTAAAACAGCCACCAAATTAAGTAGAAGTACAGTAACATTTTGAAGGCATTAACATGCAAAATGTCACCACCTGCCGTTCTAGATGCAAACCACCAAATGTCAACTGAAGAACACTGTCTACAAAACATATGGAGACTAAGAATATGTCACCACCTCTGGTGGCATTTTGAGTGAATATTTTCTCCAAAAATCTTTTAATTTTTTGGCAAATTTTAGTTTTCTGTGATGTAAGATTATAGCCTAGTCTAAGAGAGTTCTTAATGTGGATATTTGTTTTGTGTATCAATATTAATGTAGCAGTCCTGCATGGATCAATGATTGATTCAATTGGTTGATAGCATTTTTTGTGAGCACTAAGAAATGGTGACATGAATGCTATAACCACCTTTTTGGTATGGGCATTCAGGATGTAGGTTGGCAGTATTTTTCAATAACTTTTTTGATTGTGACATTTTATTATGATAAAACCTATTGGAGTCATATTGTTTGTTTTGTTGGTTTCCTCATATACCTCCATGTAGTTTCTTTTAAAGAACAGTTGAACATTATGTGAATGTTTATGCACTTCTCCATTGCAGGGAATCAACAGCTGGTTTAGAGGAGGAATGGCTGAAGAAACAGAATGAGGCAAGGAGGATAAGAGACACAGAGGATGATAATCTCACAGAGGAGGAGAGGAACCCAGTATGGCTGAGAGATAAAGGAAATGAGTTCTTCAAGACAGGGAACTACCAGGCAGCCATCAATGCCTACTCCCATGCCATCAAACTGCAGAGTAAATTACCAGCGTATCCTTTAACAAGGCATTAACATGCAAAATGTCACTACCTGCCATTTGTTACAGACTTCTGGTGGTGACATAATAAATAGCATATTAAATGTATAAGCATGAGAGTCATAACGGTAAAGATCAAAAAGTATTGAAAAATACAGATCAAAAGGAAAGTTGAAGGGTATATTAACAAGGAAACTTTATGTAGTCTTTTGTGTAAATACATGTATATCACCCTATGCAGACAGAGCCTGTGGGAAATATTGGGTGCGGAGCAAATGAGCGGAGGGTGCGGAGCTAACGGTTATTTTTGAATTTAAATTTGGGATATTTCTGAAACTAAGCCGTTTTGGGACTTCAAATATACCAAGATATGTGTATTTGACACCAAATATCAATACAATTGTGAAAATAGTAGCGCAATTCATTCTATAGCGACGCAGTGTGCCTTAAACCTTTCCCAGACCTATATATTTTGAAATTATCCTTTTAATACTGAGATCCCAGCATTCATAAAAAATGGTGTTCAAGGTGCACTATCTATACAAATTATTTTTGCATCTTGGAAGCCAGGCAGTATCTGTGTGATTTTATAAAAATTCGGAAATGTTCTTCAGATATGAGCCCCTCTAAATATTGGGTGCGGAGCAGCTCCATAAACGTAGCTCCGCACCCAATATTTAGAGGGGCTCATATCTGAAGAACATTTCCGAATTTTTATAAAATCACACAGATACTGCCTGGCTTCCAAGATGCAAAAATAATTTGCATGGGTAGTGTATCTTGAACACCATTTTTTATGAATGCTGGGGACGCAGTATTAAAAGGATAGTCTCAAAATATATAGGTCTGGGAAATGTTTAAGGCATACTGCGTCGCTATAAAATGAATTGCACTACTATTTTCACAATTTTATTGATATTTGGTGTCAAATACACATATCTTGGTATATTTGAAGTCCCAAAACGGCTTAGTTTCAGAAATATCCCAATTTTAAATTCAAAAATGACCGTTAGCTCCGCACCCTCCGCTCATTTGCGCCGCACCCAATATTTCCCACAGGCTCTGTCTGCATAGGGTGTATATGCTGAGTTCATTATACATGTAGTCTAGTACAAGAAATAATGTCTGGAACTTTAATAATATAATCTAAAAATTAATTTACAAGTTTTAGTCATGACCTTGACCAATCTTAGATTATATTCCAATAGAGCTGCATGTCACCTCAAACTGGGCAACTGTATGAAGTGTTTAGAAGACTCATCAACTGTAAGTATTTCTGCATGCTGTTTCTAGTTCTTTCCAATGTACATTCCATCTTTTCCTAACCTTTAGTTGACCAGATGTAAATCCAATTTCTTTTCACAGACAACTCATTGTCTTCCTATAGGTTTACACATACAGCTGTACTTGCCTGTTCCTGTTGTCTGATGTTGAGTGAACTATTCCAATGAACAATACATAAACCACAGGTTCATCTCCAACTACATGCTCAACTATTTAGGAGTTAAATATTTTTTAAGCAGCCATGTAAGTGATCCATCTGAAAGCCTGAGTTAGTGATCCGAGTACAGCAGACTCATCCTATGCAGAGAGAGTGCACAGAAAATGCCCCAATAACATGTTGACTTCGCACTGCCTAGCATGATAGCTGCCCAAAACGCTTTCTTCATGCTCACTTAGTGTAGGAAAAGACTGATAGGGTTTAATAAACTCATTTATTTTACTTCAACAGGCACTTGACCTACTGACCCCTCCTGTGCCACAGAATGCTGCTGCAAGGGTTAAAGCTCACACACGTAGAGGAACAGCCTTCTGTCAACTAGAGCTGTATGTTGAAGGTAGGGTTAAAAATATTAAAGTTCTTTTCCCAGCATCATTGAGTATAATGTGCTCAACATTCAGTCCATTGGGACTATGAAGGGTTTCATTTATGGAGGTGTTCCACTTTACAGGTTTCACTGTAAATGCACTCAGTTGAGAATGAGATAAACTCTCTGACAGGCCATACTTAGTATTGACATTTTAGTAAAAGCTCAAAATTCTATATCATATTAGTTAAGTAAAACCTATTGAATCCAAATGTCAATAAAAAGTCAGATTTATCATCTACTTTGAGTGTTTTATTTGCCTTGACTTCCAGGTCTTCAGGACTATGAGGCAGCTCTTAAACTTCAACCTGACAACCCACAACTAAGAGATGATGCTGATAGGATACGTAACATTATACAAGGCTCGGAACCGACCTGATTAGATCAATGCAATGTGGTCATATATCCGTCCAGTTCCTCATCAAAGTAACTTAAGTTAGTAAATTATTGACCAGAGGGATCTTATCTGATCAACACGATGTAGTCACATATCCGTCCAGTTTCTCATCAAAGTGACTTAAGTAAATTATTTGCCAGAGGGACCTGATCTCATCAAGAAGTAGTTTAAAAAAGTTTTTTATATGAGAAATTAAATGTACATCATTCCTAAAATGTACATTTTTGGAGGAGGAGGTCAATCTAAATTACAGTTAATGTGTTTATAATTAATAGGCCTATATGTTCTTTAAAAATCACTGTATTGGCCTGGTACTAAACTCAGAGTTTACTGACGCTACAAATGTGAAAAAATGTTTTTGTTATTTAATAAAACAATGAATTTGATTTATTTAGCTTCGAGTTAATATGGCCCACATATATCACAAGTTCTATTTCACCAATTTTTATTCAAAAAATGTATATATAATATCTTACTGTAGCCCTTGTTTTATTCTTCCCTATTTTCTGTACCTCCCAAACTGTCCAAATATGAAAAAAGATGAAATACCCCAGAATGCATTAGATGAACCTTTCTCCATGTACAGATGAAGACCCATTCATCTATGAATTCTGGGGTCCTCTCCTCTCTTCTAAAGATGCTAACTTTCATGTCTTCCATTTTTTCAACAACTGACAGTAGTATTTCCTTGCAGCAGTCCCTTATTTACTCCCCAAACTCAGAAGCACTTCTTAGTAAAGTGACTGTTGAATCAGATGCAAATGAATTTAACTTACATTTAATAACCCTTTGAGCTGCCCTGAAGATTTTGTTGATGTCCTGCGTAAGGGCAAAATCCTGTATAGAGAGACAGCCAAACTGGGCCTGGATCAAGCTATAACAGTAGTTTTTACAAAGGATTAAATACGGTTCAAGTAAAAAATAATTATAGTGGCCAAAAATCAACGTCCTACCATAACTGAAAGACCAAACAAAATAAACTCATAAAGAGATCAAATATATGAATGTATTATGTTTAATCACAACAATGTTTAATCTGGGAAATGTGTCATTGTCAACTAGGAGATGGGTAATTAAAACTCAAAAGTACTTACCAATTGACTTTCATCTCATTTGTTTTGATCTTTCCATCCATTGGGAATCTGGAAAATGAAAAAGTATAAAAGTCAACTCAAATTAAGAACCTGGGACATCTACTTGCTTCACAATAACAATGGTGTCCACATTAGTGACATATGTCATGTTAAAATTACAGATAACAATACTCTGCTTTATCTTAATTCACTAAATACTGACGTATATTCATATACATTTTTGTAACGCCATGCCATGGTGTTCATTAAAAGAGATGCGTATTGTATGAAGCTTGACGCGCTAGATGAAACAAGATAGGCTAAAAAATTAATCATGGACAAGGGTTAATCAATTCTACCTTATTGTTATCCTATGCTTGTCTTTATTCAGTGTGTTTAGCACTCGTCTTTCATTCACCCTGAGCTGGACATCTCTAAACTCCTTACAGCTTGACAGTAGAACCAACTAAAATGAATCAGTTAATATCTCTAAAACATGCACATCCATTAACATCCATTATATCATTCCCTTACATTACAATTTTTTCCCAAGCCCTCACATGAAGGCTATCCTTTTACATTATCTTTACAGAACATTTCCCCATTGTGTGGGGTGGTAGGCATACTCACCAGTTCATTGATTGCCTCTTTGCCAGTCAGGTTTGTGAATTGCTTCATTGTATCATATGCTATGCAGTACCTTGCCATCAGTCTACCAGTCTCTGGAATATGAAATAATGCAAGAAAATATCACCACCTGTTGAGACATTGCAAATGCCAACACTGATGCTGACATCAAATCATAAGAACGCATTAACAAGCAAAACCTGCCATTTTTTACAGTCAGACGCTAACTGACGAAAGCCAAAGATCAAACGCTGAACACCGTCCATAAAAAAGTTGGATACTTATATGACAATATGTGATACCTTCTGGTTACATTACAATGGCTATTACAATATGTCTCACCATAAGATAAAACAGCATCTTCGTAATATAGCTATGAAAAAGCACAAAAGGCAAGGTGTGAATCAAATGCAACTTTGGTTATAAATATAATGTATAGATCTAATCTTATTTTGATCTCATCAGCCAAATATAATTGAGGATCTTTTCCAAATCTGTACCCACTATATGCAGTCAGCAGGCCTGTAGCCAGGATTTGCCAAGGGGGAAATAGTTTTTATGTTTCACTCGAATAAATGAAGCATAAAAACTATTTGCCAAGGGGGGTTCACTTTTTAGAAAATTCCAGGGGGGGTTCACTTATGACAACTGTGGTCCAAAATCACTTGAAAAGTGCTCAGAATAGTGAAAACTGCATGATTTTGAAAGAGTTTGGCGGGGGGTTCGCCAGGGGAAACCCCCTGGCTATAGGCATGAGTCATTGACAACTCACCTGGTCACAAAGTGGTCCTCATCCATTTTAACAAGTTTAACAACTCACCTGTGGATTTGGTCACAAAGTGGTCCTCATCCATTTTAACAAGTTCCACCTTCTCAAGATTGTCCAGGTTCTTCAGGCACAATTCTACAATAAATTCTACACTATAATCAAATATGTTGCTTCCATTTTAATTGTATAATGCGGGTATTACAAAAGTGTAACAATTTGCTGAGCACAGAATGCAATATTTCCAAGATATAAAGAAGGAAGGAACTTGTTTTTGATATTTCAAAACTTATGTTTTGAAAATGTTGAAAACATATTGTGTTCATCTCCACACAGAGTAAAGAGAAATCAAATAAATCTTTTACCTTGCAACCTTTTCTCAACTTGCTCTTTATTGAGACCTTCTGGAAGACCTAGAAATACATGTAAATAGTTTTGTGAGATCATATGGAGATCTATCCAGAGTTAAGTGACCTGTTGAGAAGCTAATGAGTATGTATGTGCAATGGAAAATTGACCAACATTTTTGACAGAACCCATAGAAAAAAGGGAAACATTGAAGTGTACACCAGTCATAAGGAAAACAAACCCCAACAAGGCTGTAAGATGTATAGTATTCAAATCAATTATAATGTTCAAGTATATGTTTTTAAAATATCCTCAACATCATGACACAGGAATATTTTGCAATGTTTATTCATGAAAACTACCATGGAAAGTATAACTGGTACAAGAACATGAACTTGAAATTTACCTTTAAATAATAACATGACAACATCAAAGGTAAAAGATATACGATGACCTCATATCAAACACAAGTTATTAACATTGGTAAAGAAAAAAAACTGGCAAAGTACATAGACTTCGGGAACCATATTTGAACAAATACTCTTTGCAAATATCTCGTAATATAAATCCTGTCAAAAAACAATAGTTTATGCTAACTACATAAACCCCAATATTATTTCATAGCCTACTTCCTGATCCACATTTGTCTTCATAATGTATTCATTGGCAAATTTAAAAGTAAGGAAACCCTGTAGCAGCTTAAACAGAAGCTATATCGACAGGTAATGTCATTTCTAGTAATTTGGTAATACATATTTATATAATATGTCTTAGACAGAGAATTAACATGCAAATTGTGACCAATTATGGTGTTGACATAATAATTTATAAACATTCTCTCCATGTTTACACAACATTCTCTATATGTTCACACAACATTCTCTACATGTTCACACAACATTCTCTACATGTTCACACAACATTCTCTACATGTTCACACATCATTCTCTTCATTTTTACACAACATTTTCTACATGTTCACACAACATTCTCTACATGTTCACACAACATTCTCTACATGTTCACACAACATTCTCTACATGTTCACACAACATTCTCTTCATGTTTACACAACATTCTCTACATGTTTACACAACATTCTCTACATGTTCACACAACATTCTCTACATGTTCATACAACATTCTCTTCATGTTTGCACAACATTCTCTTCATATTTACACAACATTCTCTACATCTTTACACAACATTCTCTACATGTTCACACAACATTCTCTACATGTTCATACAACATTCTCTACAAGTTTACACAACATTCTCTACATGTTCACACAACATTCTCTACATGTTCACACAACATTCTCTACATGTTCACACAACATTCTCTACATGTTCACACATCATTCTCTTCATTTTTACACAACATTTTCTACATGTTCACACAACATTCTCTACATGTTCACACAACATTCTCTACATGTTCACACAACATTCTCTACATGTTCACACAACATTCTCTTCATGTTTACACAACATTCTCTACATGTTTACACAACATTCTCTACATGTTCACACAACATTCTCTACATGTTCACACAACATTCTCTTCATGTTCACACAACATTCTCTACATGTTCATACAACATTCTCTTCATATTTACAAAACATTCTCTGCATGTTTCTACAACAGCATCCATGACTAAAACTGTTAGGGACTTCATTATTTTTAGTTCCAAACTTGGTTTCAATTAATACATTTCTGTTTTTGTCCATTTTTGCAATTTAATTTACATGCTGCAAACTGTTTTTTTCGATTTATTCACATATGATTCATACCAATCTGTATTTATTTACAGAAGGTCCTCAAAGGTGACTCATAAACTAAGACATGGATAAGCAAGGTTACACTAATCTGAAGAATGATACTGAAAAACCTACTGGTCAACCAGGTGGCCAAACAATAATCCATGCAGGACTCTCACCGATAGACATCACCCCTGGTGGTTTGCATGGGCCGCAGGAATCAATGAATCCAGCATCAATACCTCAGTGGCCTGAATATCCAACACAACCCAAAATGGGATATGTACCATCAAAAGCTACATACACAGTGCAACCAACTGCCGCACAACCATGTGACCCAAAGCCTGGTTACAACAATGGTCCTAGGCGCAGACGGGCCAACAGCTGCCCATTGGTACTAAGCATTATTCTTATCATTTCTGGCATTATCATGATCATCATTAACATCATGGGTTTCATGGTTGGCTTTGATCAATTTGCAGCAAGCGGAGCTGGATTTTGGGGAGGTATAGTCTTGATAGTCATTGGCGGAATTGGCGTTTGGGCATCAAGAACAATTAATAATACAGCTGGACTCACGTGGTGAAAGTGCATTCTAGATTCACGTAGCTGTCTGTACAATCTCAAGGAAATCAAAACTTTGGATTTACATAAAAAGTTATATTTTAACAATTAAAGTGGCAGCCATTTTGAATCTTTGCAACATTTTGTCAAAACTGTAGACATTATTGTTAATTTGTGAGATAAGATTTTTGGTCCCATTTTTTTAATCTGCCATTGACTTCCATGTAACAAAAAAACCTTGAAATGTGAGCACCTGAAAAACTGAACACTTTTGGCTTGCACAAGTGGTGTTCAAACAAGACAGATTTTACTGCTTTGTGATCCAAAAATTAAACTTACCATAGTGTTTAGGATTTTTCATGATTCGTATATACAGAAATGTTGACCTAATCCACTCTAAAGCAACTGAGATGTCAGTTATAGTGTTCAGTACAATCTCTGCATTCAAGTGTTCAATCAGGTGTTCATGTAAACTGAAATAGATGTATAAGCATATATAGCAAAAATGTATTTGGGAGAAAAGGGGTGGGTCAAAATATGATCCCCTTGTAGAAAACTAGCTGCCTCAGAAGTTTGCTATATAATAACTCAAAAAGAAAGCACTCGATAAAGTAATATTAATGGAGTAATTTTGACGTTAGAAGTGTTGTGTTGAAGTGAAGCGATGCACATTTAATGAATGCATTTTGGAGAGGAAAGAAAATTGGGAGAAATATATATATATTGTATTGTACGAGGGGTGATCAATAAGTAATGGACGCTTTTTTACTTGGATGTCATCAAAACAGTTGCATCAATCTAATTCAGAATTTTCAGAAATTGTGTTAGATAATTTTAACCTCACTAATGCCTGGGTCACATTTGCTGCGATTCATCGGGTGGCGCTGGGCCAATTGATTATTTTGTTAAAAACTGAATACAATTTTGGACAAAATACTCAATCGGCTGGGTGCCAGCAAATAAAATGCAAATGTGACCCGAACGTTACCTGCTTTCGATGAGCTGAGCACCATTTAGAAATGACTCATATTTCTGTTTGGTTTCCATACGGGTCATTATAACAGCAGTTGCTGTGTCATCAAACTAGAAAAAACTAAATATTATATAATTGCATTCACTTTCTTAATTGATCTTTAGATAGATAACATTCTCTATACTTACTGAACCTAATTCATACAAGGCATTAACATGACAAAATGTTACCACCTAAAACAATTTGGTCGATTTAAAGCAAGTTGGAAAATACCTTTTGACCTTGAGAAGGTCATTGAAGGTCAAAGGTCAAATCTAAAGTCAGATTTGAACTTCTGAGAACTTGTAAAGTCAAGTAGATGATTTTGAAAAAAAAATTTGGTCAATTTGAAGCAAGTTGAAAACAGACCTTTTTGACCTTTTTTGACCTTGAGAAGGTCATTAAAGGTCAAATGTCAAATCTAAAGTCAGATTTGAATTTCTGAGAACATGTAGATGATTTTGAAAAAAAAATTTAGTCAATTTGAAGCAAGATGAAAAATACCTTTTTTGACCTTTTTTGACATTGAGAAGGTCATTGAAGGTCAAATGTCAAATCTAAAGTCAGATTTGAATTTCTGAGAACATGTAGATGATTTTGAAAAAAAAATTTAGTCAATTTGAAGCAAGTTGAAAAAAGACCTTTTTGACCTTTTTTGACTTTGAGAAGGTCATTGAAGGTCAAATGTCAAATCTAAAGTCAGATTTGAATTTCTGAGAACATGTAGATGATTTTGAAAAAAAAATTTAGTCAATTTGAAGCAAGTTGAAAACAGACCTTTTTGACCTTTTTTGACCTTGAGAAGGTCAAATGTCAAATCTTAAGTCAGATTTGAATTTCTGAGAACACGTAGATGATTTTGAAAAAATTTTTTAGTCAATTTGAAGCAAGTTGAAAACAGACCTTTTTGACCTTTTTTGACCTTGAGAAGGTCATTGAAGGTCAAATGTCAAATCTTAAGTCAGATTTGAAGGTCAAATGTCAAATCTAAAGTCAAATCTAAAGTCAGATTTGAATTTCTGAGAACATGTAGATGATTTTGAAAAAAAATTTAGTCAATGTGAAGCAAGTTGAAAAAAGACCTTTTTGACCTTGAGAAGGTCATTGAAGGTCAAATGTCAAATCTAAAGTCAGATTTGAACTTCTGAGAACATGTAGATGATTTAGAAAAAAATTGAAGTCAGTCTAAACAGTATTTGTTAAGTTATAGGAAGTTGTAAGAAATTGTTACAGACGCCAACCTCCAACCACCAACCGCCAACCACCAACCGCCAACCACCAACTGCCGTCGCAAAAAAACGGAGACCATAACAATATGTCACCACTTTTGGTGGTGACATAAAAACAGTGGTAGACAAGCGATCTTATCCACTGACAGCAGCCCTATATAAAATATTTAATACAATGGTGAGTACTTCCTTGAAGGATAAGGAGATAACATATTTTACTTTGATCAAGAATTCAAGTAACATCATGGGGATATGAATGTTTCAACTTTTCAGTTTTCACAGATTAATTAAGCAGTACATATGGCCTAGTTAATAAATATAATATTTCATGCTATCACAGATACTGTACTATATCTAGTTCAAAAATTGCAAAGGACTTTCTAAAAAATAGAATTGTCACCACCTGGAAAAGCGTACCAATTGTTACAGTTACCAACACAAAACTCTCACAAAAAATGTTGGCTCTAACAATATTTCATCACTTCTTGGGATGGTGGGCCAATATAGAATCTAGCAATCACTTGCCTGTGGCCTGCCAGCTCTTCCAATCATCTGCAACACTTGAGTTTCACTATACTCCTGGTATACTCCCATCACATAGTGTTGTGTGGACTTTATGATTACTAAGTGAGCTGGTAGGTTGACACCCATAGCTAGAGTACTTGTAGCAACTGAAATAGAATACAATACAATGCAATGCAATGCAATGCAATACAACACCTGAGTTTCACTATACTCCTGGTATACTCCCATCACATAGTGTTATGTGGACTTTATGATTACTAAGTGAGCTGGTAGGTTGACACCCATAGCTAGAGTACTTGTAGCAACTGAAATAGAATACAATACAATACAATGCAATACAATACAAAACAACACCTGAGTTTCACTATATTCCTGGTATACCCCCATCACATAGTGTTGTGTGGACTTTATGATTACAAAGTGAGCTGGTAGGTTGACACCCATAGCTAGAGTACTTGTAGCAACTGAAATAGAATAGAATACAATACAATGCAATGCAATACAATACAATACAATACAATACAATACAATACAACACCTGAGTTTCACTATACTCCAGGTATACTCCCATCACATAGTGTTGTGTGGACTTTATGATTACTAAGTGAGCTGGTAGGTTGACACCCATAGCTAGAGTACTTGTAGCAACTGAAATAGAATACAATACAATGCAATGCAATGCAATGCAATACAACACCTGAGTTTCACTATACTCCTGGTATACTCCCATCACATAGTGTTGTGTGGACTTTATGATTACTAAGTGAGCTGGTAGGTTGACACCCATAGCTAGAGTACTTGTAGCAACTGATATAAAGTAAAATACAATACAATGCAATGCAATGCAATGCAATACAATACAATACAATACAATAAAACACAATACAATACAATACGAGGGGTGATCAATAAGTAATGGACGCTTTTTTACATAGATGCTTTTTATAGACCATTCTCTTTTAATTCTTTCACCAGTGATACATCATTCAATTTTCTATCAACTCGGATGATTTGGAGACAAAGCATGTAATAGATTTTAGATATATCTTTATTTCTGTGTTCAAGGAGGTATAGGTACCCCGGGACCGACATAATGCAGTTTAATGCAAGTTGAACAAAACGAACCATGATGGTTATGAATTACACCATTTCGATACGCCATAATTGATTTTGAATATTTTGTCATCACTTTGTGGCATCCATGCCACTTTCATTCTACAGGGCCCTCTACAAAGGTTCCATTAAGTGTTACACACTCCTCATTATCCTCTTAACCCACGATTGAAAGACAAGGCCAAATCCATTCTCTGACATGGTAGCAAGCTACAGTTACACAGCTGATTAATAGTTCATCAATGTCATTACTAAACCTGCATCCTTTCTCTACAGAAATAAGTAGTATAGAAATAAATAAGTCATGTGTGGCCAGATCTGGACTAAATGCTGCATGGGCCAAGGGCTTCATGTTCAGGTCCAGGGATATTGTATCCTGCACAGTTTGAGATGTTTGGGCATATTTGTATTTGACCATAGAACACTTTGACATCACAATACTATAATCTTTTATGTGTTACCACAGGCAGCATGATATTCAAACAACACAACTCTTTTGGCATATCAAAAAGTTCAAATCTAACTGATATGCTAAATTGGCATTACTTCAGAATATGTGACGTAAATGTCGGTCCCGGGGTACCTGTAACCCCTTCAGGAAAATAAAGATATATCAACACGCATTACATATCTTGTCTTCAAATCTTCAGAGTTGATAGATAATTGAATGATGGAGACTATTTATAACAATATGTCAATAATAACAATGCAAAATGTAACCAACTGCCATTTCTTACAAACACCAACCACTGAACACCATCCACCAAAAATTTGGAGACTGTAACAATATGTCAAAACAAGGTAAATTGTTCACTTACACAGAACAGGCAGATCTCCAGATAAGAAAAGCTCTTCCATTGCTTTACGATCATGCATGTCAAGCCCAGCATGATGGAAGCCTACACCGTACAACACTGTGTCTGGAAGTAGAAAGTATATTAGCCTGTAAACCAAAAGACCAAAGATGATTACAAGACACAGCAAGAAAAGGACATACAGTAAAAGCTCAATCAGTCATAAGAAAAATAAACCACTGCTATTCCAAGATTATTGAAGTACAAACGAATATCTATAGCCCCTCCCTTACCATTCAAAAATTTGGTACATGTTCACATAAAAATACAGAGTGACTCGCTTTTAAACACATGCATTTACAATGTTAATATTTTATTCATCCATATTGTAAAGTATTACATGTACTATTATTGTAGAGAACAGAATTATACATTAAGTACAATTTACATGTACCTCTCAACTTAGAATCTCTTAGTGAATTAGCAGTGAGTTGTAATTTCTGTTTATGTTCTATATTCATGATAAACTTTGCATCTTTCACCAATGTGGCTGCTCCTTGCTGCACACTCTTCCTCGTTGCACAGAACTACAAAAAGCAAACTTCTTGATAAAAACCTGTGAGCATTTTAGGCTGTGTTGAGCTGATCCTACCACCATGAATGTCATTTCAATCCCAAGTTAATTCAACTCGATAAAACTCAACCCCAAGTCAACTCAATCCCAGTCAACTCAAGCCTAGTAAAACTCAACCCCATTCATTTCTGCAATATCCTCTCATTCATTTACTTTAATAATCTAGCATTTTGTTATTTCAAACGATACTTTGTTAAAATATTTGACAGACAGTTAAACATCTTTTAAAATCAAATTATAGGAAAATACAATTTTGGCAATTAACAACGAGATTATTAATGATCAATACTGTTAACCTGAAAGGTATTCCAACAAAACAAATTTTATATTAACAAGATTCAAAATTGAAATAAAATGACATGTGAAATAAGATAAATCACTCTTAATTCCCTGTTATAATCCTCGCTAATCCTTCAGTGTTTTGCAAGTTGCTGTTATGCTATTAATCCCACATAATGATCCTAGTAGTAGTAGGACTGTGTTGACAGTTTAGAATTTTGGAGAATTGCGCTCATAATAATCTAAACAAGGCGGGTCTTAGAATGGAGATCAAAAATTGAAACAAAATTCTGAATATTTTTATTTAACAAACTTATATCATATGGAATATAAATTTTTCAGTGCTAAAACATATTAGGGTCTAGTTCTACTGAGGTTGAATTTTACAGGGGTTGAGTTTTAATGGGGTTGAGTTGCCTTGTGGTTGAGTTTTACTGGGTTGAGTTAACTTGGGGTTGAGATGACCAGGAAGCGATCGAATGCCAACACATATTGCTCTAAGCCTAAGCTCTAGTTGTTACTCCACATGGTATAATGTATAAATTTCTAAATTCCTTCTCATATATCTAAAATCAAAAATACATACAGTCAAAGTGGCATTTTTGAAATTAATTGACTTTTGATAGATTTTTTGCCTAATCATTTCCCCTTTAACATTGAACTGAAACCAGAGTATATTAGATAATACATGTACCTGTAAACAGATTCGTAATATTGATAACCAGTAGTCTTAAGAAACTAAACTCACAAACAATATGTTTGTAGAATTGTTTAATTACATACGAGTAAACACAAAGTCAATAAGGTCTTTATGGTTTATTGGTTAACATGATCATGTCACAGTGATTCAGAACATAAGAGCAAATGTCTACAAGAACACAAATGTGTACAAAATGTCCCCACCAATGGGTGATCCCATCAAATGGTTATCCTGAAAATGAGTAGACAAGACTTTACCAACACAATTTGAGGACGGAAAATCCAAAATGGCCACCTTAAAATTTATCCAGAATGCCAAAAATTTAGTCAGTTCTAGATTTTCAAACTAAGAACCACCCCTGAAAATTTTTAATTGATCCATCACACAGTTGACTAGAAAACATGTAAACAAGACTTTACAGAAAATCCAAAATGGCTGCCTTGACATTTACCCAGAATGTCAAAAAACTAATCTGTTCCTAGATTTTCATTCTAAGAATCATCCCTGAAAATATGACATTGATCTACCAAATGGTTCACCTGAAAACACGTAGACAAGACTTTACAGACAAGATTTTAGGACAGAAAATCCAAAATGGCTGCCATGACATTTACACAGAATGCCAAAAAACGAATCAGATATAGATTTTCACACTAGAAATCATCCCTGAAAATTTGAAATTGATCTACCAAACAGTTCACCTAAAAACGCGTAGACAAGACTTTACAGGCAAGATTTTAAGACGGAAAATCCAAAATGGCTGCCTTGACATTTATCCAGAAAGCCAAAAAACTAATCAGATCTACATTTTCATACTAAGAACCATCCCTAAAAATTTGAAATTGATCTACAGAACGGTTCGCCTGGAAATGCATAGGCAAGACTTTACAGACAAGATTTTAGGACGGAAAATCCAAAATGGCTGCCTTGACATTTACCCATTATGCCAAAAAACTAATCAGTTCTACATTTTCATACTAAGAATCATCTCTGAAAATTTGAAATTGATCTACCAAACGGTTCACCTGAAAACGCGTAGACAAGACTTTACAGACAAGATTTTAGGATGGAAAATCCAAAATGGCTGCCTTGACATTTACCCAGAATGCCAAAAAACAAATCAGATCTAGATTTTTATACTAAGAATCATCCCTGAAAATTTGAAATTGATCCACCAAACGGTTCACCTGAAAACAGGTAGACAAGACTTCACAGACAAGATTTAAGGACGGAAAAATCCAAAATGGCCGACAATAAAAAAGTGATTATGTGTTTTTGCTGATTTCTTCTTACAAAATTATCACATATAACTACTGTTAACAATAAAATAGGCTTTTACAACAAAGTACATCTGAAATTATTTATAAAGCTACTAAATAGTTAAAGTATGAAAACTCAAAAACACCATTCAGTATGATACAAAGTATTATTGTGCGCTAACTTTTCTTAAGACATTCAAAATGGCTGACATGACTGAGCTAACAGGTCCAAAACCTAGTCAGATCTAGAATGAAGTGAGCTGAACAAGATGTTAAAGTTTTAAAAGCAACTGTGAAGACGTTTTTCTTTAAGTTTGCAGACAAGGATTTTAGCATTTGACTTCAAAATGGCCGACAGGAAGTAGGTATCGAGTTAAGATTTTTTCATCCACATCTGTATGCACTCATAAGTTATCCCTGAAAATTTGAAGGTGATATCTGTAGCAGTTTTGGAGAAAACTCCCGGACGTACGGACAGACGGACGGACAGACGGACGTACGGACGGACAGACGGACAGCGTAGGCCGACAATATGGCCCCACACTATGTGGTGGGGACATAATAAGTATAAGGTGTAATGTTATAGGTATAACGATAATTGAGCTTGTAGCCATCCCAAAAATTGGTGAGGTAAATAAAATATTCAAATGAAGCAAATTTTAAATAGGTGAGGCAAAACAAAATATGATTCTTCTACACTACTTACATCCACATGATTTTCACAGTTTTAGTCAAAAAAGTGTTAAATTTTTCCAGGGTAAATCATTAGCAACACACATGTTGTTTGTGTTTGGTGCCAACCAGCTATCATTGTATGTAATTGACTATGTTTGACCTCACAACAAAAATCAGTGAATATCTAGGCACCGCATGATACAAACGTGTCAAAGTCATTGATTCAGAGTGAATATATCACAAGTCTGCTCAATAAATAAAAGATTGTGTATTGATTATTGAGTCTGCAGTATCTGCACTTATATTTTATCTGGCAGATCAATTAAACATTTATTGACAGATATATTAAAACTTTAATCTCACCCCACATGCTGTTAAATTGTAGCATTTGTGAAAAAATTGAATATTTTAATATCATGGATTTTGGATATATGGGGTTTGTTTTTCTTGACTGGTATGCACTTAGAGTTTGCTTTTTCTTTCTAAGTTCCATTACAACTTTTGGTCCTTTCCCTTTGGCACTCATGCTTAGATATTCATGAATTTGAATATTGTCATGATTCCCTGATTTAGTAAAAACTTTATCAATTAATTTTTTGATTAATTCATTTTTGTTCGACAGCTGGATGACTCTATAACTGCTGTTAGCCTCATAAAAGAGGGTGGACAAATTCGAAAGTTTGGAACAACAATGTTTCAATATCTGTGTTGTAAGGGACTAGATGCAAGTAGAAATAATCATTCAAAAATTAATTCATCTGATTTTTCAAAATGAGTATACTGCTTTAATCATTACATTTTTATGCACACTAGTCTCTTGTTGAACACTGTATTGACATAATCCAATATACATCCAATGTCAAGTCAATACACCCTTGCTGAACTTAATGACCTCAACCTCAGCCCATGTGGTTCCAAATGCTTAAATACTTTTCAAAGTTTTATGTGACATTGTATTCTTTATGTTACACCTAAAAATGATTGATTTGGTTCATGGAGAAATCATAATGGAGAGTGCACTAGATCTTTTAGTCAAATGATATCATATTTGAAATCTACATACACAATTACATCTAAAATGTGGTTTTAAAAATTGTTCATCAAGTTTGAAATGATATGGGGTCTTTATCTAAAAATACCATGAAAACTGAAATATCCTTTCTAATGTTTTAAACAGAAAATAATTGAATTACCCAAACACATATCAAATTGTATAGTTATCAAACTCAGAAATGTGAGATTAGAACTGATCCTCTAAAAAGTGGAGTTTTTTTTGCCCATCCTGTATATATCATCCAAGTTTTGAGGATTTTTTTCTATTTCTGCCATGGTCTATCATGTTATATTACTTGTAACCGACCCAAATTAGCCAGTAGTGATGAAACTGATGATCACCAACTGCACATTGGTATAATTCCTTTTGGGATAAATTGTTTAATCTATAAATTGATGAAGTATTAACTTTTATTTGTTTGTGTTTTCCAAATGTTGCCATGACAATGAATAACAAATGAGAAACTTTTTCATTGATTTCGATTAAAATACTCAATGATCAATCAAATGTATCTTGTTCTCAGGGAATCACGTTTTGAGTATCAGTTGATCCTAAATATCCATATCATATTGATATTTTGGAAATGTCAAGGTGCATTGAGTGCTCAAGTGTGGTCTTCATGTGGATCACATGTTTTGCTCTTAGCCACATTTAAAAAGTGTCACTGTTAAGTTTTGCAAATGCTTATAAAGGAGTAGCAATTTAAACCAGAGCCGCATAAAAGCTGGGGCCTTAACAAGATGTCACACTTCTTGGTATCATCAAACTGTGAATTATGCAAATTTTTGCACAAATATCTAGTTTTATAGTATTTCACTTAGGTACTCACCACTAATGTTGGTTTGTTTTCCGAGTATGTACTGATCACCCCTGCTATTTTGTAGTTTAGTGACAGGTCAAATCGGAATTCTGATGCATTCTTGGCACAGGGGAAACCAAGGGTTACCTTACGTAACTTCACTGGCCTATGGCTGTCATCCATCCTGGAATTTGCAAACAAAAACAAAAATTCTGAAGCATAACACCAAGACAGAGGGGGTGGGTAAAGACAGAATCCAAAGACTTCATGTATCTCTGGGCTCAGGGCAAACTTAAATTGATGAGAACTCGAACTACAATTTAACTAAGTGTAGATGTTATGTACATGTAGCACTAACTTACTATCTGGAATCACTATAGAGCTTTTTCTCATTACATTGAATATTAAAATTCTCATTTTTCATCATTGACTTACTTGTGGAAACAGGCTGGTTCATCTTTACTGCCCAACCATTCAGCGATCTAGAAAACATGAGAAATTGATATTTTAGAATAAGTATTGACGATTAAATTATATGAAACTTAAATGTTTCACAATAAATGCCAAAATAAATAATTTGTACAGTAATTTTAGTTGATAACATTCTAGTTTTTTTGTATTGTATTGTATTGATTGCTTCCCTTTGAACTTTTTCATATTGTTCAAATTGTTCTTACATCTTCAATGTTAGTTAGTGTTGCAGAAACAGCAATCACACGAAGACTGGGACTGTCTGAGTTGGTCTCTCTCACCATTGAGGCCTGTACAGTCTTCATCCGTGACACCACAGCTTCCATTGTAGCTCCCCTTGATGAGTCATTCAGTAGATGAACCTAGAAAGACATACATATGTATTGTACAAATGACAGCTTCCATTGTAGCTTCCCTAGTGGAGTCATTCAGTAGATGAACCTAGAAAGACATACACATGTATTGTACATTTTAATCATTTTAACATCATTTAAAATCAATTTAACTAACTAAGTTTTTACCAATACTGTATTCTAAAATGTATGTTTACCATGTAACTGTATTGTAATTGTTTCATGCAATTTTTTTTGATGATAACCAAATATTGGCCAGATCGCTGCAGTTATCAATCAAAATTCAGATGCTCACAAGTACAAGGTTTTCCTGTACATGTAAGTGTTTTACTTTTTGGACTAAATGGTCGATATGGTAAAATAAGAAGACTGTTCAATCATCTTATCAATAAATCAATGTCTTTTGGATAACTGATATCACTGATATTTAAGTTTAGATTAATTCACACGAAGGCCATTCACCTCCTCCATTGTGAAGATGAGGTGTGTAGGTCCAAAATTATTTTCTCATTTTCAGATCAGAGAAATATTAGCGATGAATCACTACAGTTTCAACAGGAATGTGCCAAAAGGTGGTTAAATATGTCAAGTCCGGGTGTCAATGGGAAACAAGTGAGAGTCCTTCAATATGACTTTAGCATCTCAGTATCTGTAGCAATAACCTTCTTAACCAGCTGAATTAATGCTTTCACTGCTCACCTGTCAAATCCCTATTTCAATTGGCAGAAATCCAAATTTTCTATTTCAAAAACCCTGATTTTTATCCCGATTTTAAGAAAATATCCCAATTTTTTCGTAAAGTATCCCAACTTCAAGAAAACATCCTGATTTTTCATAAAATATCCCAATTTTTCCATAGAATATACCAACTCTTTTCATTAAATATCCCAATTTTGTGTTCTAAAATCCTGATTTGTTAACGAGACATCCTGTTTTTTCAGTAAAAACCCCCGATTTTTAAATGATACCCTCCCAATTTTGTTTGGAAATTCCCGAATCTTTAATGAGATGCCCTCGCAAAAGATGAAAGTCTACAATAGCTTTTGTGATAAAACAAAATACATTAACTTCACATCAAATATACATATGTAAATTTCTTGTATCTTCTTTTAACTACAGTATTTTAGACCAGAAATAAATTGAACGCTCTGGGACTGAGAAATTCTATAGTTTTTGAACTTCTGATTTTTCTCCCGACTTTTTCATAGAAATCCCAGTTTTCACCCCGATTTTCGCGATTTCTAAAAAATATCCAGATTTTTATTTTTTTTTACTTGACATATATATATCTGAAAGTGACTATTGACTTTCTGTTACTGCAATAAATAGTTGCAGTGGGAGGACCAAAGGATATGAGTATTAGTTCAGAATGGCAGTTTACATCCATCCGAAAATTGTTGACTGTTAGTTAAGATGGAAAGAGGGCCAGATGAACAAACAATAACCTCATGATGTAGCCCAAGCCAAAATGCCTTTTCATATAAATACATAAAATGTAATAATGCTTAAATTATATATTTCATACTTATACATTTACACTTCCATTCAAAATAGATGCAAAAACATTATTAATGTTAAAAATTACAAAGCATACTAACAGCGAGATTTTCTATCCCAGTGTGATAAACTATACTGTACAATTCTGTATGAATTTGAACATTAAAAGTGTATAAATCTTCAATATAATTTACAAAAACTGAGTTGTTAAATCACAAACAGAAGAAATGAGTGAGTTGAATCTCTTTTCTATTACAGCTAAAACTGCATCAATTTATATATCAAATTGAATGAGAGCACTTGTTTGATAATATACAGCTACAGGTAGGATTTTTACAACTTTTATAGTGATCAATAGGTTGAATGATAGTGTTACTAATTTGATTAGACAAAAATACTTCACATATCAAATCTGATTAATCATACTTATGAACATTTTATTGACATGTTGTATCATTGCATAATTACATTACATGTAGTACAACAGCTCATTAAAAGACGAACTAGTAATTAGAACTTTTGGTACTTCTATCCCACATCATTTTAGACAGAATGCTCTATCTGCTTGTATGAATACTAGATTAGTATCTACACTATTTTTGAGTGGCAATCTATCTTAGATTTATTCTTCAACATGTATTGTAATGGCTTTTGTATGAGTGAAATGTTTGTTTGTTCTATGGTCTCCAATTGTGATAATGGTACTAATGGTACTTGAATGGTGGGGAAGGGGTATTAGACATTGTTCCTTTACACATTAAATAATGGTTTGGGACAATTGTTTTTTTTCTTGCTGTGTTCTGTAACAATTTTTGGTCTTTTCTCTTGGCACTTGTGTGTAAATATATACTTGTATACGGTATCTACATCTACAGAGTAAAATACACAAATTTTATATGCATATTGAAAGCATACAGAGAGGAAGAGAGGAAGAATATTATTAAGTGTGGTGTACAGTTTATGATATATAAATTTACCAAAATGTTATTGTATGATGACATTTTGTAAATACATTATCACTATTCAGATTGAATTTTGGTAATTGTGAATTCAGAAATTTTAGTGAAAAATATTTTCCTGTGTTGACAATACTTTGTACAATTTATGTCTACTATAAAGTGAAATTCACCTACACATTTACACATATTACGTATCTTTTCATTTACAGGTTTGGATTTTGGTTTTGTGTGTCTTCCTGTTTCTATTTTTAACTGATTGCTAATATATATTTTTTATTATCTAGCTTTGTATATGGTTCAATATTTCATAATAGTTAATATGTTCTTGATATATGATATTTCAAAATATCATTTCCAACTATCTATGAACACTTTCTTTAGTTTCTTGTCAACCAAGTTGACAAAGTAAACTGTTTGTATTTTGGTCATCCCAGAAATCTGTCAGTTCACATTCATGGATTTTATTATAAACTTTTCCAGATCAAGATTTAAACCCTAATTCATGCTTTTCTCCCCTTCTTGTCCATATAAAAGATTTAAAACCTATATCATATTTTTCTAGTCCATATGAATACGCCTGGTTTTAAATATTAGATTCCAGTTGTAGTAAACCCTTAGTAATGTCAGTATTCTGTAATCTTTATAAGAGTTGCCATCCTTAACATTGTTCTAAATAGCTTTCATCATATTCATGACTTTGATTTGATCAAGACTTCTAAGAGAATCCTTGTAGGCTAATCAATCATATCTATTTGATTCATGATAATACAATCATGTGACTTAAAGAGAGAATCAGATATAGCGAGCAGGCTAAACAAAAAATTGTTTCAATTTTAGAATATTTTTGGCTCATGTCATTCCTTGTCATGTCTATTTTCTAAAAATCACAAAGTGCATACTTTATTCCAGGAAAATTAAAGATTTTTACAATAATATATTATATTTTCTATAAGAATGGTTACCATTCTTATTATTTGGGAGAATTTAAACATTTTTCACCCATTTTTGCACTTTGAATCATTAATAACTTCACCAATTTATAACATATTGTGAATCTTTTGGGAGATATTGTATTTGATATTGTAAGGAATAGATAAGTAGGTCAATTATACATGTTGCTTGTAATTTTGTCATCCCCTATAGATCAGATTCTGCCTTTAATACAGCCCAACTAATACAAATTTCATATTTTGGTCTCAACATTAAATGAAAATGCATAACACCTTAATTATGACTTAAAAGAAAATGATTCATATTGTATGTTATTTACTTTTACAATGGGCTTTTAGGAAAGAATATAGCTTTATTAAAAGTTTCAAGAAAGTATCAATTTCCAACACTTTCTTCTTTTTGTAATATGAGATAATTATACCCCTTATTGAGACTTTTTCATTTTCTCAAGAATTTTGCGTCTAACAAATTGTCTCAACTTTTTGCTTTGACCTTGCTTGCAAAGAATCCATTGAAGTACTGACAGTGTGATTAATATCAGATCTGCTGGATGCCTGATCATGTGCTATGCCATATATGTCTAGTTTTCTACGACAGAACAGTTTTGCTGCACCTTTCTGGAACTCTTGAAACTGTATTGAGTAAAGAAATGGGTTAATTGCACAGTTACAGAATGTAGCTATGACAGTAAAATTGTAAAAGACCCCTTCAAATGACACAGGAACCCCCAAATTAAAGAGAAGAAAAAACACTTGGTTAGATGACCAGCACATGACAAAACCAACTCCAACTAGAATGAGAGTTTTGATGATGTTGCGCCTTGCTTTCAACATCTTCTTTTGTCGCTGCTCAGAGAATGTATTATTATTTAGATTAGTGTTGGTGTGAACAAACCAAGCAATCCGTCCATAGCATATTACCATGATGACAATCGGGACGAACCATTGGAACACAACGACGCAGATACCAAAAATTGTCTGACTCTCAGGTGGGTTCCATTCTGAGTATACACTACATTGTTCATATGTAACGGTTGTAGTTATAGCCAAATACAGGTTCCAAAATGGGCCGATTAGCCAAATCATTCCAAGGACAATCTTCATTCTTCCTTTGGTGAAGAATTCCATGTGTTTAAACGAGTAGAGAATTGCGAAGTATTTCTCTATTGTCATGGCAACAAGGTTGTATGTTGAAGTCACCAACATTGACCACAGAAAAAACTTTGACATCCACAGAACACAGAATATGTGTGCTGGGAGTCCTTTTGGGACAGTGTTGATATCATCGAACAATGTACTAGTGATGAGTATTAAAGAAGTTGAAGTATCAATGAAGGACTGGTTGATGATGAATTTGTTTGTAGTTTTTGAACGGAGTTTTTTGCTGCTTAGCATGACGATCAATACGATAACATTCCCAATCAGTCCAAGTGAACCGATTACAATATAGATAATTTTCATGTTTAGATTTGCCCCATGTGTTGCCGTCTCATTGTCTACATTATCATCAACAATGGTTCCAGTTTCATTACCACTAGTTGTGGACACATCAGAAATATGTGAGATCATTGTAGAGTCCATTTCTGATACAATTGTGGTGCTCAGGACAGCAACATTGTTTCCAACAGTTTCAGTTAGTGATATACCATTAGTAATTGCTGCAAGGTATGGAATAGTTGAATTGACATCTTCAGCAACAGTTGGGATATTTTGCGCCATTATAATAGGCCTATGTATTACTGTCTGAATATATATTTTAAAGTTAAATGTTCTTCTTTGTGTTAAATATCCGTTGTATATTTCATACCAATATTTGTTTGATAAAATAACATAATAAAGTATACACAAATTGTTATCTGGTAACTATTTTGAAAACTTATCAAAATAATTTCATAAAAAAATGTATACTATACATGTACTTGGTGCACACAATTTTCATAGATCTTCTTAAAACTTTCATATAATAATCTCTATCAACTTTCTTTTCCATATACTGTTATTGTTCCTCATGATCCTCTCAGTGTGAACTGGGTTTGGCACCCAACAGCATTTACCATATATTAACTACAGCACTGCTTATGTATTGGTAGAACACTGATGATTTATATTCTTTCAGCATAGCCCAGGGGAGATTAGTAATCAATTGCATTGTTCCGATTGGTAAATTCACACCTGACATCAGAAACCAAGATCATTCATTGCATGATTGCTTCAAATTATAGAAAGACCATGATTTTCCTCTACAGTGAAACCTGTTTTATCTGTATGCCATAGAAACGGAAGTGTTTATTTTAGGAGGTGTTCGGATTACAAAGGTGTTTGGATATACAGGTTTTACACCCCAGTCACATTTGTCGCACGGCGGCCGCAAGTCGACTGCAGATCAATTAAATCGGTGAATTTCTGCGGCGAGCGTAGAAAAACTACGCTCGCCTTGTGGCCTCCGTACGGCGTATGCAGATTTTTACAGGCCGCAGGGAAGGCGTAGAAATTATAACTCGGAGTTATAATTTTTGTTCATTTCTGAGGTCGCCGTAGAAATCAACTGGCTCAACAAGATTTAATCATTATTTGTCAATGTTTCACGATCACTTTTCATTTGATAGTACATCCTAGCACTATGAATACAATTTATAAGTTGTCCCGATGTAAATAAAATGAAAAAAGTATTATTTATCAACAGAAATTTAAAATTCACCGTGCGGCTGCCGTGGGAAATGTGACTGCAAAAGTATGAGAGCGCAGAAATTCCACGGCGAGCGTAGAAATGTTACTGGCCGCAGAAATGATAGACCGCAAGGTCGCCGTAAGAAATGTAACGGTGTTACTGTTTAATCTCAAAGGAAAAACGAAGTTAATTCTGTTATAGAGGGACTGTTTCATATGTAGCTTTGCAACCCTATCATGTTATATATCATTTTGTTCCTTATAAGAAGTTACATAAGATTGCAAAGTTTCAAAATCAAGAGATGTTCCTGAACAAAGATATAATGAATCAAAGTATGCGAGTACGGCATCATTCATAAGCATTTTAGTAAGCACTTTAAAGCATCAAATAATTATCCAATAATTTGTTCAGGAAGGAAACAAGGTTAACTGGGCTTTACCATGTGAAATAATCATTAAAATACATCAAAGACACGAAAAAATGATATTTTTAAGTGGCCCTTTGACTTAATCAGGATAATGCGATTAAAGAGCTGGGGTACATCACAATAGCCTTTGATTTACATAGAGCGAAACCTCACTGTGTAAATAGTAAATATTTCAAATGAGAACAATTAGAATACCTCTACTAGTGCAATGTGTTCACTTCAGTTTGTGTTGTTTGTTTTTAAGCAGTGTTTATCATGTTTATTTACTGTATCATAAACCTTTAAAACTGCAAACAGCATTGGCTTTTAGTAAACATAATGTATGAATAAATAGAATAATGCAATAAGGTAAGTGCATGTTAGAAGACAATGTTCCTGCAATACCACTTACCAAAACAACATTAAGCCTACAGGATGGGCCAAAAAATTATTTTTCCATCCATTGTAACATTTTTTAGTCAAGTATTATCTTCAATACTTAAAGGCCCCATGTAAAGTTTAAACCACTTTGGCTTATATTGTAGTCTTACCCAATGTTATCGAAGTGTGATATGTGAAACTTTTTTTTTTAATTTCAAAAAGTGGTTTTTGATAGACTTTTTGTTCCAAAATTTGTGAATTTATTTAAAACCAACTTTTAGAGGTCACTCATATCTTCTAATTAGCCACAATTCATACCAATGCATAGCATACATCCTCCCATGTTTTTTGCCGAAAAAATTAAGAAAATCGGTTGATAAACAAGCGAGAAATGAACTTATCAGTGCATGAAAATGGTTCTGAGAAAAATGCATTTCAAAATTCAATTTTTTTCAAAAAGTTTTTGTTACCTTAGTCACACCCGGTGATCGTGAAATTGGGACGGAGGGGGGGAGCAGGCAATTTCCGCTAGAAAATTCAACAAATCTGGTAAAATTATTTTTTCAAGACAGCGTTTACGATTGAATTGCAAATTGAATAAGCGCACGGTATGATAAAATATGTTAGGTGTTCTAGGATTATTTTTCAACCGATACTCTTTTAAGATATAAGATCTATTAAAAAAGGCGCAACGCAACCAACGTGCAAAAGTCAAAGTTTTTGCTATAAATCAAGCAACAATGGACTACACGACCTGTAATAAATACTTGTAAGTGATGTTATCATAACTAAATTAATGTCATTGCTGAATTTATAAAATAAGTTTCAATACGTAAAATAAAAAATAATCGAAAATAATTAAAATGGGACGGAGGGGGGGAGGGGACGGAGGGGGGGAGTAATAATTCTATAAAGTGAAACAACTTCACACGAATTCTTGTATTTGAAAAATGAACTCATTAACTTAGTAAGAAACTGGATGATATACCCCTGGAGACTGAAAAATGGGGACATTTGGAGTAAAAGGACTTAAAGTCGCGAAACATCTCTAATCATGTCTTATATACATATTGCTCCCCCCCTCCGTCCCCTCCCCCCCTCCGTCCCAAATTCATTATTTTCGATTATTTTTTATTTCACATATGGAAACTTATTTTATAAATTCAGCAATGACATTAATTTAGTTATGATAACATCACTTACAAGTATTTATTACAGGTCGTCCAGACCATTGTTGCTTGATTTATAGCAAAAACGTTGATTTGTGCCTGAAATGGCCTTGCGCCTTTTTTAATAGATCTCATACCTTAGATGCGTATCGTTTCAGAAAAAATCCCAGAAAACCTAACATATTCTACCATACCGTGTGCCTATCCATTTAGCAATTCAATAGTAAACTTTTTCTTGAAAAAATAAATCTTCCAGATTTGTTGAATTTCCTAGCAGAAATTGCCTGCTCCCCCCCTCCGTCCCATATTCACGATCACCGGGTGTGTTAGTGACATCACTAATGATTCAAAATATTTTTGATATGCTAAAACATTGAAGTGGCCCATTAAATATGACATTTTATTATTGAAATAGTGTGTCTTTTGTTCAATCTTTGCATTGGTGTTAAAAATATAATCTTTTTTGAAATGCATTAAGAAATATTTGATGATTAAGAAACTTTTTTTGAAAAATGGCGGGAAATTTGAATATTTGAGAAATGAAATGCTCACAACTTTTTTTCGAAAATTTTTTTTTGTTCAAAAATCTTTAAAATCACTTTTTAAGTCCTGACAAATAGTAAATGTATGATAAAAAAATATTTTCAAACTTTAGACGGGGACTTTAAGGAAATGGAAAAACAATATGTTTTATTGCTGGAAATTGTGTTGAGACCATTTGAAGGGTACATATTGTCAAATGGTGTTCTATTTAGGAAGTTTTTACTTATATACCATATTTTAAGTGCAATTAAAAACATGGAATTGAGGAATAAGCATGAAACATTCAATGCACTCAATGGCCTCATCCTATTAGTTGCATATATCCACAAGAGCTACTTTACTGATTAAAAGAATATTTGAAACGAATTGCTATAAGTATCATTCTTTGTTAAGTAAAATTAAAAGATAAAAGCATACTTACATGTATAAAAAGCCGGAAATTGTTTTTATGTAAATTAAAAACTGCTGATCAGTAATGTACACTTACTTCAAAACCTGCATTAATTTCTTTGATTTTCCGTATCAGTATTTATATACTCAATTATGCGTCGCCATTAACATTGTAATATTTTTGAAAATGGGTTCATCATTTGTCTTTCATGATAGTTGAGCAAATCAGGGTCATTAGGAATATGACACTAATTGATCCACTGACTTTGAACATGATGTTAGAAACAGGGAAATATCATGAATAATGATATAAAAACATTACGGAAGTCTGTTAGTAAAAAGTTGATTCAAAGGTTATATCCTTTCAAAGCTAAGCTATTTCGCGAGACAAAAATGGCGGCCATTTTGAAAATAGGCGAGCTTTTGAACCAGGAGTCATAGGGGAGTTTTCTGTATTGATGTTGAACAGAAATAACTTAAAACAGGAATCCTATCGACAGAGGTTTTAAAACGTGCCACTGTTGTTGACAGAAAAGTGGATTTCGCGAGTCAGATGGACAAACTAAAATGGCTGAAAATAAAAAAAATGGATATCATTTTTTGCTGATTTTTTGTAACAAAATTATTTCATATATCTACTTTTCACATTGACATGGATTTTTACAATGTAGGACACCTGAAATTATTTGTAAAGCTAGGAAATGGGTCAAAAGTGAATTTCGCGAGACAAAAATGGCAGCCATTTTGAAAATAGGCGAGGTTTTGAACCAGGAGTCATAGGGGAGTTTTCTGTATTGATGTTGAACAGAAATAACTTAAAACAGGAATCCTATCGACAGAGGTTTTAAAACATGCCACTATTGCTGACGGACGGACGCACGCACGGATGGACAGACAGACAGACAAGTGAGTGATTGCAAAAGCTCACCATGTGAAAAATATACCAGAAAACCAAAATAATTTTTAATAATCAAAAGAATTTTAACCTTGACTACTCAACTTTCAAAAGAAAGTCATCTAATGAAAATGGCTGTTACCATCCAAACGAGAGAAAGAGAAAAACAATGCAAAATAAACATTTATATTAATACAGTTAAATCTATCTAAGTCAAAGGGGAACACTTTTGGTACCTCTAAAAAGGGTTCTACTTGGGAGGTATTTCACCTATCACTCCATTTAACATTAAGTCAGTTGGGTTCCACCAACAGAGGTGTTCCACTTCTAGAGTTTCATTCAACATTAAGATAGGTGGTCTTTGGACTCTGAAGTGTTCCACTAACAGAGATGTTCCACTTCTAGAGATGTTCTACTTTACAGGTTTCACTGTAGTATATACAATTGGTATGGCAAGATATAGTCATAGAAACAAAACAACACAAAAGACACACCTACAAATGGGTAACTGAAGGTGAATGAAATTGGTAAGATTGATTTTTGTAATTGAGCACAATCTGTCTATTAAGTCTATATTCACTAGAAAAACACCAAATCCCCCGAGTAGCAAATCCCACCAAAAATATTTTTAATCATCAATTTGATGCTCACAATGCTAACAACTTTTTTTCAAAATTTTTTTTTTCAAAAATCTCTAAATTAACTTTTTAAGTCACGACAAATAGTAAATGAATAATAAAAAAATATTTACATGGGGACTTTAAGCACTAGTGCTATGCCCAATATTTATGGTATCTGGTCAACTTGGACCCTTAGGTATCAGTCTAAAAAAATTGAACTAAATTCATAAACTGATATTTCGATTGATGGCTTCTCTATATCCGTATGACCTTCATTAGATGCGATAGTTACCTTGAGTTAAATAAATTGATCATTTCTCTTTTTTGCAATATCATCTCCCATTACCTGTCTTTGTTTATCACAAGGGAACCCAAAGTGACTAAAGTATTCGATCAATTCAATCCACAGTCATAAAAGGTTAACATTAAAGAAGGATAATCCGTTTTTGGATGAGTTATAAATGATGCATCATCCAATTACATAATGATTCCCTTGAGATAAACAAAAACAATGCATGTCACCACCTAACATTTGCTAAATACATGTACAGATGCCCACCACTGAACGCCAACCGCCAAACACTGTCCACAAAAAAGTTGGACACCATAACAACATGTAACCAATTCTCATGGTGATATAGTAAGTGGGAGATGAGATTATGAAAAAATTAGAGAAATCATTAATCTATTCCATCCTCATTAATGAATGAAAAAATTGTCCTTAGTAATCGATGAACTTTCAATTTGTTCAATTTATGTCATCAACTCTGTTCTTCCGATTCAATTTGTTTAATTTTTGTCATCAACTCTATTCTTTCAATTCAATATGACGTTCAATTTATGTCATCAACTCTGTTCTTCCGATTCAATTTGTTCAATTAATGTAATCAACTGTGTTCTTTCAATTCAATTTGTTCAATTAATGTCATCAACTCTGTTCTTTCGATTCAATTTGTTCAATTTATGTCATCAACTCTGTTCTTTCAATTCAATTAGTTCAATTTATGTCATTGACTCTGTTCTTTCAATTCAATTTGTTCAATTTATGTCATCAACTGTGTTCTTTCAATTCAATTTGTTCAATTTATGTCATCAACTTTGTAATTCAATTCAATTTGTTCAATTTATGTCATTAACTCTGTTCTTTCAATTCAATTTGTTCAATTTATGTCATCAACTCTGTTCTTTCAATTCAATTTGTTCAATTAATGTCATCAACTCTGTTCTTTGAGTAGTTTATTCACATCTCTTTTCATAATGATTTATAACCATTTGATTGAATAACACAGTAACTGAAACCAGCAAAAACTTTTTGGATTAGCAGGTATCCACATTTCAATGTGAGACAATATCCTAGATGCGAGTAGAAAAAATCTTGATTTACGTCATTAAAAATTTACAATTCAGTCAAACTGGTGTCATACTTGGAATCTACATATAAAACTACATCTAAATATGTGGTTTTGAAAAGAGTTTATCAACTTTGAAAATTTAATTTTCTTTGAAATGTGACTTCTAGGTCGGGGAGATTCCCCATAGACCCCATGTTGTAAAACTACAAATAGTGAAATATCTTTTCTTGTGTTGGGCAGATAATATTTTCTTTTACTGGACTTTTTTTAATTTGTTAACTATCACATACATAAGGGTAATATGAAAAGTGAACCACTAAAACTGATGCATATTCAAGTTTAAGGGAATTTTGTAATACCCTGCCATGTTATTTCCCCCGAATCAGCCACCTGGTGGCAAAACTGGTAACTACTTACTCGCATCTGAGTAATTGGAAGTGTCAAGTGTTCACATTGTGATGTCTTCAAATAAGAGAGGTGTTTGATTGAATATGCAGGTTCCATTACAGACTTAAACATACTAATCAGTGTTGTTAGACTTTTGAAGAGGGGGTATAATGCTATAATTCCTACCTCATCCACCATGAAAAGCTTTACCATCTGAACCAATGACTTGTTGTCTCTCCACTTCCGAGTCATGCTGTCCCATTTTTCCTGAAATCAAATATTTTACAAAATAATCAAAAATTGTTTTAGTGCCCAACATTTCTATTTTCCATACAGTGTATATACCAGAATAATTGACTGATACCTGAATAATTGAGACTGATATGTCTAAATATTGAAAAGAACTATTTCAGCTTTTCATCAAATTCATTACTTGAACCAAAACACTCTACCATTCGGTAATAATTAATTGTTTAACTTACTGGCGTTGTCATGACAATGTTCACTTGTTGCAGTTCAAAGTAGTCGTCCAGTTCAGTATCACCAGTGAGTTCTTTGCATTCTAGACCAAGTGGTCCAAACTTCATTCTCCAATCTTCCATTCTCTCACTGCAGAGTGCTTTCATGGGTGCCACTGAAATAATACAAACATAATTTTCTTATTTTCAACAAAACTAATTGTGTCCATTTCGCCACTAACATTGTATAAACATAATTTTCTTATTTTCAACAAAACTAATTGTGTCTATTTCCTGATTTCATGGGGGCCACTAACATCATACAAACATATTTTTTTTGTTTTTAACAAAACTAATTCTGTCCATTTCCTTGAATCCAAGTTAGCGCCACCACCTGCACCCTTTTGAGCAATGGGAATAATTTAGGAATTTGTCTGAGACTAAATGGTAATGATAATTTAAAAGCAAGTGAGATTGAATCATTTGATTGTTTAAGTAGCTATTAAGTTTACCCCAATATGAGTGTATTTTTATTACACTTTTGGGCCTAAAAATAATAAACCGTCAATTGTTAGAGGCTGATTATTCAAAAGACTTTAATAGGAAAATTAGCACAAAGTTTCAAAAAGGGCAAAAATTTTTCACTTACTGTACACAACCTTAAAGTTGCTGGTGACATGACCTCCCATTTGCATCAAAAGGCGTATTATGGCAAGCTCAAATAAGACCGTTTTGCCTGACCCTGTGGGAGCACACACTACCGTAGGTGTGTCTGTATACAGCACCTATGTTTAAAAGAAGAAACAAGGCATTAACATACAAAATGTCACCACCTACCATTTGTTACACATGTCAACTGTTAACAGCAACTACCAAACACCAACAGTTTGCTGATGACACTACACTACTTCTCCAAGATGAAACATCGATAAAGCCAGCTATAAAATTACTCGAGAAGTTTGGAGAGACATCAGGTCTATGCATCAACAAAGAAAAGACAGAAAATGACGTTCTTGGGAGCTAGCTTTCTCAAACCGGAAGTCAAACCTGCGCAAACAGACGTGAAAACCGACCCGGTACTGCATCCTTAAACTCTTAGGTATAAACATCAGGCCTGTCAACTTGGGGACACCTAACATGAGTGACTTGCAAATGTTGAACACCTTTGTTCAAATTTTGGACACCTTGGTCCAAATCTGAACATCTTGGCCACAATTTGAGCACCTTGTTTTCAATTTTATTGCATTTAATCAAATTTTGGACACCTCAATTTTTCGCGCTCGCTACGCTCGCGATATCGTCAACGGGGGGGGGGGGGGGGGGGGGGGGGGGGGGGGGGGGGTAGGTACGAAAATTTCCAATTAACATGCGTGACACATAAGGGATTCGCGTGACAAATCCGAACAAATTGCGTTCGGTTTTTTCCGACGTTCGTATTTTTACCGTATCGTCAACATATTTTGAAAAATTTTATACAGAAATATTTTTGCGTGACAATTACCAGGTAAAATGCGTATTTGCGTGACATTTTCTGTCACGCAAAAAAAACTGGCGTGACTTCAAATTCTTCAGCAAATGCGTGACAAATACGCAAATTGCGGGACAGTTGACAGGCCTGAAACATTCCTATGAATGGGGATAAAATAGAAGACATTAATTATCAAGGAGCTTTGGAAAAAATTGAAGCCCAAATCAAAATGTGGAAGCAAAGAATGATTACACCGATAGGGAAAATTCATGTAATCAAATCACTAATGATCTCTCAATTAACCTTTCTGCTAGCAGTTTTACCCCTTCCATCAGATGCATATCTTAAAGATGTTGAAACAAAACTATACAAGTTTATATGGAATGGCAAAAGAGATAAAATTTCAAGAAAAATATTACAGTTAGAACTGATCAAAGGAGGACTAGAAATGGTTAACCTAAAAGCCTTTGCCAAAAATGCAAAGGTTAAATGGTTAAGAAAATATTTCAATACAGATGACCAAGGTAAATGGAAAACTTTATGGAAAATGAAGCTAAAAAACTATGATAACTAGACTTTGGAAATTGAACGAAGTTCAATTTCAGACTCCAGATCTAGACTTTTTTAAGCCCAGTCATCTAAAATAAGCCGAGTCATCCAGAATAAGCTGAGTCATCCAGAATAAGATGGATGGATAGAAAAGGAAGGTAGGATAGGATAGAATGGGAAGGAACGATAGGATAGAATAAGAAAGAAGAATAGGATAGAACAGAATATGAAGAAAGGATATGATAGGAGAGGATAGGAAGGATAGGAAGGAAAGGATACGAAGGAAGGAAAGATAGGAAGGATAGGATAGGATCAGATTTGAAGGATGGATGAATTTTTCAATATTTTCTTCTCTACTCTTGACTTTCTATCAGGATACCATCAGATCGATTTTCCGAAATTTCAAAACGCCATAACTTCCGAACCGGAAGTCGGATCTAAATTTGATTTAAAGTTTCGGATTCCTGACAAAATTTTACCCCTAATTCATAAATCATACGTTAAATTTGGCGAATTTTTATTTTGACCTACTTTTTGGACACACCATTACTTCGGAACCGAAAGTCGGATCGAAATTTGGTTTGCAGACTCGAATTCCTGAGAAAATTCTACCCTTAATTCATAACTCATATGTCAAATTTGGAGAACTTTTTTTTTTTTACCTACTTTTCGGACACCATATCTTAAAAGTGGGTCGAAATACTTTCTGACGGCAAAAGGCTAACACTATTAGCACACTCTTTCCTACCTGTATACAAAATTTTGAAGCAAATCATATATAGTGTCAGAATCGCAAAAATAAGGAAAAACTATGAATTTGACCTAGATTTTGACCTAGGGATTTTGGTGTCCAAATTTTGAAGTTGGGTAGCCTTCGAGGTCCCCTTCTTTCATAGGCTTTCATTATTTTAAGCTGTACTTAGTCTATATCTCGTATTTTACACTTCAAAAAATCTTTTATCCCATTGACATAACATGGGGCACCAAATTTAGCGATTTTTGAGCTTTCAAAATGTCATAACTTCCGAACCGGAAGTCGGATCGAAATTTGGTTTGCAGATTCGGATTCCTGAGAAAATTAATACTTAATTTATAACTCAAACGTTAAATTTGGAGAATTTTTTATTTTGACCTACTTTTCGGACACCATATCTCAAAAGTGGGTCAAAATACTTTCTGACGGCAAAAGGCTAACACTATTAGCACACTCTTGGCTACATGTATACAAAATTTCGAAGAATATAATTAATCTGTAGTGTCAGAATCGCAAAAATAAGGAAAAACTTTGAATTTGACCTAGATTTTGACCTAGGCATTTTGGTGTCCAAATTTTTATGAAAAGAAGGTTTTGAGGTCCCTTTCTTCTATGGGCTTCCATTATGTTTAGCTGTGCTTAGTCTATATCTCGTATTTTACACTTCAAAAAAATATTTTTTCCCGTTGAATTAACATGGGGCACCAAATTTAGCGATTTTTGAATTTTCAAAACGCCATAACTTCTGAACCGGAAGTCAGATCGAAATTTGGTTTTCAGATTCGGAATCCTGAGAAAATTTCCTATAAGACTGATATCCTGGACATTGGATTTGGAGAACTTTTTTTTGGACCTCGTTTTCGGACACTGATATCTCGAAATCGGTTTGAGATACCAAAAAACTAAATCATCCTAGATTTTCTCCTTTTTAATGAGGAACACAATGAAAAAAACCCGGATCCAAAATATTGAAGGACGACCGAGAAAATCGAAAAAAGTGACAAAGTACTGGATTTGACCTAGTTCTTGACCTTTGACCTAGATAAAAAATTGACCCAATTTCCCACCAACTACATACTGAACCTAAATAAACTGTATTATGGTCCTTACTGGATACCTCATAGTTATTGAAAAAACTCCTAAAGAATAATAAGAATAAGAATAAGAAGAATACTGGCAAAAACAATAGACTCCAGATTGACATCTGGAGTCTAATAAGGGAAAATGGAATTGTAATGCTAAGGACCCAAAAACACTAGAAGACAAGGTGAACATTACAAGCATAGATGAAATACTAAAAATATGGTGTGAGCTACACTACAAAGCAGCAAATGAACTTGTCACGAAGGAAGAAATAAAACATCAAATTATATGGAATAACAGCTGCATTCTGAACAGAAAAGAAACTATAAACAACAATGAATGGGAATCTAAGGGAATAAGGCATATACATCAGTTATATAAAGAGAACAAATTATTAAGATTCCAAGAACTGGAAACCAAGTATAATTTAGCTCATCAAACATTCCTAGACTATAACAAAATTGTACTATGTATACCATTATCATGGAGACAAAAAATGGTGGAAGGGGGAGAAATTCGTACAAACTGGAAGCCACTCAGAGAACAATTGCCAAACATCTCAAATAAAAGCACTTATAGGAGGTTTAAAAGACAGATAAAAATACAACCAATAAAAGCACAAGACAAGTGGCTTAGGGTGCTAAATGTAAATGAGGATAACTATAAAGAATGGGATGAAATATACACCACTTATAAAGTGATTACAGAAAATGCGAAACTTAGATACTTCCAGTTCAGATTATTACACAGAACAATTTACTTCAATAAAATGCTGAACAAAATGAATATAGAGGGAAAAAACACGCCAATGTGTACAATATGTAATGAGAACCATATAGATAGCATCGAACATGGATTCCTAGAATGTACAGCCACAAAGGACTTCTTGAGAACGTGCTGTGAGGAAGCTGGTGAAAACATACCAGAAAATAAAGACATTATTTTTGGATACAGTAGAGAAAAAAGACAACAAAATAAGCTACTGATCCATATGAAACATTTCATATACTTAAGAAAATTAGGAGACAAAAGACCAGAACTAGGTCCTTTTAAAATATACCTCCAGAGTCAAAAAGAAGAAGAAAAATACATAGCGAAGAAAAACAACAAAATGGAACAACATGAGACACTATGGAATATCTGTAGCAGACTTTTGCGTTAATATCATCAATTTATACAAAGTGACAAAAATCATCAATCTTCCTTTCTCTCTCTCTCTCTCTCCTACAGTAAACAACATTAATAACCTGTAAAAAATAATATGTGAAAATAAAGATTTATTTAAAAAAAAAAAAAAAAAAAAAAAAAAAAACACCAACAGTACATATGTCTAAATTAGATTATAAGAGGAAAATGGCACTTTCCATATAAACAAAATAAAAAACATTTAACACAAAAAGTGTAGATATTTCTATACATAATACTCACATCATCCAAGACTTTAGACTGCACAATGTTAAAATAAGGAAAATTGAAGATGTTCCTATAGCGACCAGCTGTTTATTTGTTAAGGAAATACAACATATTGAAACAATTGATGGATGGATATTTAACAAATGATGGATTATAGCACAAGAAATGTGGTTTCAAAATTGCTTATCACTTCTTGGACGTAAGCTATTCATTCTGAAGTCATACAGAACATGGTGAATAACAAACTAAAAAAAGATTTCCCATACTCTGTTGACATGCAAAAGTATTGAATGAACAGATATGACTACCCAACTTGCTAAGACTACCCAACTTGCTAATTGATATGAATTATTATTCTATATTAAAATAAAGTAATTGCACCAACACAAAATGTTTATATATGTTCTCTCCAATTAGCAACTAAGCAGATCAAGGGAAGACACACAAATGTCATAACTGTACATAGTAAAACAAATCTTACTTACAAGGTACTACAGTACTGTCAACCCCTAAAGATTTTCTCGCGGGACAGATTTTTTAGACCCAGTGCCCAAAATTCGCGGGATTTTGCGGGACATCTACTAAATTCGCGGGATTTTGCGGGACATTTAAGGGATTTGCGTGATTGCGCTAATAGGAGATTTTTTAATCAAATTCGCGGGATTTCGCGGGACCATTCGAGGGACAAACACCCTAATTGCGGGACAGTTAACAGGTGTACCACCAAAAACTTCATAGAGGGACAGATTTTTTAGACAAAGTGCCCTAAATTTGCGGGATTTCGCGGGACATCCACCTAAGTTTGCAGGATGTCCCGGGACATTCAAGGGATTTGCGTGATTGGGACTAATGTAAAAGCGTGTAGAAGTACTTAAATCAAACTTTCAGATACTGATTAATCAAATATAATGCACCGTTACATTGTAACTTAAATAAACGTCAACACAATTTCACAAAATACGCATAGGAATATTATTAATCTTTATTGTAATTTATCAAAAACAAAAACCATGCTTCAGGTGTGATTACCGTAATCTAACACGAAATTCAAAATTCGGAACAACTTTCACTTCTGGCGTCGTGACCAACTATGAAACGCTTACCCCAATAATGTTATATATTAATGTACCTATTCATATACTGTAGGCATGGGCTTTCAATTGAAAGCCCATGATATAGGGGTTCGATTAATCTACATCAAATTATAGGGAATGAGGTTAATTTTCTAGATAGGGTTTGTATAAAAAACAGGGTACCGGGTAGTAAATCCTCCATGCTGGGTTCAAACTTGGTACCCGGTCGAAAAAAACCAAAAAACGAAATATACGAATACACAACATAATTAGATCATTAGAAAACGTGTAAGATTTGTTTTGAATTTACAAAAATGTATGTAACTTCCTTCAAAATTGAGCTAGAAGCTTCAAATAAAAAGCATTTTAAGGCTCTTTTCTTCCTCTATCATCTTGCTCATATTTCCATTGGTAATGAAGGGGGGGGGGGGTGCGATCGCACCCCCTCCTGGCTACGCCAATGACATTGTAAGACGATTTGAAAAACAAGACAAATCAATCTTACTCTATTTTCAATAGTTCGTATCTTGGTACGATAATTGTTTTGATTATGATTTAAATCTGTAAATAGCTATCGTTGCTTTAGCAGAGAGGTGACGTGTGTTAATTTGCATGATGCAACGTGTAAGATTTTGATTATTAATCATAATTTAAGTTATCCCAATTTATGACAAAATGTCCACTGAATTGTAAATTGTTATGTCTTACAATGTCATAGGCGTAGCCAGGAGAGGGTGCGATGGTGAAAATATGGCCATAACGATAGAGGAAGAAAAGTGCCTTAAAATATGCTTTTTATTTGAAGCTTCTAGCTCAATTTTGAATCATGTTACATACATTTTTGCAAATTCAAAACAAATCTTACACGTTTTCTCATAATCTAATTATGTTATATATTCGTATTTTTCGTTTTTTGGGTACCCGTTTTTTTGGACCGGGTACCGGGTACCAAGTTTGAACCCAGCATGGAGGATTTACTACCCGGTACCCGTTTTTTTTATACAAACCCTTTCTAGATATCAGCGTACATTCATTGTAACTCGCGTTTGCTAACATTTGCTCAGTTCTGAGATGAAGGCCACACGGGTAGTAAAAAGGCCAACGTTGGAACTATTTGTGACCTACATCCCTATTTTCGTAATTAAAATGAAAGTTGAACCCTTCCCCTTTATTTTGATACCAAACAACAGCATGCTAGGTACTTAAAAAAATTAGGTAAACTTAACTCCTCAAAAGTGCAAAAACTTAGCTTCTTATATAAGATAAGATAATCAAAATATAGGGGATTGCAACAATTTCGGAAATTCGCGGAGGTCAAAGCCACATTTTGCGGGACTTCGCGGGACAATGCGGGACACGCGAATTAGCCTAATTTTGATCAAATTCGCGGGATAATCCCGCCATTCGCGGGACACTTGACAGCTCTGGTACTAGAAGAGTGGTAGCTTAAATATTAATATAATTCTCTAAAAGATACGGAGCTCTGCTACTGGACGTAACTTGGATATATCAGTCCTTGATCCACCTGGAGTTATGCCTGAAATCAAGAAGATCAAAAGGAAATCAGCAACCACATGTGAACTTGAACCCATTGTGCTTCTCTCTCAAAGAACCCCTCCCATAGAGAAGTAGATATTGGGGTCTGGAGTCTTAATGCAAGATTTGGTGAATATATATGACAATTTAAAAATACCCACTAGCAATAGGTCCATAGGTACATGAAAGTTCCATACTGTCTGATTAAAGAAAGCATTACCTTGTATGTGTAAAGACCTAGGTGTATCATTACAGTCTCTAGTCCCTCTCCTAAGTGGAGTTTGTGTACCAAACATATCTTCTTGTGAATGTCTCTCATCATTGAAAGATGTCTCTGCAGTTTGGTGGTATGTATGCAAATGAGGTCTGTCTCTATGTAAAGATGTCTCTAGTGTACCATGATATGGTTCATTACTAGTTGTCCCAAAATCTGCTGAATTCTCATACACGTTGTAGTCTTCTGTATTTGTATATGTATTTTCATCTGGACATTCTTAAAGCATACAAAGAAAGTGGAATATCAAATTTTAATTTTACAAATGTACTATGCTAATATCATGAAATAATTTTGGAGTGATCAGTTGTTTATTGCCACCATTCATACAAATAAACACTCAACAAAACCAATTCTCCTTTAGAATTACCCACTCCTCTTTGCTTTTAAGAATAACAAAATTGAGAAAACAAGTACCATTTAATTTTTGGCTCCGTGGTGATTTCTGCCAATGTTGAGTTGCTTGCTGGGAGACCTCTATTGTTACATCATCGTACTCTTTAGAAAACCTCCTTGAATTCTCAACATTTCTCTCCTGTCCATTATGCCCACTTCGAAAAAAGGGATCTTTATCACGAGCCAATGCCTGTTTAAAGGGTGCCTTGAACAGTGGACGCCGTCTTCCTGAAGATGCTGAAAGATAAATGAGTCAAAAATCTAATCATAATCTAAATTGCTAAAAATGTCACAGTGTTCCAAAATAAAAAAGTGCTAAATCAACATTTCGGTCAAAATATCTTAATATTTTATCATTTTGGTGGAATGTGTGATTTTCAGATATTCAGCTGTGTACATCACCAAGTTACTCTCATGTTCAAAGATACATGAGATAAAATGCAATGTAGAGTTGAGTATGTACGTACCAGGCTGTTGTGATGGCTTTACTATCTGAGACAATGGTACATCAGCGGTAGACTTAAATGCCTGGGACAAAGACACCTCCTGTGTGAGTGAAGGAGGGTCAGGCACTGTTGGTTTCACAGTGGCTGTTAAAAGGCTGTAAACATAAAGTAAGACCATTAGATTTTGAATATCATTTTCTTCATTCTTGGAATCTCTTAATCTTTAGAAAACCAGATAATGCTATTATCAAATCAACTCATGCACTCTCTTTCAATCAATTTAAACATTTTTGGCTAAAAGATTTTTCTTACAAAACCTACAGTAGCTATGCAGAAAATCAGAAACAGACATTTTTAAATTCAACATTTATACAGAGTATGTACAGTACTTGTTAGATGATTTCTTTAGGCTTCTCTGGTCGTGGAATAGGAAATCTAAGGACATGTCATCATCCATTGTAGAGTCAGTCCCTCAAGAATATGACTGCCCAATGTCAAATCAGTATTTCCAGTCCTACATGTAAAAGTACAAATGTACTTATGTAGTGTAGTTATTGTCCGTAGCCAGCTTTTACCAGGAGGGGAAGCTTTTTTCCAGGGGAGAGCTTTTTCACAATTTTGGCTAAAAAGCATGCGAAAAATTCTCAGAATGGTGAAAAACTGCATGATTTTGAAAGAATTTCTGGCCAGGGGGGGGAGCTTCCGCTCCCCAAACTCCCCCTCTGGCTACGGGCATGCAGTTATTGTTAAAGGCAGAATCAGATCTATAGGAGTGACAAAATTACATGTACAATTGACTTACCAATCAATTCCTTTCAATCTCAAATACAATATCTCCAAAAAGATTCATGATATGATATGAATTGGTATGGATTCAAAGTGCAAAAATGGGTGAAAGAGTTTTAAATTCTCCCAAATAATAATAAGAATGATGGTAACCATTCTTCTAGAAAAATAATACATCATTGTAAAAATCTTTAGTTTTCCTGAAATAAAGTATGCACTTTGGGAATTTTTAGAAAATAGACACGACAAGTAGCCTAATGACATGATCCAGAAATATTCTAAAATTGAAAGAAATTTTTGTTGGCAGTGCTCGTTAGATCTGATTCTTGCTTGAATTGCATGTAAGTATAGACAGAAAACACATCTGAACTCGGAGGAGTTATAAATTATCACTTAAAGGTGCAACAATTAGTGCAGAGGGGCCATTCAATGATCATGGACCAGTGTCAAAATATATTTAAGTTTGGATATTTCATCAAGACTTACATCAATTTTTATTATCTTCAAAGAAGCCCCCTAGATAAACATTATTTCAGCTGATATTCCTCTTAAAACATGGTGGATCTTAAAAATATAAAAGTGGATTTCCCCTTTTTGAAGCTTTGAACTGAATTTACATTCATTAATGCTGAAATTGATAGTTTATCCATACATTTTAAGAAAATAGGTATGTCAAAGAAGATGTTCAGCCAAATGTTGCCTTGATAGCTCAGAAAAAGTCAAAATTTTCCTATTTTTTCTCTACAGGCCGTGTTGCCCCTTTAAGAGCTTATTTTGCGACTCGAATTCCCTAAAAAATGCTCATCACTCTTAAAAGGCCAGCAAGGTACCACCCCCGCTGACCCGGCCCCCCACCCTTTCCTCCTCTGTACATGTATACTTCCTCCCCTCAGGGGTTCAGTCACAGATAAGAATTGCATCAGGCCTAAAGGTTTTCGCAAGTCTTTAATAAGCGGACAGTGGTGACTGGTGCTAGGCTAATCCAAACTCACGACATATAAAAATTTTATATGTCTCTGTTCAAACTGGGCAGAAAATGTGAAAATCTGAAATTAAATCATGTATGACAGCAAAAATGCCAATCCAAACCAAAATCACCGAGCATAATGCAAATTACACAAGTTATTATGAGAACCTGTATACTCTGGAATGTCATATTTAATTTCATACGATAAAATAATACGTAAACGTCCCTTAAGATGGACAAAATAATATTTCATGAAAAACTTTTGAAAACTTACTTTTCTCGCCTTCCCGAATGAAGAGCTTTGTTTAGCGGATGTAGTTTGTTTTAAAAAGGTAAGGTGTTAAATGAAAATTGCAATAGTTATTGAACAATATGCATTTATTCTATACATTTTTTTGTAAAATTGATTTGTTAAGTGATCTTTTATGAAAAGTAGATGGTCAGGTTTTATATATTTACAGGGTAAAATAACAATATACGTCTTCACATTTCACTTTGTTCTCTATTATCGCCCACTTAAAATTTATTTAAATTTTCAAAAGTTTGAGAGAGAATTGAGAACGATTCTACCCCCATTTTACAATTATTATCAAGTAGATAAATCATTAAATCAAAAGCAAAAAATCTTATCTATTGATGAAACAAAACAACGTTTAGCAGAGAAATGTGAAATTCCTCTGCTTTTGTGTGAATTTGTATTGTATTGTAATGTCCCTCGAAAACAAGTTGCTGCTACAGCCTAGTTGTAGTGGGTAGCACTTATGGCTTGAGCGGTAAAGCCTAGGATGTAGCAGCGAATTGCTTTTGAGAGTCATTGCACCTAACCCCCCCCCCCCCCCCCCCCGCCTCCTAAAGATGTCCCGCCGTAACTGATTCACCAAATCATGAAAGGGAGTGTACTTATTCAATGCCCCGTGAGGAAATCAAATCCATGGCATGGAGCATTGAATTTTGCACACTCCCTTTCATGGTTTGCCCTTGTGAATCAGTTACGGTGGGACATAGTCCTTCAGGTTGGTAGATCTACATGTAATGACTCTCAATACCAATTCAATGCATCAGCCTAGCTGGCTTACCCTTATTGCTCGAGTGGTAGAGCATCAGGTAGGTTCTAGGTTCTATTCCCACTCGAGGCATTGAAATATGCATGAAGAAAATAAATATATAACATCGCAACTTTCACAACACAATATCTTTGTAACTACATATAAATGTAGTTTGGCCATGCCCTTACAACACACTGCCTATATTAATTCTATACTTTAATATGTAAGGGAGTGTGGTTAATTCAATACCCCATGTGGGAGTCAAACCCAGGACCTTCCAGTTAAGAGTCTGATGCTTTAAGGACTGAGCTAAAATTTTCTGAGGTGTCAAGCTACAATAGGACAAACTTTGATTTTTGCATTCTTGATACGTGTTCCTAGGTTTATACTATAGTACCATGTTATGAAATAAAAATCATTTCAATTATATTTCAGGTTTTAGATTGCACAAAGCACTGATTTTATCCGACATCTATCAGGATCCTTGGGCTCGTAAAGATAATGACGGACATTACAGAAGAATACTTATTGAAGTGTTCCAAATGTAAGAAACTTCAAGACATCAAGAAGTTGAAGTAAGTTTGGAAAGATTTATTATTCAAAAGATATGTGTTTATGCAATGAAAGAAGATATAATTTCCATGATTTTTGACAAGTAAAAAATATAAAAGGCATTAGTATACTGTACAGTGTATGTACGTGTTTGTGACATCATATAGACTATAAAACTTGATTTGAACCTGACATCATGTTATCACTTTTGAAATCATGTAGCAATACAGAAAGAAGCCAGTTGACTCAATAGACCTTGGCCTTAGGGTGTTTATGTTCCAGTAAACCCATATAAGCAGTTGTGTTATTATCCTTATAAGGTACATGTACAGATTTATATGTCAATTTTTACATTATTTTATTTATTTTCAGACTTGGAAACAAAAGTATCAAGAAACTAGATAAAGACCTCTTCAAACAACTTTCAAATCTAGAAGACATTGATTTATCTCAAAACAAGCTTACTACTCTACCAAGGGGCCTCAATTGGAAGAAATTACAAATTCTAGCTTTGGAGGATAATGAATTAGAAGACATTGAGTTTGTTGGTGAATTCCCCAACTTGTGTGACTTGTACATTGAGGGAAATGATAAACTCAGGGTTTGTATGTCTTCTGTCACCCCTGAATTACTTATAATTAAAGAAATTATAAAAAATATTGACAATCAACTACATGTAGACCATTTTTAATTGTTGAAAAATTAATTTCTCAAAAATTGACCATTTTTCTAAATGAAACCTATTTTCTCATAAAAAGGCTCATTTTGAGGCCAGAAACATATCTATCTTTAATGTTCCTAATTTTTCTTTGGACCAAACCTGCCAGTGGTATAATTATATATTATTGGTTGAGCATGATCTCTCAATAACAGTATCTTGTATCACTTGTTACTGTTTTTACTATTTTAACTTTGTTTATTTTAATATATTTCTTATTTATATTTAGAAGTATGGTGGCTATATCGCTGTGTACCTCTGCCCAAAGTTACAATGTTTAGATGATAAAGATGTATTCTACATGAGGAAACAGGTCACCAACACCAAAGACAAAGTCGAAATGGAGGTAAATGAATTCATACAAACTTTAAATTTTTTTTTTATTATTCTTTATTCAATTTTAAAACATACAAAATACACTTTAAGCTTTAAATCAAAGGGCATTTAGTAGATAGACTAGTAGCTGTTGAAAAACAAGAAATAGGGAAGTTTAAGCTACATACTTTTAGATCAACTTGTATTGGAACTATATATGGTCCTATAGGGATTGTGTTTTGCCTTCATCGTATTTATGGAATGACCCTTGTATTTTGTACGTATGTACATTTGTATATTTTGTACATATAGTAAGACCAAGATATCTTTTGTATCTACAGGTGAAAGGCATATGGGAAGGTGGCTTTGCAGATCACTATAGAGACAGGATACCTGCTCAAGAACTCGAACCCCTGGAGAAGAATTTTCTAGAAACACTATCTAAGCATGATTTTGATACAATGCATGATACTTCAAAAGAATATCAAAACTTTGTGGTAGGTATTTCTGATTCTGATTGAGGCAAATGCCTCCATTGCATTATTTTGCCTCAACATAGGTACAAATATATGTGTAATTAATCATGTATGTATGATACAGCTATGTTGGGTCCAGTCAGGTACCCCCCAAGGTTCGGCCATATATTACTGAGAACCTCAGTAAAAAACACATATTTCATCATCATTTTTTGTACATTTTTTTCTCATTGGTGCATTTTTCATTTAGCTTTGACAGAAATGGCAGGCTTGACTGTGTACCAAGTCCAGTATAATTATTTTAAGAGATAGGACTAACAGTTTTTTTTCCATTTTGAAAACTGACAATTAAGACACTTAATGAATTCTGAACATTTTCAGAAACATTCTCTGGGCAGAGAGCTGATCTCTTCAGTGCAAAAGCAGACATATGAGTCCCCCAGTAAGAGGTCTAGGGTGCGCAAAGTCCCTGCAAAATTTAGTGACTTATTTATATCGGAAAAACAAAGCCAGCCCAAACAAGACAAACACAATAAAATCCAGGAAAGTGAGATTGATTGGAGCTCTTCAGACGAGGACGGGACAACCTTTACTTCATTAAAAAAGAAAAAAAGTAAACCTGCTGCAAAAAGGATCAAGCTTGACCCAGCACCAACTGGGAACCTGGTAAATCCATTTGCGTAGTAATTTTGGGAGAAATAATTCAATTTTGGTTTAATTTTTTTGAAATATGTCATGATCATTTTTATCCCAACGAACGAAGTTCGGTAGGGATATAGTGAAGCCCTCCATCCGTCCCTCAGTCCGTCAGTCCGTCAGTCAGTCAGTCCGTCCGGAAGATAACTCAAATATTAGTTGACGGATTTTCTTCATATTTGGTGGAAAGATGTATATTGATGAATAGTTTTACAAAAAAAAAAATTTTTCAAGATGGCCGCCGCTTTAAAAATGACGGGACTTTTTCGCAAAAATCATAAATTTTTCATTCTAAACCAAAGTAATTAATATTATTGTTTGAAATTTTGGTAGTATATTTGCAACATCTATCTATTTCACATATATTCCGTGTTTTTTATCCTGACCCCCAGGGGCTGTGTATGGGGGGTCAGGAAAACAGAAATTTTCGTTAATTTTTAAATCTTTCTGAAGTATAGCTTTATTATACTCAAATGAAAGGCAATTAATAGTAGATTGCAAATATTGTATCTTTTTTCTGATTCGAGCCTCGTAAGATCCAAAATGGCCGTCTAATGTACGATTTCGCAATAATTTTCCGATCCCTTCAAAGTATGGCTATATTATACTCAAATTGAAGGAATTTTGGAGTAGAGCACAATTATGGTATTATTTTTCAGATTTGTACCTCAGAAAATTCAAAATGGCTGCTTTGCAGGAATTCGCAATTCTAAAATCTAAATTTTCCAATTTTAACCAAAGTAATGAATATAATTGATTGGAATTCGGTAATTGATATTTTGTTCGTTGGGATTTGCTACTCCGAGGAGTTGCCGTTATCTAGTTTTTAAATGTTACTTTCCCTGGAATGGTCTTTTATTTAAGAATATTCAAAAGAGAATAAAAAATTTTCCTCAAATGTTAGTTGATAATATCTATATTGACCTAGAAAATAAAACCTCCCTCAAATGGCATCTTTTGTTTTTTCAGCCCAAAGCCCCAGATTACGATCCTGTTCATTTCCTACGCTGTCACTCAAAAGATAATTCCCCCAGTGATTCGAAAACAACTATATGGTGCTGTCAGTTTGAACCAAATCTAGAAAAAACAGGTAAAGACTATTAAAAAACAATTTCAGTTTTGCATGCTGAGTATATCTTTGAAGTGCATGTACCATACATTATCACATGCTCTGTAAAATTCCAGTAATCTGATTGGTTGATTACCGTGTGAGTTTTCCCGTCTCACACGGCCGTCTCACACGTTACTAGAGGCAACCAGTGATGATCGATAGCAACGATGTGACGTCACTGATTATATCACTTCTAGCTAAGAAAAACAATATGACGTCATACTATTTCACAAACAAGTACGAATACAACGGTATGACGTCATATTGTTTCAAAGCGAAATCAAAAATTATAATAGTTACCAGAAGTACACGGGGTTCTGAACACAATCATAACTGACCAAATCAAAATGCTTCAAAATTCCTAGACATGTGATAAAATCGTCATCACACGTTTCAGCTTATGTGATACAGGAAATATTCCACTCGGGTAACAATGTATCACCACTCAAGCTTCGCTTTCGTGGATGATACAATATTACCTTTCGTGGAATATTTCCTGTATCACATGCTGAAACGTGTGATAACTGATAGTATCAATACTGTAAACTGTACTTTTTTTACTGTATGACTGATTTTGTTTTCATTACCCAAAACTTGTGATGAAAACATATACTGTGGACTGTACTTTTTTACTGTATGACTGATTTTGTTTTGATTACCCAAAACTTGTGATGAAAACATATACTGTAAACTGTACTTTTTTTTACTGTATGGCTGATTTTGGTTTCATTACCCAAAACTGGTTATTGTTTCATTGCTGCAGTATGATAAATCATAGTTTTTATCATTAGGCTTTGAGTATATGTATGTGATAGAATTTTAGTTTTATAAAGGTTAACCCTTAGCAGTCTCTGTCAAGCATAAAAGTAACATAATTGGCCACTCATGATTTCCATTTTAAATCACATGTTTTAAACAAGAATAGTTGAGAGCAAATTCAGTGGAACTGTTCAGACTTTAAAGAGTTAATTTAATACCTGAATATAATGAATCACTTTTGAGATTGATAAATTTCAGCCGTCAATAAGGAGCTAACACTGAACTTTAATTATTTCAGGGGAAACAACAAATATTGTCGCAACTTGTGGCGGAAACTCTGTGTGTCTGATTGATGTTTCAACTGGCAAAGTTATGAAGAAATATCACCATACAAAAGAGGTATTGACATTTTCATATTTTCCTGCACATTATTCTGCGCTTTTGATAATCTAATTCTTCATTTTTGGCATGCACAGGGTGAGCCAATACTCAATATGCCTACTCTCAAATGTATGCATGTGCATATCAAATTTTATGATATAAGCAGTATTAAGATAAACACCAGGGCTCTCATAAATTGCCATTTTAACTAGCTCTTTATAGCTCAATGTAAAGAATGTGTTATCTTGGGGCAGTTTTGTTTTTAGGTCACCTTGTATATGGTATTATCTGTGTATTACATTTATTGCATCAATTTAATTGTAAATACATGTAGTAGTTAATATATAATATTTTGTCTTGGTTCTAGGAGCTATTTGTTTTGTCTTGGACCACTATAAAAATGGAGGTGGAGAAACATAAAAGACGAACCAACATACTGGCAGTAGCAGGTGATAATTGATAGTTTTCCACTGGTCCTGGGTTCAATTCCAGGTTCAGACGAAACGTGTTTATTGTTAAAATAGACACATAACCTGCTGGAATTTGAATTCCTGATAACATGTAAAAACAATAGAAAACACCCTATGAACAAAATTTTTTAGAAATTATGATTTTAATATTATAGAAAACACGTGCTAAATGCTTTATAACAATAGTCCACTTTTTAAATCAGAGAAAATCATGATTTTCATTATTACAACCAACTCACCAACATCCCAAATATGGAAAATCTGTCAAAAACACACTTCTTTCAAAATTAAAAAAACAGATATTTTCCAGGTTACACAAGGGATGACACTATTAAGTTGATAGATCCGGACCAAAACATTTGCTATGCTGAGTTGAAAGGGCACACCAAGTCTTTCAAACAGCAGATCAATGCTCTTGTCTTCCACAAAGATCACCCTACATTCCTGTTCAGTAAGTAGTTTAATTATGAATATTTTTTTTGTTAAAGTATAGTTTATGAGGATTTGAAACTGCAATTAAAGCATCCTCCAGGATTAAACATATGATTCAATGATATCTCAAAAAAAACTTTGGGGGGCTTATAAGAGAGCATAAGGTATATGATTGGGGGGCTCATTTGAGAGCATACGGTATATGATTGAGGGGCTCATCAGAGAGCATACAGTATATGATTGGGGGGCTCATTAGAGAGCATACGGTATATGATTGGGGGGCTCATTAGCGAGCATTCGGTATATGATTGGGGGGCTCATTGGAGAGCATACGGTATATGATATGTTGCTAAATTTTGAAATCCATGAATTGCATTTTATTGTAAATGGTAAAAATATGTATGGAATAAATTGCCATTATATCCGTCTTACAGGTGGTGCTAAAGGAGAGATTCTGCTATGGGATATTGGGATTCCTGAATTTCCAGACTTCAAAGTTAAATACTCGTAAGTCTCAAATGTCCTTGTTAATCAGGGTTCTGATCTTTCAGCTACCATGAATCTTAAAAGGAGAAAATTGAAGCTAGGCCAAAATGTTTATTGTTGAATTTAAAAGATAATCAATCAAATTGCAATAAATGTTAATCGTTGAATTTAAAAGATAATCAATCAAATTGCAATAATAAGCCTCATTACCTTCCCAAATCAAAAATTAAAACAAAGATTTTTCTTTGGTTCTTTTAATTTATATCATACTGTTTAATTTTTATAGAATCCTAAGGTCATTCAGTCATACTGGTGATGAAACCTTGAACCTTTCACTGTGCATGAACCAGACAGTGCTCATAGCAGGCTGTGCCCTGGGGTGTCATTTCTGGAATCTCAAGGAGAAATACTTCACTCCCCTCAAATCCTCAGAGAAATCCAAGTAAGAGATACACTGAACACCTCCCTAATCTGAAGAACATTCAATGTGAAGGATTTTATGTCACCTCAGCAAGTGGTGACAAATTCCTATAGTTTCCAACTTTTTGGTTGTAGCATTGGAGTTCAGTATATGGCATTTGCCATCTTAACAAATGGCAGGTGGTGACATTTTGCATATTATTGCCTTGTTTTAATCTGCCATGGATTACTTTGGAAGATTACTACTTTAATTGTGAGCACCTACCAATCTCTAAACACTTTTTCACAGTCCTGTGATGTTCGGTTTAGACAGGTTTTACTGTACAGGTTTCCAACGTTGTCAATAAACACCCCAAGCCTTCTCAGATTGGGGATGAAATAACTGATATTCTTGTTAGCGCAGTCAGATGTCCCTTTGGTAGTTCAACTTTTTCAGGAAAGCAACAAACTTGGCACAGTTGTAGAAACATATGATCTGAATGAAAAATGATTTCGGGGCAAGTGATTCGGGGTGGTCTTCATGGATTTTAAGCCTCTGACCCCCACCCCTATCAGGCGGGGAGGGGGTACATTATAATAAAATAAATAAAAATAGTTGTAAAGTATATTTCTTTAAATGACTTCATTTGGTCATTGCTTTGAGCCTGGAAATTGAGAAAAACCTATTTTAGAAGTGGTGTTTAGGAAGGAAAATACATTTTAACCCAATTATCTAGTGTGAATTCATCTTTCAAAGGGTCAAATATAGGACAACAAGTACTGTATTTCAAGAATGTGATGTCTGATCATCCTGAAAAAATTCATACTAATAGAGATATAGGTGTTAATCACTCATATGATATATGGCTTGTGTAGCTCATGTATTTTTTGAAAAATAAATTATCGAAATTTGGATATTTAAGCCCTTGCGGCCTAGGGGTGACCTTATTTTACCTTAATAATTTTTAAGATACCCGATGTTTGTGCCTCATATGAATTCTAAATATTGCATTAAGTATTGTTTTGTCATATTATTCCTAATTAGATGTAAAAAAAGTATTGGAAATAAAAAAAAAATCAAATTTTCATTTTCGGTTCTAAAGGGCCAGGGGTAACCATATTTTACCCTAATAATTTCCCAGATATGTAATATAAGCAATCTCAAATTAGCTCAAGATGTTGCATATAGTTCTGTTTTATCATACTTCTTCCAATAAGATGTAGAAAATGATCGGATATATCTAAAAAATCAAAATTTTCACTTAAGCTGTTGATGGCCCTGGGGTAACCTTATTTTACCTTAATAATTTTCTAAATATGAGACATAATCACCTCAAATGAGCTTAAGATGGTATATTTAGTCCTGTTTTATCATATCATTCCCAAGGAGTGAAAAAATGATTGGAATTATAAGAAAATTACATTTTCATATTACACCCCCAATCCGCAACATCTTCTTGCAGAGCTGTAAACAGTACTGAACAGTGCAGTCAGAGTACTGCACTTTATAGCAATGTACAATGCTATTCTAACACCATCTATTTTGGACAGCGTAGTACAGTACTGTTTTTACAGCTCAGTACTGTTTTAGAAAACAGCTGTGTACAGTACTGTTTTTACAGCACTGTTTATGAAACCATGCTGTTTGATGCAGTTTGAGATTGGTAGTGTAGTTTATGATAGGTCAGGAATGACCTAATTTTACCTTAAAAATTTAAACAAAGATATAAGTTATTGAATGATTTGAAGTGCAATACAGGATATATTCTGTTCAAGAAATTCTGTATTGGAACGAGACGAAGTCGAGTGCCAATACAGAATATCGAGACAGAATATATCCTGTATTGCACTTCAAATCATTCAATAACGTTTTTATCGTGTGATCCTCTGTATTGCTACTGAGATTGTTCCCTCCGTACCAATATTTTCTGTATTGCGACGGAGATGATCAATGGGGACACTCTCAGTACCAATACAGATTGGTACAGCACAAGAACTGACCAATCAGAAGGCTTCATTTTACAGATCATACGATAATATATCATATTATCTACTCAAATGAGCTCAAAATAGTGAATATAGTCTAGTTTTGTCATATTATTCCTACTGAGATATACAATAATGATTAACAGTTATAAAAAATGAACCTCAACAGCCATTTATTCCTTTCTAGTACCAATGGCAATACTATCTAGTTTTATAGAAGTGAACATTTTCTAAGATATGAAAATGTTTGATAAGTCCAGTTCATACACGCACGAGTAGTAGCATTGTTAAGATTCTGAATATTATCATTTGAGTATATAATCCAAATCTATAAAACCTAATCAAAGGAGTCACAATTTATGGATTCTGACAGTCTCTCCTACAGCTACATAGCTCAGAGCAAATCAGATCTGCTTTCAAACATTTGCATCTGTTCTCTTGACACAGGTATCTACCCCATGACCTACATTTTATGTTGTGGCCTCAGTATCAGCAGTTGGAGTAGGTCAGCCACATTCATGTGGTGATAGAAACTGTGGCTAAGAATGAATCAGAATGAATAAGGACTCTAATCTTCTAATTTTGGGGTATCAAAAAAGATTTAAAGCTTAAGAACACTTGCGTAACCTCTGGGTACACCTTCTATTCCTGCAAATCAGTTGACTAAGAGTAGTAGCAGAATGCATCTAGAGATTGTATGAAAAATGGTAAGCTCATGGCCAAGTGGCCTTGAAATATCTAAGACAGGTTGTACGTTCTGGAGGAATTTCCTCTCACCATAGGGCATATGCAATCCAAATTGACATTTTCAGCACAAGTTACTGCCAGTTTAAACCACATCAAAATCAACTGTATTGACTATGATTCTTATTAGGTCATGACAGAAGCAGTCTTTGGCATGCTTCTTCATACAAGCGAATGGTGATGGCAGATACTTCAACAAGGTCTGTAGAAGATTCAATTTTTTTTACTTTTTTCTGAGCTATCAGGGTAATATTTGGCTAAACATCTTCTTTGACATACCTATTTTCTTAAAATGTATGGATAAACTATCAATTTCAGCATTAAGAAGTGTAAATTCAGTTCAAAGTTTCTATAAGGGAGGCCCACATAAAGATTTTTAAGATCCAAAACATTTCAAGAGGAATCAGCTGAAATAATGTTCATCCAGGGGGTTTCTTTGGAAAAAAATAAACATATATGTTAGTAGAGAGACTTGTGGAACTGGAACAAGGATAGTCTAAGGAGGAAACTGAAACCCTTGAAATGGATGGAAAGAAGATAGTGACCACATGAATTAAGGAGGCAATGCAATGTTTAGCCCAACAGTGAGGTTCTGCCATCACCCTTGCTCTTAAGAAGAAGCAGATTCAAGGATATTTCTCAATATTTCTTCAATACAATTTACTTAAAGGAGTTTTTAACAAGTTAGACAGAATCAAGGTTGAGGCATTAAAAAACAGTGAAAGCAAAATATATTTTAATTGTATTCCTGTACAGAAAATCAATGTGCAATCAATAAAAAAGGGTTTGTAAAAAACAGTTTAACAGAATCCAAATCAGAAGAGTATTGGTCTGAGCAGTTTGCTCAAACAGATTTCTCAGATTTTTACAAGATTTTGTTTAAATGTAACATTAGCAATAATGTTTAAGAATTTATATTTAAATGTTTTAATGGAGCCATATGGACAGAAAAAATTACAAAAAATTCAGAAGTCAAATGGAATTTGTAAAATATGCAATGTTGAAGCAGAAAGTCATAAACACTTATTTGTCAATTGTACGAATGCAAAGGAATATGTAAATACTCAAAATTTAAAGTTTTCTGAACAAGAAATTTATTTTATAGCAATGAAGGAGATTTTGAGAGCAAATGCCATAGAAACCAGCTAGTGTTTAAACACAAGTTTGAAATTTGGAAAATTAGAAATAGTAAAATCTATAACCAATAAGTTCTGTATTCCTGTATAGGTACCAATGTAACCATTGTATATTATGTAAAAATTGTATAAATGTTTCAATGTTAATAAATTAATTAAAAAATAAAAAATAAAATTCTCAATATTTTCAATAAGACTGCTTCAATCATGGCCTTCAAGAGAAAGAATAATACTCCTTACATTTAATTCTGATGTGGTATCAAGGCATATATGTGATGTTAAAAACTGAAAAAGTCAATTTGGATAGCATATGGTAAGGGAGAAAACATATCAATATCTACCTGCCTACGACCAAAGTTTAATCCTCCCCATTTCTCATACAATCATTGGATGTGATGTTACATCTGTATTCTACTGCTATTGGTAGTGCTAAAATGGAATAAATGGATTGAGATTTAAATGTCTCACTGAGTTTTCTAATTGTTGTTAATCATTATCTCAGTAGGAATAAAGTGAAAAACAGACTATTTTCCCCATTTTGAGATCATTTTATCTTGAAAATTAATAACATTTGGCATCATTGCGCCCAATCATTGACTGTCATTATTCACTTACAGAATCCTTGACAGAAGCAGCTCACCTTAACCCCCCCCCCCCCCCCCATCAGGCTAAGGTGACTGGACTTACTACCCTTTGCATTCATTCGACTTTCCTTCTCAAAAGAGAGCTTCGTCTTCACTCTATCAGTTTTCAATAAATCTCTGAACTCACTGCGCTAATCAGAGTTTGTTGTCGAAATAAGGACGGCTTCTATATGGTCATTTTCTCTGACGAAATCGCATCAATAATGTACACGCATTTAGCACTTGTTCCTTCAAGCTCACTGATTGGTTGAGAATAGGTCAGAATGGTTTATTGCAGCTTGGGTCATAAATGCTTTAAGACCCAAGCTGCCAATGGCATTGGTCATGGGGACGGGGCTGCTAAACTCACTCCATCCTTTGCTTCTATATTATGGTAATATATGATAAAATCACCTCTGACCTGTCAAAAGCTAAAAATGTCATTTTTCAAATTTCCATTATTTTTTACATCTCCTAAGGAATAATATGACAAAACAAGAGTATATGACACAATTTTCAAGCTCATTTGAGATGCATATGTCTCATAATTAAGAAAGGTTCAAGATTAAATAAGCCCCCCCCCCCCCCCCCAGGCATCATAAGCTAAAATGAAAATGTAAAATTTTAAGAAATATCCAATCATTTTCTACATCTTATTGGAGGTATTATGATTAAACAGAACTATATGCACCATCTTGAGCTAATTTGAGATACATATATTACAAACCTTGAAAGTTATCAAGGTAAAATATGGTTACCCTGGCCCTTCAGAAGTGATAATGAAATTTTTTTTTTTTTGAAAAGTTCCAATCATTTTTCAATCCAATTAGGAATAATATGACAAAACAAGACTCAATGCACCATTTTGAGCTCATATGAGACCCATACATTGCATATCTTAAAAATTATTAAGGTAGAATAAGGTTACCCCTAGGCCGCAAGGGCTTAAAAATTCAAATTTCGATAATTTTTATCTCAAAAAATACATGAGCTACCCAAGCCATATTCTACATTTGTGATGAACACCTATACCCCTATTAGTATGAATTTTTCCAAGATGATCAGACATCACATTCTTGAAATACAGTACTTGATGTCCCATACTTGACCCTTTAAAATATGAATTCACGCTAGATAATTGGGTCAAAATGTATTTTCCTCACTAAACACCAATTCTACAATCGGTTTGTCTCAATTTCAAGGCTCAGAGCAATCACCAAATGAAGTCATTTAAAAAAATTTACTTCAAAACCATTTTTATTTATTTTTTATAATGTACCCCCTCCCCGCCTGATAGGGGTTGGGGTTAGAGACTAAAAAATCCATGAAGACCACTCCGGATCACTTGCCCCGAAATCATTTTCCACTCAGATTAAGTGTTTCTACAACTGTGCCAAGTTTGTTGCTTTCCTGAAAAAGTCGAACTATAAAGGGCTCATTTCTGGACATCTGACTGTGCTATGTGACTTGTGAAACCAAAAAATCAACAATTTGCATATATGCACTTCTAGTTATTGTGACATCACTTATCATATTTGAATGTAATTTTAAAGCATAAAACCTAATTATTAATACAAATCTAGTAATATTTTATGAATTTTATTTAGTTTAATAAATGTTTTCATATCTTATTTAGACAAAGTGCTGGTAAGGCTGTGCTGTTTCCTTCTTGTGACAGCGATGTTTCATGTGAGTCTGTGACACTTCTTTCTGACACGCTACTTGGTAAGGGAACATTATTTATCACAATTTTCAAAGTGTTATATTGTCATTGTCTTGTGCTGCTGGGCATTTCGGCGGGCAGATAAGTGGCCATTTTGATTTTTTTATGGTTAAGATTCCTTAAATCCATCGTTCTCTAAGTATGATGTCATTGTATTGGTTACCACAATTGATCAAGGAATTCCTATTTTTGAAGACAGTAAACGTTAATGTCTCCAGCCCTACAAGTGCTATGTAAAAGGCTCTTCTGTCTCTTCTATTGTTAAGTGAATTCTAATTCATGTTCATGCATTGTTGTTATAGCAACACGCTGTTATGAGGAAAACACTATACAGGTCTGGGATGTACCAACCGTGACAACAATTGCCATGGGCAAGAAACGTCTCAAGACTCTTACTATGAAAGCTGAGCTTGAATGGGTGGATACGGATGAACCATACATCAATATGTCATTCCAGAAAAGTTAGTCAGGTTCAATTATGTTTCCACTGAGAAGTATAATGTCATAGCCACATGTAAGCAATGTTCAGCTGGTCAACGTTTGATGTCTAGCAAGATTTTTGTAGTTTTTTCGCCATTTGTAGGTATTTACCATTTACTAGGTGATGAGAAACGTATTGTCATTTTAAATGCCTTGTGTTAAAGATAATTCAATCTGGTCTGGGTAAGAAATGTTTAAAACTTGTCAAAAGTTCCAATCAACAATCTCATCAAAATTTAAGACAACTTTCAAATCATCAAATGACTTAACTTAGGATTCTGCATCAAGTTGCTTCTAATTTTGGTGAAAGTACTCATACAACGTATACTTTGTGACCCAGAAATGTGTCTAACTGCACAGTAACACCCATACATCTAATGTTGATTATGGGTCCCAGAAAACTTTTTTTAAGCCAATATATAATTTACACCATATTGTCTTTGTAGCTTTTGTTCTATTTGGAGACACATTTTCAAGTGTTTAAAAAACGTCACAATTTTCCATTTTTATGTTTCAGGTCTCGGGCTTCTAGCAGCGGGTGATGATGCTGGGAATATAAGACTGTATAATTTAAAATGGTTGCTTGGCAACACTGAGAGTGATGAACTGTTTGAGCCATCTAGGGTACTTATGTGGTTTCTGAGTCTTTGTTAATTTTCAATTTTTCATTATTGCTTTTACATTTGAAAGAATCAGTCATAAAAGATGCAAAATTCACAAAAAAACATCATTCATTTAATTACATCTTGTTTATCATTTAGTTCGATATGGTTCAATTCAATAAAGAATGGAAAAGATCTTGTATAACTAAGGAGATTTTCCATTTACGAAGGTTCATTTTACCCTCAGTTTAATGGTAATGGGACTTTGGCAAGTGTTCCACATGCAGAGGTGTTCCACTATACTGTTTGTACTTATGTATTTTCTCTCTGTTTATAAGATATTACCCTGGCCAGAGTGTGAGGTTGACAAGTCAAACAGTCTCGATGTTCAACTGAATAATCTCAAAGTCGATGTAAGTATAAAAGTTATATCTATATTATAATATTTGAAAATATTGAAGTTGATATCAGTCAAATTTGGTCGGACCTTAAAACACTCTTTCAAACCAAAATTTGAAAAATTCTGAAAAAATGTCCCATAGAAGTATATCTCATTCAGCTTAAGTCGCCAATTTTTTGATCCAAGGAATGTCCCTGCCTGTATTATGAACTGAGTGATTTAAGACTTTATCTTACTTATTTATCATCTCTTGTTTTCAGCCATTGCTTGTAGTGTCAACTGGATTCAATAGCAATGGAGAATATCTTGTAGCAGGCACCAACAATAACATGGTGTGTGTATGGAAGAAGAACAAATCATCTTAAGAGAGAGAAACGGAGATTATGAGAGACACTTAATCCACAAAATATAAGGATTTACGAGCATAAGATCCCAAGGAATAGTGAATGACTATAGTGATGATGTACTTAACCTCTTGAATACCCAGAATGACGGATATATCTGTCACAAATAAAATCCCTTTGGAACCCAGAGCAACAGATAAATCTGTCAAAGAATTTTTCACTAAAACTGCTCTAACTTCAGCATGTGTTATTCAATCTTCACAAATTATGTTTTATAATGTATGTAATAGGTCCATGTTTACTATTCTTATGAAATCAAACATGAAATATTGTGTTTGCAGATGTAAATATCCAAAAAACTGGCAAAAAAATGAAAAATGATCTGGTTTCAAACCCTTTTTAGAGGCTGGTATTCAAGAGGTTGAAAGACACAGACAAAAGTTCTGTCTTGAGAGAAAACCATTCTTAGAACCTTAGGCAGTCAAAACTTAGATTTCAGAGGATGTTTGCAACTTTTGTAATGGCAATGTTCAAGAATGACAATCTCTCTCTTATGAGGATAGGAATCTCAAATTAATGATGATGATTTTTAACGGACAAAAGTCATGAAAATTCTTATGAAAGATTGTAACATCATTAATGCAAAAGTCAGTCCAGAGCTAGATACATGAATTCCTACAATCCTAAACCCAGATAGCATCCATTTACTCATCTTGCGATTAAAACATACAATTCGGAGAATCCAAATATTTATCTCACCTTAGATCAAGTTTAGACAAGGATTTATTCCAGGATTAGTTGCAGTTTTGTTGATTTGTCCCATTATATACTGGTAAACATGGGTACCAATATATCAGGATGCATAATCAGATTGTGCGAATTCACTGTTCTGTTTTTTACCACTTGAGACTTGACGTATTGAACATTCTTTTAGATTGTATTTGATTATTCGTGAAACATTTTTTATGTTATGAGACTTACATGTAAGTCCCAAGACAAAACAATTCTTAAACCCCCACCATCTTAATGGGAACCTAAACCTACGTATCTACTGTATGTTTTATTGTTATCATTGTAGTTTTTAAAAAAAACTCCAGATTAAGGAGTTGTCAGATGAATTAACCCTTAAACAGTTAGGTTATATAGAGTTACACCAACGATTGGAATCTGCCTCCCCTCCTATCCGTTTAAGGGTTAATCATGAAACGCCCCAGATTAATGAATGGCTTAAGGCCTTTTAGTCAATGATTGTTACGAAAGTTTTAGTCTGAAATGTTGATACCAAGGTTAGAAGGGGAAAATTCCATTGCCATTGGGTCCTCCAATAGATGGCATTGTACACCAATCTTTAGTTAAGTTAGAAGTTAAAGTATAACTTTAAGTTTTATCTTATATCAATCTTATACTCTTGTTTACAAAATGAAGGGTGAAATTAGCAAGGAATAAAGAAAACCGAGAGATAGCTAACCGTCTAAATTGTATGGAAATGCTGGAGTTCTAGTTTTCAACACCTCCCGTTTTAGGAAAAAATATGTAAATACATGTGGACAGAGATGACTTTGATTCATGCCTTATCTTGTATGTGTCCAATATTATTTTTAGTTATATTAAATTGTGATAAAAGTACTTTGATAAAGAATTATTTATCGTTTCTTAATATTTTTGTTGCATTTGTTTTTAATTGAAGATTTTAACCTTTTGAGTGCTAAGTGTCCCATCAAGAAGATTTGAAAGTGTCGTTTATACTAAAATGGTTCTTATTTTGACAATATTAAATTACATTTAAAATGTGTATTATTGGTATATATCTTCATAACTCTTTTTTCTCTTAGATGCACTACCACTTGTAATCAGTGGCTATCCCTGTCCAAGAGTATTCATTCAGAAGGTAAAAACTTAAGTTGTTTGCCTCTTTCAAATTCCATTTCATGGTACATGAACTTCTCGGCATTTTTAGTAGACCCCAAGACAATGATTTGAATTGACTGAAACAATGATCTAGCGGCGGTCACCCATATTCTCTTAGGTGCAAAAACCAACCCAAGCTAGACTTACAAAATACAAACAATCACAGATCACAACAACAATCGACCATGACCTTAACAAGAAAATAATAAAACAACAACAGTCCCTGCTATCAATAAATGAAGCCTTTTTGGCACACTCCTTGTGGCACACTCCTCGAAGAGCCTCTTCTGAATCAGTGTCACGTGGCATATAACATGTTTAGATCTATCATCAATGTTAACATTAGATCTATAAAACCATCACCATTTCATGATGAGTACTTAACTCATCAATTTAAAACTGGTAAAAATGGATCAATGTCATATAGGTGATGTTAACATGGAATTCAATATCACATATGTGATGCTAAAATGGAGATCAAGGTGACATAGGCGATATTAACATGGAGTAAAATGTCACATAGTTGATGCTAAAATGGAGATCAATGTGACATAGGCGATATTAACATGGAGTAAAATGTCACATAGTTGATGCTATAATGGAGATCAATGTGACATAGGCGATATTAACATGGAATTCAATATCACATATGTGATGCTAAAATGGAGATCAATGTGACATAGGCGATATTAACATGGAGTAAAATGTCACATTGTTGATGCTATAATGGAGATCAATGTGACATAGGCGATATTAACATGGAATTCAATATCACATATGTGATGCTAAAATGGAGATCAATGTGACATAGGCGATATTAACATGGAGTAAAATGTCACATTGTTGATGCTAAAATGGAGATCAATGTGACATAGGCGATATTAACATGGAGTAAAATGTCACATAGTTGATGCTATAATGGAGGTGGAGGTGACTAATCAAGGTGACATGGGTGAAGTTAATATGGAGATCAATTCAATTCATTTATATCCAAGTTAAAATCATATTTTATGTGACATTAATTTATATGTTAACACCGGCTATGTCACATTGATCTCCACGTTGACACCATCCATTTCACTTTGAGATCCATGTCAACATGGATCACAAGTAATTATGGAATTCTATGACAGGGAGTCCGGCCAATGTCACTTGACCTATTTTTTCAATGTACATGTTTCGACGAATTAATATATACATCAGAGAATATAATCTACCCTTCGTTAGAAAGCCCATGGTTAAAATGGCATCTTTATTTACACTTATTCTAGTTCTTTCTCCTTTAAATGTTGGTGTAAATAAAGTGTCCTATCGTTTGAAGTTCGATACATCCCAAGACTTCATGTTTTGGTTGTTACACGGCCTTGTCCATCAAATCTACTGTTTCATATTTAATAGACTATTGCTACCATTTCATTTCTCGGATCAATATAAAATTTATAAACGCATACGTTGGCATCCCTTAAATGTCATCATCGGCATGTTAAAACTGAACATAGCAGTGAGCCAAATACCAGAGTAAAACGTAAATAAACACATATCATATGAATTCAAAATTTCAAATTGTCAATAAGTCCATCAAAATAAGTCACATCAATGATTTACATTTTCTCATTTTTCACAATCACAATTCATATTTTAATTTGTAATGGCCATGACAGAGGTAAGAATTTTATGCAAAGGATGATATCAAACAGATGTTTCTGAAAGTCGCCTAATAGGTTTCCGTCAAGGTAAACAATAATGCAATTAAAATGTATATATTTAGTTTGTAATGATCATGGAACGAGCAATGCCATTCCTATGGCGTGTGTTGCGCAGCTGTGTCAATGACAGAAACAGAAAACATGTTACGTGTTTCAATTATGGTATACCATGCCAATGAAGGCGACTTTCGATGTTATAGGGAATTGCTTGGACACGCTGTCCACTCAAGATTGAAACATATTTCATCTTTAAGAAAGACTATCTTATACGATTGAAAGTATTTGTGATTATCCTTTCATGATTATCTAAATCAAAATACATCCTTCAAGCGATTAAATTGTATGGCATTCAATTACCATGAAACTTATATGTTGTATTATATTTTTTTGTATGTGATTAATTGTATTGTTTATATATACATCATCCAGTTTTAGCCATATCAAAGATTACGAATTACGACCCAATCATTCATCACAATAATTTTCTTTTTCTTTCACATTTGGAGTTCCTACCATTTATAATATGCACTAAATTATTTACCCAAATTTCATTATAAGCTTTTAATATCGGTATTGTATTAAGTGTGAAACAATTTTGATGTGTTATTCCATTGTACGGGAACATACATGTATGCATTTTATATTAAATGCTTTTTTGTACTTTTATTCATTACCAGCTACACAAACATCAGGTAGGTGGTTTCCCATTAATCTCGGATGAAAAAAAACATATTTAAAATGTAACGACGTTCTGGGAATGGAAAAAATGATTTCACAACGCAATTTAGAATTAGAACAGAGAAAACGATAACATCAGGACGTCGTCAAGTTCATCTATTTTATAAGGAAAACTAAAATATAAAACTGAAATTACTGATAATTGTCCACTCACGGTCTCAACAGAAAATACATCAAAGTAAGGTAATTATATGCATGTTATATTTTTTATTCATAATTTTTTAATCTCATACGTAATTTGGTACCCTTTGCATTCGTTCAACTTCACTTCTTAAAATAGAGCTTCGTCTAGACTCTGCACTAGGGTGGTCCAAAATATGGCGAAAAACCAACTTTCTTTCGGATCATCTTCCTCATTTGACTTACTGTTGTCCATGACCTAAAACACCTGCACACCAAATTTTGAGACCCAAATCCCATGGGAAATTTACCCACGCTTCGACTGAAAATTCGGTTATTTCATGATTTTTTGCTATTTTCGATAAATTGCCATCTCCTTTTTCCTGGTATAAAATGTTTCTATTTTTTCATAATAAACACTTTTGTAGGACTCTTTATTACTTAATAATACTAGGAGCTCAAACACCAAATTTTGAGACCCAAATCCCATGTGAAATTTACCCATGCTTTGACTGAAAAATTGTGATTTTCACAGTTTTGTCCGATTTTCAATAGATTACTGTCTCCATTTTCCTGGTATAATATGTTTCTATTTTTTCATAATAAATATTTTTGGATGACTCTTTATTACTTCATAATACTAGGAACCCATACACCAAATTCTGAGACCCAAATCCCATGGGAAATTTACCCATGGTTTGACTGAAAAATTGTGATTTTCACATTTTTTCCGATTTTCAATAAATTGCTGTCTCCATTTTCCTGGTACGATATGTTTTTATAAAAACATTTTTGAGGACTCTTTATTACTTCATAATACTAAAAACCCATACACCAAATATCCACCAAATTTTGAGACCCAAATCCAATGAGAACGTTACCCATGCTTTGACTGAAAACTGGTGCTTATGATAGCTTATGATGTCTGTTTTAGGGGCATAATATGTTAATAAACATTATGGTAATTCCTTCTTAATCCAAAGAAACACCTAAATATCAAGACTTTAAGTTTTATTGAAAGGCGACAAATTCAGTAGTTTGGGGAAAATTTAGGATCTTTTACTTGTACATTTATATACTGTGGTTAATATTAAAGGCAGAATCAGATCTATAGGGGTGACAAAATTACAAGCAACGTGCATAATTAACCTACCAATCTATTCCTTACAATATCAAATACAATATCTCCAAAAAGATTCACAATAAGTTATAAATTGGTGAAGTTATTAATGATTCAAAGTGCAAAAATGGGTGAAAAATGTTTAAATTCTCCCAAATAATAAGAATGGTAACCATTCTTATAGAAAAATAATACATTATAGTAAAAATCTTTCGATTTCATTGAATAAAGTATGCACTTTTGTGATTTTTAGAAAATAGACATGACAAGGAATGACATGAGCCAAAAATATTCTAAACTTGAAACAATTTTTTGTTGAGCCTCCTCGCTATCTCTGATTCCCTCTTTAAGAAGTGATGACTCGACAGCAACTCAAATGCCTTTATGACGTGCACGGACCTGGGGACAATTCGGGAAATACGGGCTGATTTCAGCTTTGAGCGTTAATCTCTGCCTTATTTAAAAAGCTTGCTATGTGTTTTATATATCATTTTGAAGTATTTTTTATTCGCATTTCAGTGAAATTATTTTTTCTTCAAAATTTTGATGGGATCCAACATATTTTTAAAGTTAAACATATCCCAAAATCGTCAAATACGCTGTAAGACGTAACACTTTACACTTACAGGGCTCGTTGAAATTGGGATAACTTTTGAAATAATGATCAAAATGCCACTAAAATTTTACAATTTATTCAAAGGAACATGTTCATTTATGACGTCACAATTGCTTAACGGCTACAGTTTTAATTATCATATATGAACGCTTTTAAAATTTTCAAAATTGTGTAAGGTTTTGAAGGCGAATGGGACGAGCAATAAGTTTACCTTCATTTAACCTTCTAATTCAAGTCTGATTTGAAAGAAAAATTAACTGCACAATATTGTCATGGCGAAATTTACAAAACAATAACCAGTTTGTTTATTTTGCAAATAATATTAAAATAAGAGCTGGTTTTCGAGACTTGAAAAAATGTGACGCATCGATTTTCTACCACAAATTCCATACATATCAATTTTTACCAACGCCCCAAGTGGATTTCTTGACCGTTTTCCAAAATTCAAAAACATTTTAGAAATATTGTCCTCGAGATCTTGTTCCCCTGTGAATTTTGTCATGATTAGATAAGGATAAACTATTTTATTTTTAGGTTGACTAAACTTGACAAAAATGTGACGCTTGTCGTTTTTGACGTTGTAAGGCTGTTTACGCCCTATGCTGCTCATTGTTTTGTCTTGTTTTTTTGACGCCATAATGTTACGCTAATTGTCCCCAGTTTCGTGCGACGTGTACTTGAAGATTTGGTTTGTTGGTTTCAGTAGGGATACATCACAGGACTTTGTTTGGATTTGTGTGAGATGTCATATTCTTTCTCACATCTGTGCAGGGTAAGGTCAAATATCAAATCTGATTTTCTTTGGAGAAATGATTTTTTGATTGATCAATGTATCAATGGCATGGTCTCTGTTGTAACCAGTAAGCCTGTACCAAATCTTCAAGGGATTCGAGCTTCCACTGAGCTTTTTCATTTCTCTGAAAATGTTCATGCCCTGAAAGTACACAATGTAGAAGATAGGAAGAGCAATGAGAAACACTTAAGGTAATTCTGTATGTTCAGAAATTTTAAGTGAACTCCAATGTTATTTCTGGAACTCATTCCATACTTGGTCAGCTCTTTCAATTTTACACTGAGTTCAAATATGTATTTAGATTATTAGTTGATGGTTAGTAATTTTCTATAATGTACTATGTGCTATGTTTATACACTGTTTGTGCATCTGAATGGAATGAGTTATGTGTTCCTGAAAAAACACGGGGCTCCAATTAGGAAGCCATTAAAACTGAAAATAAGGAATTACCTTAAAATACTATATAACCATCTTTCACGATGTAACGTATGTAAGGCCAAACAGGATAATTAAGACAACGTGTAATACAATTTATTAAAAAATTGCACATCACACAACAATGATATGGTGCTCTAAACGACAAAAATCAAAAGTATATGATCAAAGCAAACGTGCATTTCCCATGGGGTTCAGGTCTAAACATTTGGTACATATTAAATGTATGGGTTCCTAGTATTAAGAACGTATTAATGTCCTCCTAAAATGTTTAAAAACTAAATATAAGATTAATGTTGATCTATTGAAAATAGGAGAAAATTCGCAGAAAATCACAAATTTTTGGTTGAAGCATGAATTAATTTCTCATGGGGCCAGGGTCTCAAAATTTGGTGCATATTTGGTGTATGGGTTCCTCGTATTATGAAGTAATAAAGAGTCCTCCCAAAATATTTATTATAAAAAATAGAAACATATAATACCAGGAAAATAGAGATGTATTGTATTGTATATGAAATAACCCAATTTTTCAGTCGAAGCTTGGGTAAATTTCCCATGGGATTTGGGTCTCAAAATTTGATGTATGGGTTCCTAAGTATTATGAAGTAATAAAGAGTCATCCAAAAATATTTATTATGAAAAGACATCTACCATTTTATACCAGGAAAATGGAAATGGCAATTTATCGAAAATAGCAAAAAATCATGAAATAACCGAATTTTTCAGTCGAAGCGTGGGTAAATTTCCCATGGGATTAGGGTCTCAATATTTGGTGTATGGGTTCCTAGTATTATGAAGTAATAAAGAGTCTTAAAAAAATGTTTATTATGAAAAAATAGAAACATATTATACCAGGAAAAGGGAGATGACAATTTATCGAAAATAGCAAAAAATCATGAAATAACCGAATTTTCAGTCGAAGCGTGGGTAAATTTCCCATGTGATTTGGGTCTTAAAATTTGGTGTGCAGGTGTTTTAGGTCATGGACAACAGTAAGTGAAATGAGGAAGATGATCTGAAACAAAGTTGGTTTTTCGCCATATTTTGACCACCCTACTCTGCACGCAGGGTATAATTTAGAGGAATGTTACGAACTGATGCATGATGGGACGTCTGGGCTATATGCTCCATTTCTTTCAGGAGTTTTAGAAGTTTTTCTAGAATACTAATTCGGATAATTTTACAATTTCATTTTGTGCGTCGCGATTAGTACAATGTTACAAAACACGACAAACCTTTAATTTAATTGAAACCAGCTAATGGCTTGAGGTAGCTACAGAATGCATCTTGTAAATTGTAACATGTTTTTGATAGGGTCGATAATTCTCCTGCGTAAACTCTGTACCTATTGTATTAAAATAAAACATAAAAAACAAGCTTTCACACGATTTCCAATGGGGACCTCCAATGGGCAAACTTATCACAGTAGATGTAGCTTGTAATATTTGCTAGACGCTCTATGGGTCCTTTCGTATTTGTAGAGCACCATGAGGCTGTTCGTCTTGACACCTTTGCTGGGCCTATGCCTCGTGCATATGAACGCAGCAGTCGATATAGGACCTCTTAGAGCCCAGTATGAAGACCTTGGCCCCGACATTTGGCAACAGATATTGAGTGGAGTAATTAAGCCACCGAAAGATGGAGGTCTGGTAGGAAGAGCTGGATTTGCATTAAATCTGCCGACCGATTTCTTTGACGAAAGATGTAAAACAACTACAGAAAAAGGTATGTCATTTCTATCAATTGATATTTTATTGCTCTTGAAGGTCAAGGTCAAGAACTACCTCAATCTTTTATTTGTAACATTTTGCCAATTATCATAGTATTTATGTATTAACAAACAAATCTTTTTAACATCATATAGAAGTTGCCTTGAGTTCATATATGACCTCAGATTTGAAATTTGACCTTTATTTGACATCCAGTGACATTCGAAAGGTCAAAAGAATTGATTTTTCAAAATGAACAATGTTTTAAAGAAGGAGTTCCAACACGACCTCAGATTTTGACCTTTAACTGACCTTTAAAAAGGGGCCCCGTCAGATTTCCTGCAATCTTAATGTCTCGTTAATTATTAGTGAATCATTATTTCAGTCGGCAACCAGGCAGATATCTGCTTTATCGTTCAAACATCGTGCCGAGAGACGAAAAAGGTTCAGAGTGACATCCTTGAGAGCGTTTATACCGACATAAAGGATATTCTGAAAAACCTTCACAATGAAACCAGATTTGCTGTCGTACCTTATAGTGGCAAAATCAAGAAAAACCCCCAGTGGTTAAAAAGAACAAAACAGGTAAAAGAGTTGATAAAACCTGGTAAGAACTGCGACGATTGTAGAGCTGTGACGTATGAAGCATTGGACGCTTGTCGGAAATTTCTTAAAGAATCCAACTCAGCTAATGACGTAATACCAGATAACATTGTAATCTTCACTGATGGCATTTCCGTCGATCAGAAATATAATATGCCAACTGCAAGACGGAAGACCAATCAAGCGAGTGTCGACATTAAAAAAGAAGGAACGATCAATATGCAAGTTGTGAGAATGCACCCAATATCTAAAAGTGTTGACCTTAATGGTAATGAAGAATGGAACGCGATGAAAGTTCGTTATGGGAGGGACAAAATAACAATACGTGAACTTGGTCTCAGAAATAAACAAACGGTCGATATTGCTGTGACTGCTTCTACAAAAGAAGATACAGAAGTAGGTAAGCGGGTTCAATTGGATTTCGATATCAGAATATACAACTACATGTAGCCTTTGCGAAGTGTTTGTTTTATTTTTTTCTGTTCTGTTATGCCATTTGGAATGCGCGAAGAGTACATGCTCGTGTACTTCTATCCTTACCAAACATGGTTGCTAATATTTTGTAACTAAAACTATAGCATCGTTAAAATGTCAAGGCGGGCTCTAAGTACCCGTAAGAGGCCATCAAATTACTTTTTTTTTTATTGCGAACTGATTTCATTACAAGAAATGAATGTACAAGTTCCGATGTGGTTTCAGCACCGGAATTCAGATCCGAAACGACTCAGAAAAACGTTCTTCTCGATTTTCTTCAGAACAGTGACGACATAGCAACCGCACAAAATCATATTGCATTGAACGCGTTTAAAAGCTTTTCATCTTTATTGTTGAATACTTTGCATAAACAAAGCATGCAACTCACTTAAAGCATGTTTGTTATTCCCGTACAAAGGGTAACTTGTGAAGCGTTTGATTGCGTCATCATTTATTGCGCAGCTCTATACGTCCATAAGTGTGATATTCCTATATAGGGTATCTATACTTACGAATATCACACTGGACGTATGGACGTATAGGGCTGCGTAATAAATTATGACGTATAATCTATATATAAGTGAGTTGCGAATTTCTAATTATATCTTGCAGATCCATGTTGTACCGCTGATGTTGTTTTTATACTGGACCGCTCCAACAGTATTAGAAAACCAGATGTTGATCGCCTTTTGGAATTCTTTGCTGATTTCATTGATGCACAACAGAAGATTCTTCAACCTAAAAAGAAGGACAGACATGAAGGATTACAGGTTTAAGTCTACAGCAAATATATAATGAGAAAGTTCGGTCTGATTCTCGCGATTTTCTATTTAATACAAGTCTTTAAATCCCACTTGGGTAGCAACACAATAGAATTTGCTGTGGTTTATTTTTAAGAATGTATGGTTTTATCAAAAAGAAAGTGCATTATTTTTCTATTGTTTTTAAAGAATGTACACTTGGCAAGCTATCAAAAACAAGTGAGACATAAATGACCATTGACAGTTTTTGATAGTTTTCATTCCCTAAAAACAATATACAAAAATACATGTACCCTTCTCTTGTTACTGTGCATTCTTTAGAATAAAACAATTTATCAATTTTTGTTGCTATCTACATCATTGATCTTACCTTACTTACAAATATTCTGCTGTATTCAAATTCAATGTTCTAGACTGGACAGTCACCTGTAGTGCACTGACAGCTAGACTAATTATAGCCCACTCAGTCACTTACATCAACTCACACTCATGAGGTCAATGCAACCAACTCTTTTTGTTGTTACAATTAATTGGCTATATAACAACAAATTTTAACCAACAAGAGCAAGGGTCATTGTGAGCCTGGTTAAAGTTTGCAAAATTCACAGTTTGAATAGTCAATACAAAAGAAATCACATTTTCCGGATTAAAGACCTTTTAACTGTAATATAATAGACCCTTTGCCTGTGATAAGAGTCTGTGTGATTTAAGTAAGATAAAGCATTCGAATTCGATTTGATAAGAAATAATAACCTCAAGCCTTCGGTGTATTATTTCTTATAAAACCTCATTCTTATGCTTTATCTAGTACATAAAATAACCCCAAAACAAACTGATCCCAAGAAACTAGTGTAGCAAAATGCAATTTTGCAATAATTTATTTCAAATATATCTGCATCGATTAATAACATTTTTTTGCTTTTGTATAATGTAAGACCTACTAAAAATCCTGGTTTGCTTTTTAATTGATGTTTGTTTGGCGTATTCTATTTTACATTTAGATCGCTCTTTTGACGTATGGACCTACCGTTGAAGTTCACTCAAGTTTGGGACAACATGGGAAAGCAGGTCTGATAGACGTTGCGAAAAAAATCCCAAGGACGACTAACAAATATACATCTACCCATCTGGCTTTAGGTAAGTAACACACAGATGTGCGTCTACGTCACCTATGTGGTCTTAGGTAAGAAACACACGGATATGCGTCTACGTATACCCATCTGACTTTACGTATACCTACATGTATGTGGTCTTAGGTAATGAAAAAATAAACATACGTATACCAAATCTGCAATATGATCAAAGTTAAGAAACACACAAATCTGGTATTGTCATTGTGTAAGGAACAAATATTTATTTAGCCTAAGGTTAGGAAAAAAAAGGACACCAGGTATTAAAACGTTGTTTTCAAAGGAAGCATATGAATAACTATTTTCTCTCCGTTATGGAAAAAATGAACTTTTAACCAAACGCATTACCAAATTTGAAGATTATCCTTCATCACTCGCAAAGTTAGTCCATGTTCGTTTCGGACGGAAATGGGTGATGGTACTAAAACAGGCCAGGCCTGTCTCCCCAAAATAATGAAACATTCAGATGTTTATCTAATTGTCTATCAGATTATAAAACTATTTCTTACTAATCACTCACAGAGTTACTGTATTTCATGTTTATCTTAGTAAAACTTTTTGCGACACGCATCATCTAACTTTCTTTGCTTAGTTAAAAGAAAATCATATGTGTAGCACCTAGCTAACTAGCTTTAGGTAACTTAAGGGAATTTTGAAAAAAATGTAATGCATATATTACACATATTAAATACATTTCGAAAGTACAAGATCTTTTTTACATAGACAAGATATTTTTCTCGTATTAGATATTTCACATATAATATAGTTTACATGTATCAAAAGTACAAGCTTTTTAAATGTACTAAATATTTTATGCTTTTTTCACGTTAAGAAGCAGCAGGTCATCAATTGAATGGGAAAAGGGCGAGAAAGGAACCACACGTAAGGAAAATTGTCGTCATAGCAACCGATGGTCGCACATGGAAGGTGAATGAACGTAATGTTGATAGCGGAGAAGACACCATTGCAGCAGCCAGAAAGTTAAAGAAAGATAAAGTAGAAATATATGTTGTTGGTAAGAAATCCATGTTTGTAGTTTGTTTACGTATTAGAGGTGAGATTTCGAATCAGACCTAGAGTAGCAGCATCTAGTTGATAAGCGAAGATTGAGTTCAATATTACTTTTAATTTTCTCCTAGAGAATTGGTTGGTTTCTGTTTCTGTCATCCTTCGTAAAAAGGCAAAACAAAAATATGCTCCATTGTCACAACCGGAAGTTCTCTTTTAGACCACGTGATAAAAGATGATTGATGATCAAAGTAAAAATGACCTTCCTAATATAATTAAGCGAAAGAAATACAAACATAATTAGCTTTAATAGAACACTGTCCAAATGGGAATTCGTGTTGTTAAACACACTGAGGGGTAAACATTCAAATCAATCAGACAAAGCACCAATATGATTGTGAAAAGGCCTTCTTGGAGTTGAAAGCCTATTTGCCTTTTTTATTTAACACTATTTTGTATTAAAGTTTCTTCAAGACAAATAAGAAATTCACAAGGCTGTTTTCATACACCATGCACCTTATATTTTGACTCTTATTACCTAAAGGATGGTACCTAGATCAAGATAGAAATAATAAAGTAACACAGACAAGCTATTTGAGCCCAGATCTGATTGACAGATGCTATGCCCTTGATACATGTAGCTGGAACAATCGCTCATTGCGCAGCTCTGATATTGGAATTTTCTCCATGCAATATTTAATTTTTTCCTCAAATCTTTTATATTTGTACCACTTGCTAATGATACCTTTTGGTTAATTTCTTGGGACACCCGATATTTTAACATTGCGTCAAATGCTTAAATCATAAACAAACATTTTAGGACTCCCCAACCACGATGAAAATAACGATGGTTATGAGAGGGAATGGAAACACATGGCTTCAAAGTCAATTAATTGCACGATTGTCAACATGCAAAAACTGGATGAAAATGGAAAAAGAGAAAGCTTTGATCAACTCAAATATGTCGGAATTCATCTCACCGAGGAAATCTGCACAAACAGTAAGTAAGACACAGGGAAAAACGTACAAGGGATCCGCATATAATCCGCATATCTTAATTTCCCCTCTGGCCTACATATTGTATAAAATACACTCAAAATGAACAAGTCAAATGTGTGTTGGGAATGCACGAGTTACAATTTTCTTAACTTAAGTTATTATGTATATTCTGACATTTCAGGAAAAGGAATAAAGTGCCGTTGGAATGAAGAGTGATGACTCGTCAGTTAAATCTTTTCCTGTATTTGGTGTGTTTAAAAAATTCAAAATATGATTCCTACTAGTTTTAACAATAGAATAAATATTTTTCAATATTGCAATGTTTTTTTGCTTGTTTCGTCATATATCGAGTGTCCCAGAAAGATTGAACTGCTATTTGACAGGTATTTTTCTCAATTGCAGATTAATCGAAAGTATTGCAAATTAAAATTGAGCATTTTGTGGGAATTATCAGCAAGTCTTATAAATATAAAAGAGATTGGTAAATAATTGACAAGTCATACGTTACAAGTAGAGTAGTCCATTGTGTTCCGCAACTAGGTATCACTACATGTACATAAATGTCTCTGATAAAAATTACATTTTAAAATGTGAATTATGTGTATATCCTTACTTAACCGTTACTTTATCTTACATCCCACAAAGTCAAATGGTATAAAATGAAGTGTTACGTTCGAAAATAACAGAAAGTAAAAACAGCAATTAAAATATGATAACAATATATTTATATTTTGAAAACTAAATAATATAACAATAATATAAAGGAGGTTTAATACTTAAGTGATGTCCAATCAAAGATACGGCTTATTCTTGATGTCGAAAAATGTCGTTGACGATCCTTGGGAATGTTCCAGATCACGAAATGTTTCAATAATCGTTCATAGTTCTCCAATGTTTGTAATAATCCAATAATGTTTGTTGTAATCCTATAATGTTCGTATCCAATAATGTTTGATGATAATCCACAAATGTTTGATGATAATCCACAAATGTTTATGATAATCCACGAATGTATATGATAATCCGTATATAGTGAGTGTTGTAATATATGTCCATATAAAGTCCTCAGGTTGTATGTTTGCACTGTTATAAATGTTCCCAAAGTAGGTGTCTGTAATTTTCTGCTAAGAAGATGTCCTTTTGATCAACTTTGAAATTCTGCTTTATTTAGTTCCTTTGAGATGTCCAGTTATGATTACTTAATTATCTGCTAATGAGAGTCACTGTGCTGTTCTTTTTATAATGTGAAAGAATTATCCAGAAATGAATCTTCTGGAACTACATCTTGATTGGACATCTTTAGTGACATGATTCAATCTGATTAAATGTTTACTAGTTTCCGAATATTCTAGAAGGTCAAGAGTTAATGAGTCATTCAGTTCAGTTTTGTTTACAAGATACAGTGTATAATGTCATTGTGACCTTGACCCAAGATCTCCAATAAAGAATAGCTCAACATATACAGCAAACATACATTACAAATTAAACTATAGGTGAATATAGTAGAATATAATATACATGTAGCTCACTACTGTAACACCTCCCTCCTTAAAAGAAAAGTTTTGAATGCAATGAAAAACTTTTACAATAATATCTTGAGTAGCGAGCGTTACAATTTCTAAAAGTGAGGTTGAGACTTACATAATATTTGTTTACAATAGTCTTTTTATGTGCAGTATGTTTACAAGTATATAATACTTTCTATCGTTACAGTGTGAGTACAATCTAATAACATATGATGTTCTTATAATCCCATACTACAATAATATCTACATAAGTTATGCATTAAGTCATAAATACAATACACGCAATAGATCATATAACATGTACAATAGCATACATTTTTGAGTCTGACAAACACTAAACTAGTACAATGTTTTAAATTATCACATGATCTTATGTAAGTATTTCTAATAGTACACTCTGATGTTATCAAGTAATCTTGTGACACTATCTAAAGATTACCTATAATGCTCACATAATCTAGATACAATCTTATAGTTCATATAATATCAATTTCACTATTTAGGCAAATGTTTTTGTATATTGTTAAAATAAAGTGACAGTTATCACAAATCTCTAATTTGCCTACCATATAATATAATCTTCATGAGTTAATCATTATAATTTACAATATCTGACTCTTGAATAACATACATGCTGGGTTTTTAACAACGCCGTCCTCTATGAGGACGTAAATAAATAGTCATGGACGCAGAAAAAAATTGTTGGTGCGTTCTTGGGACGCATTACTCACCATAGGTTGCAAACAAATGTTATTTTATATGAAAAACGTCCCTAATTGGCGAAAACATATCAGAAATAAAATTGTCGAATGAAAAAAATAGAAAGTAAATTATTTTAGGTCAAACGGCATTTTCTCCAAGTTTAACCCAATAAATCAAGCTTATACAACTTAAACTTAAAAAATATAGTATAACTTACCTTAATAATACTTATTTTGCTGAAACAATATGATAAAACCGGTACATTTTGGTCAAAATGTGGCCGGCTTTGCAAAAAGATTTCGATGTGAGAAGTGATATAAACACTGCCATCTTTTGGATTTTATAGTTAGTTTTTTGCTTAGAGAAATCAGTCTACACACGTGCCATCTATATTCAGATATACAGCTATGATTACATTGAATTGCATTGACTGGGGTTTAGAATTTGACATGGGATTAAATATGATGATTATTTAGGATATACAAAATGTGAGAATATTAAAATTGAAATTTAGAAATGCATCAAGGCAAGCTGTTGAAAGACTTCCTGGAAATGCTTAGATTGCTCAATTTTGAAGGTATAAATATAGAAATTTTCTGTGGGGAGGCTCAGGCCCCTCTTTCATGTCTTTAGAGTTCGCTTCGCTTGCATGAATTGGGTCAATTGGGTCTATATAATTAATGTTTTTGCAAATAATTTTTAATTTTAGGATAGAATCTGAGTATTATTAATTGAATCATAAAGTCACGAGGTAAAGGGTATTATCATGCCACGCCCTCCTAAAGTTAAGAGGTACACTCCCCTCCATAAGTTTGGCAACCTTTTTTCTCCATTGAACTACGTGTTAAAGCCTCTTTACGTTTGAATTTTTATTAACTTAACCGGCGTTGAAATAACTAATAATATTGATGGAAACGTAACTTGACTTTATTTCCAATACCTCCAAATTTTCTCAATTTTTTTCCTCAATTACAATAGGTCGAAAATTGATGATAAATTTGATGAATTTTTGAAAATCGTCATTCCCATGTAATCCAATGGGAAATGGAGGGTTCGGGGCAAATCAGAAATCAGGATATCTTTTCAGTAAAAGATTCAGCAAAAAATATTTTCATATAGAAAATTGAATTATCTAACTTTTTTGAACACCAAGTGTATAGTTTATCTGATGAATATTAAAGTTACAGCTCTTCAAAGTCATTTTTGAAAATAATTTTTCGCCTCCTGTGTTATTTCAATGGGAGAGGCTTTTTGACAAACGATTTTGACTTTAAAGCCCTATAACTTTGTTGAACCTGAAGAAACATATCAATTTTTTGTTAAATAAAGTTAGCAAATTCAATTACCTGCCTAACTCGTATTTTTTGCAAGGACTCGGATGGATGGATATTCTGTCATATGACTTGCGGCAAACCTACCATTTCCCATTGGTTAACATGGGAATGTAGATTTTCAAAAATTCATCAAATTCATCATCAATTTTCGACCTACTGTAATTGAGGAAAAAAATTGAGAAAATTTGGAGGTATTGGAATTAAAGTGAAATTACGTTTCCATCAATAGTATAAGTATTTTCATCGCAGGTTAAGTAAATAAAAATTCAAAGGTAAAGAGGCTTTAACACGTAGTTCAATGGGGGGAAAAAGGTTGCCAAACTTATGGAGGGGAGTGTACCTCCCAGAATGGGAAAACACATACCCCTGGCTGCAGTATGTTGCAGGCCAAGGAATGCGGTGCAGTTTATGCATCAGGGCTGGAAAGAGGAACATTTTCACCAGCCCAAATGGGTGCAAAGACTTTCAAATGGCCTTGGATGTGACATTCTGTAACGCCTTGTGTATAAACGTTACTTATTCATCATTTACACTTGTACAATCTGACCCCAGGGTCTAAATACATGCAATAAAAACATGATAAAGCAACATAAAGAATACATGTTTATTAAGTGTTTCTCTTTTTTCAATTGGGACCCACTTTTTTTGGGAGGGACCCCAAATTTTTATAACACTGGGTCCCCGGGACTCACTTTTCATAGTCCCTATTGAAAACGCTGTACATGTATAGTTGTCATTGACATACAAGTTTGGCCTATGAGCTAAGAGCACAAGCTCATGTTGAGTAAAGAAATTTATCACGCTCAACATACCTTTTCATCATGTGTAGCTCTCTACACCTCACAGGAGTAGTTCTATCAATGCAAATGAAATCATTCAGCACTGAGTCAGATTGTAAGTCAGATATGAGCTCCTTTGGTAGCCCAACTAATGTGAAATTGTTGATTTGTGATTTCACAATATACTTGGTTTTGCTATTTCTAAGCATAAGGTGTGATTTTATTTCTAGAAACTGTGTGGCCATAGACAGAATAGTGAGCAGATATTGATTATAAGATTTTGCTTTTGGTAATGGACCAACACAGTCAATAAGAACCTTACTGAATGGTTCATCAAATGCAGGTATAAGTTGTAAAGGAGCAATTGAGGTTTTCTGGTTAGGTTTCCCTACCATTTGACATGTATGGCAAGACCTACAATACTCTTGGACATCTTGTTTTAATTTGGGCCAATAGAAATGATTGAGTATTTTATGGTATGTTTTAGTTACTCCTAAATGACCTGCCATGCGAGAATCATGAGCTAGACTCAAGATTTCCTTATGATATGATTTTGGGACAATAATTTGATGCACAATTGCCCAATCGTCTTCAGGGGAAGCTTCAGGAGGTCTCCACTTTCGCATTAATATGCCATCCTTTTTGTAGAAACAAACAGGGACCTTGTCAGCTTCATCAATAGTAAGACATCTTTTATGAAGATCAATGAGTGATGGATCATGCTCTTGTTCATAGATTAACATGTGTTTAGAATGAGGATCATTTTTCAAAGAATCACTATCAGAAATAGAGGATGAAACCTCAGAACTAGAAGAGGATGAAACCTCAGAACAAGGAGGGGGTGAAACCTCATGAACACTAGCAGAAGAAGATGAAACTTCATCAGAACTAGCAAGAGCGGGCGAAACCGCATTAAAATAGTGATCCTGCTTAGAAGGTGAATCACCCCTGGCAATAGGCTTTTTCAATGAAGAATAT